GCAACATCCTTGACGGCATCACCGTGCTTCTCGAGGTGGTCGTGGATCTCCCTGAGCTCGGCTTGCTCTTCGGGATTGAAACGGTCGATCTGGTCCAAGGACCGCAGAGGGGAGGTGAGGATGAAGGTGATGTCTCCATTGCGGATGACATGGGAGCAGATATTGCGGCTGCCTGTTTCAAGGCCTCTGTAGGCAATACGCTTGAAGCCCATGCGGGTGATATAGTAGCTTGCCGCTTGCTTGGCATTGCCGACGTACCAGTGAACATGGTCATAGCCGCGGTAGCTGGCCACTGAAGATGCCTCGTTGGTAGCTGGGGGAGGAGGGCTGTTGGAAATTGCTGAAGGTGCCATTTTGATGAATCCCGTATATTTGTGTGATGATATTGGGTCGATGAAATGTAAATGGTACAAGTTGAAAGAAGATTTCTTATTTAACGTCAAGTCTAGTCTACCCTACCCTTCTTAAATAACTCTGGTAAGCGCAATTTGTACCGGCGGATATCTAATCCAATCTTTGTTAGATCCATGTCATAGTACGCGGCTATTCCAGGGCCCTGAGATATCCGGAGATATCCGGGCCCACAAAGGCTCATGGTTAATATCCGGAGATCTTCAATTCCTCGGCTTCCTTTGCGACACTTTGCTTTGTTCTTTTCAATTCAGTGACCACAGTGAGCTCAGTTTGAACCAATCTCCACAGTATCCTCCCTCATCTCTCACTTGAACGTCAAATCTCAAGATGACGTCTATCACACCTGCTCGCCCATCATTGACATCTAATGATTCGGCTGTACTACAAGCTCTATTCGATGCCGAATCTTCTCCATCATCAGGAATCACCATTGATTCCTCGCTTCCCTCATGGCCCTCATCTCTGAAGATATCTGAAACAGATCTGGCATCGCTCAAACAACGCGAAACAGACATCATCCGCAAGCTGCAATCCAATAAATCACCAAGTATAGAAACAGTCCAGTCAGCACTGAACGACTTCGACACTCTCCTCACCCAGCACCCAACATATCCCTCCGCATACACAAACCGAGCACAAACACTGCGTCTGCTGGTCGATCTGATGTACAGCAAAGAAGCGCATAATGACCAAAGCACTGAGACCGAGCTAGCTGATGCTGCCTTGTTCGCCCCAGAAACCTCCCAGCTGTTCTCCCGCATCTTCTCCGACCTAGGCCAAGCCATTAATTTTGCCACACCCGCTTCTCCTGCAGATGCCGTCTCGGCCACTCAGGCACGGTTATTGGCTGACGCGCACACGCACCGGGGTTACTTGCTTCTGAAGGCAGCGCGGGTCAAGAAGACTGGTTCTGGTGATGAGGCGGGACCGGAGCGTCTGCGTGGACTTTCGGCTGATCAGCTTGAGGAAATGGCTAGCCGGGATTTCTTCTTTGGGGGTCGCTATGGGAATAAGGTTGCACAGCAACTTTCTGTGCAGACAAATCCTTATGCTAAGATGTGTGGGGCTATTGTTAAGGAGGCGATGAGGAAGGAGCTTGAGGGATGAAGGTTTTGTATCATGAAGAAATAATATAATGCACAAATTTGTCGTTCGGAATACTCGCATTTGGATAATGAAGCAATAATCTAGACAATCTGGATCGATATGATTGAATTTTGGTATCTTCTTAATGCTATGGAACTAATTGAAAGTGTGCGTTTACCCTCATCGCAGTGATCAGGTCCACACCACAGCCTATGCCTTTTTATTTGGGTTTACAAAGTGTCTCTTCAGAGGTGTCCAGCTGTGCTCGTTATATTCTGGCTGCACCTTCTCGCACGTCTTAAGGCCCCATTCGGAGACTCCGACCATGAGAGTACTAGAACATTGTTAGCGCATATAATGAAACTCGGCAATGATAGGGAAATAAAACTAACCTTTCAAACATGAAAGCCATACTTCCATCACCAACTTTTTGAGGCTTCAGCTCAGCATTGCTAGCTCCCTCAAAAGCACCCGAGTCGGGACCATGAGCACTCATGACATTGTGCAAGCTAGCACCAGCTGGTTTGAAGCCACCACCAACCTTCGCATCGTAGTCGCCAGAAATCAAGCCCATGAACTCCGACATCGTGTTGCGGTGGTACCACGGAGGACGGAAGGTACCCTCTGCGACCAGCCAGCGGGGAGGGAAGATAACAAAATCGGCAATGGCGGTACCAACGTGATCCGATGGACCTGTCAGCACCGTGAATATAGAAGGGTCGGGGTGATCGAATGAGATCGAACCGATAGTGTTGAATCGGCCAAGGTCATATTTGAAGGGGTAGTAGTTGCCGTGCCAGGCGACAACATCGAAGGGGGTGTGGTTCTGTCGCGCAGCGAAGAGAGTGTTGTTGAATTTGCTGTAGAGCTTATACTCGCTCTCCTCTTCGTCATCGAAAGCGGCAACGGGAGCTTGGAAATCGCGAGGATTGGCCAAACAGTTGGATCCAATGGGGCCAAGCTCTGGGAGCTCGTAGTGGCCCTGATATAATTCACAAATGTATCCCCGCACAGGACCGTCAGGGAGCGTCACTCGGTATCTGATAGAATTATTAGTTATTGGCCCTATGCAGGATACTCAAGAAACCCACCTAACACCACGAGGAATGACACAGATTTCATTTGGTCGTAAAATAATGCGACCGAGCTCTGTCTGAATGTCTAGCACACCGTGCTGAGGCACAATCAGGAAGTCTCCATCCGCGGAGTAGAAAGCTTCCTTGCCCATGTCCTTGCCTGCGGCATACATCAAGATTCCCAGTCCCTGCTTCAGAGTCGGGTCTCCGGACCCTGCAATCAAGTGCAGTCCATGCACCCAGTCGACCTTCTCATCTAGATCGAAGGGGTTCCATCGCAACTGGTTAGGGATATGGTGAAGCTTGTGGGTTTCGGTTGTCATGCTCGTATGATACGAATCGGCATCTTCCGCGATGAAGTTCTCATGGGCTGCTGCGGGCAGAATCCGATAGACCCATGTTTGCTTATTCTCATGACGGGGTGCAGTGAATGCTGTTCCCGAGAGCTTCTCAGTGTAGAGCCCATATGGAGCTTTCTGTGGGGAATTTTGACCAATTGGCAGAGCTCCTTCAACGGCCTCCGACCTATTAACTTGTTAGTCATGTTTCTTTGAAACGAGGTGAATACATACTCGTGGTGCGAGTTGAAGCCCGTCTGGTACTTGTAGGGATCAGGGTAGTTGAAATTAGTGACAGGCATATTGAAGGTGATGATTAGGAGAATGCAGACCTGTCTTTACAAATACCCTCCGATCTACCGAGGGTCTCAGCCTGAGAAAAGCAATTAATGTGAGGTCACACCATTTGCATGCCCATTCCGCGCATCTGATAATTCCCGCCATTAACCTTCCATTCCGCACCGGCTGGATGCGGGGGCTGCGGACCAATTCCGCACTACTTGAAGGTGTTAAGGTCGTCAAGTCGCTCTCTCTTTCTCTCTAAACTCGTCAAACATTAATCCATCATGGCTTCCTGGCTTCAAATTCCCAAGAACTCGCCCTTCTCGCTGGCAAATATCCCGTTCGGTATCATCTCAACACAATCTACACCAAAGGCAGCTGCCATTGCAATCGGTGATCATGCATTGAACTTGAGCGCATTTGCCTCATCTGGAGGCTTCTCACAACTTCCAGCTATCGAGAAGCACCTAGCTGTTTTTAGCCAACCCACATTGAATGACTTTGCTGCCCTCGGTCGTCCTGTACACCGGGAAGTGCGCGAGTATCTACAAAACATCTTCCGCGCCGACACAAAGTTCCCACAGCTCCTGAAGGACAATGCTTCCCTCCAGCAGTCAGCTTTGCTGCCCTTGTCTCAGATCACCAACCATCTACCCATGCAAATTGGCGACTACACCGATTTCTACGCTGGCCTGAACCACGCCTACAACATTGGCGTCCTCTTCCGTGGCCCGGACAATGCGCTTCAGCCTAACTATAAGCACCTGCCTGTTGCTTACCACGGTCGTGCCTCCTCAGTTGTGCCTTCAGGCACTCCCCTCCACCGTCCCCAGGGACAGATTCTGGCGAACCCTGCCGCGGACCCCAAGGTTCCTACTTTCTCTCCTTGCAAGAAGCTCGACATCGAGCTCGAGCTTGCTTGCTTCATCAGCAAGCCCAATGATCTCGGCAAGCCTGTCCCAATTGACCAGGCTGAAGACCATATTTTCGGTCTGGTTCTCATGAACGACTGGTCCGCCCGTGACATTCAGGCCTGGGAATACATTCCTCTTGGTCCCTTCAATGCTAAGAACTTCGGTACTACCATCACCCCCTGGGTGGTCCTGATTGATGCTCTCGAGCCTTTCCGTGCTCCCGGTTTGGAACCTGCAAACCGCGAGTCTCTGCTCCCATACCTGCGCGAGAAGCGCGCCGACAGTGCCTACGAGATCCCCCTCGACGTTGAGGTCACCAACCCCGGTGGTCAGCCCACTGTTATCTCTAACAGCAACGCCCGCAACTTGCTTTACTCTTTCCCTCAGATGGTTGCTCACCACACTATCACAGGCTGCAACTTGCGCACTGGTGACTTGCTGGGATCGGGTACTATCTCTGGTAAAGAGGCTAAGACTCAGGGTAGTTTCTTGGAACAGACCAATGGCAAAATTCCTCTTAAGTTGGCGGATGGCTCTGAGCGTATGTTCCTTGAGGATGGTGATACTGTTACTCTGCGCGGTATGGCTGGCACAGAGGGCAACTATGTCGGCTTCGGTGATTGTGTTGGCACTATCCTGCCTGCTGTTTCCCTGCAGTAGATGACTCAAAATCAAATTAAATGATCAATGTGTGATGTTGCTCTTCTACTTTTGTTTCTACACTATAGAGCTTGGAATAAATTGCTTCGGCCAGTTTTATTTAGTCAAGACAATCTGGATGAACAACCCTCTCCTCCTACGCATTAAATGCCAATACTATCAGTATAATAACAACATATCTTATGTACGTTGTCTGAGACTAGAGAGTGCACTACGTAAAGCCTTTCCAGTTATTCCTTGATACGAAGTTCCTCAGGAGTATCCTCCTGCGACCTCCAATGCCCCTTCTTCACAGCCTCCTCCATCTCCAAGTTCTTCACAATCTCATTTGTAACCGGGTACTGAGTCAAGTCAACACCCATTCTCTGGGCCGCCCATGCAGCAGGAATCAAACACAAGTCCGCAATGGTAATCGAATCTCCAACACTAAACTTCCCCGCTGATTCCTTGGCAACGGTTTCATAAGCCTTAAACCCATCTTCCATCAAATCCTTCGACCAGGCAGCACGCTCCACCCCCAGCGGCGCAACCCGCTTCACAATCCTAAGGTTTGTAACAGGCTGAATATCGCATGAGATAATGTCCGCCAGCGTGCGCACTACAGCGCGGCCTTCTGGGTCCGAGATCGGTGGGAGTAATGCGGGTCCTTGGTCTGGGAATGCTTCTGCAAGGTACTCAAGTGCGGCGAGAGATTGAGTGATTGTCACTGGTGCTTTGGAGTTGCGTTGGATTACTAGGGCGGGCACAGTTCCTGAGGGGTTGATGGCCAGATGGGCTGGGGAGGATTGCTCGCCCTTTAGGAGGTTCACATAGACGGATTTGAAAGGGATTTGCTTTAGGTGCAGGGCTATGCGGAGTCTTCCTGAGCAGGAGGAGTAGAAATAGGTGTGGAGAGTCACTGTGTCGGTCATTGTGGCTGAAGAGTGTTGATTTTCGATATATGGGGTACTGCAGTACTCGGGGAACGATGAAGGCACTAAGAAGGGTCTAGACAGAGGATCGAGAGAAGATTTGTGCTTATAAATGAAGATAGATCGTTCAAATTTATAAGCTGAACCACTGTCTACCGCTTGTCTATTGTACATATCCTCCGTACAGCATGGCGCTTTAGCAATTGCGGAATTTGTTCCGCCATCTTGAGCCCGAGTCCAAGCGCTGTATCTTGTACAGTTCGGCTATAACGGGGTTATTCTTTATGTCTATATTGTTCCAATTTCTTTGCCTAGAAAATTGCCTAACTGATCTAACAACGTACATGCATTAGGGCCTGGAGGCTTGCAGCCACCCTGGTCTGCGTGACATATGATCTACAATTTGTTCCTCTATTGGCTTTTGACTGCGTAAGAATCGCGAGTAGGATAACCTAACTGGTTTCAATCTCTACTAATGAGAGTCATGAATATATATAATAATGAATAATGTATTAATTTCTAGGTCTGATTCTGATCCGAAGGTACACTGTAGATAAAGACGCGTGGGGCCCGACGGATATCGCCGGGTAATTATCCCTCCACATTTCTTTGTCTCCTTGCAATTATCCAGATCACCAAATATCCACAGAATCCACTTTGAAACTGAATCCGCCCAGGTACGGTTGACGATGGATGTCAGGGCATCCCGTCCGGACAAGCCGTATCAGCGCACCTACAAGGCGTGCATCCCTTGTCGGCAAAGGAAGGCCAAATGCGACCTAGGAACAGGCCCAGATGGCCTTCCGATCGGCCCACCATGTGCGCGCTGCCGAAGGGAACTAAGGGAATGTGTGTTCCCCGAGAAACGCGCCTGGGAAAGGTCCCGCAAGCGAGGTACGCTAGGATTGAGTGCTTATTATACCTAAATCGGCTGTTGTCTAAATGGTCAATCTCTAGCGCGATCACCGGAGAGCTATGAAGTCGATGTGTCACCCCGAGACGCCAGACAACCTCCAACGGCTTCGCCTGCTAGTTCTATTGTTGCACAAGGACAGACCCCCAACACACATGTAAACAATGTAGCCAACTCATCGCCCGAGATGAACTTTCATCAAGAGCCCAACTTGCCGTCGGGATGGCCATATCATCGGAACCAAACGGGATCCCATGGTGGCTCTCTCGATCGTCCTTCCGTGGGAACATCACAAACTGATCAATCTCCTTCTCATGTATATGAAAACAACGGACACCGAGCGAGTTCTACACTTGCGAGCTCTATGATGCGCACTGTTGTTGCTAGTGGCAATGATGCACTCAACATTTTATTTGAAGCTGCAAGTGCTCAGGAGGATGTCAATCATGATACTAGCTCCGAGTCATTAGCTGGGCCTTCATCGGCAGGTCCGAGTACTCAAGATCGCACACCGGGGAATTACGATGCCGCACTCGAATCGGTGGCACGGGTAATACATCCTGTCAAGCTATCCGACGCAACCCAAGACACTCTGAATGTCTGGGAAGCTTGTCGGTTTGTCAAAATGGGCTGGTTTACTGCTAGAGAGGCTGTTACTTATATAGATCTGTGTGTTCCGTCGCATGTTCCATGCCTCCGCCAAATAAAAGCTAACTAGAAGTAGGTTCTACAAGAATATGTCCTGTTTATCTCCGATTCTGACTGATTTCTACGCCAATCATCGATACCACTACTGGCTGATTACTCGGGAGCCAGTTCTATGCTCCACCATTCTCATGATCTCTTCCCGCTACCACGTCCTTCCTGGAGCAGGGGGAGAGTCGAGGAATTTCTTTATCCACCACCGATTATGGTCACATTGCCAGAAATTGACGATGCGGCTGATATTCGGGCAAGAAAAATCAACGAAATCCAAGGTACGGAGTCTGGGTACTGTGGAGGCACTTTTATTGATGTCAGAATGGCATCCGCGCGCCCTGCATTTCCCACCCGAGACGGATGGCTGGGATGATGATTTGATCCCATCAGCCCCCACACACCATGAGAACAATGATTCAAGCTCAGCACCTGACCGTCGTGGGGTAGAAGATATCATTGAGCCAGCACGCCGATCTGACCAAATGTCCTGGATGCTGCTTGGGTGTGCGCTGTCTCTTGCGCACGAGCTGGGCATATTCGAAACACAAGGATACAGCTCACCAGCTGATGAACCAGAATGGAGAGATCAGATGGAAATTCGTTGGCAGCGCGTACAACGTTTACTATTCGTTTACATCAATCAATTGGCTTGGCGAATTGGATGCATGTCACCGATCCCTCAATCATCAAACCAAGCTATCATGGGTGTACGAAAGCCACTGGGACTGGGTCCACCAGGCAACACGTGGTTGACGTTCATGGACTCGTGGATTGAGCTTACCAAGCTAGCCAAGTCTGTTACTGATATGTTCTTCCCCTCTGCCGCGTTTGCACGCCAGCAACTACACAGCGGCCGATATGTTGGCCTTCTGGAGCATTTCCGACCTCTCCTCAACCAATGGAAAGACAAGTACCTCCAGCCCCAAGTACTTGATCAAGCATTCTACAACGATCTATTCATCGAATACCACTTCGTCCGCGTTTACACCCATTCAGTGGGAATGCAAGCAGTAGTGGAGCGTGCTGTCGCAGAAAACGATCCCAACAGCTTCGACGGAGTACGAAACATGACCATCGACCGAACAGACTACGAATACATCCAAGAGGTGATCGACGGATGTGGCCAGATCTTGCGTAAAGTCACCCATCTAGCCGAAGCAGGGGCGCTACGGTTCTCCCCAGTTCGAATTGTTCTTCGTATAACCAGTGCCTCGATCTTCTTGATGAAAGCGCTCAGCTTGGGTACACGGCAAGCCAAGCTCCAGGAATCAATTGAAATACTAGAAAAGAGTATTAAAGCCCTCAAGTCCAACGCCTTGGATGATGTGCATCTGAGCACGCGCTATGCCACGCTGTTAGACATGCATGTTTCACGCTTGCGACGCAACCTGCTTGCATCGTCGAAAGCTATGAAAAGTAGTCGAAACACTACCCGAAGATCATCCATGGGGCCTCCGCCTTGGCCAGAAAATGGTGATCAGTCAAACTCCATGAGAGCCCCTGTAATGCAGGACCCACCTGCGGATCTGGGATTTATCCCATCATTGAATGATATCGGTGCAGATAACTGGCTTTCCTTGCCATTTGATCCATCAATGGCACCGTTTGATATGAGCCATGGATGTCAATTTCCGATGTATGAAGGGGGAACATTAGATTTTCTGTGGAATCTGCCATCGCGATGAAATGCAGCATATATAATCCACTAGGTACCTTTGTATATAGTACATATTATATAGTGGATGCAGTGCACTTAATACTGATACCCCAATTCATCCCTTACTATCTTTCCCCGCACCGGAGTAGAACAACCAACACCAAATAATCCCAACATTGTCAATAACACAATCAGACAAAACAACATGACAAAGCCAGCATCATTCAAACCAGCTCTAATCATCCACGGCGGCGCCGGCAATATCCAACGCTCCAAACTCCCCCGGATCTCTACGCTGCCCACCACGCCTCTCTCCAATCCTACCTCCGCTCAACCCACATTCTCCTGAAAAACGGTAGCACAGCCCTAGACGCCGCCGTCCACGCCGTCTCTCTCCTCGAAGATGACCCTCTTTTTAACTGCGGCCGCGGCAGCGTTTTCACAAAAGCCGGCACAATCGAAATGGAAGCTTCAGTAATGGTGACATCCGTGCATCACGACACAACACAGCCCGGCTCAATCAAGCGCGGCGCAGGTGTGATGGGCGTCCGTAATGTACGGCACCCTATTTGTCTCGCGCGCGAGTCACTGCTTAGATCCGGCGTGTCCGTCGATGGGTCTCCTGTTGATGACGGAGGAAGTATGCATTCGCAGTTGACTGGGCCGTATGTCGAGACGCTTGCTCGGGATTGGGGGTTGGAGTTCTGTCCTGACGAGTGGTTCTTCACGCAGAAGAGGTGGGATGAGCATATGAGGGGTTTGGAGGGGGTGGAGGAGCCTGTTTCGTTGACTCAGGGGACTGTGGGCTGTGTCTGTCTTGATCAGTGGGGGAATTTGGCTGTTGCTACTAGTACTGGTGGATTGACTAATAAGCTGCCCGGGAGAATTGGCGATACGCCTACTTTAGGTGCTGGGTTCTGGGCTGAGGCTTGGGATGAGATTGTGTCGAGTGAAGAGAGAATTTCGGATGATTCCTCAATGGGTCGTTTGCTACGTGATGCAAGGGATTGGCTGGGCGATTGCATGCCGCGCTTCTTGTGGGATCAGAGAATCCCTACTTATTCGTCCCTTGAGGGTGGTGATTCCTCTCCACAGCTGGACTTGGGGTCCGAGAAGGCTTATTCGTATCAATCATCTGCTCAATATTCTCGTCGGCGAGCCGTTGCGGTCTCTGGGACTGGGAATGGAGACTCTTTCCTTCGGGTTTGTGCTGCGCGCTCGACTGCGGCAATGCTACGGGTTTCTTCTCCCGGGAAGTTTTTCTCTGGTCTCGCAGATGCCGTAACAGCTGTATCTGGGCCTGGGGGTGAACTTCAACGTTCTGCCGGCCCCAGGTGGAATAAGACTGGTGAAGGTGAAGGAGGTATTATTGGTATAGAGGCAGAGCTTTCCCCTGTAAACGAGGCATCAGATGTCAAACTACATCGAGGCAAGGTTGTATTTGACTTTAACTGCGGCGGTATGTGGCGTGCTTGGGTAGAGGAAGATGTTTCTGGCAACGAGGTTGAGAGGATCATGGTCTTTCGAGAGGAATATAAATAATAGAGTCTTTCCATTTAGGTTCATTGCAAGGCGAATATATCAATACTATATCTTATCCAACTGTTCTCGATTGCTTTGACGCGTGTATTTGCAAAGCATAGAATTGCTACGCAACTTATCATTTGCTAGACCACCTGCATGTAAACCATCAGGTAGAAAGGCTTGGTTACCTGTTCAACCCGAAGCAACCAACTGGCGGGTAAACCAAGAGTAAAACAACCTAGGAAACGGATGGGCCATACTCTGTGACTCTGCGGGTGGATGGCGTCTTGCGACAAGTGAAGCTTGGTTTGCCCATCGCTGCTGGAGATGTACCTATGTATTGTAGGTAGACCCGCGGAACCTTCTGCGGCGATGTCTGTCGCGGCTCCACGGGATATCTTGGCACGTCCACACGTGACATGTCTTTTATGCCTGAGGTTTTCAGTCTGCAGTTTTGTTTTTCTACCATTTATATACTGATCTAGTATGGAGAATGATTGTAGTATGAAGCACAGTGACGCTTCTAGAATTTGCTTTTTCTCCACAATGTGGACAAGCATTACTGTTACCCGTAACCCTGAAATATATATCCGCAGAGCACAATTCCTAAGCTCAGTATATACAAAAAAACACTCTGATGGCTTGCCTCAAACCACGCAAACTAATAAATTATTTCAAGGGACTAGCAATATACACTACAAGAACCACGCAAAACTAACAAACCATCTGAGATAGACCTACCACCCCTCCAATGGTGTAAGCAAGGCCAGTACTCCATCTTTAGGTGAAACGGTAGCTCCCTCCCGGATCTCCAACTTGGCATCCGGAAACTTCAACTCCATGTGAAATCGACCGACGGTAGCAGCAATCAAGCAGGCAAGCTCCGATTTTGCAAAGCCCTGCCCGATACAGCTACGCGGACCGTGCAAGAAAGTTAAAAATGCATAGTTGCTGACCGCACCGCCGGTATTGGCCTTACCAGGACCCATGAAGCGGTCCGGGTTGAACTCGTCCGCGTCTGGCCCCCACAGCTCTTCCATCCGGTTCAAGATTTGCGGAGCGAGGATCAATGTCGTGTCCTTGGGAATATGCGCGCCAGCAAGAGTCGTGTCACGAACCGCCTTGCGTATAGTCATAGGCACAGAGGGGTGGAAGCGGAGGACCTCATTGCACACTGCGTTCAGGTAGGGCAGGTTATCGACAGCAGCTGCAGAGATTGCAGTCGGGTCGTCGAGAGAGGGGAGATTGGTGCGGATTTCATCTCGCAGACGTGTCTGGACGCTGGGGTTCTTGCAGAGTGCGTAAACGGCCCATTGTAGTGCCGTGGCGGTTGTCTCGTGGCCTGCGCCTAGGAAGGTCATGGATTGGTCGACGAGGTTCTCTTCGTCGAAGGTGCCGCTGCTTAGTGCAACGGAGATAATGTCAATGCCGGTTTCGGCTTTGGGGTCTTCCATTTTTGCCTTCTTCTGTCGGATCATTTGTCGTGCGACATTGCGAATGACCTCGCCGCTCTCCTTGATATCTTTGTTGCGTTTCGTCGGTAATGCGTGGACCCATGCTGGATTACCGAATAGCATACCTATAACAAAAAGAATCTTCATAATGAGGGGTGGTGAGGACATGATTTTGCGGTAGGATTGATTGAGGGTGTTGTCGGGGTCTCGGAGAGAGTCAAAATCGTGGTCCATACCGGCGACGCCGATAATGTCCAGGGTTGCTCGACTGGCCCAGTTACTGATTTGGACTGTGTTATCGTTATTTCCGTTGGCCTTTCTGCTCTGTAGGTCTTCCTCGATCATCTTGACCATTTCTGCGCTTTTTCCCCAAAAGACTGGATAGAGGTTCTTGATGTGGCGGTAGGCAAAGGCTGGCATGAGATTCTTGCGTTGAATCTAGGGGAGGAATTGTAAGTTTTGATCCATGGAAAGTGGCATTTGAAGGGCCAAATCTACCTTGTGCTCTTCACCTTCGGCAAGTAGGACTCCATCACCTGTAATGCGCCGCAAACTCTGCCGAACCAATTCGGGTTTCTGAAAGTCGTAAACTTTTGTGACAAGCAGCTCACCCAATGCCTTCGGACTTGTCAAAATCACTCTTTCGAGGTTTCCGACAATATAGTACCGAAGTAGGTCTTGATTGGGTCTCTCCTTGACCCGCTCCCGTAGCTGTGGATAGGGGGTCTCAAGCAAGAAATTCGGAGAATTGCCGGTGAGCCAGCTTCGATCCTAGATAGCATTAGACACATTGCTCAAATAGATATGGAGAATGGCTTGCTTACTGCCGGCGAGTCAATGTGTTTCAATGGAGTGAAGTAGTTGGGATACAACACTAGCTGATATATCGTCCTCGACACAGCGATGATCCCGAAAAGAACAACAGCCGTCACAATTCTGGAATTGAAAATAGCATACTCCGGCTTGAAGTATATCCCGGCGGCGAGGCCGAGATAGAGAATGGTGAAGTTATCGCTGATGAGTCCCATTGCTAGATTTCCCGGAGGACCAGGGAAACAAAATTCGTAATGTGACAGCTCGGATTTCACATGGAGCGAGAAGACCAGAGAAATGGTTCCTGGGCATCAAAGGTTTTCTCGGGTTGGATTAATTCTCCAGTGCTGGTGACGCGTGGAACCAAATGGAGTAGACAAGACGACGAAGTGCTGATTCCAGTTGAATTTGGATTCTACAATCCATACAGTTGTAGAGATGGAAATGCAGAGGATATGACCTTTGCACAACGGAGATGGATGATATTCAGTTTTAGGATGGTTGCCTGGGAGTGACAAGTGGGGGAAATCATGGAACCTCAAAACGTCCAAGATCCACGCAATAACTAAGCCCGTTACAATGATGGTAAAAACAAGCACTTTCCAGATTGTTTTTGATCTTTTCCTCAACCTCGCAATGATTACCGGATTAAGCCTGGATCCGCATATCACATGAATCGAATTACACCTGCATAGGGGCTCCTGGCGTGATTATGTCAGCGACTTGGCCGATCTCAGACTCCAAGTTCTATCCAGAACGGAAGGGACCATCGTCTTTTCGGTATTATTGCTCAAAGATGGGGACGAGTGAGGGTAGATATAATGTTCACTTCTTTTGGGTTCGAGTATGCCGTGCAAATTTTGACCGCAATGTATCTATCGGATTGCTCATCACACTCCAGCCACATAGTTGAATAAGACCCATGGCCTAGGTATTTTATGAACAATTCGATATCGACTGTGAAAGTGATCTCCGATTTGAATGGGGTGATAGCCTCCTGGTCGATAGTCCTGAAGTCTCTCGACTCTTTCAAAATGCTCGTACAGGATATGAGTGTTGAAATTATCATCAGTCTCTATCAAGTTGAATGCGGTGGAGGTAAATGCATAGCGGGGTTGCTTGCGACAAAGCAGTGGTATATGCGTATGAAAAAGGATAGGAGAATCAACTGGGGGCATGGAGCGTGTGGGCGCAACAATCGAATAGACAATGGCAGCAATTTACTCATCGCTGTATCAGGCGGGAAATTTGACCCAACAAGTAGTTTAAGAAGACGGAATCTCTTGTACTTGAGTCATGTCGTCACGCAACATCAATGCTCACGAAGGCTGGAGTGAAGTATGAGACGCCGCGCACGGGCTTGTCTTCGATATGTGGGGTGGAGTCGACTCAGTCGAGCATGCTCGTGTCAAGTCTTTTCGAGAGAATTCATATAAACGATGGACTGAAGGAAGCTGAAAGATAAAATAGAAGAAATTGGTAGTTTAATATACGGGGTTGTATGATCTCTTAACGAGACTAAACAATGTCAGGCCGAAGTTACGACATTATTGGATAAGGCGAAGGCAAGAGCTAAGGACATTATTTGGGAGATCAATGAGACTCACCTTTCCAAGAGTTTAAGCCTGGCCAGTCTCATCAAAAATGGCACCTTTGTAGTTGTCGATGTGCAATGGAGCTGGGCATTAGTGCTTATCGCTGGGGTCCGTCTTGGCGTTGAAAAGCCGAGGTCCGATTGGAGCAGATGACTAACGAGAAATGACACCTCAGGTATCAAACCATTCAATGTTTGTTTACTCCGTGAGTACTCCGTACATATAGTCCTCTTTCGAGTCCCGAGGTCAGAAAATATAAATAACTACGATGGCGCCGGCCACGTTGAAAATTGTATCAGACCATGTAGCGGAGTCAAGCGCTTAGGTACATGGACCCTCCCCTGGCGCGTGCGGATGGCCAGTGAGGAGTAGGGATGGAGATTACAGACCCATTTTCCCTTGATGACTGTCGCACATTGTGTTCCGAGAATAGTGACAGCAATAGGGAGATGCCAATAAGTACATATTGATCAAGGTAGCCTAGGAGATTCCTAAATTAGAAAGACAAAGAACAAAGGAAGGCCCTTTGATTTCAGCCCTAAAAACCCGCTCGATGTAACTTCCCGCAGTCCCCACACTTGCCCTCCGATGTTTCAGTCTTCCCCTTTCTCAACTTCCATGTCAATCATTTTTCAGGCGTAGGGACCTGGCCACACTCATTCAATCCTATTTCCAAGTCCGGAGTACTTGCGCATTCTTTCTCCACCCCTTTCTTGGCAAATCGTCTCTGAAACTCTGTCTATCGCTTTGAATACGCCAATGCGCATCTGAGATACCAGCGCTGCATTGTGATCATCTACACGTGGCTTGCAGCCTTCGATACGTGACATTGTGCTCCACATCCCTCCTTGCCTTACGCAGGTATGCGCCACTCGCGCGGTTAAGACATCATCATTCCCCTCGTTGCGCCTGAGCTTTGTCTCTCTATTCTTTGCACCTATTTCAAACCTCCAAACACGACTTTGCCCGGCTGGCCCGAGGAAGTCAACCTTTGATCACCCGCGATCCCGTCATTCTTTTCAATCCTCCGTGATCACTTCCTGGCTGGACCAGGTCAATCGATACAATGCTGTGCTGTGGGGACCGCGAGAAGGGCGATGTAGCGATGGAGGAGAAGTGGGACTACGTGGTAGGTCTACATAATGACAGTGTGGTATAGATGGCTCGATATACTGATAATTAATTCCTTAGAACTTGGACGACTTTAAATCCGAGTCTTGCTGGACAGGTTTCTCATATTTCTTCATATGGGTGTTCCTGTTTATCTCCATTGCAGTATACGGTGTCGATACATTCACTGCAATCAACTTGCTGGCTTTCTCTCGGTGGTCCGGTAGAGTTGAACCCGCAATTCCCTTCAATATTTCCCGCTGGATTTTCGCCGCCTGTATCATTGCTTCATTCGTTCTTTTGGCCTATCGATGGATACATGCCGTCCGCGCCATCCGCTCGGGTAGTATCACTCGCAGCTTTCTGGATCCGCTGGCTGTGCGCATTCAGAGTATTCGCTTCGGGAAACGGGGTCGTGGATACCGGAGATTCCTCGTCTTCGCTGAATTAACGAAAGACAGAAAAGCAGCAGAATATGTTGCTCTTTATGCATACTTCTCTTTCCAATGTAGGTATACTACTGTTGCTCAACCGATATTGGAAAATAGCTAACAGCTCTTAGTCTGGATGAACACGATTTTCGCAGACGGTCCACGTCAAGTTCTCAATGGCATTACTCTCTATTCGGTCATGCAGATGGACCTCCTTCCTGGGGGTAAGAATGCAGCTCACGATGATGGAAGCTCTGGAGCCAGTCAATTCTTCAACAATGTCAAGATTCTAGCCGAGGAGAATAACCTTCAAGCTGTGGTCCTGTTTGGTATGCTTTTCACTTTGGTCATTTGGGTCCTATCGGTTCTCAAGTTGATATCGGCGATTGTACTCTATTTGATTTTCCTCTTCCACCATATCCCAGCGGAAGACGGTACTCTTTCGAGGTACTGCCGACGGAAGGTTGGTCAACGGCTGAAGCGCATCGTGCACCGCAAAAACACCAAGGCTCTGGCAAAAGGTCTCAAATTACAGAACCGAGCGCCCACTCAGCCAATGCTGGCATCTGATTCAAACCCGACTCTGCCCTCTCTCGCTGGAGATAAAACCCCCGCAGTGGCTGTATTATCGCGAAGTACCACCCAGACCACTTTGCCGCCATATTCGCGATCGACTTCCTCGACGGCGCCGAGATCCAACCCGACACTGCCAAATCTGGACTTCGATGCCAAACCAACGCTGGCTCGAACCGGAACTTCATCTTCAGTATTGTCCGAGTCCGCTTCACTGACAGGCAATGCGGCCGGAATGGGATACACTTCCCTTGATCGTCAAAACCCTACGCTTCCCCCGGTTCCTCCTTTGCCGGCTAACGTACCATCAAGGATGGCCACTCCTCAATCTCGAACAGCTCCCGCGCCATATGGCAATGGTGATCATCATACCCCCGGCTCTGGATATCGCAACTTGACCGATAGCTCTGATTCTCGGCCATATCAGGGCCACACCCCAGCGCCTGATTATGCTTCGGCTGACATGGAAGCCTCCGATGATCACGATTATTTCAACCGCGGCCATGCGCCTGCTCAATACGACCCTTACGGCCCTCCGAGGGCTGCATACGGCGAAGAAGATGGATACGGACCAAGATACGGGGCTCCCAGTCGCCAGAGAGGCCCGGCTCATGCGCAGCAAGATTACTACCCACAAGATCCATATTCAAGAGATCCATATTCGACAGATCCTTATTCAACAGACCCATATTCAACAAGGTCCTACACGCCAGCCAGCACTGGTGGGACACCTGCTCCCTACCGGTCCAACACCCCGGCAAGCTACCGACCTACGCCTCCCCCACAAGCGGCCGCAATGGCACAGCCTCCACCAAGGACCTTCACTCCAATGAGTTCTACCACCCCTCAAAATGGTGGCTATGCAGCTTTCAACCCATCAATGGCCCATCAAACACCTCAGCCTCTTCCTGGTCCGTCCAGCTATGCTCGAGCAAACACTGCTTCTCCCTCTGCTATGCATCGCGCTCCACCAGGGCACTCATTCAATCGCTCAAATACCCACCAATATTGATAAGGCTCACATCCATACGCTTCATTTGAAGGGCATGACACCTTATTATGATGAAAATCAGGAGCTGGCTCTCCTGTGCTTGATGACCAGGACCACTCGCTTATACTGATCACGAACAGCGAGCCTCTCGAGATCTTGTACATACCCCCTATTTGCCTTACTCCGATATCCTTCCTCGAATCTTTATTCCCCATGATACGAATTGATCACTCTTTATTCCCCCTTTACCGTGAATGTATACACCATAAGTAGCTTGAAAGTAATATTGATATTCCTTCTTACTGCGTGTATCATTGACCCGTAATAAGGTAAACGAAAAATAAACCGAATATTATACACCTATACTCTACTAGACACTACAGGTGGCAATAAGTTACACTCAACACCATCTCACCAACCACAAAACATACCAATCACCAAATCTTCTTGGCAATCATCTCATATCGCTGTACATGGTCAACATTAAACTCCCCATCCTTACTCTTATCCTTCTCCTCCTTCTCCTTCACCCGCCGCAGCCCATCCGGATCATCAGCATAGATCAATTTCCTCTTTTCATCTCCAAGTTCAACAACACCCCACCCACCAACACGCTGACTACCCTCAACATGGAAATCCCGAGAGCGAGGTGCCCCACTCTCAGAACCAGATTGTTTGCGCTCACTCTCCCGAGCCTTTATTTTCCTGTAACGCGAACGCGCAAATGCAAGCAGGACCATCCCCAGTAAGAGTTTCAGAATGAGCAGGACGATGAACCCCGTCAAAAGCAGGATACCGGTGAAGATATGGACGGACTGTGCTGGAGACGGGATGGCGTTTTCAAGGACGGTGCGGAAGAATGCGCTGACGTGGGCTGCGGAGGCTGGGAGGAGAGTTGCGAGTGTTAAGGGTGGTGCTGAGGGAATTGGGGAGGGAGCATAGTTATTGTGGATTGAGGTTAAGGAGGTTGCTCCATTTGCTGTGGAAGATGGGTTTTGGGGGATGAGGGCTGCTAGGAACATTTGGTATGTTTGGACGGAGACTCGGAAGAAGAGACAGGAGAGCGGGATGACAGGTAGACCGATGCGACGGGTTAGATTTTGTTCGCCGAAGGCGTTGGTGTAGTAATCCTTTGCTAGGACGTCGAGGAAGCGGCCGTAGATTGCTGGGCGGTTGTTGTTGAATTTGTTGATGTAGGCGTGTTTGAGCCAATCTACTAGCATCTCAGAGCCTAGCACGACTAGGAATGGGCCTAGGACTTGGGCCAATGTTGGGATAAAGGAGTTGACGCTGTTGAAGGATGACAGGATTGAGGATGGGAAGAGGGTGAATGCTTGAGGGAGGATGGATGATGCAGTGCGTGGAGGCGTGGATAGTGGGGTGCTGTTGGTGATTGTGGAGGATTGGCCCGGGAAGCTAGATCCCAACCCGAGGTTGCCGATGAAGTTGAATGCGCCCGTCTCAACGATGTTACGAGAAGCGATGATAGTAAGCATCAGCCATAGCTGGAACCGTTCCACGACGTCCGCGCAGGTGAGCTGGAAGAGGTTTTCTTTCTCGAATTTGCGAAAGACGGTAGACTTGATCTCCACAAATTGGTTGGATAGAAGTAGCGTTATCAGTGCGTTGGAGTATGAGTTCACTGCCACATTCAGAGTCATCACCTGGTAAAACAGAGACAAAGCATGGGATACTGTGTAGACCAATGCCACCAAGAACAACCAGAATGGACGAATAATCTTGCTTCGGCCGTCCGGACGACGCTCGAGGGCCTCCCGTGAAAACAGACATTCGAGGACATCTTGACCTATAGCAGCCAAGAGTCTGTCGCTTACCTCCAGCACATTGTAGATGACGTACAGCTTGATAGCAGCCTGTCCTCGAATCCAGTGGTACATTCGACTGGCATCGAAGTACATCAAAACACAGCATGTGGCTATCATCAGCAGACCGGTCAGGATGTCCGCCTTGTCGTCTGGAAGTAGGGCCGAGGGCATCGACTTCTTCCGCCGATGGTGGTGTTTGCGAGATTCGGAGGATCGGTGTTTCCGGGTAGGTCCCATGGCTGGCCCGGCAGAGGAGCCCCGAGGAAGGTGAGGAGTGGCGTCAGATTCGCTTTCGCGTCTTCCACGCTGCTCCTCCTTCACATTATGATTCCTCCTGCGCCATACTCGGCCGATTCCATTCACCACAAATTTCCAAATGAATCGGATCTCGGCTCCTAGGTTCATTACCCATGACTCGCCCAAGATATACACAGCCTTGATAAACCGCAATGGCATGATCGTGAAAGAATAAAGCCAGGCATCAAGGCAAGCAAGACTCCCGAAGCAAAGTACCTGCTCGAGCATAGGTGCAAGCATAATGAAGTTCATGAGCCTCTCAATCTTCACTCGTGATGATTCATAAGGGAAGTCGTTGGCTGCGTCACGGTGAATGTACAGTGGTGAAGGTCTGCCAGAAGCAAGCTCAAGCTGAAGATATGTTGGCAGAGAAACTGGCGGCAAGGGGATAGATGATGGCAAGGGCGAGGACTTGGGCGATTCTATAATCTGAGGTGATGCAATGAGGTGGCCCTTTAACTCGCGGTCCAGCGCGGGTCGGTCCTGTCTCGAGCGCGATGCCCATGTCTGGGTTAGACGGTCATGACCTGGAGTAACGGGCAATTGACGCCGCATGGACCCAGGGGTGGAAACAGTTCGAGCTGGCTGCGGCCGGTGGCGGAGGGAAGAATTTTGAGTATTCCGCGGTGGACTCGTGTGCGTAGAAGCATCTCCCGCCAACGCCTCTTTAGTGGGCCGCAACTTTGGCAAAACGTCTGCGGGTGATGGCTTTTCGCTTGGTGGCTGAAACACAAGCTCCGGCATCCCCGGCTGTGCGGGAAGGTTGTTCAGGTGCACATTGTCCGAGACTACTCGCCTTCCACTGTTCGATTCTGATTCCACAGGGCGGTAAGGTATTGAGTCTGGGGAGGACGTGAGGGCCTGGATCTTCTCAGGAGACAGCTTCATGACCTTCTCTTTGTCTGCTGGTAGTTGGTGAGACAGATCAGTAGACAAATCAGCCAAAGCAGCCATGGCCTTGGGGCCATCGTATACATCCACTACCGACAACTGGCCAGGATTAGGTCCGTTGTTTGGTGAATGCTCAACTAGGATCCCAAGTCCCTGCTCGTGTTCCATGCTGGCCAATTTATATCGCCCTCCGGCAGGCTGCCGTACCGTAGTCGTATCGTGCTTCCGTTGCCCATTCGTGTTGTCGTCTCCATTGGTTGAGCATTGGTCGGTCTCGCCGTTGGACTGTGAGCCATGAGAATTTACTCGACTGTGTTTCCGCTCAGCAGAATGAGAAGGGCATTGCTTTTCAACCTTTAAGCTCCCATTGCTCCCGTTTGCGGTACCATGTTCGGTCGTCTTCCGCTGTGACAGAGCTTCACTGGTATCTACAGCAGGGCTCATTCTGACGACCATGCACCACGCGATAATACAATATGTTCCTTGAAGATATCCACAATCTTAGAGTATCACCACTCATACCATCAGAAAGCACAGATATCCAGCATGCATCATTTGAATTTGGCTCACGACGGGTGACCAACTATGTCCGAAGGTGAAGAGGCGTAAAGAAAAAGATAGGAAGGCAACAGCGGCAGAGATTGTATTAGCAATGGCAGTAATCCAGCTGGTACATGCTGAAAACTAATTTCCAGTATGTGTTATTCAGAGCACTTGTTGATGTAGGTGTCTGGGGAAGATAAGGATGGCAGATTATCTGGCCGGTCGGTGAGTCGGAGGTTAGCGTCATTGAACGCCTGAGGCAGTACGGCTTTATCACGTGCCTCCCAAATTGGAACTAGTCAGGCTGGGATATGGCCCCTCTATGTTGTAGGCCCTAAACAAGAATCGACAATTTTATTCTTGTCTAGTGGTATTTCGCTGTTTGATTTCTCAAAAAATTACATCACCACTAGTTGGACGGAGAACTACGAATTCGACTACATCATCACAGAAAAATGTCTCTATCTTCACTGCCCGTGGAGCTCTTACTCTGTATATCGTCAAATCTACAATATGCATCAGAATTAAACGCCATGTCACAGACTTGTCGCCTGTTATATACCATACTCAATCCTCAGCTTTACTCGAGATTTGCGAATAGTTGCGATCCCAATATTCTGCGCCTTGTTAAGACCGGCAATTCAGATGCCCTACGCATGCTGCTGTCTGCTGGTTACAAACTTTTCGATTTCATGGACACACCACAACTTTGGTGGAGAGAAGGTGACACCTTCGTGGACAACAAAACATGCTCGAGTCCTATGATAATCGCAGCAACACAGGGTCATCTGGGGATTCTTCAGATGTTAATTGACAATCTGCCTTCAATCATCACAAAGTCTGCTTTTCGATCCTGGCATCTTCTATGCCGTGCAGCCATGTGCGGTCATTTGGATATAGTGAAGTTCCTAATAGCTCAAGGTGTCCCAGTGAACTATATTGACAAGGTGGGGACCACTCTGATGCAATCGGCAACTAGGGGAGGACATTTGCCGGTGTTTCAATACATAATCGAAGAGACTACGTGCAAAGATCAATTACATGCTGTGGCAGCTGATCTGCTTTATCGTGCTACAAATGCAGGTCATTTGGAGATTGTTAAATACCTGGTAAAATGCGGTGCTGACTTTACCTATCCAAGCTGCAAACATAGCCCTACCTCGGCTTTTGACTCTGCCATTACATGGGGCTATGAAGACATAATATCATTCTTCCTCGACAATGTCCCTCCCAAACTTCTGGATAATATGATCATCAGCGGCTGGAATTCAATGTTGCGACCTTGTTACCGCGATAACCCCAACCCCTTTCGGCGATCTCCATGGGAAAAACCACGCCTTGCTCAGGCAATATTGGACCGAGTCGATCTGGAAACAAAACTCGCGGCTATTACTCCACTTGAGCAAGCCTATTTACTTGCTGTAGCAGCAGAGACAGGAAACATGCCTCTTACTCAACGACTCCTTGATAGCAGTCGTGGGCCTGTCTTACCCCGGATTAGTTACACACCTGTGTGCTGTTCAGTCAATAACGGGCATGCCGAAATCACAGAAGCTTTCCTTCGTTTCCCGAATTATCCTGTCTCCCAAATTGATGTTTTCACCGCGGCGAAAAAGGGGGAAACAGCCGTTGTGCTCAGGCTTCTCCACAAAGTTGAAAACAAGGATTTCAAGAGATTTGCCGCAGTTGCATTGAATACAGCTTGCCACTCAGACCAATTCATAGCCGTGATGGAAAACACTCTTGGTGCTCTCAGCAAGTATGACGTGGAGACTTTGATATCGTTGGCGACAAGTTCGGCTGATCTCCAAGCTTCTCGTGCAGGCCGCTTGGAGGTTACGAAATTTTTACTTGAAAAGGGAGGCATACAACCTTTTGACGAGATAAACAAACAACTTGATTATCTGGGTCGACATTCTGCTAAGCCGATTTCGTTCCTAGAGCATGCAGCGGCCGTTTGCCCAGTGGATCAATTTCGAGCAGCACTTGCGCAATGGAATTTTGAGCTTGACCCATACAACGATTACTGCAAAGCTGCACTTGCTGCTTCTGCTCTTCACAAGAATGCAGAAACACTTCAGGTATTTATTGAGAGAGGATTCGATGTTAATTCGACACATCTACACGGTCAGACCATCTCGCCGTTGCTACATCTAGTCGTGGAAACATTGGATGAGAATGGCCGGGTCGTTGACAGGAACGATGAACGCGCGCAAGTACAAATTGATCGAATCGACGGGCATACGTGGCTGGGTCACATAAATCCACACTCATCAATACAATTGCTCATCGAGCATGGTGCTAGAATCAACCAAGCGGACTCGGATGGCCGAACTGCTCTGTTCTTAGCCACAGAAAGAATGACACTAGCTTTAGCAGAGGAGCTGCTGAGACTAGGAGCCAATCCTCTAATCAAGGGGTTAGGAAGGGGCAGCGCTCTCCAGCTGGCCATTTCCCAGGCCCAGATAAAATATGTGAAAGCCTTCTTGAAGGCCATGCAGGCTCGCTCTTTCACCTGTGATAACTTTCTCGCCCTCGTCCCTGAGACTCTGCCAATTGGGATGCTGCCAAATAGGGCTTCTGGCGAGCGATTTTCTGTCCCTGCAGGACATCCATTGTCGCAACATCGAATGCTTGCTCGAGATGGACACATGGGACCTACCAAAACATTTCCATCACCTTGGGGAGATGGGGATAGGCGAGGAAGTACAAGTTCAGAGTACCCCCCCAAGCACAGATGAAGAGACCTACGGAGAGGAGTTTGAAGATTCGCAAGATAATTTCATATCAATCTGGTCTGCATTCAAGGACGATGACTGCATTAGTGATCTACGGTGGGTGCGGTTCTTCATTGCAAAGGCTATGACTCAACATCACTGGCGAATGATATACCCAGTGTCAGATTAGATTGAAATCGAACGGCTAGAGAAGATTCACTTCATGATGAATGAGATATCAATTGACAAGTCACTGGTTTATAATAAGTGCTAAATCGTTCAGGTCCCCACTCAGACTCTTGTTCGCTGGGATCTAACAGCACAGGATGTGCACTCTGTGACACTTGGTTATACATTGTTAACAATCTGATAATACTCAATGATGCTCGAAATAGGATTTACCCGCACTCCGGCCATGCTTGCTGAGCAGGTATGTTGTACTGCCGAATGCCATAAGGCTAGACAGCCCAGAGGATTCGCACTAGGCTGGTCCAGGACTTATCGTGATATCGCAAGGATAAAACGAATCGAATGGCCCCAAAGGGAGTTACCAGAAACTGGAAGCCTAGCCGCTAGGCCCTCTTAGTTCTTGACAGGGGCCCATTTCACGACACTGTACTCCGTACTCCGTAAATAATGGTCAGTAATCCCGAGGTCCCGATTTCAAAGCAATTGTGAAATAGTATATGAGAATTATAAATCGCTTATAGAGCTATTTCGCAAACATCTCCCTGATCTGGCTATTTAAAGGCCGCTGTGAACATGAAGCTATATCATCATTTTCTCATTATCCAATTGATCAAGTGTACTGATCCGATCGCAACCCTCCTAGACACGACTCCCACTCGAATCGTTTTATTATCTATCCTCCCACCATGACAATTTCCGACAACACTGTAGTTCTCATTACCGGCACTAGTCGAGGCAAGACCTACCTAGAGCCTTACTTGGATCGAGCTGACAGAAGATAGGAATCGGACGGACGTTGGTGGAATCATTCCTGCTCCGCCCTAAGCATACCGTTATTGCCAGTGTCCGCGACACAACCGCAGACTACGTCAAGGAACTAGAGGCTTTGCCCAAGTCCGATGGTTCGCGTATACAGCTAGTAAAGATTGAAAGTAGCAACTCGGCCGACCCAGCGGCAGCCATCAAGGACCTCAAGGACGTCGACCATATCGATGTGGTGGTGGCCAATGCCGGCGGAGCCGGCGAGAAAGGCCTTATTTCATTGGATTTGGTGAGCCCCGAGAGCGCGGCTGATGTATTTACCGTGAATACGCTCGGGCCCCTGGCCCTGTACCAGGCCGTCAAGCCTTTACTGGAGAAGGCCCAGGCCCCAAAGTGGGTTTCGGTCAGCAGTGCAGCCGGTTCAATTGGTCGACTTGAGGTTCACGGGGCTCACATCGTTCCGGCGTACGGAATCGCCAAGGCAGGCTTAAACTGGCTCACTACGTAAGATGCTGGCAGCTCCGGCCTATCCTAACTGGGAAAAGCAAGCAGCTAACTCCGGCGGACGCACAGTGCTATCCACAGCGCCAACAAAGGCTTCATCGCCTTTGCCGTGCATCCTGGGTAAGTGACTGGAGACACTAAATGGAGAGGAGATTTTGAACCGCAGCTGATTATCTGACAGTCTCGTGCAAACGGAGCCCGGCAACAAGGCTGCCCGAGGAATGGGCCTTTCGCAGGCCCCTATCTCCCAGCGTCAAAGTGTTGATGCCATGTTGAACCTCGTATGTGATGCCCTTTCATATCTTGAGGGATGAAAGTTGAAAACTGACTCGTGCAGATTGATAATTCGACCCGGGAGACGACCTCGGGCAAGTTTTGGTACGTGATTGATGGTACGGAGGTCCCGTGGTAGAGGCACGCGACAGTTTCGCTCCCATATGAAATGTAGTAGGAAGCCATTTATAAGATGCAGGATTGATAGGACATGTAGTTGTGTGTCCCGCAGTGTCGATCACTCATCTGTACTCCGTACGGAGCTCAATGTCAAACATTAGTGCTCTTTATAAATGATATAAGCTTTTTGTCTCACCACTGCCCTTCTATAGATACCTTTTGAGCCCTCCATTACAATCTTTTCAATATGGCAAGGTATTCTCTCAAATCCGAGCCTACGTATATTTGCTGCTCGGGCGATTAATTCCATACTTTCGCCTAACTAGAACCCCACCGGTTTTATCATATTGATATTAGGCGAGTTCCTAGGCCAAAGCACGCCTGCTTGGCCTGAGAAATCATTTGATTTGTATAGGATTCAATCAGCATCTATACCCCCGGAACCGGGGCCTTGGAATCAATACCCAAAGCTATCAAGACCTGGGACTCGGAAAAATCAAGAAATTTTGCGTCAGCAGCATGTCCAGGGTTGGATTGAAAGTACGGAGTACTGCGTATGCCCTTCGATATTGAGGGAGTTGCTGTATTGTACTAGTGAAATGGTAGTCGTCAAAGGAGTGAAAAAAGGGGTTGTATCAAGAGAAGAAGATTATAAGCGAGGGGTTAATATAGCAAAAGTACTGTGCACCAGCAGTCCCAACTATCCGTATGTAGTGTTCTATTCTAAAATAAAAACAAATTCACTGTTAAATCTTCCGGCCTCTGTGATATGCTCACATTATGAGAATGTCTCGACATCTGAGGACGTTATTTGTTGGTGTCTGGGGCACTACAAGCTGTTCGCCCTATAGTATTTCATAGTGAAAGAGCTTCTCTTCTTCTCCTTCACATCCCTGTCTTTCTTAGCTGATAGCATGATGCCTCGCTTGTTACTATATTTCCCCTGCATTGTGTACTTTCGGGTTGTAAGCTTTCTCTAGCCGTTGACAGAGACCTATAGTTCCGTCCGTACACATTGTTGAGATATAACTCTCGAATAAGTAGTTCTTTGCCAGGAGAAGCTCGGGTTCTCGGGTGCACACGTTAAATTAAAGACTGTCACCTGGGGTGTCATATGTTCGGCACCGTCTTACGGTGCGGACCAGAAACAGGGCCTTTGATAAATCAACTAGACATGCAGTCATAACATTCCAGATTCGTGTATCAATCATGCCTATCATGTAAGTATCCCATAACTATAATGCATATACGCTATCATCAGATATACGTCAAGTGACAAGCCAAAACTTTATGTGCCTCAATCCCAAAGCCACTAAATCTACCAGTAGCCAGGGAAAAGCCAATCAAGCTTCTCCTTAGCCTCGGGCTTCCAGTTAGCCTGAGGGGTGCTAACACCGAACTTGATGCTGCCAGCCAGGTGCTTAGCCTGGACCAGCTCGGTGTGCTTGTCGCTAGCCAGAGCATCGAGAACAGCTGTCACGAAACGGCGAGCGTTCTCGGCGTTGGACTTCATGTTGCCCATGACCATCTCGACGGTCACGTCGGCGGTGGCCTCATGCCAGCAGTCGTAGTCTGTAGACATGCAGATCATCTGGTAAGCGATCTCAGCCTCGCGGGCCAGCTTGGCCTCAGGGAGGGCAGACATGTTGATAACGCTGCCGCCCCAAGAGCGGTACATCTTGCTCTCGGCACGAGTGGAGAACTGGGGGCCCTCTGGGTAGTGTAAAAGACACGGTTAGCGATATTTCACAATGAATACAGGCCACGGCTTCACATACCCATGCAGATCAAGGTACCACGGTCGTGCAGGACGACACCATCACCCTCGAGACTGTGTCCGCACTCACGCACCACCTTAGCGATACCCTCATCGAAGGGGTCACCGAAGGGGACGTGAGCGACGATGCCGCCCTCGAAGAAAGTCCACGGGCGTACGCCCTTGGTGCGGTCAATGACCTGGTCGGGGATGACAAAGTCACGGGGCTTGATATCCTCCTGAAGACTGCCGACGGCAGAGAAAGCGATCACGCTGCGGACACCGATGGAGCGCAGGGCGGCGATGTTGGCGCGAGCGGGAACCTCATGAGGAGCGATCTGGTGGTGCAAGCCGTGGCGGCTCAAGAAGGCGACAGCGACAACCTTGTTGTTGTGCTTACACTCGTGGTGCAGAATAGTGATGGGCGAAGAAGGGGCGCCCCAAGGAGTTGTGATATTCAGCAAAGCCACCTGGGTGAAGCCGGGCAACTCGCGCAGGCCGGTGCCACCGATGACAGCGATTGGGACGGGCCCTGTCGGATTCACTATTGTCAGCTTTTTATCGAAGTGGGGGTGAGGGGTACCTAGATGATGCGAAGGCAGAAGTATACGTACCGTCGTATGTGGTAGGAAGGGAAGCCATTCTGCGAGCGAGTTGTTTTGGGGACTCAATTCGACGAAACTGTTTCGATATAGAAGAGAATGAACGTAAGCCTAAGATCCAGCGCATCTTGCGCCATCTTCAAATCTCTGAGGCTGCGGCCAGCCTACGCTTCTCCGATTGGCTGCCCACTGACCCACGTGCTGCGGGTTCCTGAGGCCGCCACCTGCCTTTTTGGGCGATCTATAAAACTTTAAATTACCCAGCACATACACTGTCTACTGTCATTGCAGACCTATTGTCAGAACGATGTCACTCTTTGAGTTGAACACATGTACAATTTTTGATACTAAATACAATTTGAGGTGGTGCATGATACAGAATCCGAAGTAAAACAATCGAGCCAATTCAAGCCGGTAGCCACTCATAATGATGGGGGCCCTTGTGAACTGGTCCTGGATCCTCACCTGGAAGACCAGGCTTGTTGTAGTTATGTGCACCGAAGTAGTCCATCTGCGCCTCCATGAACTTGGTCGGTAGTCCCAATCCACCCTCATACTTCAGATATTCCAGAGTAGCTGAGAGAGCCGGAATATACTGATCAAACTTGGTCCCCTCCATGACAACCTGCTTAAGACTGTGGAAGTTCCGGCGTAACTCATGCGCGACTGCATCCACAAACTTGGTGTTCGTCAGCTCGTTCTTAACTGCAAGCGGCGGCTGCAGCAAATCCGCAATGTGATCGGACTTGATGATACATCCCGCTCGCCAGATCTGCAGACAGTCTCCCAGGTTTATGTTCCAGCCTTCGTCTATCGAGGCCCGGGAGATCAGCTCCAGGCCCTGGCAGAAAGATGCCAGGAAGGAACAATACACAGCTTGTCGTAGGTTCTCAATGATCTCTTTGTGGTCCCTGGTCCCCTCGATGGGTTTGGGGATGGGCATCTCTAGCTTCTTCGCAGCACGTGCTCGCTCTATGCGATTTCCACTTGAGATTCGCATATAATGGGCAGCCGCTAACGTTGGACAAGATACATGCCGGGCGGCAGACTCCATAAGGCACCAGAGTGGCGTGCCTTCGGTATTGTCGTCGTCTTGAACCACCTTGTCAAGTACATCATCGAGCACATATCCATCATCCCGGCTGGCTCCTTCGCCTTTACGGTCGCCTTTAGGTGTTCTTCTTGTGTGTAAAATGTTGGCGCCGATGTTAATCAGGAAGTTGCCTCGAAGCTCGCCAGACTCGTTCCATTTTTGGAAGACATCTCCAATTTTGCCATGCTCCATTCCCAATCCCTCATGCATATATTGCCACGTTTCAGCAAGAACGGAAAGCATTCCACCTTCAATGCCATTATGAACCATCTTGATGTAGTGACCTGATCCACCGGGGCCCATGCGCTTCACGCACGGAGTTCCCGATTTGGGATCTTGGGCCGCGTACGACTCCAAGAATGGCATAACACGCTCGATGGCTCTGGCATCTCCACCAGGCGAGAGACTAGGTCCCCGTCGCGCAGACTGATACCCACCCGAAACACCCATTCCGATCCAGTCAACGCCGATGGCAGCACATTCTTTCTGGCGTCGCTCGGTATTCCGGTAGTTCTCGTTTCCGCCGTCAAGGATAATATCGCCCTCTTTGAGATCGGGTTTAAGCATGCGAAGTACTTCGTCTGCAGGCTCACCGTGCGTGATGGAGAACATGAATAGCTTCCGGTCGGACTTGCCCTCCAGGCTCTTCGCGAATTGGTTGATGTCATAAAAGCCCTGAACCCGACCTGTGATGCTCTTATCTTCTCGTGCGTAGTTCACCACTTCATCGACATTTTTTCTTTCTATGTCCCAGACCGATACCAGAAGACCAAGTTCGGCGAAGCGGAGGGTCATCATAGAGCCCATGTTTCCGGCTCCAACGACACCGATGCTCTTGATGGGGGGTGGCATTTTGGATTGGGGTTTGCTCTCTAACACTAGTTCCTCCAGTGGTTGTGATTCGCAGTTCAAAATGCAAACTAAGCCGAAGATATTTGCACCAAGATCTATCCGACGACTTTCGCTCCTCTTGAGCGAGAGGCTTGTGGCAATCGGATCTATGATCCGGAGGATTGTCAATATGCAATCAGACACGCCACGAGCCGCTCAACGGGTCATGACGCCTCTTGATTAGATAGCATTGTACACAAGAGGCAAGTGAGGCAACCCCCATTATTGTACAGTCTACGGAAGATTCAAATTGTGGCCAGGTTCAACATGAGCTGATACTATGATGTATCGTGACGACACAGGCCCTGACCAAGACCACTTACATCACGATGGACACAGAATGAAGAAGGAATAGGCAATACAGGCACAATTGAGGCAAATATATACTTCATAGGACCGACCATGGCAACCTTCCAAAGAAGTCCTTCCTCCTTATGTCCAGTGAATGTGCCTTTTCGCCGATGTCAACAACCCCCAATAAGATCGCAAAACACAATAACCGCTTTTCTTAACTCTGGGTTTCTAAAAAGAGAAGAAACGAACAATGTCAATTCCATACTCAAGCCTCCAAAAGATCCCCCTCTCATACGCCTCCTGCTCAATCGGCTGCGGTCCAACCGACACACTCCCGCTCCGACTCCAAGCGATCAGCGAAGCGGGTTTCAGCGCAATTGAGCTCTCTTTCCCAGACATCCTAGACTACGGCGCGCAAATCACCGGTAGCGAAATCGCGCCAGACAACTATGCCGCAATCATGCCGGTAGCTATGGAGATTCGCAAACTATGCGAAGAACACAAGTTGAAAATCATGATGCTACAGCCATTCGCAAACTTCGAGGGCTGGGTCAAGGGCTCCGTTGATCGCGAGGAGGCATTTGCTAGGGCGATAGGGTGGATGGAGATTATGAATGTGGTGGGCACGGATTTGTTACAGGTATGACAACGATATATATACGTTGAGCCCTCGAAGTCAAGATCAACAAGCTAACAACTATCAAGGTCGGAGCAACAGACACGCCGGAACACATGATCAACAGCGAACGCGAAGCCATCATCTCTGACTTACGCCTTTTATCCGACCTCCTCGCAAAACGCAACTTTCGCCTCGCTTACGAGAACTGGTGTTGGTCGACCCACGCGCCTGGGTGGAAGGAAGTCTGGGAGATAGTGAAAGCTGTAGATCGCCCGAATTGCGGGTTGTGTTTGGATACATTCCAGACTGCAGGCAGTGAATGGGGCGATCCGACTACGGAGTCTGGCCTTATTGAGTCAGTCTCGCAGTCTGAGCTACGGAAGCGGTTTCAAGCGAGTATGGATGAGCTTGCGAAATCTGTGCCTAGTGAAAAGATCTATCTGCTTCAGATTTCTGATGCGTATAAGGTGTCGCCGCCGTTGGAGGATAAGGCTATTGGTGAGCTTAGGGCGAGGGGTCGCTGGAGTCATGATTATAGGCCTATGCCATATGACGGCGGGTATTTGCCTATTGAGGATGTTGCGAAAGCGGTTCTCAAAACGGGGTTCCGGGGTTGGTTTTCGATGGAGATTTTTGATAGTGGACCGCAGGGGACTGGGAAGAAGTATGAGATGGGGCCTTTTGCAGCGAGGGCTATGGATAGCATGCAGAAGCTTTTGAAGAGTTGTGCGACGGACTGAGAGGGAAATTGCCTACAAAAGGTTTATAATATTCGAATAAATTGTACTGGGTAAATTTGGCACATTGTCTATTAGACGGAAATAAATACACATTCTGAGGATTCCTCGGAAATTCGAAGACATAATTTTAAGAAAACGCCGGGGTGAGATGCAGGATTGACGCCAATGAGATCATAAAGCATGCGATGTCAGCTTGGAAGAAGCCATGGATACATGTCTGTTATCCATTAGTTGGCGTTGCTGGGGTATGCAACGGTGTATGTGGGAATGAACTCCTCCTTGATGGAGCGCAAGCTGACGAAACGGGACATCAGGTTGGCACTTCCGGCCTTGTCGTTGGTACCGCTAGCACGCGCACCACCGAAGGGCTGCTGGCCGACAACGGCACCGGTGCTCTTGCAGTTGATGTAGAAGTTGCCAGCGGCGTTGCGGAGAGCCTCATCGGCGACCTGGATAGCGGCACGGTCCTGAGCAAAGATAGAGCCGGTCAGAGCGTAGGTGCTGGTGCTATCGATCTTGTCACAAATCTTGGTGAAGTCGGCATCGGTGGCGTCGTTGTAGGAGTGAATGACCAGGATGGGGCCGAAAAGCTCGCGCGAGAGGAGAGGGTGGTCCGGGTTGGAGGTACGGTAGACAGTTGGCTGGATGTACCATCCCTTGGAAGAATCGTAGGTTCCACCGACGAGCAGCTCAAGCTCGGGGTCATTCTTGGCCTCATCGATGACACCGGAAAGCTTGTTGAACGAGGCCTCGTGGATGACGGGACCGCAGAAGTTGGTGAACTCAGATGGCTCGCCAATCTGAATCTTCTGCACCTCGGCAACAACCTGCTGGGTGAAGTCCTCGGCGATCGAGGAGGCAATGTAGGCACGGGAGGTGGCACTGCACTTCTGGCCTTGGAACTCGAAAGCACCGCGCACGGTCTGAACTGCGGCGTTGCGGACATCTGCGGACTTGTGTACCAAGTGGAAGTTCTTGCCACCGGTCTCACCCACAATGCGAGGGTAGCTACGGTATTTACCGTCCGCCACGCCCTGTGAGATCTTACCGTACAGCATACGGAAGACATCAGTGCTTCCGGTGAAGTGAAGAGCGGCAAAGTCGCGGCTTTCAAGGACGGTGCTGGTCACCTCCGCGGCATCACCAGGAACGAACTGAATGACGTCCTTAGGGAGACCGGCCTCAAGCAGGATCTGGTGCACGAGCCAGTTGGAGGCAATCGCGGAGGGCGAGGGCTTCCAGATCACGACGTTACCCATCAGAGCGGGTGCGCCAGCCAGGTTACCGCCAATTGCGGTGAAGTTGAAGGGACTGATAGCGTACACGAAACCCTCAAGAGGACGGTACTCAAGACGGTTCCACACACCAGGGGCGTTGTGGGCAGGCTGTTGTGCGTAAACCTCTTCGGCATACTTCACACCGAATCGGAAGAAGTCACAGAGCTCAGCGGCAGAATCAATCTCGGCTTGCCATGCGTTCTTGCCCTGTCCGTGCATGGTCAAGGCCATGATATCGTAGCGGTACTTGGTCGCAATAAGATCAGCGGCCTTGAGGAAAATGCTAGCACGCTCGGCGAAAGGAGTATCGGCCCAAGACTTGCGAGCGGCAAGAGCCGAATCAATGGCGGACTGAACATCGGCCTTGGATGCATTGGAATAAGTTGCCACAGGAGCATGGGTTGCAGGGTTAGATTGTGTGAAGGTTTCATATCCCTTGAGCTGTGTGATTGTTAGACATTGTTTCGTAGACATGAGAGTTCTTGTTAATTCTTACCTCCTTGCCCGCAACTACCAGAGGCACGTTCAAAGGGGCCTGTTGCTTGTAGTTTGCCAAAGCCTCTTCGAGGCCCTTGCGATCTGGGGAGCCAGGAATATAGTGTTTCTTCATGTTCAAAATTAGCCCTTTTGTTCAAACATACTCGATTCCAAAATGCTAAGCTCACGTTAGGTTCATTGTTAATCGTGGGCACCTTGAAAGTGGCATAAGTGCCCATGGAGCGTGTAGTGGAGCTCGGAATGCGGCATGCGAGGCGCGAGATGGGCGCGCGGATGCGCAGAATGGAGGACATTATGATGGTAGTTTGAGATGAAGACACTGATTCAACTCCAAGCTTGCAAAGAGAAGATAGAAGATTTGGAGAAGAAGTAGACGCGGGGAAGTTGAAAAGGGCCGGCTATTACCGGTCAGAAGCTCATAGCTACCCTGGTAAGGCGGGCGGGCCTGGGACTGGTCAGAAATGGCAGCCAATCACAGGCTGCCGGCAGGTATCCCGGGTGGATCCCACCGGGCCGGCGTCTATATCGGCTTTGTCAAAGAGAATTCACTTTGTTCACCGGGCCCTGGTCTTTCATAGATGTTCTTATTAGTCAAGAGATGATAAACAATTGACATTCCCCGCAAATCTAGATAAGCTTGATAGCGACGATTAAGTTGCGTTAGATTCGGAAAAATTGAAGATCAATGGATCGGCGCTAAATGTATATACTTCGAAAGTACAGCGATCATCCCTGGACCTTAGCGAAGACAAAAGTATCTGGGAATATCATCAGCCTTGGGGCTTAAATGATTGTTGGATAATAGATAATGTATAGAGTTCACGGGAAAACATAGTTAATTTCTTGATTGGTATATTCCAATATCTATCTCTAATATCTATATCTCCACAACCTGGTATCATATGCACGTAGAAGCGCCATCTAGAAAGGAGCATTTCAAAAGTAAAAGCAGACCAAAAAATGTCTATGCAATCCACCACCACACTCGCTCTAGCCAATTGCGTGGCTGCGGCTCGATCTCCTCTTCTTCAAGTCGGTCGATCTCGTCCTTGCCGCTGAAAATGTCAACCTCCGATACCTTGATCATCCACGGCGTCTTGTAATACAACTTGTGGCCGAAATACAGCACAAAGAAGATCACAAAGACAATGTAGGAAACAAGGAAATTCGAGGCAGTAAATGAGCCCGGGAAGAATATCGTGTAACCGTTAGTAATAGACAGTAGTGACACAAAAACGATAGCGTAGTAAGTGCCATACGGCTGGAAGGGAGTAATGAAGGGCCGCGACTCGAGTAGCCCGTGGAACTTTAAAGCGCCGCGGAAACGCTGAAGATATATTGTTAGCAAGATCATCCATGCAGCGAACACAAACAGTCCAACATACCAAGTATGCAACTCCCACGACGACCCAAGAGATGAAACCTCCAATTGTGGTAATGTTGGTAAACCAATAAAACACAGTTGCACCCGAGGAAGACAGGTTCAAAAACGAGAGCAGACCAATCGCCCAAGTGACGAGAACAGCATAGTACGGCACACCGTTTTTGTTGCAGCGAAGGAAAATCTTGGGAGCCTGTCCCTCACCCGCGAGCGAGTAAAGTGTGCGAGACCCAGCAAAAACCCAAGAGTTACCCGAAGAAAAAGCAGAGATAAGAATAGCAGCATTGATGACGTGGTTTAATCCGGAAATACCAGCATTTTGGATGCCGACAACGAAGGGCGAAGCTCCAGCACCTGATCCACCGCTGGCAACTCCTTGCAGCAGGTTTTTATCGTTGTATGCCACAGTGACGCCAATGACCAAGCTTCCCAAGATATAAAATGCAAACAGACGGTAAATAAACCGGTTCGCCGCCTTGGGAATGTTGCGGCGTGGCGAGGCAGCCTCACCGGCGGCGGTAGTGATCAGTTCCGGGGAGAAAATGAAGGAAAATCCGGACTTGATCATAGCGGTCCAGAATGCCAAAAAGCGGCCTGTGCTGATGCTCGGGACTAAGTAAGGCTCCACAAATGCGCCTGGCGTTTGCCAGTACCGGAAACCAAGACGGTCATGGTTAGGACCGCCGCCGAAGAAAAGTATGACACCCAGAATGATGAGACCGAGAATCGCAAGAATCTTGAGTGACGCGAACCAGAATTCGGCTTCGCCATACCAGGCGACCGCGACAATGTTTAGAAGGAGGATGACTATAGTGATTTTGTCAGAGGTTCCACAAATGCCGGGCTACTGGGGAACTATATACTCACCAACGAGAATGATTGCGATCCATACACCGACGTTGACTGGGGACTGCCAATACTCAATGACAAGAGCGGATGCAGTGACTTCTGATGCTAGTAACATTGAAAATGAATACCTAGATAGTGACATTTATTAGTTTGACGGGTTTCAAGGTTGGACAATGAAAAAAATGAGTAATCACCAGTAATTGTAACCTATTGGTATTTATTAGCCTGGGGCTTATCAAGACTTCAAGATGAGTTCGTCGTACCAACCGCAAATCCAAGACTGGGCTCCGTAAACCGAGTGATCAAATAAGGCACAGAAACACCTTGAACGGGGAGATAGGTAGTCATTTCACCAAGCATGTTCATGACAAAGTATACAATACTAGACATGACAATATAACCCATGAGCAAAGGAGCTATCACACATTAGCCCCATATCAGATTTGTATTTCGCACAGATATTCTCACCAGGACCAACTGTTGACAGCGCTGCGCCACTGCCAACAAAAAGACCAGTGCCGATACAACCACCCAGAGCCAAAAATTGAACATGACGAGAGCTCAAACCTCGCTTAGTTTGTGAGTTGTGACCGCCTGTGATCTCTCCCCGTATGGCTTTCGGGTCGTCGTACGGGGAGGCGGGACGGACGTCCGCCTCGAGACTCTTTGAGTCTTCCATGATGCGTGAAGAGAGACAGGAGAATTAACCAATCCACAACACGACTCAGGGGAGAAGAAGAATAAGAAGAATAGCAGCAAGACCGCAAATTCTAGGCAGTGGAGAAGCTTATAGAGTAACTTGTAATATCCGGGGAAATATACAATTCTTATTATGTATACGACTAACCAATCTAGCCCCCAAAGCGTTATCTTTACCGATGAGACATATTAGGCGCTATCATAATGTGCTCCAATGGGAGAGAACTCCCCGTTAGGACGATACTTCTTTGAGCTTAGGGCTTTTTTTTTTTATCTAGGGGTGGAAATGAGCTTTCTCCGTCAGTCGGCGATTTTAAGCGCATGTATCCATCAAGCACTATGAAATGGTGTGGCCAATGCCCGAAAGAGATCTAGAAGCATGCGCCATTGCGGGGGCAGCGAGTGAGTTTCTGGAGAAGATCATCCACATTGCCCTTGAGTTCTAGTTTGTTATTGGTGGCCTGCCTTATCGAGTTTTTATTTTTCATACGTGCAGGATTTCCGAGGTCCCAACAATGTCGCATGTTATCTTATCATTGACACATTGTCGATAAATATTTCCCACCTGGATAGCTCCTAGCGTTCTATTTAGTCCAGACCTTCTTCATGGGCAACAAGGTCTACGATTGGTGGGCAGAACAAATTGGCTTTAAACATTTGCCACCCGTTTGCCACTAAAATCACGTGGTTTCGTCTGGGGAAGAATCCGGGGTAAAATAGGCGAATTCATGAGACTAAATATAACAAGGATAAAGCCTTGGAATCCATGAATTGAAGCAGCTGACTAGAACATTCCAAGCACTAGGCCGAATGTAACCGGAAGCATGTCAGGTGCAAAAAAAAAGCCTTTCTAGCACCGGCCCGGTTACTTGTGCTTATCGCTTATCAGTGGGCCATGTCCCAATATCAAACCGGCCCGTAACCGTTCGGCATGTTGACGCTGCGAACCTACTTGCTGCAAGGGAAGAGGCGAATATCAAAGCGTCATTCTCGCTCGGACACTTGGATCTCCTTAGCCTTGAACCGATCGTAAATCATCGTGGCGTTATAATCTTATATCTTAATGTCTGTAGTTTAGAGGAATCATGAAGAATAGCAATTTCATCTATAGATGCAAAAAAATTGTCAGACAATGCCGGCCCGTTAAGATGGGACTGCTGACCGTACCGGTGTACCTTGCGGTTGCCACCGGCACTTACCCAATAAGTTCCACCAACAGATCGCCATATCTAAAAGGTCGCCTTCAACCGTGGCTCTTCTGTTTCTTCAACGATTTGTTCTAAGTCTTTCACCTTTCACGACTTCAAATCTACACCCTTGCCTTCCCTTATCTAATAATCTATCTCACAATACTACATCTACTCGCACCCATGAAAGGTGCTCCTTCCGTGCGTGCGCCCCTCAAGGCTGCCGCACAAACCACCAGACTGGTCAGCGGCACCAGCAACTCTCGATCCTCAGTCGCCTCAGTTTCAGCGGCCAACGTATGGCAACCACAAAAGACCTCGTCTGCACTACCCCGCAAGGCCCTGACAGCACCCTTGGCTAAGCTCCCGTTGTCATCTGTTCTACGCTCCTTGCTGGTACTGTCTGTTTCATCATCAACCCTCCTTCTCAAGCCATGCATCTACACCTTGTCTTTGTTGGCTCATCCACGCAATGCGTTCTGGGATGTTTCCAAGAATCCACTGCTGAACATGCTTGTTAAGCACACCATCTATAAACAATTCAACGCGGGCGAGAACAAACTCGAAGTGCAAAATTCGATCAATCAAATCAAAGCACTCGGATGCCGTGGTGTACTCCTGGGATATGCCCGAGAGGTCCTTGTTGGAGAGAATTCCGATGCTGTATACGACGAGAAGGTTGCCCTGGCTGAGATCCAGATGTGGATGGATGGCACGCTGCAGACAGTTGATATGGCTCAACCCGGGGACTTTGTCGCTTTAAAGTATGTTTCATGACTTGGGTTCTCATTTTGCAACAGGAACTAACTGGATCCTTCAGATTCACTGGAATGGGTAATGACGCCCTTCGCCTGTTGCAGTCTCAGACTATGCCCTCAGAGATTATGGACAAATCTATCCTCAAGGTCTGCGATCTCGCCATCTCCCGTGGCGTCCGCCTGCTGGTCGACGCCGAAGAGCAGGCCGTGCAGCCCGGCATTGAGGCATGGATCATGAAGTATCAGAAATACTGCAACTCGCAGACCCCCGGCCGTGCTATCTTCTACGGAACTTACCAAGCCTACCTGCGCTCTACGCCTGCCACTCTGGCCCGTCACCTCGAAACTGCTCGTGCTGAGGGATACACACTTGGTGTCAAGCTGGTCCGCGGCGCCTACATGAAGACTGAGCCCCGCCAGCTCATTTGGGCCGAGAAGGAGGAGACTGATAAGTGCTATGACGAAGTCGTTGAGGCTCTCCTCACTCGCAAGTACAACTCCATGCTCAAGGCTCCCTCAAAGGATACCCCAGCCGAGCTTCCTCCTCTGAATATCATCATTGCTACCCACAGCCGCGAGTCCGTTCGCAAGGCTCATGCTCTGCGCATGCAACAGGCTGCCCGCGGCGAGGACTACGGAGTCGATGTTAGCTACGCTCAGCTCCAGGGCATGGCTGACGAAGTTAGCTGTGAATTGCTTCAAGGATTCGAGAGTGCCGAGAACAGTGTCGGCATTACCCCCATGGATGCCCCCAACGTCTTCAAGCTGTTGACCTGGGGCTCGGTTCAGGAATGCATGGGCTTCCTGCTCCGTCGTGCCGTGGAGAACACCGAAGCCGTTGGCCGTACCAAGGACTCCCAGATCGCTATGTTCGCCGAGTTGAAGCGTCGCTGCGGCAATGCTTTCCGCAGCAGCAAGTGATATTCGTTCCATTCCTGATTTTCCGTTCCGACTTTCGGGGGCTATCTAGATCGTTTTGTTTTTACTTAGCAGCCCACGGGCTGTTCTGCCGCTGTTTTTGTTTTTGCTGCATTTTTATTTGCGAATAACTGGGTGCATTCTTCATGGCGTTGCTATTTGCTTTGTATAAGAACTTTTGAAGTCTATTCGGATGATGATCAATGAAATGAGTGTTTTCCAATTGAAGTTACCATATTCTTAGATCATTCTTTTAGTCAAAATAAGAAGCAAAATAAGAAATCAGGCCAGAGATAATCTAATGCTGCCCACAACCGGCATGTAGTCCCCACCGGGCTAACTTGCCCCTCAGTATGTGTCGGAGGGTCTACCCGATCTTCGGTCCCCATATATCCTACGCATCGCCTCAAAAAGCATCTCATTGATTTCATCAATATAAGAAAATCCCAGGAAAATCATTTTCTAAACATTGAAAAAGCAATCAAAACCTCAACCAAAATGCATATCCTCTCCGAGCCAAATGTCTCCAAGATTTTCCGCGGTCTAACACAAGACCAATGCCACAGCTTCATCTCAGCACTCGCCAACGCCCTAATCAGCATAACCCAAGAATCAAAGCCCTCAACCCCATCATCTGCCAAAAAGATCCACCAACCCCTCCGCACAGTCTTCACCACAAGCAATGAAAACACCTGCATCTTCATGCCGGTATCGGACACCGCATCCACCGGCATCAAAGTTGTAACAGCCAGCACCGCCGGAATCCAAGGCGTAATCAACATTTTCAACCCAGAAGGCCGACTCCAGGGCCTCCTCGCCGCCGCAGAAGTAACAGCCTTCCGCACAGCACTGGCGACAATGACCCTCTTCGTGCGCTGCACCACCCTCCGCAAGGACAACGTGCTTGTTCTCGGCAGCGGTCGACAGGCCGAGTGGCATGCCCGTCTCGCGCTCCTACTGTACCCGGAACAGGTGCGGCGGGTGACGTTTGTGAATCGCGGTGCGAAGAGACTAGCCGAGATGGAGAGGGATGTTGTTTCTGAATTGCGGCATCTTTACCCCGGTGTTGCCTTTGGGATGCTTGCTAAGGAAGGTGTGAGCGATTACGAGCAGAGGCTTGGGGAGGAACTTGCTGCTGCGGATGTTATTTTTAGTTGCACACCTGCTACAGTACCCAATTTCGGATATGAGGCTCTGCAGGTGAATCCCAAACAGCGGTTTATCTCACTGATTGGCTCTTACAAGCCTGAGATGCATGAGATTGACACTAAGACGCTGCTTTCGGGGGGTGGGAAAGTTTATGTTGATTCGAAGTCGGCTTGTCTTGAGGAGGCTGGGGAGTTGATTACTGCGGGTCTTGGAGAGGAGCAGTTGATTGAGATGGGGGATCTCTTGGGGGCGAATGGGATTGCGGAGGAGGCCATTGATGTCCCTGCTGGTTGTAATGTTGTTTATAAGTGTGTTGGTATGGGACTGATGGATCTTGTCGTTGGGAAGAAGGTGCTTGAGGTTGGGGTTGAGATGGGGCTTGGAACTCATGTCGATGGGTTTTAGATTTTTTTTTTGGTACTTCTACATTTTAGCACGAGAACAGCTATCATTGATCAAAATCATGATTACTAGTTTCACAATGCGTTCGCTGGTGGGACTTCCTTGCATACTCCAAAACAAGGCAGCAAGTTACTGGCATGGCTTTTGTTCTCGAAGTCGTGATACTCCAGTAATTCAGGGTCATTGTATAACTGATCACGCATCGTTAGATCAACAAGATCAATGTAAGCCCTTGGTACCTATTCCTGCGACGAAGATACCATACAGTTGTATAGAAAGATAGGAATCAGGAGCATATAGATAAGAAAGTCGAAGGCCAAATAAGCAGACCGCATCGTCCTGGAGACAATGGAGGCAACGGATAAGTAACAAAATGATGTATGCCAAGTGATTTAGAAATCAGGCAGTAACATGGAGATATAGGACCAAGTCCTATAGGAAAATGATGTATAGCTAAGCCTATTGTAGGAAGTCTGAAAATGGGGTTAATGATGGCCTATACCGGGTTAGTGCTACAGCTGAACCGTCCGTATACCCCGTAGATAAATCATATGAAATCCAGTAAAAATAGAAATAGAATGTAGCCCCCAAATACCAAATATACCTGAGAGGATGCGAAATATACCAAAGATACGCGAAATACCAATCTCGACCCCAAATAACAGACCGACGAGCGGAGCAAAATGAGTCCGGAATATGCGGGGGTGTCCTTTATCGATTAGCTTCCCTTTTTTTCTCCCCATTTACCATCCTCGGACATTGGGTCTGTCTGTGACCTTTTCTCTTTTCTGCCATTCTTTTCTCTTCTTTTCTATATCATACAATGCCATGACACTGTAATGGACGACTCGATCCCGACACCCACTCAGCAAAAACGTCCTCGCGTGGCCGAAGAAAACCGCAAGCGAGCTGTCCGAGCGTATGCTGTTGCCCTATTTTAAATCGTCCGTTCCTCTAACACGGTTTTTCGCAGGTGCGATAATTGCCGCCGGGTGAAAGAGAAATGCGAAGGAGGTGTGCCGTGCCGGAGATGTTTGCGATACCGCCGCCAATGCAATTTTACTCACATCGACCCCAATGAAAAGACCCGGTCAACGTCCGTCTCGTAGGTGGACCGCATGCCTATCTTCTACTTCAATATAGACCGCTAATGGTGCACCGGATACCAGACTTTTGGACCGAGCGGCCGCCCAGAGTCGAAATGACATCGCCGAGGCAGAACGAGTACGACTGATGGAACGTCTCCTATCGCATTATGTACCCAATATCACTTTCGATATTCAGTCTCTGCGCCAGGCTGCAGAGGATATCAAGGTGAAACACCGCGATTCTGAGTCGGATGCGATCTCTACTCGTGAAGACCCCAATGAGCTGGAGGACCTTGCAATTGATGAGGAGGATTTTACAATCAAGGCTATGCCCGATAACACAACCCGTATGTTGAGAACTTGGGGACCTTACATGAAGATCTCTCTTGATTGACTATTTCTCAGAATATTCCGGGGAATTTTCATATTTGAACTTCACAATGAAGATCCGGAAGAAAATTGATGAATGGATGAAGACTGCAGCACCCGAGGTAGGTTGCCCATGAATTGTCGGTGAGCGAATGTTAAAACCGCCCCCGCAGGCAACTTCCGAAGTTGAGCCTTTTGAAGAACGATGGCGAAGTACACAACTCCAGTCCACATCACCTCAGGTGTCTGCCTCAATTACCTGTTTGCCGCCGCGATATGTTGCCGATTTTCTTGTTCAGATCTTCTTCAAGTACGCACAAACAAATAATTTCTACATTGAGGAAGACTGGTTAGTTGAAAAACTAGGCATCTGCTACACTGACCCTGACAGCTTGTCATTTGACGATGCAGGAGCGGTATGCTGTATTCTTATGGTTCTGGCTGTGGGCACTCAATTCGCACATATGGAGTCATCCACACCCGTGAACTGCTTACCTTCAGGCTCTACGGCAAATCAAGACCATCACTTTTCAGAAGACGAGGTCGGGCTCACATTCTACCAATTTGCCTCAAGGCTTCTACCAGACATCATCGCCACCGCTTCGGTTCGAAGTGTACAGGCTTGTTTACTTATTGGGACATACTTGCTTCCGTTAGATACTTCAGGATTATGCTACACATACTTTGGTCTGGCACTGAAATTGGCTATTCAAAATGGAATGCATCGGAGGTATCACGGCGAAGGCCTGTCCCCGCGCATGATCGAAGTGCGCAATCGAGTTTTCTGGACAGCTTTTACCATCGAGAAACGTATAAGCATTCTCCACGGCAGACCATCTTCGTTGTCGGACCCCGACGTTGATGCCCCCCTGCCGGTCGATTTCCCGGGGCTGATGCCCGTCAATCAACCATCAAACCATACAAACATGGTAGCACTCATTACATTGACTTTGAAGCTCGGGGAAGTCTCAAATGAAATTACCTCATTGCGAAAAACCCGCAAAGAGCAACAGCAGGACTGTCTGGAACGAATCCTAAATCTTCGGAAACATCTCGTTGATTGGTGGTCAACTCTACCAGAAGAGATTACCTGTCGTGATCTGAACCCCGGAGGACCGCTTTTCAGATCGAATGTCCATCTCAAGCTAGACTACTGTCTGACTCGAGTCTTCATTGGACGCCCTTTTCTTTTCAGTAATATCAAAGGTATCTACCAGACTCCCTCTCAAGGCTCGCGGTCTGCGACTCTGTCCGGTGTGTCGAAGAATCGCGCGACTCTTGTCACAGATTGCGTGGAAGCAGCTCTGGAAATCATCGATTTGTGCCGCTTGCTCCGTGATGAGACCGGTCTGGCGCGAGCCTCCTTTACTGAATTCAGTTCATGCCGTGCAGCATTACTAGTCATTTTGGCACAGGGCCTGACCAAGCGAACTGAACGACTTGGGGCTGCCCTCGAACAGGGAATTTCCCTGATCAAGATCATGTCTATGGGTGTTGGTTCAGCCCGTTCAGCTGTCAGTGTCATAGAGGCTCTCGAACGTGCCATCCGTCGTCTCGAAGCATGGAGCGAGACACAGCCGGATATGAGCAGCGGAGGTGCCGTCGAATCTGCCTATGACAGGTTCAAAAACTGGGAGATGCTTTGGAAAGCAGGGCCTATCTCACCATCCACGCTCGCCTGGCAACAACAGGAACCTTATGCTTCAAGTGACCACAATGTCCCGCAAAGCGTTCCATCACAAGCCTCTACGATGGCAGGTCCTGCTACTCTTCTGCATGGCATGGCTCTGACACCTCCTTCTGCGCCCATGATTGGCGTGAGTGGTACTGTTCCTACACCGGCTGCTCCTGATCAGAGCATCCCGGAAGGCGAAGAAGTCCCACTCTCCGACAATTTCTCCATTTCCCAGCAGTCCCTGTCACAGATGCCGCACTTTGGCTTCGATCATTTTGTGTCCAACTTCCCGCAAGAGTTGGGCGAGTTCACTGCTATTCCTTGCTTTGAGCCAGATCCTCAGACTCAATCTAATGGTTTGCCTGGTAATGATATGAAGGCTCAAGGTAGCAGGTCTGACCCCCCTCACTGGCTTCACTTCATGAATTCCTCATGATAAATTTTTCTGTGCTTTTTTCTCAAGCAGCCACTCATCTGCACAGCATGTTTGGGTTGAATCTTATGATTTTGATTCTTGTTTTCTTGGTATACCATCTCGCGACTGTTTTATGTCTCACTACTGTTTATTGCGCCTGGGTGGTGGACTCTCGGAAATTGTACACAGCTGATTCCCATTTCGTATTTAATGCAATCAATCTTTTACTTCCTCTTAGTCGGGTGGTTTCCAGTCTGCATACACAGAGGGATATCTTAATGTCTGGTCGTTTGCTTGCGACGACGAACTTCGAACATTGATTCATAGATATACACAGTTACCATAGCCCTAATCGAACGTAACCTTCTTTCCAGAGAAAGTAGCCGCAACCTGCTCCTTGGCCTTCCGCTTTGCCTCCCAGGAAGGATGTAATGGGCCCTCATCCTTAGGCGGCCCTTTAGGCTTGCCACCAGAGTGCTGTCCAGACCGAGGCGCACCAGCGGGGCCATCTCTGTTCTGAGGCCGCCCAGCTCCACCACCAAAAGCACCACGTCTACCTCCTCTACCTCCTCTCCCTCCTCTCGCACCGTCAGTTGCACCGCGCTTCGTGTCCCATCCATTATCTCTGCCACCATACTTCGCAGCCATCTGCTCCTGCTTGATGTGGTTTGCAGTGGCTCCGAACTTCTTTTCCCACAAAGCCCGACGCGCCTGCTGACCCATACGGTTCTTGCGGACAGGCTTCGCGCCAGAATCTTCCTCATCAGTAGCTTCTTCTGAGCCAGACCAATAACCACTCATGAGAGTCGGCAGGAACGTTGTGCTTTTCACTGGCGCAGCAGCACCCTTGGCTGCCTTTACTTTCTTGGATGGCGGAGAGTCTGCAGCGGAATAGGAGGGCGATGGTGAACGGGAGATAGAATCTGAGATATCGCCTGCGGCGCGGTCTTCCTCGTCGCCAGATTCCGAATCAGCTTCAGAGTCTGAACCCGGTCCAAGTCGCGAGTCGAATTGTGAAAGGTCTTCGTCTCCGGATTCGTCTGTAGAGATTTCCATGTCGTTCGTGGAGCGGGAGACCTGCTCGCCGCGCCTGGGGTTTGACGTCGTCTCTGATTCAGACTCGGACCCGGTGATATCCTTTCGTGCCTTCTTTGCTGGCGCATCCTTCTTGTTATCCTCTTTCGTCGCCTTGCTGGCCGGCAAGTCATCGACTCTTAGTAGTTTCCGAATACCAGCCATAATGCCGGGAATTTCCTTCTGCACAGGTGTCGATTTGAATAGTCGCGCCAGGATGTTGGCTTCGGCGGTACTCTTCGGTCCTTCCTGGGAGACTTTCTTGACGGCCTGAAACTCGCCGAACGTCCGTGTTTCTGCAATCCGCTTCGTCCTGACAAGTTGCTTGAACAGGTATCGTTCGGATGTGGCATGGTAATCGAGACCCTGTAAGAATGAAAATTAGCGATCGGGTTCTGGACGTAGATCCTTCACAGAACTACGTACTTTCAGAGTCTCAATTTCTTCCTTTAGTCGCGCCAACGCCTTATCGTCCTTCTGCGCCTTCGCTGTCTTCTCTCGTCGACTGAGCTTTTGTCGTTCAAAGCCGCGCGATGTCTTGAGACCGCGCATGATCATCAATACGCCGTTCTCGAACATTTGCGTCAACCGGGTGCCGTGAATGGACATTTTGCGGGTGTCGCTGGACGGGCGCGGGAGCGCAGGTCCTCTGACTTCGTCGAGCTTGCGTTTGGGCATTTTTGTTGTTGTGCTAGGTGTATGGCAATTTGGCGGTATGGAGAGGGCCGAGTCAAATAGTATATGGCTCGTCGAAATAAAATTTCAGGGCGATTTCGAGAATCGTGTTGATCGTCGGATGTTGGTGTAGCTTAATTTTTTTTTTCTGGGCGGATCCCGGCGCCAAGACAAAGGCCTGCAATGGCCATCGTAAATCAATCGCTTTGATTTATAACTCAGGTTGTGTATTTCTTTGTAGATTGGAATTCATTGTAAATCGGAATTAGTAGATACATAATGGTAGAATAGTATTAGCCAGACGGTGTTGGCTTACAAGCGACCTCGGGAAAATTCACTACTAGATGTGCTGCTACATTGCTTGATATATTGCTCGGACAAAAAAAGACCATCGATTAACACTGACGGATATGTACATACAAACATGGCAAAGAAAATGATACGCATACAGTCCCTTTCTATTTCTTTTCTTCCGTCTTCTCCTCCGGCTTGGGGGTCGGAAGCTTGAACTATAGTTGAACAGGTTAGGACAATATCTCTCAACAACGAAGAAAATATGACTTACGGATTCGGGAGTGCGGTTTTCACCAGCACCCACGGGCTCCCAGGCAGTGGAGCCGCTCTCAAAGTTACGGAAGGCCTGGGTGAGCTCGAGGGGCTCAATAACGATGCGCTTCTTCTCTTCGTCGTAGCGCAGCTCAGTATAACCGGTCAAGGGGAAGTCCTTGCGCAGTGGGTGGCCATCGAAGCCATAATCGGTCATGATACGGCGCAGGTCAGGGTGACCGGAGAAGAAGACACCGAACATGTCGTACACCTCACGCTCGTACCACAAAGCACCCTCGAAGAGACCAGTCACACTGGGCACGGGAGTGGCCTCATCCGCGTAGGTCTTGACACGGATGCGGGAGTTGTGGCGAACGCTGAGCAGGTTGTAGACGACCTCAAAGCGCTGGTCGCGGGTAGGGAAGTCGACACCCGTGATATCGGAGATCTGGGTGAACTCGGCGGCAGTGTGGTTCTTGAGGAAGCTCATCACGGGAACGACACCAGCGGGAGCGGTGTACACAGTGAGCTCATCCTTCCAGACGGTGAACTGTTGGATATATTTGGGGAGACAAGACATAACGTATTGTCCATAGGCGTGAAGGCTGTCGGCCATGGGCTGGTACTTGTCGACCGGGTTAACCACGGGAGCGCGCAGGGGTCCCGGGGCTGGAAAAAGACAGTTCGGTTAGCTCAATTGTGTCCTATGTATCGGCTAGTCCATTGCACATACGCGGGCGCTGCGCCTGGCGCATGTTCTCAGGTTCCGGACCCGGTGCTGTCGAGGCCTTGGGGGCACACTGAAGGGAGGCGGAGGAAAAGGTGCGGGCGGCCATGGACCTCGTGGCGGATGCCACAGAGCGTCCAGAGCCCAGGCGCATCAAGGATCGTGCGGAGGCCATTGTGTAGAGGGAGCAATGGCAGATGCAACAGGAAGAGGGGACGGAGGCACGTAAGTCGGATTGTGAAGGTTCAGAGTGGTCGATGACTTTGGTCACGTGTTGGGCACACGCTAAACTCGATCTGGCAATGCCAGCAAAATGAAGCCGCGCTTCACAATTTCCTTCCTTCCTCTCCCCGTTCACCCTCTTCTATCAATAATCCTTGCCCTTTTTTTTGCCCTCTCTTCTTCTCGCTCCTCCTCAAACATCTACTCGTCGTTTATCTTCCTACACTTTACAGGGCAGCGTATCTCTTTTATTTTCACAGTTTCTCATCCGTTTCAATCGGTCCACGTTTGAGATCTCGTGTCCCTCTCCGGTTGTCACAGTATTTCCTGCGATCATGTCCAGCCTTTCATTGATCGATTCCGTCATCGACGATGACGACGAGTTTTGGTAGGTCTTGGAACTCATCCAACCTGCACGATCTGTGTACTGATCACCCCACAGCCCCCTCTGCATTGAAGAGTTCGATCTCTCCGATAAGAATTTCAAACCCTGTCCTTGTGGATATCAGGTATGTTTGATCATAATCCTCGATGCGCCTATCTCAGTGCCTGGCCTTTTGTAACGGAACAGGTGGCTCGTCTTTGTCTCCCTGTGCTAGACCTAACATGTGATCTCTTTTAGATTTGCCAATTCTGCTACAACAACATTAAAACGCAGAATGAAGAAGGACGATGCCCTAATTGTCGGCGCGGATACGATGAAAGTACCATCCAGTACAAGATTCCTGACGTCGAGGAGTGAGTCAACCCATCCTCTGTGACATCTTCGCCACATCCCAATTAACACACTTTGTTTAGGTTCAAGGCAGATCTGGCACTCAAACATCGCAAGGCGGCTGCTGCGAAAAAGAAGGAAGCCGAAAAGCGTGAGATCGAAGCTTCTAGTCGGAAGAACTTGGCCGGTGTCCGTGTCGTCCAAAAGAACTTGGTCTATGTTATCGGCCTCAACCCTACGATCCGAGACGAAAACCAACTCCTTCAAACGCTTCGTGGGCGGGAATATTTCGGTCAATATGGCGAGATTGAGAAAATCGTAGTCAGCAAGGCTAAGCCCGGCGGCAACCCTAACCAGGGAATCGGTGTTTATGTGACTTTCTCGCGTAAAATTGATGCTGCGATGTGCATCAACGCTGTGGACGGTTCCGGAAATGGCGATCGAGTGCTCAGAGCCCAATACGGAACAACCAAATATTGCTCCTCTTTCCTTCGCAATGAGCAGTGCAACAATCGGAACTGTACTTTCTTGCACGAGACTGGAGAAGACAGCGACAGCTACAGCCGCCAAGACCTCTCATCCATGAACTCGATCTCCACCCAACGTCCGAACCTCCCACCCACACCCTCTCACGTGAGGTCCGCTCAACCCATCGCCCATCCTATGCGCCGGCAACCGAGCAAGGATGACTCGATCAGCAGTCGCACCGGCATACCAGATGGCCCGGCTCTACCGTCAACTGCCAGCTGGGCTAACAAAGATGTAGCAACTGCTATTCACCGAACCAGAAGGACTAGTCTCACTGGCAGCCAAGCCTCCAATAGCCCACGGCCCGCAAGCGTGAATGTTGCAACCCCGGTCGAAGAACCAAAGCGAGCAGAAAAGCCATCTCCAATTTCCCAAGAATCCCAACAACCTACCTCTCAAGTCGATCCCCAATCACCCGCCCCGCAACCGCGTCCTCGCCGTGTGGCTCAACCACCCAAGCTACCATCACCGTTTGATACTTTGCTCAAGGATATCAATTCTCCTGATTTCAAATTCTCCTTCAGCACGGCCGAGCTAAGCGCTGAAGAGGTCAAGTTGATCAAGGATTACCCATCTTTCATCGATCCATATGGTGGCGTCAAGCGCAGAGCAATGCGCGAAAAGGTCGAGCAAGAGCGTCTGAGTCGCGAGCACGAGTTGCTCCAATCTGTCGCAGCTGAGGAGGAGAGTCGTGAAGCTGGTAGCCTGCAGCTTGGTGGTGAGCCAGAAGAAGCAAACCCCCCGCGCAATCGCCAGACACGAGAGTCTCACGGTGCTATCCAACCTCCCTCGCAGCAAGACACCGCGGACAATTCGACTGTTGGATCACCTGTTTCTGCAACTAGCCATCAATTCCAAGGCTTGAACCTCGCTGGACGAAGCTTAACTCCCTTGCAGCAACAACAATTGATGCTACTCAAGTCCGCCGGTAATCAGCAAGCTGGTCTGGCTGACCATCTCAGCTCTGCCGCGCTGGACCAAGCTGCCCAAGCCCGCCAAGGTCTTGTGCACAGTCAAATGGCACAGTTCAATGCGCTGCAGGCAGCACAAAACCGACAGTCTTCTCGATTTTCCTTCGCCAACGAAGCTGGTTCTAAGAATATGCCTAATGCTCGCATGTTGGGCCAGATGCAATCTTCATCGCCTAACCCTCTCTCTGCCCCAAGCCCTCAACATGGTCTTGCAGCAAGTGGGTTCTATGCCAGTGGTGTGCAAGGTCCTCCGCCAGGACTGAAGACAGCCGGTACCCCTCCAATCAGTGGTGGCGGAATGTTTGCCCAGGGACATGGCTTCACCTCTGGACTTAGTGGTAATGGAGTAAAGCAAGACCCAACTCCCGAGCTAATGCGCGAGCTCTTGCGTGGACGAACTGGTACGAATGTTGGTGGTTTACAGGGCCAGGAGGCCGCTAAGCGTGAGTTCATGTTCCCCTTTCTTCAACAGCACAATACCCCTCCCCCATGACTCCTGCCAATGGCCTTCTCAGCTCCTTCTATGGGCCCCAAGTGGGTATAATGCCTGATTCTGGTGGCCCACAGAAGCAGAAGAAGAAGGGGAAGAAGCACAGAAACGCTAACACTTCCTCCGGTGGAGGTGGTGTAGTAGATCTTGCGGACCCGAGCATTTTGCAGGCGAGAATGCATCAAGTCGGTGCGAATGCTACTGCTGGGCAAGCGTTGTACGGGAGTCAGGGTCAAGGTGGGTACAATCCCTCGATGGTCTATGGTGGCGGTATCAGTCGGTGGTGAATCCCTTGACCTCTCATCTGTTCCCGTGTTTTGATTTGCTGCATCTTCCTGCTTTTTCGCTATGACCTTGTTCCCTTGATGAGCCTGCTTTATCCTGATGACATGATATCAATTCCCTTTATCCTTCCAAATGGAGGTTTTGCATTTGTTTCTGTTCTATTCGCGGTCAAACAAGCTCCGATTTCTACCATGACCGGACGTTCAACTTGTTGAATTGCTATCTATTTCTTGCATGTTTTCGCTGGCTCCAGGTGTCTTTGCATTTCACGGACATAGGCATGTGTTCCGGGCTCCCTTTGTATTCGGCGGCTGTGTATTCCCTTCCTACTATTTTTGCATTCGGGCCTCCATACATCATCTGCGTCATGAAGACCGCGGATGTTTATCATGGATTAATGTACGTTAAGATCTCCCTACCCTGATACCACAAGCCGGAAAGGGTCTTATTCGAAATCAGTTTACCTCACAGCCGCCGTTTACATAGACGCCCTGTCCTGCACTGTTCCTGGTCCGGGAGGTTCCCATCATGTAATTATCTCATGCTTTTTTGTATCGCTTAGTCGTGTTTTTTGTGATCGCTTAGTCGCGCATCTGCTTAGTCGTCGCGCTTGACTGAGGGGATTCCGATCTGATTTATACCACTTTCCCTTTCCCTACCTCATCACTCCGCCCTCACTCTGTCTTTTTTTCTCTAACATTCACTGACCCAATACTCTAGTGAATGAAGACTTTCCTCCTCTTGGAGATCAATCTAAAGATCGGCGACCTGTCGACAGCTTCGGGTTTCTAAAGTCTCAATTACCTAGCGAGTCAGCCGCTCGTTCTGGGACTCCCACTCTGCCACCTGGACTGCCTCTACCTCATGCCCACCCCTCGTCTTCCGTCTTCCAGGAACATAGTTCTTCTAAACCTTCATCCCCTGCGCCAATTGTTCCGCCTGGCTTGACGCCGAACATTTCACGACTCAACAGCCCATCGCAGAGCCGTATTGACAGTCCGTCTCGTCTTTTGAGTCCCGAACTCACAGTCGGCGCCCCTTTAACATCAAGCCGCGTGAAAGACGCTTCTCAGATCTCCTTTGGATCGCCAGTGCAAAAGTCCGCGAGCAAGGCTCGTACCCAACGCAAGAACGAGTTCAACATTGGAGCCGATTTTAAGGACTCTTCTGCCAAGACTGGAAACCAGTCGCAGCCGGGTTCTGCTACTAGAAAAGCGAGCCCACTGGATCTTGGTACCTCATTGCCCGTCTCCAGCAAGAGTGAGCAGATCCCAGCTCCTAGCTCTGTTTCTGCAATCGGCTCGCGGCCCGACACGCCCCAAACAATCGCTTCTCGCCTTTCCGACTCCCCTGCGCCTCGTCAGCCCCGTATTCTTCGTGTGGTAGAAACCCCAAAACCAGAAACTCCCCCACTTGTCACCGCACCCTCTGTGCCCGCTTCCATGGTTGGAGGAACCAAGTCCCGCTCTAGGAGACAAAGTATGTCATCAAGCAGTATTCCGGATACCTCTGTCGATATGGGATGGGAAGGTGATTACTATCCTTCCACCTCTGTTTCTCGTGCGAATTCTCCTCCCGCGTCTTCTCGTATCGGTTCAGCACCCGTGCGCTCCATGACTAAGAGCCAAGTCAAGAAGGAACGCAAACAAAAGGCGAAGGAGGCCGAGGCTAAGAAGGTTGAAACTGCGCCTGTGAGTGAGGAAACTGTTCAAGCGCCTATCATGGGGCGGAAGCGCAAGACCAAAAAGGCCCCCACAGCCACTGTGAGCACAGTCGATGCATCGGCTGCCAGTGCCCCCGAAAAGATGAGCACTGCAAAACCAGCAAACGCTTCTCCAGTCAAGGCCGAACCTAAGGCGGATACCGCAAAGAAACCTAAAGCCAAGGAGACCAAGCCTGTCAGAGAGCCTACTCCTCCCCCGCTATCGAAGAGCCACCTGTTCAGAAGGAACCGCCTGTAGAGCCATGGCGCTCGAACAATACAATTGGACAGTTGGTGAAGGATTCCGAGGCTTTTGGAAGGTCAATTAAAGATCTTTTCGTCGAACGAACTAAGCCTCTTCACGAGTTGCTCGCTGAGATGCACAAGTCCGGCGAAATTGACCTCAACAAAAGTTCCCTCTTCAACCCGAGCAATCTCAGCCAACGCACCGACATGAAGTGCACTGCGGAGGACTACGATTATCTTCAGTGTCCCAATGAGTTGACCGAGGAGGATCGGAAAACCTTGCTTCGCGGAGAGCCCGTTCGAATTGGTGATGAATTCCTCAAGACTCGATGCCTCATCACGCCCCGCGGCTGCGTCCTCCGCCACCTCGACCCAGAAGAGGAGGAGCGGTACCTGGAGCTGGAGAAGACTACAGCCAATACCTCGGATCCTTTCATGATTGGAGACGATGCGAGCAACCCCAGTGGAGGTCTGGAAGCTCTTTTCGCAAATCCGGAAAAGTTCAACCTTTGCTGGGTCGACGACATGCCCACTCGTCTCGGTGCCACGTCCCCGTCCTCTTCTCTTGAGGCGGCGGAATCTGTAATCCCACCTAACGTCCTCTCAGCTATGGAGGCAGACAGCACCCGCAATCATGACTGGGCCGTCGCCAACTCGGCTGAATTTCTTAACACCACCCCTGCTGCCGTGCGCTCCTTCGCCGCTGTAACCGCGCAGCACATGCTGGGCAATCCGGGCATGGTTGGTACTAATCCGACTCTCGATGACGTTGCCAGCTTGACCAACGAGGAACTGAAGGATCTCTCTGCTCGTTCCCAGAAAGACCTTGAACTCACCCGGAAAGAAATGGATTCGCTGGACAAGAAGTTCGCAGCTTTGCTTCGACGCAACAAAAAGCTTCAGCAGCAGGCATTGAACTTTGCTGCTGGAACGGAGGTGTAATCAATTATTGACCTTTTATCTCGAATCGAAGCCCTTGAAACCCTTTGCAATCTCCCGCTGGCAGGTTCTTAGGGGGACTTGGAGTTTCTGTGAATGTACATATGGACTTGCATGATACCCCGGATGGTGGTATTTTACCGCGTTCCTCCATTCTGTATGATTATCTGTTTTAGCTTGAATGAATCACTGTACAACACTTACATCTGTCTATGCAGATCCTAATCCAATGCACTTCTCTGAGTTTGCAGTGTTCGGAGTCAAACACATGCACCTTCTAGCCCTATCCCCAATAGTGTACTTGGCACATAATGAGCAAGCGAATTGATCCTTACGAGATCCCTTGATGCTAAATGGACGTCAGAACATTCATCAAATTTATTGTTTTGAGTCGTAGATGTAGTAATATATATTGCGCCTCAATTTGCCTACCTCACACCCGAAACTCGAAGACCGAGAGCAGAGACCTGGCATGTTGCATGAATTGCAACAGTTGCGCATGAGAAACGAATCTGTATTTCCAATCTCGTCAATTAACAAATCCCAAGACACCAATGGCTACTGTTCAACAAGGAGGTGCGCCAAGGGGGGGATATCAATCACCGATTCCGCCAGGGCTGGATCTCTATAGGTCCACATTCCTCCGTAGGGAAGACATTTAAATTAAGACCAGACATTTAATGAAGGCTCATTACTCCGAAGGGATCCGACATGAGTTCATTTGTATGGTGTTTCCCTCAAATCACACAATATCTCCTTGGCTACTCAGGGTTAATTATCACTTCGCCTCTCTTGAAACACGTGGCTGATTCATCTTAGGTCTCTTTCTACTTTCGATCTGGATACAATAGGGATTGGGACTGATCTATCCCTTTCTCCCTATAGGACATTATATCTCCGGGTATCCTGGCTGGCATGTAGGTATAAAGCATGCGTCACTCACTCTAAGTATACCATCTTCCGTCAATTTCGTTAATCTTTTGCTTTCTTTTCACTGATTTCAGCAGACTTGACTCCATTGGGTGCTACATGTATTCGTTTATTCGTTCACGTCCAGCCCAAAATATAAAACGATGTTTCGATTACTCTCTATCATAGCTGCCGTGTTTACCCTAGCCTCAACAGTCGTATCAACCGGCCTACTAGTACCGCTATACTCCTGGCCCGACACAAACGCATGGAATACAATCTACGACACAATCGCAGCACATGCATCCATCCCCTTCTACCTCATCATCAACCCATCCTCAGGTCCCGGTAACACAGAATACCCAGAAGATGTCTTCATCACCGCCATCGCCAAGCTAAACAGCTATCCCAACACCCAGGTCCTGGGCTACACGTACACAAAACAAGGAACGCGAGATAGTTCCGAAGTCGAAAAAGATATAGATACCTATTCCAAGTGGGCAACCTATGCAGGGCAGAATATCCGTCTCTCCGGCATTTTCTTCGACGAGGCACCGGACGGCGAAGATCCGAGCAAGCTGGCCTATTTCCAGAACCTGTCTCGGAAATCTAAGAGCAGCAGCTTGAATACTGTTGTTTTCAATCCTGGAGTCAAACTCAAGGCTGATGTTGCCAAGTGGTTCGAGGCAGCGGACTTCATTGTCGAGTATGAGAATACTTATGCTAATTGGGTGGCTCGGGATCCGGATGAGCATCTCTCGACGTCTGAGTATCATGGGAAGGATGCTGTTATTTTGAATCAGACGCCGGAGGACGCTAGTGTTGATGATGTCGTTCGGTTGGCGAAGGATATGGGGCTCGGTGCTATTTATCTGGCTTCGGACGATGATTATATGAGTCTTGCTACTGTGCCCAAGGTCGCTGTTGCTGTTGCACAAAATCGAAGTGCTAGGCGCAGGGGACGCAGTCGGTACTATAGCTGAGCCCATATATAATATGCTCAGATGCTTGCTCATTGCTATGCTATGACTACATGTGGTCGAGTGCTGGAGTTAGGGTTTGTACATTACGGTCTTGGCCGAATACATCAAATCTGCGACAGATCCCCGAAATTAACGCAGTGAGAATTTACAATAAGCGTTACGATAAAAAGTCCTCCTGGACATCTCTGGAATATGTATGAACAAAATTCCTATGTTGTAATGCTCTATACCCCGAGAGTCGCATATATATTTTGTAGAGACGAAGTCTTATTCCAAGCCCTTGATCCCATCTTTATACGGCCGCAGATCATACTCATCTGGATAAGTTTCCAAGATGCGTTTGAGCTCCGTCATCTGCTCCCTCTGTTCCTCTGTAATCTCCTCATAGACATCAGTGAAGGCATCCCTAAGCGAAGGCTTACTCTCCTGCTCCGCCTCACCAAACTCCTTCAACACGGCCTTCCGCATCTCATCCCGCGTCTCCTTCTCCTGCTCCTCACTCCAAAGCCCCTGATTTTCGAGCCACTTCCGCAGCCGGATAATGGGGTTATCTCGACGTTTCCAATCCTCAACCTCGACACGCGCGCGGTACGCAAAGCTGTCGTCACTGGTACTGTGATGCGAGACACGGTAGCTCATAGCTTCGATCAGCACGGGTCGTCCGCCCTCACTAAGGGCAATCCGACGTGCCTCTTTCATTGCTTCGTTTACGGCGAAGATATCGTTGCCGTCGACGCGGATCGTGTCGATACCGTACCCCACGCCGCGGCTGGCGATTCCATCGCCCCGGTACTGCTCTAGTGTTGGGGTTGAGATCGCGTAGCCATTGTTTCGACATATAAAGACGACCGGGCAGGAGCGTGTTGCGGCAATGTTTAGCGCGGCGTGGAAATCGCCTTCGCTGGCCGCTCCCTCACCGAAGTAGCAGGCCACAATGCGTGGGTCTCGGTTTGGGTTTTGAAGGTCTTGGAGTTTCAGGGCGTATGCTGCGCCAGCGGCTTGGGGAATTTGTGTGGCTAATGGGGAGGAGATTGTGTGCTGTTGGATTTGTTAGGTTGGGGGTACTTTGCTGTACACATGGGTGGTACTGACCATGCGAGGATAGTTTTGTCCGTAGTGGACTGGCATATTTCGACCACGGCCTGTATCATTGGAATTGGCGAAGAGCTGGCTCATAAAGTTCTTCAGTGTGAATCCACGTTGCTGGAATACACCCGCCTCGCGGTATTGTGCAAAGACTACATCATCTGGTGTCAATGCTGCGGCTGATCCAACGGTGATGCCTTCCTCGCCAGCGGAAACCTATCGGCAGCCGGTCAGATGAATCATTTTATTCTTCCCTTAATCAATTGGACATACCATGTAGAAACTTAAGCGACCCTGCCGCTGTGCCTCAAACATGACCACGTCCATAACACTCACTGCACGTCGAAGTCAGGTACTTGAGACCGTATCCAACGTAGGCTAACTAACCAGACAGCATATTTTTGTACCATGTAAGAACCTCCGCATCTGTAACATCGGGTGCGGGTCTCGTCTTATCAACCTGGTGACCGTCTGAGTCCATCACTCGGTAGGTAGGGATAGCGGGCAGATCTGAGGCTTTGAGAAAGGCCATCTCCGAGGTAAATTTGCTATTCACGGCCCCGGGGAATCGAACACTAAACAAATCATCATCATGTCAGCGTCTGCCCTTGAAAAAAAAAGGAGATGTTGTCTTTGAAGCTATGTCTCTCACCTATCTGACCCCGGCTGCTGCGAGATGGAGCTACTCCACCTCCGTGCGGGGAGGCGCGCTGCGGACTGGCGAAGGCCATTCCGAGTCAGAAGCTTTAAAGACATTTTGGTGTATCTTAATAACATTTTTCATTTGATTTCAATGGAAGAAAGGGAGTCTTTGAATGTCTGGGGATTGCGGAGAGCGGTTGGCATCGGCATTTCAACCCTCACGTTACTCCGCAGCCAACCGATCCAATGCGGGGAAGGGAACTGGTCGACTGAGAGCGACACTACTGGACACTACTGAACATCATGGAATTGGTGAACTTCTTTATCTCAATGAGATCTCAAATATCACACCTCAAAGGGTTGACCGGTAAAATGTAAAGCCCTGGCGTACCACCTCCTTCATTGCATCAGGGATGTTGAGAGAGTGATACCGTTTTTCTTCCACCCAGTCATACCGAGAGAACTTATCGCCGATCACGACTTCATCGGACGAGGTATCGATGACCAAAAAGTTGAGGTTCGTGATGGTCTCGGGTCCAGATCCAGCTACCGTTGACTCCACCTCCTGGAGTTTATGGTATGACCGGAGTCCAAGACCAGACTTCTCGAAGACTATACGCCCCACTGCAGCGGTCATGGCCACATCAGTTTCTAGAGCTGGACCTGATGGAAGATTCCACCAGTCATGTGATGGGCCTTGATCGGCTTTCTGCAGAAGTAGGACGGCGTATCCCCCAATCCTTCGGCATCGGAAGACTGCTACGCTGATGCGATAGCGTTTATCCGGGGCCAAGTGGGTGATTATGTTGACGCCTGCGAGTGTTAGAGGTTCCATGACTAGACAACCTTTGATGGAAGATGGAGTTGGAAGAACAAGTTACATGAAGGTATAAATGCTATTGATTATTCTGTTTGCTAACAATGGTCTCAACAATTCACGTTCAAGACGCGTAGCTCAACGTGAAAGTGTTGAAAGTGTTCCTGGCACTGGATATCGTCATCGGGATATGATGACATTGCCCTCCCCACTCTTTTTGGTGATGACATAGTTGGAAAAAACCAATGTCTTGATTCATTTGCATTTTGTTTTCTTTGTCAATTCTCTAATCATGTTCGAAAACAATCAAATCAGCGAGGTATTACATACCGATATCAGAACTCCTATCCCCCCGGCCCTCGTAGCCAAGATCACATCTCTGCCGCCATTCATCCCTATACAAGGTGTATCCAACTTTCGCGACTTAAGCCATGACGGCAACAAGTTACGCAAAGGATTCGTGTATCGGTCGGGAAGCTTGTCTGAAATCTTTGGAGCCGGGAAATCCATCATCGCAACCGAATTAGGAATCACCACGATCTTCGATCTCCGGAACGAGAACGAGCGACAAAAAGCCCCTTCACCTGATATCACGGGAGTCGAGACAATATGGTGTCCATACGGAGCGCGACCAGCCACTTTGAATCTGCGCGATTTCGCAGGCGAAGACAACGGCGCCTCCGGGTTCGTGAAGATGTACAACGGCATCCTCGAAGCGGCTTCCCCTTGTTTTACCATGATCTTCCAGCATATCAGAGATAAACCAGACGATCCGTTTGTCGCCCATTGTTCAGGTATGTTTCACATGTGTTACCTCGGTTGATCTTTGCATGGTCGCGTCCAATTTCCCCATTCATAGTCGATGAATACTGACCGTACGTTCCCACAGCTGGTAAAGATCGCACGGGTGTCTTGGCCGCGCTCATCCTCCTCCTGGTCAACCAACCCCATGAAGATATTATCAACGATTACATCCTCACTCGCGTTGGACTGGAAAGCGCCCGGGAAAACCTCATGGAGGCATTCGCAGTCAATTTAGAACCTGATGGAATCGACATCGACCAACTGAGCCCCGAGGCACTGGGTATGCTCGAGCTCTGTGGTGTTCGAGCCTCATCCATGGAGGCTTTCCTGATCTCTTTTGAGAATACCTATGAAAACGGCATCGAGGGGTATCTCATTGATAAACTTGGGTTCTCACAGAGTGATTTAGCGACGATGCGGCGTAACCTGACCTAGCGGATTAACCGCAGACATCTGTACAGATATAGACAATACTGTATATATGTAGTATCTATCATTTGCATTAGCCGGGTTTCAAATGAACCAATTCCAAGGGGGAATGTTATGTCTTTCTTGCTGCTTGGAATCCAGGGGGTTCATTCCAATACTTCTTGATACTAAGCATATTAATATGTATCACTTCAATCTTGGGGAATGTAAGGTTGAACGAAGTCATCATCTCCGCCATGACGCGCTAATAAACTAAGCCTTAAGCCTCCCGTCTCAACTTCCGCATAACTCCAATACCATTCACTATATCGATTCCTGATTCCAGACTCGAGATTCAGGACTTTATCCCTGATGGCAATACATTAGCGCTGCTACCGTTGCTCTCTTTTCTCATGCGAGGGGGTGTCCAGATTCCCCCACCTCAAGAGCTCAGACTACAATGCAGGCTGTGTCGCATCAAGAGCATCCTAAGGTACTTCTGTGTGTGCCCAATGAAAGGATAAATTAGACCTATATTTTACACCAACCCCCTCGATTTTACAGATCTCGGCATCTTTTGCTCTTGACCCTATGTATCTTTGGAACCAGCTTGTGCTGGCAGTGCTTCCAGCGGTACTGCCCAATACTCTTGGCCAGAACGTTTTGGACCTGGGCGGCGATGGATGGACTGTCAGTAGCAAGGCGCTAAACATCAGTGTTCCTGGCAATGTTCCCTCGCAGGTGCATTTGGATCTTCTTGATGCGAATGTGATCGGTGAGTCTTTCCAAGTCCAAAGCGTTGACTGATCTAACAAAAACAGATGATCCGTCAGTACAACGCTCGTTTCCCTGTACTCGCTTTACTAACTCACATCGCGCCGAAGTTACCATGGTCTCAATGACTTCAACTTGCGTTGGGTCGCGGAGCACAATTGGACTTATACCAGTAAATCAATTGATGGCTTGTTTGTGTTCTTTGCTGTCTTAGTTGGAAGTCCCACTGACTTTTCACAGGTCAACTACCTCCAAATCCTCATGGCTTGTGTTTAATGGGCTTGACACTTTCACAACAATTGAATTTTGCGGTCAATTTATAGGGACTACAAATAACCAGTTCCGACAGTACACATTTGACATTTCCAATGCGCTGAAACGTTGCAAAGGCTCTCCAAGCGTCTCTCTCGAGTTTGGAAGTGCCACCAAGATCGCAAATGCAATTGCCGCTGATCCAAGCTCTCAAAGTAAGTGTTCAACGAAGAAATCAACCACTGCATCTAACGATATCTGCAGAATGGCCTAGCGGTGTTCAAGGAACCTTTGAATTCCCTAACCGCTGGTACATTCGCAAAGAACAGTCCGACTTTGGCTGGGACTGGGGCCCAGCATTCTCCCCTGCTGGCCCATGGCAAAATATCTACCTGGTGCAATCTGAGGCCGAAGAAGATGTATATGTTCTCAACACAGGCTTCGACATTTATCGAAAGGGCCAGATCAATCATCTTGCTCCTGATCAAAGTCAGCCTTGGGTTGTGAATGCAAGTATCGACTATCTTGGGTCTCTACCTAGACATCCATCCATGTCTATCGAGATTAAGGACCTCGAGTCTGGCAAAACATTGAAGTCCGCATCGCTCGACAATGTTGTTGTATCTGGACAAACCATCACCGGTACCACCATAGTTGATGCCGATGCACCGAACCTCTGGTGGCCCACAGGAATGGGCAAGCAAAGCCTATACAACATGACAGTCACTATCCAGAGCGCAGATGATGACCTCGCCAGCGTAACTAGACGCATTGGCTTCCGCACTATTTTCCTCAATCGATCCAATATCACCGATGAACAGTTAGCTCAGGGTATCGCACCCGGCGCGAATTGGCATTTCGAGGTAAACGGTCATGAATTTTACGCCAAGGGCTCAAACCTCATTCCACCAGATGTTTTCTGGCCGCGAGTCACTGAGGCGAAGATGCAGCGATTATTTGATGCAGTTGTTGCTGGAAATCAAAATATGCTTCGAGTCTGGGCTTCGAGCGCATACCTTCCGGATTTCATGTACGATCTCGCCGACGAACGCGGAGTATTGCTGTGGAGCGAGTTCCAATTCAGCGATGCATTGTATCCCACAGACAAACCGTTTCTTGATAATGTTGCCGCCGAGGTTGTCTACAATGTAAGACGAGTCAACCACCATCCATCCTTGGCTTTATGGGCTGGTGGAAACGAGCTTGAAAGTTTGGAATTACCAGCCGCTAAGAAACATGATCCTGAATCATATCCCCGCTTGGTTGGCGATTATGAGCACCTTTTTATCTCTCTGATTCTTCCGTTGGTGTACGAGAATTCGCGATCGATTTCATACATGCCCAGTAGCACCAACAACGGATTCCTAGATGTTGATCTGTCGGCCCCAGTTCCCATGACCGAGCGTTACGATAACGGTACAGAGAAAAAGGATATTACTACGGTGATACAGACTACTACAACTACGACAGCAGTGTAGCATTTGACTTCACCGGTTACCCAGTCGGTCGCTTCGCCAACGAATTCGGCTACCACAGCATGCCGAGTCTACAAACATGGCAACAAGCATTGGACGACGAAGACCTCCACTTCAACAGTAGCACCATCATGCTCCGGAATCACCATTACCCAGCAGGCAGTCCAGACACCCACAATTACAAGAATACATCTCTGGGCATGGCCGAGATGACCCTAGCGGTAGAAAGATACTACCCGATTCCCAATAAACAAGACTCAATCGCCAACTTCAGCGCCTGGTGTCACGCAACCCAGCTTTTCCAAGCCGACATATACAAATCCGAAATCCAGTTCTATCGTCGCGGAAGCGGAATGCCAGAGCGTCAGCTCGGTGCCTTGTACTGGCAACTCGAAGATATATGGCAGGCTCCGACGTGGGCTGGAATTGAGTATGACGGTCGCTGGAAGGTTTTACACTACGTAGCACGCGACATCTTCAAACCTCTCATTGTATCGCCGTTCTGGAATTATACCACTGGACATCTGGCTATCTATGTGACATCGGATCTCTGGGAGACAGCTCGGGGATCTGTGAAGCTTACATGGATAGACTTGTCTGGCAAGTCGATACCAGGGAATGCGGGTACACCTTTGGTTAAGGAGTTCTCTGTTGGAGCACTCAATACTACCAGTATCTACGAAGCTAATTTAGCAAGCCTATCTGTGCCCGATGCGAAAGATGCGGTCCTTGTCATGGAACTCACTGCTGAAGGCCGTCTACCAAACGCCGAAAAGAAGACTCCGACTACGTTCACACACCGAAACCAGTTTACGCCTGTCTTTCCTAAGAATTTGGCACTGAAAAACCCGGAACTTAAGCTGTCTCGTGATGTTCGGGCTGGCACGTTTACCGTCGAGGCTCGTAATGCGGTTTCGTTGTACACATGGCTTGACTATCCCGCTGGTGTGGTGGGATACTTTGAGGATAACGCGTTCTCTTTAATTCCTGGTGAGAAGCGGACTCTTCGATTTGTTGTACAGAGGGATGAGACTGGGGGAAAGTGGGTGCATGGTGTTACGGTGCGTAGTCTGTGGGATCAAACTACCGAAACTTGATGGTTGAACACGTTGCATGTAGTTTATTCTACCGGCTTGGTTTTATTCTACTACTCTTGTTCTATCACACCGATTTGTTCTTCATATGAATATTTGTATTTCATGTACAACGCGTGAATTATAGTCTATTCGACTTATACTATCAAGAATCTAGTTACCATTGTAAATAGCCGTCGCATCAGCGAGGAACTTGTCAAACGCCTTATCACCTGTTGTCGGGACGATCGACTTAGGAAGGTCTTCACCGTCTCCATTACGGTCATCAACAGTCTTAGCCTTCGTCTTCTCAACCCACTCCTTGGCAGAATTGAACTCGGCATCTGCCTTACTTTGATCCTTGGCATCGAGCGCCTCGAGCATAGAAATCAAGTGCTGGCAGGCAGTCGCCCACTGCTTAGCAAGAGTTGACCAGGGTGCCACGTCAGTAGCAAAGCCCTTGGTAGCCATTTTGGGGAGAACGTCGGGAATGGTGATAATCAGTGCAAGGCGATCCTTCAACGCCTTAGTGCCGTCGCTGTTTCCGGCTTTGCGAGCAGCCCAGAAAGCTTCAATGTCCTTGCTAAGCTGGGGCGCATTGGTAACGGGGTCTTGGTATGGCCAGTTTTGGTTGAGATCGGTGAAAGCGATGACTGCATTGTGGACGGTGGTGTCACTGCCGGACAGCTCCCAGAGGCTTGCATCCATAGACTTGGTGGCGTCGTACTTGGGTCCGTTCCATGTATAGTCGGCGTAGTTTGCGAGCGAGGCCATAGAGGCGAAAGCTTGGTTCATCGGGTTCGAGGTGAATCCAAGAAGGTGCTTGTATAGTTCAGCGGCACGCTTGGTGAGAGGGTTGAAGAACAAACGGTCGCGGTTGCCATCGTTGACTGGGAAATTATCCCATAAGAAGAGGTTGTCGGTGACGTAGCTCTCGTCGGCTTTGACGACGCTGTCGACTGTGATCTCATTGCTGAAGACTCCTTCACCGGTCCACTGAACGCGAATCTTCTTGTTTAGCTTAGTACCGAATTCTGTCTTGTACGGGGATGATGCACTGCCAGCGTAGTTGGTCGGGACGGTGTCAAGGTCTTTGAGATTGTTAGGTTCGATGTACTCGGTCTGGACGCGGTTCAGATAGAAGGCCTGTGCATCCGCAATCCATTCGTCATTCTCGGTCTTGGGCCACTTCGCCTTGTCTGCATCGCAATGGAACTCGAGGCCGATATCATCGAGAGCAATATAGAAGCTGCTGACACCGAAGTCACGTAGCTGGTCAAACTTAGCGACAGTAGCGTCGAAGTCCTCGTCGGACGAGTAGCATACGCTCAAGCCAGGCGAGAGAGCATAGGTGAAGTCGACATGATTAGCATTGGCAGTGGTGACAAGCTCCTTGAGCTGAGTCAACTCATCACCACTGTAAAGAGTGCGCCATTTAGCACGGAGAAGTGGGTCATCCTTAGGCGTGTACACATAGGTGTTCATCTTGTGCTTTCCGTAGTAGACAAGCTGTTCGAGGCGTGCCTCGTGAGACCATGGAACACCATAGAAACCCTCAATCGAGCCACGAATAGACATAAGCGGCCAGTCGTGCATCTTGACGCCGGGAATGTCAGCACCATCGAGAAGTTGACGGAGAGTTTGTGAGGCGTAGAAAGTGCCGCGTGTATCTACACCATTTAGGACAATGGTTGGCAGTGTCTCGTAATGACCACATGCCAAAGCGTAGCCGTCGGCATCGAGGCCATCCGCAGACTTGTCCGCCAGAGCCTTGGCTGCAGCGACAGCGAGGCTAGAGTCCTTTTCGGTGCCAACGAAAATCTGTGTACCCTTGTCGCTGGGCTTGGATGCGATAACCACTTTACCGCCGGCGGCAGCCACGACCTTCTTGATCGTGTCGATCGTGGCAGAGTCCGTAAAGTTGTCGGTCACGACGGTAACATCACCCGCAAGTGAGACTTTCCCACCGGTGAACGCGATCTGCTGAGGAATCGGGAACACCTCAGGGCCTGCATCGTCACGGCTAACGATTTCATTAGCAATGGGTGCAGCATTGGCCCCAAGCGCTAGGGCAACAAGAAAAGCCCGAAGGCAGGTGATGCGGTGTAGATTGAACATTGTGTGAAGAACTTACATGTTGGAGGACGTGGTTTATATAGAGAAGGTGGGGTTCACGAGTTACTTTCCAAGATTGGAAGTGACGGGTGCCATCGGTTACATCATGCGATGATTTATTGCAGTACCCCTAGAAAGGGGGTGCTATCAGGGTTTAATTTAGTTTGATTAATCTCTTAGGTCGTATGCAGTGATGTATCCGATGAATGATTGAGAACATGGAGAACCCCAAACAGGGTATTTCCGGGTCGCTCAAAAGATAAGATCTACAGTGGATATGGTGTTTTCAGGTAGTAATGCTCCATGATGGTAGTGCTCTCAGGTAGTAATGCTTTGTGATAACAGAGCAGAGACCCGACGATCACTTCGAACCGCCAGGGGTTGTTTTAGCATCTGGTCTTGGCAGTTCGCCAACCTCTCATGAGCTGCAATATAAAATAGATTATAGTAAGGTGGAGGTAGTATAGTATTCTCCGATATCGCCCCCATTGATTGGGCAATCAACTTGAGTACGACATTGTAGATCGTCACGGAACAATTCACGATATCTCGGCGAAATCTTCAAGCCATTCAAACGCCTAAAGCTTCTCTGGACTGTAACGTTACACTACTTAGACTGCGGGGTAATGAAGAATTGACAACATTAATATAGATGCATAAACCCGCCTATCTGAATAACGTCTAGTATGAGCCACAAATCGAGTTTGAGGTCTAACACCGATCTAGTTATGTATTTTTGTAGAAATTGAGCATAATTAATACAAGTAGATGGTGTCTCTGCCCTTAACGACGTAACACTTTTACGACATGATATCGATACACACATTATATCTAACCTTTCTTAGTGTCATAGCTAGAATGAAAACAATTAGCTGTAAGGAAACAACCGTGGAATAATATATCGCCTTTTCAATTGATTCCATATAAACACATTGCAATGATAGATCTTGACCGACGATCCTCGACCCCTGTGGTGTTTTCACGAGATTACGGTTTTGATATTCACCTGCCTAGGTGGGCATATCACTCGACTGTTTAGTCATTAAGATTTTTGCTTTCCATGGTTAGCAAGTTCTTACTGTTCTAGACCCTTGGTTCACCTAGCGGAACCTATGAAAGCATAACCTTGGAACTACATATAACATTCCAACTCGATATTGATATGTAGGTAGGTGCCAGAAACATGGCCAGTGTACTAAGAATTTACGCGATTCCAATGGAAGAATGCGCTGTCAGTCTTCATCTTTGCTCAAGAGGAGGTCTGCGTCGTCGGGGTTAATATCTGTCTTTATGTAGATGCACTTATCGTTAACGAATATTATCCTTTCATCTACGTATAATTATCATTTTCTTCCATCGACACATATACACAGAGAGAGAAAGAGAAAGATATATATACAGAAAGTCCGGGGCTACATACCTCCTCGTCGAGACTAAGATCCTCCGAAATCTCCGAGAAGGACTAAAAAATCGCCCGCACAAGGACAGCCCCTAAACCTGGGGAAAGCGTTATGTATCTGCAGTCTAGATCATACAGTGGAATTCACCCCCACAGTCTATGGAGTGAAAACAAGGAACTCGAAGGCCCACTGCAGCTACGGATGATCAAATGGACCCGGTTGAAGCTCGGCCCGAGCCTCTACCGATGTAAATAGCCTCTGGAACTTGCTCCACATGCTCCATTGGTATTCAAAGGCAAAACGGCTGAATGGGTATTTATGATTTCCAATATGGAGCCAGATGGAATCTGGGTTATCGAATTAGGGATACTACATTATAGTGGATCGCCTGGCTAATCTTATACTGAGAACGCACTATGAAGTAAATTGACATCAATTTTCGTTGTGAGATATTACCGATCTATCGGCGAAAGGTAACATGAGACAAAATTGCATTCGTCAGTCTATATATATATATATATATATCAAAACTCATCATTGTGGCATTGCACCAAAAAGAAAACACCAAATAGTATGCACATGCATCCCAAAACCATTATGCAAAGGACCTGATAGGAAAAAGTCTGTAGATCTGGGATCACCACTTATTGTCGAAAGCCTTGCCGTCAATGTAATTCACCAGCTCTTTCACGGGGGGCAAATGATCCCGATCAGCGCCAAACATCATGCCATGTCGCATGACGCTGCGGTAGTTCTTGCCCGGAGCCACCTTGCCGAGTACATATTCTTGGCGAGTCTCAACACGAGTGGGGACGGGGATAGAGCGACCAACAATGGCCTCCATGCCCTGCCAAGCAAAAGTGATGGCCTCCTTAGCGCCACCAGGGATACCAGCCTCGTCGAGCATCATGATGCGGGTGTTGGGGTAATTTTCCTGGATAAAAGCGGCGATGTTAGGGTTGTAGGCACCACCGCCGCACATGAATATCTCAGCGATCTCGAGGTCCTTGGGCGCGTAGCGACGGTAATGATCCACAATAGCCTGGGCGGTCACACGGGTGATGCTTGCGACGACATCATCAGGCTTAAGGCCCTTGGCCTCCGCCTTGACGATGAACTCGTGGGCAAGGGTATCACGGAACACTTCACGACCCGTTGTCTTGGGTGGTTCCAATGCGAAGTACGGATGTGTCAGGAAGTCATCGACAAGTGCCTGGTCGACGGTCCCGCGGGCGCCCATCTCGCCATCCTGGTCGTACTCGCGCTTGCCATTAGTATAGTGACGCACGACAGCGTCGATGAACACGTTTCCTGGACCAGTGTCGAAATCGTAGCAGGCGTCAACGCCGCCGTGGCTGTCCGGGAGGACAAAGCAGACGTTCGCGATCCCGCCGATGTTCTGGCATGCACGCAGTTTGGTCGGGTGGTGCAGCACTAGGGCGTCGAAAAACGCAATGAGGGGTGCTCCCTGACGTCCAGCGGCCTGATCACTTACCCGGAAGTCGGTGACGGAAGTAATGCCCGTGCGCGAGGCGAGGAATGTGCCCTCGGCCATGGTCAGAGCGCTGCGGGTCTCGCCCGCCTCCGGCATGGAGAGTAACCAGATGGTTTGACCGTGGGATCCGAGGACATCGATTGATTTGATATCCACATTGTGATCCTTGCAGAACTGGTGCACGGCCGCGGCGAAGGTCTCGCCTAAGATCACGTTTACTTCAGACAACTCGGAAGGGGAGGTCTTGTTCAGAAGAATCATGTTCATCACCCGCTTCTTTATCACCGGCTCAAGTGGAATTTCGCCATACTGTATCATTGGTCAGTATTTTCAGACCTGGTGGGGCATTCTCGCGGATACTTGCCTTGAGTAGTTCAAAGTGCATAGGTGATTCAGGGGTTTCCTGGCGAAATTGACAAAGGGCACAGTCAATGCCATCCTATACCTGGTTAGTCGTTTCTCAAATAAACGAATAGTCGCCTACCATAGATGTTCCGCTATTCAACCCCAAAACTGTGATGTCTAGACTATGGCTAGTGCCATTAAGCGAGTCGGACGCCATGTCTGATTACAAATTCCGATTTGTAAAATGTAGTATCTATAGGATAACTCCAAGGAAAAGAAAGAAAAAAAATAGTACCCAACTCCTCGGGATCAAGACCCTATTTAACAAACTCGGCTCTCTCAACCCACATCCATAATATGTGTATCTGGTGGAGACGGGAAATCTGCGACATTCCCTGATAGATCTTATTAGAAGGGATGACCGGTAAAACGGTTATATCGTATTGCCTAAATGTTAAGCTGTTGTGTGGGACTTGGGCCCCCGCATGTATCTATCCACCCCAGTCTTACCGCGCTCCTTCAAATTCTTCCAAGGTCGACAAGGGTCCCATAATAAAGCTCCTCCAAAGCTGCCTTTCGTGATCTGAGGATCAGCATATCCATCATGGGCTATACCACACTATGGAAGCGACTCTCACCGCGGCAACTGAATGCTGCTATCCACATATTTTCGCTTATCTCAATCTTCTTCGAGGGATATGACCAAGGTGTGATGGGTGGTGTAAACAGCTCACCGAGATATGTCACTGAGGTTGGCATCGGTAAACCTGACGGGACAGTGACCGACACTACACACCAGGGTGGCATCGTCAGTATCTATTACCTGGGTGCGATATTCGGTTGTTTTGCCGGCGGGTGGCTTGCAGATCGAGTTGGTCGGATCAACGGGCTACTCGCTGGATCATTATTTGCATTGGTCGGGGGAGCCCTGCAAGCGGCCGCGCAGAGTTCGAATTTCATGCTATGTGCCAGGGTGCTTACAGGGGTTGGAACCGGAGGTGGGGATTCATGCTAAGCCTGGCTTACTTTGGGGCCCGCAATGAGAATTATCAATTCTGATTCGTTATTCAATATAGCCCTGACAGGCATTACCCCGGTGTTAGTGTCGGAAACTTCTTCTGCGACCCGTCGAGGTGGCTTCTTGGGATATGTTTTCATTGCCAATTGTGAGTCGTCATTTCATGAGATTCACTAGCTACCAGGGATCATTTTTGACATTTGTTATTTTTTTTTCTTCTTTTTTTAAGACCTAGGAATCTCCGTCGCATATTGGATCTCCTTCGGTCTCGCTTTCGTCGATAACGGTTACTCGGACGTACGATGGCGTTTCCTTCTCGCTTTCCAGTGTTTCCCAGCACTTCTTCTAGCTGTCTTCATCAAACTGTTGCCAGATAGCCCCCGCTATCTGGCCTCTGTGGGACGGAATGATGAGGCGCGAGATCTTTTGAACCGCATTCGCAAAGATCGGGCCTCCCAGGATGAGATTGACCAAGAATATCTTGAAATCATAACCATTGCTCGGGGAAGCAAGCGCAGCTCCCCCATTGAGTTTGTCAAGATATTATTTGGAAAAGGCGGAAAGCCGGGGCTGAACCTCGGCCGACGAGCTTGGTTGTGTGTTTGGCTTCAAATTATGGCATCTTGGACGGGTATCACGGTGAGTTAGGCCGCTTCAACCAGGTCCTTGAACAATCATCGGTGCTAATTGCGATTGTAGGCTGTTACTGCCTATTCCCCGACACTGCTTGCTCAGGCAGGTTATGGTGATATAAAGCAAAATGGCCTTGCTGGGGGAATTAACACAATTGGAATTATAGGTACTATTATCAGTGCACATATTATTGACCGCTTGGGCCGACGGGTTTGTTTGATGGCCGGGGCTGCTGTTTTATTTGCAGTCAACCTTATTGTGGGTTTTTCTTTTTCGATTCGAAGCGTTTTCTCCTGACAATTTCATAGGCTGGAGCTGTATATGAAGGCTCGCTGCATCATCCTGAAAAGGCGTCTCAATATGCGCCTGGTGCCGTGACCATGCTCTTTTTGTTTAACCTGGGGTACGTCAGCATGAAATTACAACACTCTATACATTCATACTAATGTGACGACAACTAGTTATGCCGCCACGTGGGGCACGGTTGCTTTCTTGGTCCCCACTGAGATTTTCCCCAGTGATCTGCGAGCTCAAGGAAATGGATTCGGGATCACAGGGTGGGCCATTGGAGTGGGTATGACCACTCTAGTCAACCCTATCATGTTTGATGTCATGACCGTATGTTCTTTCCCGACCTTTCAGCTCCAATGCAGATATTGACAATCCTTTAGAGCCGTACATACTTTTTGTTCGCTGGCCTTAACCTCATTTGGATCCCGATCGTCTACCTGTGTATGTTCTTGAACTTTGATTTATTTGCATCTTGTTCCGAGACCTAACATCATAATCCTCACAGTCTATCCCGAAACTCGCAACCGGTCTCTGGAATCGATTGACGCTCTTTTCTCGACCTCCAGTCCATTCTATTGGAAGATGGAACAGGCTTATAAGCTCCACGGAGATGTCCTCGCCGAACACGGAGTCAATAGGACCGAAGCTCTCAACAGCGGCAAGACCGAACTGAGAACTGAGGTGACAATATCCCCAGCTTAACTTGCAACTGACTGAAGCATCGCCATTTATATACCATATAGAGCTCGTTCGTGTGACAACCTCGACGCAACATGTACAACACCATGTACTCAAAGCTGTTGTCATGCCTTAATGTATATAGTCAATATTAAATTCAAATCAGTCTTTTTTTTTCACTTTGCTCTCGCCTGGCTCTGATAGTGCCCTGTAATTGGTCTAACATTGTATATCAGAGTAGGTGATCTATGCATGACCATCGTTAGATGTTTATTTATCACATGCGAATCAGAATCTACAGCATTGTATGTAATATCTACTCTTTATTTTTCCAATGATCGTCGAAACCTCCACCACATTCGATCCCGGCGTCAACGTGAAATGACACGTCGCTGACTCAGCTTCTGTGGCTTGCAACTTTAATGCCGACTTTTATCCTCGGTCTCATGTTCATTCAATTGCGCATCGATGTCGGAGAAGATTGTTTGGGTTTGATCGTCAGTTTTTTGCGTGCTTTTTCCATTCTGTACAGTTATACCCCAGGATCTCCCAAACGGCGACCCGTGTCTCTGTGCAGACCCCGAACCCCGTTTTCCGATCGAAGCTCGGGGCCCACGAGTTGGCTCCCGCTTCTTTGCGCCTGAGACCACAGTGTCCAAGGAATGAACTAATGAATTGAATGTCGCAAAAACCCCGAAAGCTCCAACGCGTCTCCAAAGCCTGTAAGATCCCCACGTTCAATTTTGTGCTCCACTTGCGCTTGGCAATTGTCCCCCCGGATTGCACCAAGTTCCCAGCTCATGTTGCATCCACAGGCGACTTCTGCAATAGACGCAGCATAAAGTGCGGCAGAAGTGAAGACCCGCTAGGCAGATGTCAGAATTGTGCGGATTTTGACGTCCCGTGCACCTTTGATCGCCCGGCAAAGCGCCGGGGCGTCAAGGCTGGCACCAGGGCTTCTATGCGAGAGACGCCATTATTGGCAAAAACGCCTGTCCCAGAGAATGTCCTCCCCTTGGCGCCTTCCTCTCAGGCTACAGGGAGGATGTCAACCTCCTCTGCGTCTAGAAGCTCATATTACCCCGAGTCGGCCCACCGCCCATCATTGACTGGAGATTTATGGTCTACCTTCAATGCTGGCGGCGTGGCAACGGAAGGTTATGATGATGATGGCGCATTGCGCAACTCATGGAATGCATTTGCCGTTGCTTGTGATCGTCAAATACGAAATCTGGTGCAAGTATACTTCGAGATTGTATATCCAATGTACGAATCGATCTTTATTGCCTTGCTCGTTTTCGATGGCTGATAAATTTCCAGCTTTCCCCTTTTCCACAAGCAATCTTTTATTGAAAGAGTTCATAACCAAGAGCATCTCAGAAATCCTGGGCTATTTGCCTGCACCATGGCAGTTTGCGCCTTGGTTTCTGGGCGTGCGCGAGACGGCGCACTTTTTACTAATAGGTGGCATCGCGATGAACTCGCTGAACCACCATCCGAGGCATTTTATGCCGCCGCCAAGGATTCTATTCCCCGAGACCTTGCAGCAGCAAGGGGAATTAACTATATGCGTGCCTGTGCTATTCTCGCAATTGCCAGCATTCAGAATAGCCAGATCAAGAATATGCAAAAGTACTCCGGCATGTATCATACTCTCACCAGTATGGAGGGCCTTCATGACGAAAAACTTTGGCCAAAAAACTTGAGTCCTATCGAAACCGAAGAGCGGCGAAGACTAGTACGCAGCCCTTCACCTTATGATTTTGCTTTCCACTAATTCATAGGTCTGAAGTTCTGGTCTATCTATACGTTGGATATTTATTCCACCATTGTTTGGGGGGCGTGATTCGATATCGCGAAGCGCATTCTCTAGTGCGATATCCGAGTGAAATTGATGATGAGTTCATCACACTACATGGCTACGGGTTACCGCCTGTATCTCCACACTCGGGCGTCCTCAATCCAGATGATGTGCCCGTTGTATCACGGCAGCCTGTAGCGTGGCTCCGGGGTTGGAACTTTACCACCGATCTGTATCGAATTCTAGAACACGTCGTCGATGGCAATCGGCGTCGTTTCTCATCAGCTAACGGAACCTCACAGGTGTGGTCTCTCTTTACCCCGGCATCCATGTCGGAACCAGCAGTCATGGAGAGGGTACTGTCCATGTATGCCGCGCTGCCGTCGCAATTCAAAGAAACCCCTCCTACTACAGGCGACATGGCCAAGGATCTGTTCGGGTTCCAGTCTGCCAACATCCAGGCAACACTCCAGCTCCTTCGGATGGTGCTCTTATCGGCGGAAGAACTTGGCGTAGACCGCAAATGTGACGTGGCTGGAGAACTTCTCAGTGTCTTCAGCAAGGTTCCTGTGGAGTATTTGAACGCCATCAGCTCCCCTTTGGTAAGTCACTCACGACTGCTTTTCTCAAGCGCTAATTTACTAACACCTCGCAGCTTCATCACCTTGGCGGAATCGGCTATATCCTCGGCTCTGTAATGGAAGGTAGTTTATCAGAAGCATCCTACCAACGCGTGCGCACGTTGCTGTAAGTCTCTGACCCATCCCCAGCCAAGCACCCAAACTAATAAGCTCCCTCAAGACTCGAAATGGCCGACCTACTCAGCCGCCTCGAGACAGGCCTCCAGCGCGCCGCCGGCGCCAGCCAACGACTTCGATCGCAGGTAGACAGAATCGACGGCTACATGCGCACATCCCGGTTACTCAACCTCACAGCACCACACCTGCGCGCTCATCATACCACAATTCCCCTCGATACTAAACGCGAAGTGCCAATTCCACCCACAACGTACATTCCTCGCAGTGGCCCAGTTCCGGCAGTTGGTCCATCGACGGCAATAAGCGAGCAGATGATGCAGTTCCAGCTGCCGCCGGAGTTGCTGTCGGATTGGCCGTGGCCATTGGATGGGGCTCATGCGGAGGGTTTCCTTCCTATGGCGTTTGAATAATTCACTTGGTGATTGATACGTGGATTTGTGGAGCTGGAAGGTACGTGGTTCATTACTCTATAGAGTAATTGTATTTAATCATCTGTTTATATATCTCTGGCGGTTATCGAGGTGAACTTGTGTATTGTGGTGTCTTTTCATGTTCTTTGTTCTACATATGTACCTATGTTTGTGGATTTCATAGTTTTCGCGCGTTCGGTTTCAAGTTCACTCAATTATCAATCTTGGGCTGGGCTCTTGGATTCTTTTGTGCCTTCCACAACCACCAAATTTCACGCGGCCCCGATTTTCAACTCTCAGTCAATTTGCTTCCTTTGTTCAAAATTGACCTGTGGGCCCTTTGGGACACCCAGTATCTATTGATACTAAGCAAAGTCATTTTAACAGCACATGATATATACAACCTACATTAAAGAGAGCTAGGTAGTATTAGGAAAAGTCCCCGGCATTCTGCGAATTTCTACAAGGGCCTATGAACAAGTAATGTAACTAGGGAGCAAACTCTCCTTGGGCTCCAGCGTGACGCTCAACATAATCTATTTATATTGAGTGGAGTGGTGGGGACGGAACCCGGGAGGCTGTTTATACTCAAATTGTCCACTTTTTATGGAGTACCGCAATCAAAGACATTCTTTTGGAATTTTTGACATCCTCAAGATCACAATCCCGCCACAAACCTAGAATTCAACCAGTATGTACTGACTTCACTTCACTTGGAAGACCAAGGAAGGTTCTACCCGTCATGGGGCTTAAACTTGGCTGTAGAAAAGAGCAAACAATACCGAGCTGGCGTCTAGCGGGCGGACAAGCCCCGCTGGCTTACCCGTCAAAATGCGGGGATAGACATATTGGCTTCAACTCTTCGGCCGCTCTCCCCAAAGCGAAGTGAGAAAAACATACAATTTACTCCGTGGTCCAAAGATGAATGGAATCGAGAGAATTAGAGTGGTTCTGGTTAGTTATTGGAGGCTGATAGGACATTTTTACAGTTTGAAGCTTGTTTGAAGATTACTCGGTTGATATGACCACCGGCCAACTTCCGATATCATGGCTTTATTTTGACTAAGAGTTTTTACCCCGCAAATAAGAGGGAGGTCTTTCTGCGCCTCTGAGGCATTAAAACGGCTCTTATCAAAAGTATTAGCTTCTAAGGTTAGCACTTGTGAGCCATGACCCATGGTCAATCCCCTAGTCAACCATGGTCTACCCCCCAGTCAATACTTGATAAGCTTATCACTTGGCAGATCTTCCAAGGTTGGTATCGCTTTCTCCTCCCCCTTTTGGGATGGTCCCGATAGACTCTCTGACTCTGGCCGATTAGCCCTCTTATCAGTGGTGTACGCGTTTTCATGTTTCGCCGAGTGATGTTCTTGGCGGTTTTATAGTCTTGTATCGTTGCATGATCAACATGGATGCCGTCTATCTATCAATGTTCTTAGCGTCTCTCTCCGCGCGCACTTGAGACAAAAATTAGTGCGCATATAAAGGGTCATGCTCCCGCCTCTTGAATTGGAGTCATTCCAGGCTCAAGTAATATTTCGTCATGGAGAAAAAAGATTCTATAGACGTGTCCATCCCTGAGGATACTAGCTCAGGCGATGTATTACCCTTCCGGCAGACGAAGCGTGGTCTGACATCTCGACATGTGCAACTAATGGCCATCGGAGGCTCAATCGGTACTGGACTTTTCGTCGGAATTGGATCCTACCTACGGGATGCAGGTCCGCTGTCAGTGTTCCTTGGGTATCTGATTTGGGGATGTCTCTTTATTTTGCCTGTCAATCTGTGTGTTGGAGAGATGGCTGCATACCTTCCTATCCGTGGCTCAATTTTTGAGCTTGCTGCCAGGTTCATTGATCCAGCATTTGGGTTTGCTATGTAAGTACTCCCATACCCTATATTGCTTTGCTTGACCATGCAGACACTAACTCTTCTAGGGGCTGGGTATATTTCTATGGTGGTGTAATGCTAGTATGTACGGAGTACTCTGCAGTCTCAACAATTATGCAATACTGGAACACAAGCGTCAACCCAGCCGTCTGGGTAGCCATGGCACTGATCGTTTGCACAGCGCTCAACCTTATCTCCGTGAAATGGTACGGCGAAAGCGAGTTTGTCCTAGCGTCAACCAAGATCCTTCTCCTCATCGGACTCGTCCTCCTCACCTTCATCACAATGGTTGGCGGAAACCCCAAGCACGATGTCTATGGCTTCCGGAATTGGACCGAGGGCGTCATGTTCGAATACTATACCGAGGGCAGCACGGGCCGATTTTTGGGTTTCTTCTCCGTCATGGTCTACGCCGCCTTCTCTGTGGCTGGACCCGATCTCCCAGCCCTGGCCGCAGGAGAGATCCAGAACCCCCGAGTGACCATCCCCCGAGTTGCGAAGATGACTTTCTGGCGTATTGTTGGATTCTATGTCGTCGGAGTCCTGGCTGTAGGCATCATCTGCAGTCCACGCGACCCCCGTCTCATTTCCGCAATTAGTGACGGTGCCGCTGGCTCCGCTGCTTCACCATGGGTCATCGGCATCGAAAACCTCGGCATCAGAGGTTTACCCGATCTGATCAACTTCCTGATTTTGTTATCGGGCTGGTCGTGTGGCAACGCGTACCTCTACAGCTCCAGTCGCACACTTTACTCTCTCGCTCGCGACGGCCAGGCGCCGAAGTTCCTTTTGAAATGCACTGCATCCGGAATCCCTATTAACTGTGTCATCACGGTGTCTATTTTGTCTTGCATCACTTTCCTCGTTGCTAGTACCTCATCCGTCGAGGTCTTCTTCTGGTTCGTTGATCTGACCACCATTGCCTTCGTGCTCACCTACACTGGCATGGTCTGCGTCTTCATTGCCTGGTACCGGGCCATGAAAGCGCAAGGAATTGACCGCAAATCCTTCGTCCCCTGGGCTGCCCCGTTCCAGCCATACGGGGCCATTCTTGCTATCATTATCGGCTGCCTGACCGCTGTCTTCAATGGCTTCTCTGTCTTCAAGCCTTTCAGCGTGCAAGGCTTCATCACCTCGTACTTTGGTCTGGCGTTCTGGGTCATCATGTTTGTCTTCTGGAAGGTGTATCACCGGAGTTCTTTTGTGAAAGTTGCAGAGGCAGATTTGTACTCTGGGAAGGCGGAGATTGATGAAGAGTGTAAGATCTGGGAAGAAGGTGGTTGGGCCGAGCGGCGGAAGCAGGAGCTGGCTAATATGCATTGGGTCCGGCGAGTGTGGGAAAAAATGTGGTGATTGTCTCTAACTTTGGAGCTTTGTATATTTATACCTATATTTTATATCTTCATGGAAATATACTCCCATCATTTGATATTTGCTATCTCTAGAGCCTATAGTATAAGATACTCCTCTGAACAGCAGATCGACTTACTTCCTTCTCTCTTCTTTTCTATATGTCCAGCGTGTATCATTTCATTGGTTCTATTCAAAAGATCAAACCTCGAAATTACAATGTAGGGGCTGTCCAATGGAACAAACCATTTATCGATACTCATCGCAGTCGGCAAAAACAGTTGAAAATACAATAAGGTCAAATCTATTTCAATTGTAAATTTCAAACAATCTTTCTGCATCTAAACAGGTATAGAAGAGCTAGACTATAAGAGTCGTACCTCTCATAACCAGACGGTCTGATTGGTCGGCACGGGTTCTTTAAGGGCACGCACCGGTGGGGACCGGGAGTGGAAAAGAAAAGTTGCCCGGATCAAGCTTCTCCAGACTCACAAACAACATCATTTCCACCATGTCCACCATGTCGACTCGCTCCGCCTGGCGAGCTTTGCACTACAGCGCCAAGCGTCGCTCGTTCCAACCCTCCACTCCCTACCGTTGCTTCTCCTGTGCCAGCCGCGCCCAGGAGCAGAAGCCAGCGGACCGCATGACACACTTCGGCTTCACAAATGTCCCCGAGTCAGAGAAGGAGACGCGAGGTAAGGATCACCACCAGCCTATCCAATTGACTACTGCACTCTCAATTCAATCAAACCCGAACTTATAACTAACCACCACACCCCCTGCAGTCGGCGCCGTCTTCAGCTCCGTAGCAGCCTCTTACGACCGCATGAACGACCTAATGTCCCTCGGCATCCACCGCCTGTGGAAAGACCACTTTGTGCGATCCCTGAATCCAGGCGCCTGCCTACCCGCCATGACCGCCGACCAGCGCGGCTGGAACATCCTGGACATCGCCGGCGGGACCGGCGACATCGCGTTCCGCATGCTCGACCACGCCACGAACGTCAACCACGACATGGAGACCCGTGTGACGATCAGTGATATCAATGCGGACATGCTGGCTGAGGGCCGCAAGCGCTCGCTCGACACGCCGTACTACAACACGCCGCGACTGGACTTTGTCGAGGCGAATGCTGAGCACATGCCGCATATCCCCGACGCCTCGGTTGATCTGTACACTGTTGTTTTCGGAATCCGGAACTTCACGGACAAGCAGGCTGCGCTGAATGAGGCGTATCGTGTACTCAAGCCCGGTGGTGTCTTTGCTTGCATGGAGTTCAGTAAGGTCGATAATCCTATTCTGGATGGCATTTATAAGCGTTGGAATTTTAGTGCTATCCCGCTTATTGGTCAGGTCGTCGCTGGTGACCGTGATAGTTACCAGTATCTCGTTGAGAGTATTGAGCGTTTCCCTAGCCAGGAGGAGTTTAGGGGTATGATCCAGAAGGCTGGGTTCATGATTCCTGGTCAGGGCTTTGAGAACCTTACCGGTGGTATTGCTGCTATCCATAAGGGTATCAAGCCGATTGTTAAGGCTTGATTGCGGAGGGTTGCTATGTGTGTGAGGAGATGGTGTTATGTACAATATAGACCCGGGACTTTGCATACTGATTGTATTACTATGAGAAATATTATTGGCGTTGGTTTGCATCGTGTATGAACAGCCTTGGCTGTGAGGCCCGGGCTTCGATTGTAAATGTGCATCTAAATGCAATATGTATGCAAAGAGGAACAAAGCTATGTGGGCGTAACATCGTCAACCGGATGCAGGATAATGCAAACGATATGTAAAATCAAGGGAGTATATCCAAGAAAGATTAAGAAGACTAGGCCGCTTTTCAGCCATGTCATTCATCCGATAGATCCTCTGCCTCCATCACCCCTATGATACTGCCGGGAGAGGCCATATCCTTCACGACAGCAATGACAGAAACTGGGTCTGATCCGTTTCGAGATTCAGAAACCGTACGCCGGATTTCACCGAGAGGCGTGGATTCTGGCACCAAGAGCCATTTACTCTGGGGTACGATGAATGGTGTACCAGGGTTTTTGGTTACAACCTCAGACACACGCAAGTCCATATCTCCACCAGGAGAAACGAGAGCACGAATGCGCCTCGGGGGTATTATTTCAGAGGGAGACAACGAAACCCATGACTTGGCATTGGGATGCTGGATAGCTGTGAGAAGGATATCAAGAAGTCGGACATCGCTAGGTGACTGCGATGAAGACGCAGAGACAGTGGGAATTCGATCGAACGGGACCAACATGTCTCGGGAAAGGAAGCGTTGTTCTGGTGGCGACTGTAAATTGAAAGGAGGGATCACCGGCGCATTCGTGATATCCTCCCATGGAAGAGACACAGATGACGTTGGAGAGTCGAATGTCCTCGTTGACATGCCGCTGGACGGCGTGGTCAGCGGCGTCTCTGCCGCCGCCGCCGCTCCAATAGCACCACCAGGATGGAACCCACGGAAGACCTCCGCAGGGCTCTTGCCTGTCGCAGTGTGCAGCTTCCGGGCCGTCGCAATCGCCAGCGCATCGCCCAGCGACAAAGCCACGGTGGTAGACGAGGTGGGCGCGCTCACACCGAAAGAACACTCTTCATCCTCATGAATCGGGGCTGGTAAAAGAATACCCATTCCCGCAGGGCCATGCAACGCAAGAAGCGGACATGTCGCTGGATGTGTATGGGATGTAAGAGCGATCACCGGAACAGTAGCGGGAAGATGCGGAAGCAGAGATAAGAGTTCAGGCGAGCGACCCGAGAAGGATATAAGAAGAATCGTATCATTCTGGATAGACCAGGTTAGTATGGAAGTTTCCAATGTCTCTAATCAATAGTGCAGATAATTGGGATTCAAAAGTAGACATGTGCAGGCGCAGGTGCAGGTGGGCTTACCGGCCGAACCAATCCCAGATCGCCATGCAAGGCTTCAGTCGGATGCAGGAACGCGCTGTATACACCCAGACTATTCATCGTAGCCTCTATTTTGCGTCCGACCTTTCCACTTTTCCCGACCCCGCAAACGACCAGTTTCCCGCCCTCGCGCACGCTCCGCGCAATCTGATCTACAGCCCGGGCGAGATCGTGCTGCGCTCGCGCATCGGTCTGATAGATGTGCTCGAGGTGAGCGAGGGCTGCTCGCTCGGTTGAGATCACATGGATTGCTGTTACCACCGACGAAACATCTTTTGGTGCTGGTGGATCGGATGAATTAGGAGGGGTGAGAGGCCATGAGGGGAGGCCGTGGGGTTCGAAAATTGTCATGACGAATAGTTCTCAATGTCTATAGCATATTGATTGGAAGGAAGGGGTTTTTATGAGCGAAATGGGTTCTGCGCACGCCTGGGCGCCGGTTTATTTGCGGAGGCCGAGAGCAAAGATCAGTCGATAACGGAAGATGATAAGTGGGCGATCCGGATCGGTGTTTTGCCCAGACGTGAGACGGAGAATTACCTGCTTCGGGGTCTTTTTAAAGGGGCAATTTGATTTATAACAATACTCCTTTTCTCACATTGATTTCATGCCATTATACATAACCCCGTCTAACAATATGGTGTCATCCTATGCTATAATGGTGAATGTGGAGGCGATCTACCTGCCTATTCGAGTATTTCCGAGGCCGATGCATATAACATGAGACATCATTTGAATATTAGTTTGAACACATTCTGAGAAATAGATGTCTAACCCTAGAGGTCTATTGAGTCCTCATATGTACAGTGGGTTTTGGCAAAACAGAGAAAAATCAAGCCCGAGGATAGTGGTATGTACATGCGGTTGGCCGGGATGATTGCAAAATTCTCCGGCAATAGCTTCGAGAACGAGCAAAAGCAAACATGTTTAGAACTCAAAAGTACTCCGCAAACTCCAACAAAAAAATTCATCATCTGTCGCACAGAAAAGGACAGAGGGCAGGGGTATCGCATCAGGATGTCGCGTCGCTAGGGGTCATTATGAGTATGCCTCAACAGGCAGTAATAGGTCTTATCATCCTGATCGGCCTTCCTGCCTCTCTTTACCCTTCTCTGCTGTGCCATCATCTTCGTATAGATGATGTTGCTCAATGTAATGAATGACTGGAACTGGGATGAGGTAGCGCACACTCATCTCACGCCGCAAGAAGAGTCGAATCTTTGTGCTGCTAACGTCATTCTGAATGAGCTGTTGGATGACATGAATATTGTCCTTCCAGGGCTGCAAGCTAGCTAGGGCTTCATCAATATCTGTGCCACTGCGCTCCACAATGAAAGACTGAAAGGTGTTAGCGGCCTGTTTCTCAAGCGCGAGATGAAGCAAATGCTTTGGAACTTACGCCGTATTTGCCTAGAATGTGATCCAAATCCTTCTCACTCCATACACCTGGTGTGGACATGGTATGAATCAGATCCGCGCCGGCTAGCAGAGCAATGCGAACGGGCTTCCGGGTCCCGTTTCCGGTGTCCACTCCTCCACGGACGACATTGATTTCATGATCGAAGTGGTCCAGTACCACGGCAGTTGGCTGATAAGCCTTTTGAGTTGGCTCCCATGTGTCCACCATCAACCAGTCGGAGGTTTGATCGACTGCAAGTTGGCACATCGCAACCCTGTAGATCAATGCTCGTTAGCATTCTGAAACGACCAAGTCAAATAGAACTGAGGTAGAAACCCTTACCGATGCTCCGCACTGGCCAGACCAGCCTTGCGATAGGCGTCCGACACCGGCGACAGATATCCCCCAATGAGTTCGAAGTCGGTGCTAAATCTGACGTGATCGGCAGCCATTTCGAACATTCGCAGGTGTAAATAGGTAATCGGCGAGAAGGAACCACAGGCGACCAGCAAGAGAGGAGTCTTTTCTGGATCACTCATCGTGCGCTTGAGGCGCAACTCCGGGAAGGTGTAATCCTCCATCCGAGCGGGGGTGATGTCGGCGGGTACCTGGTGGACATCATCGCTCTGCCCGCCGACCATTTCGATTGCCATGATAGAGTAGGAAGAGTATATGTTCCCGAAAAAATCCTTAAAATTCCGGGGAAAGCGAAAGGGTACAGGGGAAAGGCGGGGGTTGAGAAGTGCAGAGTTGAAGTTATGCCGGGATGGGATGGCGGGGGGCAAACCCAAGGCGGCAAGAGAATACGCCGGAAGAAGGCGAGGGAGTGAAAAGTGATAGGTAAAAGTTGAAATTTGTCAATGTTTTCTTTTTTTTTTATCCCTGTGTTCTTTTTATTTCTCTAGGCAGACCCCAGTTTCCTTAAATGTGATTAATAAGGTCACTACCTCGGTGAGTCAATCGAGTTCTCTATTCGGTGTGTCTCCGTCCGGATTGAATGCCGCTATATTCCATTCCGAGGTAAGAAATTATAGGAGAGGTAAACAATGTTTAATCGGGGTTTTCTTGGCTCTCAAAGTCCTTACTTCAGAGATTATACATAGAAGTGTCTCTTACACAAGGTATGCTTCTTTCGCCTCTTTCTGTAGTCTGAAGAGACCGTTAAAAAGACCGCTAGAAAGACTACTGAAAAGCCCTGTAAGAAAGACACCATAAGTCTGCATAAGCGGCCGTCTATTCTTATTATACAAACCTAGGTTGCACTACGTACTTGATTTCCTCTAGGTGGAGCTTTCCCATCTTAGCTGCCGCCGCTTTCAAAAGGGCGCTCAAAATTGGGGTTGAAGATGAGTGAACAGTTGCATCAAAGAGGGCTTGATGAGATTTCTTCTTCGGGGCTACTCAGCAGTTGCTTTCCAGCCCTGTCTCGAAGAGATTCTGCGCAACTTCGCAGACTCTCGATGTGATCAAGTGCCAACGGAGATCGAGCATGACTTGAGTAGATTTCAGTCCGGGCTCAGAGTGAGTTCAATAACGTGATAGGCCAGTGAGATCCTCCTGAGTGCTCACTGAATCACAGATTACTCAGGGTTTGATTAGATCAAGCATCCAATTAGCTACGAAGTATCCCTTTGTATTCATATATCACCGGCTCTCACGCTTGCTTTGTCTATCTCGACACTATGTACACAAATGAAATAACACTTGTATTCACCAAAGCCTTGTTAATAGTAGGTGAAATCAAGAAAGCAAACCCTTGCTAATAATATCCTTGCTCTTGAGGATCATTTCCGCTCCAAATATTTCAGAGCCGCTTCATACATTCGGTCAACGCACTACGGTCGTCAGGATCGGTATCTCGAATATCCGCTGCGAGAATCATACCTGCTTGTAGATTGTGGGACTCATCGGCTGAAATCTCAAACGTCTTATTCTTAACAAACCCACCAGGGAGCTCACATCCAGAGACACTTGAGCGAGGATTTTGAGGGTGGACTTATTCAAATATGCACCACCGGACAGCCAGAATCCTCGAGCCCCTACCTTTGTAGTTGTATCACCGAGATTGAATCGCTTCACGTGGAGGTAGGAGATCAAGGAACGGAAATAGAGGTATCTAGGGCGAGGGCGCTTCTCAGAAAGGAAGCTCAAAATGCGGTCCTCGAGGTGCTACGCAACTGTTAGCCTGTACTCTTCCATTTTAGGCCTAGAGATAGAACTGACCTTGATCTTGATTCTTAAACAAAATTCTCATCTTTCAACTTATCCAACACAATACATCTCCACGTGGTTGGTTCGGTTATCGAGCCAGGTATTGGAACGACAGCAATCACCCCACGGTCGAGCAGGGGTTCAATGGGATTGCATAAAGACAGCCCCATCAAGAGTTTCGTCGGATTATTCTCTTCTCAACCGAAAAGGGTATTCTTGCCATTGCGTGGGTCAGAGAGCACACCGTCCTGAAGTCCGAAAATATGGGACACTTCTGCTTTGCCCAAGGACTTCAGCAAAAGATGAGCTGCTGTGACTGAAGTGGCGGGCAAGAAAAATCCGAGAACACGACAGAAAGATGTCTTTCCCCCACAGTGGGTTGTCAAGCCATAGTATCAATTCACTGCTTTCTCGAATTCTTTCTGGTTGAAGGAGCTTTTTGAGTCTTCGCAGCCGCGCCCATTACACGTGGGATAATCGAACCCATGTATGTTCTCTCAACAAGTCCATAATCTGAATTGCAGTGGTCCTTCTGCGCCCGACCTTCATTTCTAAGTCTTCCTCGATCAACGTCCGTTGGCGCTTGATGACATCGAGGGTCTGCGACGCTGCTCGGAACTTACTCAGAGCAGGACCAATATCTGCCTAGAAAGCATCACTGCTGAGTAGCCCTGGAGACGCAAAATCATCGAGATCCTCTTTGATGCAATTGATGTCCTCCTTCTCTTCCTCGAGTGCAGGGATCTTAGCGTCAAAAAAGTCCGATGGGTTGACTGCAACGAGTCTTGCAAAACCTCAGAGAGTCTTGATGAATTGCTGACCAATGACTCCTGATAACCACACAAAGCCTGGCGGTGGTTTGCTGGTATCAGGGAAGAAATTTTCTCATTGCCAGGGAAAGGGATCTTCTCTGGTATTTTGAGTGAAACAAATAGTAATTTAAGAGGTAATTGATGAACAAAAGCAAAGACTAATAGAAGAAGAGTGGGTAAAAAGAAAGCCGAGTTGTATTTAGGTACCTAGGTAGTATGTTTATTATGATTTCCGAACCAGGTAAGTGCAGTGATCTCTTCCTGCTGCGTCTTACTTTACATGTTGAGAACTTTGGATGTCTACGGACGCTCTATTAGGCATCGCTCTTGTACAAGGTATACTTTTCCCGCCTTTTTCTGTCGTCTGAAAAGACCACTAAGGAAGACCACCGACAAGACCGCTGAAAGACCGCTGAAAGAACATCATGAGGCCACATAAGCGGCCATCTACTCTTTGCCTCTCGCGCTTTCGGATCCTGGACCTTTTCCTCTTGCACGTTTTACTCATATACTTTTCTATCTCCTACCTTCTCTGAGTCATGCGAGGGCGTATAATTGTAGTAAAAAAAAGAATGTAAGGGCCGAGACCACTTGGTTAAACGGTAAACCTGTAGGTCTCTATACTTCATCTTGGCATGCAATCTACCAATAGGCGTGCTTTGTTACTATCACCTTAATCAAGGATTTCAATTCCACGAATGACCTTGGTTACCCGCGGTCTCTCCTTTGCCTAGTTGGAAAAGCGTGGATCTACTCTTGAATCACAGCCATTACACTGCACAGAAGTATAACCTAATTGGGTCTAGCCCTTCTACTCATGTTTTCAATACAAGTGTCATTAATTATGCCTCAGGCCATACCTCGATGAAATCATATCTGGATGGGTTCAGTAAGCATGACATTCTGCCCATATTGTACATTGTTGGTCATGATCGAGTGGTGCTTAAGGAGCGGTTTCGACGATGATTATGTAAGGCTCCGGACTGTGCTCAGGTTTACTCGGTGAGAAACACAAAAGCGGCATGAGGTGAACACTAAAACGGAAAGATAAAGCCCAGAAGTGGCAGCAGAAATTAAGTACAACGTAAGTAGCTACATGGGTTAGTCCCGGCATGTTCATTGAGCTCTCTGTATACAATGAAACGAACAGAGGATGAGTTGTTTAATGTCTTTGGCTATATTCAAACAACCGGACCATGTATATCAAATACAATATCAGAAACCGTTTGATGATGTATATATATATATAAGGATCCCTTGAGATATTTATTGCCACCCTGTCGGACAGGTCTCGGGCCCTCCGTGCCCAATGTCAGGCTAGATGTAAATGTCGGGAAATAAAGAGGGTGTAGGATGTTTACAATCAAGCATAGGTAAGCGTAAGCAAGCATACCAAATACCGAAATATAGGTAATAGTATGGGTAATAGTGTAGGCAATTGTATACGGTTGTTCGTGTATAAGTATCGGGTTAGATCATCGAAATATTGCACTTCCGCCGCCTGACGCTCCCCGAATCTCATCACAACCACCACGTCAAATCCTCCTTCTTTCCAATTTATCCTTTTCTTCTATTTCTTGCTTTTCAACCCACCCATCGGGGGAAAAAAATTCATCTGCGACTGGCATTGGTATCTCATTCTTTTCTTGAATGATCTTGCAGCCCCGACGGCAACGATAAACAGCTACCCGAACGCCCTCGCCAGCCCTTTCGGCTAGCCTTTGACAGGTTTGCGGATGGCGGGTTAAAAACGGCGAATACTCAATCGAGCCTCCCATACCCGATAACTTATGGCCAGGCAAAGGCCTTCCGCCAACCGCCAGGACCCTCTCGAGGATTATCCCGTCTCCCCCGCAGGCACTTCCACGGCCTCTTCTTCCCTGAGGTAGTTTCCCACCCGTTCTCTCCGCTTTACACACTGTGGTCTCTTGGAAATTCATACTCCCCTTTCGTGGACACCCACTGGCGAGAATCCGGTGATTACCTGAGCCTTACCCCGTTTATCCCCTGGCCTGTGAAGTGGATCATTCACAGTTCACTATCGTTCTACATCTCTAGATTCGTCATCTGTCTACCCAACTATCTGCCTATCGCTTTGACCATCCCGGTCTTCCTTTTCTGTCTTTCTCTTTCTTCAGGCCCTAATTTCGTCACACATAATTAAAAAAAAGACCACATTCTCATGTCATCCAGAATAACTCGCTCCTCCGCGAGACTCGCCACAGACCCTCCACCTACTGAGTCCGGTGCACCTCTACAAACAACCGGCTCAAGCTCTTCCCGGAAACGCAAGGCATCTTCCCGCCACGACCGACAAACAGACGCCCCGATACAACCAACACCGCCGTCGCCCCAAAGAAAAACCAAGCGACCCCGGACCGCAGCATCCCAAACAGCTCCATCTACTGGCCCTGTTCCTGCTGCACCCCGTCGAGGCGCCCGCAGCCGTCCAGCCATGTCACAACCGGGGTAAGGCGATGAAGCATAGTGATGAATAGGAATAGGGAACTAATTTGATTCTCTTATCTAGACCATCATCTCGGCCGTCGGAGGAATCATCAAAATCGACGACCTCTCCACAACCATCAAGGCGAAAGTCCAGCCGGAATGGTGAGTTTCATACGTCGAGTTTCAGCCGTGTGATACAACGTTGGTATCTAAATGCGATGGTTACTGATTCCTTCTGTTTATAGATCGACCTGCGACAACCCAATCTCCACCACCGCGCCGCTCGAAGAAGCGTTCCGCCAAGCTCAATCCCGATGTTTTGATGAAAGATGCAGAGGAGGAAAGCGAACAGGAGGAAGAGGAACACCATGAAGAACATCAAGGATCCCAGACGGGAGAGAGCAACGATGGCACCAACCCCTCAGCGTTTGGAGATGATGATATGGATCCGTTCCACAGCAGCCTGTTCGGTGGTCGAGGCCCCATGGGACTTCAGAGCACTCTACGTGCACTTACTGGCATGATGAGCGGCATGTCCTCGCGTCTTCGAGATATTCTTAGCAACTTGAGAGCAAAAGATGATCAATCACTCCAATTGATCGCTCTGCAAGAGCTGTCGGATCTTTTGCTTGTCTCGAACGAAGATAACCTGTCTGGTCAATTTTCGCCGGACCCGTATGTGAAGGAGCTTGTGGCTCTGATGCAACCGAACCAATTCGGCGAAGAGAACCCCGAGATTATGCTTCTTGCATGTCGCTCTCTCGCGAACCTAATGGAGGCCCTCCGGGGCTCCGTGGCGAATGTTGTATATGGTGGTGCTGTGCCTATCCTTTGTCAAAAGCTTCTTGATATACAGTTCATCGATCTGGCTGAACAGGCTCTAAGTACTTTGGCCAAGATTTCAGTTGACTTCCCAGCCTCAATTGTGCGAGAAGGTGGACTGACCGCTTGCCTCACATATCTGGATTTCTTTCCAACTAGCACTCAGCGTACAGCAGTCAGCACGGCCGCCAACTGCTGTCGTAACCTTCCCCATGACTCGTTCCCTGTGGTGCGGGATGTGATGCCCACCCTGCTGAACGTCCTATCTAGCAATGACCCCAAGGTCGTGGAGCAAGGATGTCTATGCGTTTCACGGATTGTCGAGAGCTTCAAGCACAGACCTGAGAACCTGGAGGAGCTGATTGAGCCCGCAATGCTCAAAGCTGTTCTTCGACTCCTACTGCCAGGAACGACTAATCTGATCGGGCCTCACATACACACGCAATTCCTCAGGGTCTTGGCAATCGTATCAAAAACAAGCCCACGGTTGTCAAACGAGCTTCTCAAGATGGATGTAGTAGATACGCTTTACCAGATTTTGACTGGCGTATCACCACCACAGGATGTCGATAACACGGCTGTCAAGATGGACAGTGTGCTAGTTATGCAAGCATTGATTCATCGGCCCCGTGAACAAGTATTTGAAACTTTGAATGTCATCTGCGAGCTGCTGCCAGGCGTTCCAAGCCGCGATGCCTCGAAGACTGACAATCTGTTAAGCTCATACTTTGATAGCCAGATGTCTATCGGACTGAGGTCGCCCAAAACTAAAGAGGCAGTAGAGGAGAGACGGTCCTTGCTTGTTAACTGCAAGTCTGAGCTTAAGCGGTTTGCGATGATTTTGTTCCCAACTTTAACCGATGCCTACTCGAGCACTGTCAATCTGCATGTCCGCCAGAAAGTTCTGATTGCTCAGCTGAAGATGCTGCACATTCTCGAGCCTTCTTTGATTGAAGACGCCCTACGCACAGTTCCTTACGCCTCGTTCTTGGCTGCTATTCTGTCTCAAAAGGACCACCCTTCTCTCGTATCTTTGGCTCTCCGCTGCGCTGAGCTATTGTTCCAACGGCTTGAGCATGTTTATCAGCATCAATTCCACCGTGAAGGAGTGATATCCGAGATTATCAAACTATCCGAAGGGTCTCTGTCAGGAGATCAGGAGATTACCGATTCATCCGATCCCACAAATGTAAACACGACCACAGATCTATCGCGCGGCCCCAATCAAATTGCCGGAGAGACTGGAGCTGGCGGAGAGGATGAGGATGAAGACGACGAAGCCGATGACTATGACGATGAGGATGGCGAGGATGATGACCACGATGACATGTCTGATTCCGAGGATGACTTCATGGCGGGCCCACGCAGTCTACAGAAGATGGACAATGCGCTCAACGACGTAGTTATCCGAGATGCTCAAGCTTTCCTCGAGGTATATGAAGCAAGCCATGGCGAAACCGTCCGAGCAGAGGCTCTGAGGATATTGACAGCGTTGAAATCTCTCGCCTTGGAAATCAAGTCACGCTATTCTCGTGGCGGTGAGGGCGGCCTCCTCTTATTTAAACAGCTCGCATCATATTTTGATGGAGACGCACTGGAGAGCATCACCAGCTCTGAATTGCTCAACTCCGGCATCATACAGGTTCTTCTGTGTGTTCTGGGTAACTTCCAAGCTCGTTCTATTCGCGATGCTAGAGCCGACTTCCTGCGGGCGTTTATGGGTGTTTCAATCTCAGATAAGGCTCAAAGCCAGAGCACAGCCACGACACCTTTCAGCGTACTTATCCGCAAGCTGCAAGACCTGCTTAGCAGGACGGAACATTTCGAGGTCCTCACCGTCAGCCATAATTCGTTGGAGAATACCCGTAGCAACGCAGCCTACATGTTGAGCAAACAGCTGCGACTCAAGTTGGTTGCCGAGGAAGGGTCCGAAGTTCCTCGTCCTTATCGTAACATCATGGTCTCAATCCATGCCATCGCCACATTCAAGGCCTTGGATGACTTCCTTCATCCACGAATTGCCGTGGCGGAAAAGCCTCGGCCCTCGCGGACCAGGGACTCGATTCTCTCCCAAATTGCCAATGCGTCCCGGCTTCGTGAACAGCTGGCTTCAGGGTCTGGTACGAACCTCCCCGGTCAGGCAGGGGGACCGCATGACACTACTGCCGATTCCACAGACGGGGCCTATGATCCTGCAACTGGTCACTCGCATCATCAATCAAATCGCATTCAAGAGGATGAAGATGAAGACCACCTTGACGCGCCCCTTGAGTGCGCAGATGAAAGACAACTGACCGACGAAGAAGAGGGTGGCGACGAAGACGAGGACGAAGAACTTAACGCCATTGTTGATGATCTCGATGAGGATATGGAAAATGACAATATCTCTGACCCCTCGGCAGTCAACATGGAGGTGGCATCCTCGGGCAAGGTCACAGCCCGCAAGGAGGATGGTACTCGAGTTGGGACTCCTGCATCCAAACCTTCTTCCTCGGCCCCTACCTCTCTCCCAAGCCGCATGAGCAACAGCTCGCTTGCTACTGCCGGGCGCCCGTTCTCATCTTATGCCGCTGCGATGGCCTCGGTGCCCCAGGACTGGCACCTTGAGTTCTTCGTAGATGGCAAACCCGTTACTAATGAGACCACTATCTACCGTGGTGTTCATCACGACCGCGAGGACTTGGACGAGAGTAGTGCCAAGAACGTTTGGTCGGCTGTTCACACCATCACATTTAAGCGCGTTCCTGGTCCTCCTCCACCGGAACCTTCAACCCTCACTTCGACCGCCCAGGCTTCTTCTTCCGAGGGTGATGCTCTCGAAATTCCAGCCTCTCTCGACAAAGACCCCACAACTTCATCCATAATTCGTCTGCTTCGTGTTTTGCACGAAATGAACGCAACGATTGATGATATTTTGACCGATACCAAAGACTCTGCCGCTATCACATCGGAGCCCTTAACCCAATTCATCAACACGAAGCTCACCGCCAAAATTAACCGCCAACTCGAGGAGCCATTGATTGTGGCAAGCGATTGTCTTCCAAGTTGGAGCGAAGACCTAGCCAGGCTTTTCTCCTTCTTGTTCCCATTCGAGACAAGGCATCTGTTCCTGCAGTCCACTGCATTCGGTTACTCGCGGGCGATGATGAGATGGCAAAATTCCCAAAGTGGCGAGGACAGCCGACGGGACCTGCGCCGCGATGACCGACCATTCCTCGGGCGGCTACAGCGCCAAAAAGTTCGAATCTCTCGTTCTCGCATCCTTGATTCTGCAATCAAAGTCATGGAACTCTATGGGTCTTCTCCTAGCATTCTTGAGGTTGAATACTTTGAAGAAGTTGGTACTGGATTAGGACCGACTCTTGAATTCTACTCTACTGTTTCTAGAGAATTTTCGAAGAAGAAGCTTAAGATTTGGAGAGACACGGATGGAAGCTCTGCTGCAGAGTACGCGTTTGGCAAGCGCGGCCTGTTCCCAGCGCCGATGAGTGATGAGCAAGCAGACCAAGACATCGGCAAGAAGCAATTGAACATCTTCAAGGTGCTAGGAAAGTTCGTGGCCCGCTCGATGCTTGACTCTCGGATCATCGACATTTCGTTCAATCCAGCCTTCTTCCGTATCGCGGATACTCTGTCCTCGGTGGCGCCATCCCTGGGCACTGTCAAGCTGGTTGATCACGACCTCGGAAAATCTTTACTCATGCTCAAGGAATTTGCCAATGCCAAAAACGCTATTGAGGCAGATAAGTCGCTTTCGCCAGCCCAAAAATCCGAAGCCGTGCAAAATATAACGGTGCAAGGTGCCAAGGTCGATGACCTAGGTTTGGACTTCACCCTACCTGGGTATCCTACTATTGAGTTGATTCCTGGCGGCTCCGAAGTGCAGTTGACAATTGAAAATGTTGACACTTATATCGAACGGGTGATCGACATGACTTTGGGCAGCGGTGTCCGACGTCAGGTGGACGCCTTCCGGGCTGGGTTCTCGCAAGTCTTCCCCTACTCCTCCCTCCGTGCTTTCACTCCAAGTGAGCTCGTCATGCTTTTCGGGCAGGCGAAGGAGGATTGGTCTATCGAGACCTTAATGGACTCCATCAAGGCCGATCACGGGTTCAACATGGACAGTCGGAGTGTACGCAACCTGCTGCAGACTATGAGCGAGCTGGACAACCAGCAACGCCGAGATTTTCTTCAGTTTGTCACTGGTAGCCCCAAGCTCCCCATTGGAGGTATGTTCACCCTCTTTTTTCCCGGACCTATGTAAATTTTCACTAACATAATCAATATAGGTTTCAAGAGCCTCACGCCGATCTTCACTGTTGTGTGCCGCCCAAGCGAACATCCATACACACCAGACGACTATCTGCCGAGTGTGATGACTTGCGTCAACTATCTCAAGTTGCCAGACTACAGCGATCTGGACGTCCTCAAGAAGCGCCTCTCGGTCGCCATCAAGGAAGGCCAAGGAGCTTTCCATCTTTCCTAGACCCGTGGACAAGTGTTCACCCCCAAAATGTTCACTATCTCCTCTCCCCCTCTTATCTTGCTAGCTTCCGTCTTTCTCAACCAGGACGAGAAATCCTTCACGATGTGACGACGCGCGACCTGTTTCTGCTTTGTCCCTCCAATCCCAAGTCTTCGGACGGGCTGTTTCGCTGTTCTTGTCTTTTTCTTCTTCATATGCCATCTGGGTCGAAAGGCGTCATGGCGGGGGTTCCTTCGATAGTGGTATTAGATAGCAATGATCACTTTTCCCTCAAGTTTGGTTTTGCTGTAGGCTTCATAAGTTTGTATGGCTGCAACGTCGGGTACGGAGGTACCATTTGTACAAACGTACTGTAGCACAAACGCTGTTCACGTAGAGCCAATTGCCCCATTAAACACACTGCGTTTCTCTCCTTCCGAAGTCCCCAAATTTCGAAATCCATTTACATCACTTTGCCTTTTAAAAATAAAACCATCCCTACACTATGGCCGCTCCTCAAGTGATTACCATTGAAAATCTCAACGGTCACTGGGTCCTGGTAATTCTACCATCTCCCTTCGAAAGTAGCATATTCCTAATCACATTGCTATCTACAGAACAAAGATCTATCTAGCGAAGCAGACCCTGTTCTAAAACTAGTCCGAACGATCCCTCCTATTCCTATTGCAAATCCCCAAGCTAAGATTTATACTGTCTATAGCAAAAAGTACCATGGTTACTCCGCAAAGCATTCAAATTCGCAACAATATACATCCAAGTCACCCAATACGAAACACCCTCTGAGACAACCCAACCATCAACAAACATCGACTTCCTCCAAACAGCCACAGCAGGTCTAGCCGAAACCAAAGAAGAGCGCGTGTTAGATTGGAAAATATCAGACCACGAGGATTACTTCTTCGGCCAGGTCCACGCTCAGAGTGAATTGGTTCATGGTGTCACTGACACAGATGGAATTGCTAGGCCTGGATTTGAGCTTAAGACGGCTAATGCCAATCGAGAGATAGAGAAATACCTGCGAGGTGAGGTCGAGGCGGATGGGAGGAAATCTGGAGGGTTTATTGTTGAGGATTCGATGGCCGAGGGTGGGCTTTGGGTACATACATTTGAGAGGAATGATAAGTCTGGATGGACGGCTGAGCAAGTGAGTGGATCTGGGTTGGTTTTATATTGCCATTGGTATCAGAAGCTGATTACTGTAGATTTGGGGATTTGAGATGTTTGGGGGTGAGAGATACTTCTCTCGTCGGGTGGTGGTTATGACGACGAAGGGGGAATACATGTGTGGGAGGATTGTGTTTGATTTTGTCAAGCATCGAGACTAATAGCCTCAAACATTGTCCTGAAGGTGATTATCCATAGGCATACTCCATGCCCTAAAGCGTCTTTCATTCCCGGCCCTTCATGTTCATTTCTCTTACCTTAAGTACACACTCCTATTACTTGGTTTTACTTGGTTTCAACATACCCTGCACAGATCTTGCATCATTGAGGATATCGATGTTTTCATTTCTGTCCATATGGATAGCATTGGCGAGCGAGATGTATTAAAAGCTTGGCTATCCATAGGCTCACTTGGACCCTTGATTTCCCCTTGCCAGAAAGTAAAGAAAAAGGCGCGCTTGTTGAGTCGCGGATTCGACTTGGCAAATATGGCTGTATAAAAGACATTTTGTTAGAAATTGCGGACCCTGATGTGAATGCGAAGTACTCCATGTATGGATGGATGAGATACAGACTGTGAACCTTGAGGGAAAACATTCTAGTAAATGCTTCGAATATCTGGACAATTTTATGAAAATTGAGAACGTTCTAATAGTCTATTGCAATCTATGATTCTAAATCTATAGCTCTATAACTCTATAACTATGTACAATGGGGGGATATATCGACTTTTCACAACACACTCTAGTTCGAATAGATCGAAACCATAGACTGCAAAAACTGTTAGCCACGCTTCATGTAAATAGTAAATAGAACAAAAGGATGACTCACGTCTGCAAATTTAGGCTCAATGAACAAAGCCTTAGCCTCAGCTACCATCACTGCACCTTCACTATCCTCCCGCAGTAAATTAGCATCAGAAACGATGCTATGCGAGTCCACAGACAGTGGCAAGGTCAAAGGAAGATAAGTCATCTGACCCTCAACCCAAGCCTTCCTACCCTCAACCTTAGTCGTTTTTGTGCGCAGAACATACATCCGATCAGGGAGAGCCGGCTTCCGGAAATCCACGTTAAGATTGGCTGTCATACCCAGCCCGCTGGGGAAAGCCGCAGACACGCAGCGCGCAAACACCTCATCAAAGAGAACAGTGAGGAGACCACCGTGGACAAAGCCAGGATGACCACATAGATCCTGGCCGATGTGGAATACTGAGACAACGCTGCTAGCTTGGTCGTTACTTTCGGCTTGAGACCCGGACTTGCCGGCAGATAGCCACATGTACGGTGCAAATGCGAGCTTTCCTGGACCGCTCAAGCTTCCGCCCACGAAGTGGTGTTGTCTGATGGGGGGTGGGATTGCGAGATGGGGACGTGTTTCCTTGTAGGTGCTGTGGGTTTCGCGGAGAGTTTGAACGAGAGGGATTTGGGAAACAATTGTGTCAAGGGTTGTTGATTCATGGTGTGGTGATTGTGATTGGGTCTGAGAAATGAATGCGGGTGTTTCTGTCTGGCTGGGGAGTGCTTGGTCGTGAACAACTGCCGACCGTGTTGGGCCTTGCTGGTGAAGACGTGCAATAGGCACTACGGGCGAGTATGGCCTGAATGCTGAAAGGTTTTGCGATCGGAAGAGCCGACGCGCTGTTTGTGCAATGTTTGACATTCTGGAAGTATGTATGAATCCGGTATTGACCCTGGTCATGCATGTTAGAGGGGCTTCAATTGCCGACCGGGGTACATACTTTGTACTGCAGAATCGGCCCTGATTACTCGGTCGGGTTTTTGAGTTTGTCGATCTCCGTAGTCTAAACTAGGGCTAGGTGATATATGATGTATACCACACTTGCACTTTTGCAATGACGAAAAAAGAGGACTGACCTGCAATTTAAAGAAGAGACCCGCCACCGTCTGGATTGGTCCTGTTTTTTTAGAGCCGATTTTTCTCTCCTGGGACCCAAACAGTGGGGCTCAAAGCCTTGGAACAGCCGATGATCGGACCGAGGTGCCAAGGAATATAGTTCGGTATGCCGAGAATGCCAAGACTCCATAGATCTATATCAATATAGGATCATACTTCAACATACCGCAATTGAAGAGGATCATAGATCGTATCATGGCATGGTAGTATGGTTGTTGGAGCATGTCGGGGAAGGGACCTTCCGCGTTGGGGGTAAACAACGCATACATGTTGAGTTCTCATAACACGAACGATACCTTACTCTTGTCGTCTCTTCTTCTGCATCTCGCAAAAGTATCATCATCATCAAACCTTGATACCATCTGCTTCTTCTATTAGCTTTCAAATCAATTGATTCATCTGATCTCAAGATGACTCAGATTCACCTCTCTTGTGGCGGGCTCTCTTCTGGTGGGGACACTGCCACCACCACCATCACCATCACCACCAGCAACTCTGCCGGTTCTGGCGCGGGCAACGTCCCCCAGACCACCACCAACCCTCTCTCATCTGGTGGAGGAAACCCCTCCCAGATCAACAACTCTGGTGCTTCTGGGGTGGACAACGTCCCCCAGAGCATCATCCTTTTCCGACCTGCCTGGGCCGTCACCCCCAAGGTCGTCAACAATCCCCTCGGTCCCGTAGTGGGCGCCAGGTGGCGTGTCGCTCGCCCTGACAGCTTCGACCCCCTCCAACTACCCCCCGACGATGACGAGATCACCGCCCCGGAAATCCCCACCCACGACCCTGACTTCCTCGGGGAGGGGGAGGAAGAGGATGAGGATATCCTCTTCGGCCAAGCCCTTGGGGATTTCGCTGGTGGCCTTGATGAGTTGGGGTGGGAGTGGGAGGTGCGAGAGGAGGATGGGCCGGCACGCCCCTTTTCTCCCGGTTACTATGAGCGCCTGGAGGCCGAGCTGGATGAGATTATCGGGTGGCAGACCGACCAGCCGGCCGAAGGGTCTGACTCTGACCGGGAGGACGTCCCCCACGTGACCGAGGTGGAGGATATCGCCGATGAGGCCAGAGATGGTGACGAGGACGCCGCTCTGGAGGAGGCGTAGGCAAGCAGATGCTTACTCAAATGCAAGGTATGTCTTCACTTTACATTCTCTTTTCTCCTAGATCTCAGTCAGCTTCGGTTCTCTTTCAGTTCACTCTCAGTTTCACTTCGGAGTCATATCAAGTTCAGCACTGACTCATCTTCTTGTCATCTAGGTGCTGGTGAGGAGAGCGGCTGCTTCCTCATCGGCGTTCCTCGACCTTGCAACGCCCCACCACGGCTGACCTTAAGCGTGGTGGGGCACGAATGCTACGATAAAGGGGTGTGGGGAAGAGGGGGAAGGGGGGAAAGCTTCTTGTTTGAGTATCCCCGGGGGAGGTTGACAATGTATAGAATGGACCGGCGGCATCTGTCGTTTGTGGTTTCATTTCGGACAGGCGCAGCTCTTCTGAGTTGTGGGCTGTGTTGAGTATATTTCCTTTTGTGTTGAGCGTTCCTTGTTTGAATCAATCATTGAGATGATCATTGCTGAATATCACTCACATCTACCTCCGCCATTTGATATTATGGTAACAGGCGTGTCAAGAGACCAAATCAAAGGTGTTTCGGAGAAGCAGATTCGAGAAGGCCGGCCGATACGACAATACGACAATACGATACGAGAGCGATACGATGCGGAACCATGAAGCTTGAGCCACCCTGGACTCATCTATGAAGAGTTACAAAGGGCTGTCATCCCGAGTCCGGCTGATAGGGCATCAGAAGTGGCTTCAGCACACGGGGCTGCCACGGACTCACTGCACGCAGTTCAGGACAGTACGACTGGACCGCTCCATCATACGTTCTTCTACTCTACCGGATTAATGATCACGGCTGCAAGACTCAACATCATGATTCAAGACCAGACTTGAAGCGGAGATGGATACACTTGTCTACAATATAAACCGAAGAAACTTGGTCCATATATTGTTAAATTTAAAATGTATTCAGGCCGGGAAGAGCGCCGATACATTGGATATATCTATTTGAAAAGGCTCTTCATAAATTTGGTACTGAACACTGACAGCACAACGTCTAAAACAAAGTGCCATCGCCAAAGTTTAAGATAGGACTACACTTAGTCTCCGGACGCTTAGCCGCCGCAAGCTCACGACCCGCTTTCCAAGAACCCGCCTCCAACACCTGAGGCAGGGACAATTGAACACCATCCAAGCGGGAGAGAATCTTTGTATGCAGCACATCGAGAAGAGCAACAGTCATCGCTCGCCATTCCACAATCTCGTCATCGCCGGCACCGAAAGAAGGTAAGCTACCACCTGAAAGACTCAACCCTCGCTGCAATGCCTCGGGCTTCAATTCTAGAACTCCCATATCGACAAGCATTCCTCCATTGCGGTATTCCGGAAGACCAGTGCCCAGCTCGGTATTAGACCAGGAGACTGAAAGCAGACGGGAGAACGGCACCATCAATGAATACGCTAGCCATTGGGTCAGCTTATGGAACGGTTGGATATTGGAGTAGGGCTTCGACTCCGATCCAGCCTGCTGCTCAAGCACTCGCAGGGGCCATGCATCGCCGATGGGCTGTCCGTTAACGTGAGTACGATCGGACGGCCAGATGGGGATCAGAAGGCGCTGCAGCACAGTCCAGAGATCCTTGTAATCAAGCTTTCCGTCATTGGATTTGGCGATGAGGTAATCTATGTGTGGCAATTGTTTAGTTATTTTGATATGAACGTCTAGGGTCAAGTGGACTTCAAGAACGGTATGAACTTACCAACAAGATTACCAGGACGACCAGAGGGACCAAAGATATCTTTCAAATTCACCAAGGACTCGCCGAGCTTACGGAGAATATCAGCACGCGCCGGTACTCCGATCATGGGGTTTCCATCGTCGACCTGCAGTCCACGGGATAAGATCTCTACATTGATATTGCGCAATGCATCACCTAACACGAAGTGTCAGCCAATATCGCTATCGCTTTGATTGAAAGCAAACGCTTACCGTTGGCGGTGTGTTTCACCGCTGAGTCTGGATCAGCAAAGTCGCCGTTCAAGAACATGTGCAAAGCCGCAACTGCAATACCTTCACTTCGATTGAGCGTCAGGCCGCTTTGTGACTCGTTGAATTTCCAGAAGTCTCCAGCGCCAGCATCCAAGAGAACAGAGACGAAGAACAGATCTATCAATCTGCGTGTCTTTTCGGTGGTGTCGCATTTTTCCTCATCCCATTCGGCCAGAAGAGTGGCTATGCGGGGAACCCCGCCGACTTCAAAATGCTGCCAGCGTCCATGGGGTGGAATGAGATGATACTTGTCAGGACCGAAGTCGCGCTATGATATTGTGAGTTGTTTGATACTTGGAAATGTAATTGTTCACCGCTAGCCCTACCTGAATTAGTTTAAGTACATAGTCGGTGGCATCTTCCATGCGTTCAGGGTGGTAGTTGAAATGATTCAAACGACCCTCTTCGGCGAATTTGAGGACCACACGGGCTCTTGTACGAACGGCTTCTAGGCCCAATAGCTCTTCAATTTGGGGATCCATGTTGGTGGAGAGAATGACTGAAGGACAGGAAAGGCAAGAAAAGGGTGTTTTAATACTCCGAGCCAGCAAGGCGGGGGAATATATGCACTTATGTAAATCGCTGCATATTGAGCGAACTAGTTACATTTGGGGCCAAATTGGCCATTGAATATGGCATAGTCCTATTCAGAAATTGGAGTCTTTGTCACTTATCAGCTTCTGGTCTGGTATCTTATCTCATATCGGAGAAGTCCGGCGAAGGATTTATGAGTCAAGTATCCATTTGATATAAACTAATATGTGCTTTTTTTACATACGCTTCAGTTTCAAAATTAGAATGTCAGAGGGTCAAGGTGGCCAAGGAACGCGTCGTTGCCCTCACCACGAAGAAGAGCATCGATGTCAATGCGACCGGCAGTAAGATACTTCTCGCTGACACCGATGTTCACTCGCTGAGAAAGGAGTTGTTTGAGCTCCGCACGAAGCCCGGCCATCTCGCTCTTGGTCGTTTCGCTGGCCTCCTTATCACGTCTTTCGCGGCCACCACCACGACCACGGCCTCTACCCTTAGACTGATCGAACTCGTCACTGTCATATTCAACACCGAGATCTTCGGCCGCAGAGCGAAGCCAGTTGTCCTCGGTGTTGACCTTCTCTTTGGCAATGGTGGAGTCGGTAATTTTCTTGGCAAGACCCATGCGGGGTTTGAGGCGAGCAACCACTCGGCGATCAATGTCAAGAGACTCGAGGGGGATCTTCTTGCTAGGTCCCTCGGGGTCATCGGCCTTCCGCGCCTTCTTGGCGTGGATCTTGCCGGCGAGACGGGCAACGCCGACAACCTCGTCAGGGGCACAGATGAGAATGCTCTTTCCGGACTCACCGGCACGAGCAGTACGACCAGATCGGTGAACGTAGGCATCTGCTGTGCGGGGAACGTGGTAGTGGATGACGGAGTTAATGCCCTTAATATCTAAACCACGAGCGGCGACGTCGGTGGCGACAAGAATTGAGCTTGGGTCGGCAGTAGGCGATGAGAAACGCTCAATGGAACGGAGTCGGGCTTTTTGGGCCATGTTGGAGTGAAGTGCGAACACGGGAAGCTGAAGGACTTGCAATAGCTGAGTGATGCGGCGGACAGCGGAGATGGAGTTCGTGAACACAATTGTGCGGTGTTTGGGATAGTAGAGAAGGACTGAGTAAAGATAAAGGTCCTAACCGTTTAAGTTAGTATATGTATTAGAGCGATTCAAAAAGAATGTGCCTTACCTTTTCCATAGCAGGGCATTCAACAATTCCTTCCTTGAGTCCGACGGCCATCTGTGACTCTGGGTTCACATCTACGAACTTGGGCTTCTCTTCGTGGAAGTTTAATTTCTTGAGAAGGTACTCCATTGACGCTTTGTTGTCCAACATATCGCCGTTTGACCAGCGGCTCTTGCCCGCGAGCTTTTGTTGAAGATCCTTGTGGAATGTGGCCGAAAAGACAAGAGTCTGCCTATGAGATGGCTCCTCTTCCTCTTCTTCCTGATCCATGTCTGCAATATCTCCGGCTTGCTTTTTGTCTAGTGCATTTAGGATATCTTCCATTTCCTTGAAATGACCTTCACTCAGCAGTCTGTCCGCTTCGTCGACAACCAGGAACTGGATTTTCTGCATCTTGCGGATCAACCCCGTTCCTGTGCTTAAAATCTCCCACACTCGGCCCGGGGTTCCAACCACAATATCTGCCGAAGCAAGTTGTCTTTGCTGCTTCTGAATCGACATACCACCGGTAATAAGAGCGACACGTGCGTTGGTGTCGGGAGAATTCGCAATGAGCTCCCCAATATGCTTTCCAAGCTGATGCGCCAGCTCTCGAGTAGGAGAGAGAATCAGTGCAATCGGGGCCTTGTTTTTTTCAGACTTGTCGGACTGTTCCTCCTGTTTCCCTCTCTTGTCCAAGTAATGCTCGATAATCGGAATACCGAATGCCAAAGTTTTACCGGAACCTGTGGAGGCCTTTCCAACAACATCGTGCCCATCGAGAATGGCAGGAATACTGGCTTTTTGAATGGCCGATGGGGAGGTGAACTTCATTTTTGAAAGAGCCGTGTAAATCTCAGGCGAAAGGTTAAGCTCGTCCCAAGCAGACACGTCCACACCGTCGTCCTCTTCAACATCATCGAGAGCCGCGAATCCAAGCCCGGCCTTGATGCTCTGGCCTTGCGCAAGTTTGGACTCCTTAGTCTTCTGCTCTTTAGGCTTTTGCTCTTCTTTCTTGGCTTTGATTTGCTCCTTCTTCTTGTCCTTCTTCGACTTCTTATCTTCTTTCACTTCGGTTTTAGCGGGAGTCTTCTCGGCAGAAGGCTTGTTGGGCGATTCTTCATCACTGAAACCACCCCATTCCTCTCCATCATCTTCAGACGGGGGCTTGAGGATCGATTTTGCTGGCTTGCCAGACTTGGCCTACCCATGCAACCATAAATTAGCGTTTAGTCAACATGATTGATCAAAACATGTACACTCATACCTTGAACTGAACACCTCCATCGCCCTGTTTTATGATCTCGACACCTTCAATTTCTTCTAGTCCAAAGAATCCCTCTGCATCATCCATGCGATCTGGCATGGCAACTTCTTTCCAGTTGAGGTCCTCAACTGCAATGGAGCCATGTTCCTCGCTTGACGTTGCGTCAGACTTAACTGCCTTCTTGCGTTTGTTTGCCTCAGCTACCTGGGCTTTGGGGTCGCGTGCTCTCTTTTGACCCATTATGAACTGAGTAATTCCAAAGGATTACAGTTTGTTCCAGTTGACAACTGATTCAAGCTGCCTTCGGGGAAAAGAAAAAAAGCGGCAGAAATTTTAGTCCGCCTTTGGAATCTTATCTTTTCGTTCCCCACGTTGGTCGCAAAATTAACCCACTTTGAAAGACTATAATTTCCAATTGCGCCGGGCCAGCCTGTTTTCAAGATGGGCAAATCATCAAAGGACAAGCGCGATGCTTACTACCGTCTTGCTAAGGAGCAAAATTGGCGCGCCCGTTCCGCCTTCAAGCTTATCCAGATCGACGAGCGATTCGACCTATTCGAGCATGAGAACCCGGACAATGTGACGAGAGTCGTGGATTTGTGCGCTGCACCTGGAAGTTGGAGTCAAGTACTCAGTCGTGTCTTGATCAAGGGCGAAAGCTTCGGGCGACGGGCATGGCTCGAGAAAAAGCGCATAGAACAACAGGGTTTGGAGGGCGCAGAGACAACGACGGCCGATGATGATAAAATGGACTATGATCAGCCTTCTTCAAGCTCTGAATTAAAGCCTCGGAAGAATGTCAAGATTGTATCCATCGACCTGCAACCCATGGCACCGCTCGAAGGTATCACAACCCTCAAAGCTGATATCACACACCCCTCTACGATTCCTCTACTCTTGCGTGCTCTGGACCCAGAAGCATACGAACAACCTTCCACTCCCTCCGATTCTTCATCACAAGTCACAGAGGCTATCAGACAACCTCACCCTGTCGACCTGGTCATCTCCGACGGCGCCCCAGATGTGACAGGCCTACACGACCTAGACATTTATATTCAATCACAACTCCTCTACGCAGCTCTAAACCTTGCTATGGGCGTTCTCCGACCAGGCGGCAAATTCGTCGCTAAGATTTTCCGCGGTCGCGATGTCGACCTCCTCTACGCACAGCTGCGAACCGTCTTTGAGCGCGTCAGTGTCGCAAAGCCGCGCAGTAGTCGCGCTAGTAGCTTGGAGGCATTCGTGGTCTGCGAAGGCTTCATTCCACCAGTCAGTGACAGCGGGGTGGTCGGTATGGCCGCATTGAAAAATCCGCTGTTCGGTGGCGCCGCCGCCCCAGTAGCCGTGTCAGAAGATGGCAACGTGGGCGTGGAAGTCCGCGAGCAAATCGACCAGGACACACAAGCCCGAAATACCGTGGCACAACCCGAGGCAATTAGCAATCCTGCGCCCAATCACTCTCTTGAAGTCCGCCATCTTCAAACTACAACATCACAAGACAAGCCCCAGCCCCAAAAACTGTCCAACAAGTTCTCCGTTGAGAACCGTTGGATTCCGTCGTTCATTGCTTGTGGTGATCTTTCCGCTTGGGATTCTGATGCATCATACACCCTACCTCCGGATTATGTCAATCTGGATCCTATTCAGCCACCCACTGCACCACCTTACCGTCGGGCATTGGAGTTGAGGAAGGAGAAGGGTGGTGCCTATGGAAAGACCAAGTACGGATCCGCTGGGCGCGTTTGATTGTTACGTTGCATGAGTTTCAAGAAAAAGTTATATGTATAGACGACCTAGACACGACATAGCATTTTCGAGGGTCATGCTAGGAAGGCATTGCCTTCGAAGCAGATACCCGAATATATTCCATTAAAGCATATACATTTAAGCAGGGAATTTAAAGGGGACAGATTTGATTTAAACCCATGAAATTCAATGTTCTAATGCATTTTCGAAGTTCAAGGCCAGTGCGCTAGCCGAAATGACGATCTAAATACAAGGGGGAATAAAAAGCAAAAACATGCCAATCGTACAATCATGCCATGTAAGAACAGAACAGAGTCTAGTAGACCTCCAAAACATAGCGCTCCTCGTCCTTGAGCTTCTCAATCTCCTTGCGAGTCTCAACCTTCTTGCCAGTGTTCTTGGCTTCGGTGGCGATAGCCTCCTCCAGAACAGCGGTGACATCGGGCACGGGCCAAGTGGGACCACACAGGTAGAAAGCACCCTCCTCACGAATATAGGCCTGAATGATCTCGGGTAGGGTTTGACGCATACGGTCCTGAATATAGATCTTCTCGGGCTGATCGCGAGAGAAAGCAGCGCCGAGGAGAGTGATGACACCAGCCTCCTGGTATGCCTCCCATTCCTCGCCGTAGCAGTACTCCTCACGCTGGTGACGAGATCCCATGTACAGCAAGACAGCACCAATCTCCTTGCCCTGAGCCTTTTCGAGGGCGCGGTGCTGGACGAAGGCACGGAACGGTGCAAGACCAGTACCAAGACCGGCCATGATGATAGGCTGGGTGGACTTGGGGGGGCAACTTCATGACGCTGGATTTGACGCTGACGGTGATCGGGGAACCGGCTTGCAGGCGGCTCAGGTAGCGGGTAGCCAGACCGAAACGGTCGCGGCCGTTGGGGTCGACCCAGTTCACGGCAACAATCATCAAAGCGACCGAGGTCGGAGTCACCTTCTGGCACGAGGCGATCGAGTACTCGCGGCGCTTGAGAGGACCGACGATGCGAACGATCTCGTGGAACTCTGGGTGAGCAGAGGGGTACTCGAGCAGGATGTCGGCAAAGGTGACGGTGTCAACCTCGGCACGGCGCTTGAACTCAGTGGCACCGTCGGGTCCACCCAGAATGAGCAAGTTGGCCTTCTCCTTCTCGTCAGAGGCAAACTCGGCAAGGGCCTCGTAGAAGCGCTTGGGTGGGCGACCGAAGATGTCAACGTTCTGCATCAGAGCCTGGTAGACAGTGCGGTTCTCCAAAACGGCAGGGTCCTCGCGGCTGGGAACCTCGACAATCGCGTCGCGGTCCAAGCCGTAGAACTCGATGAACTTCTTGATGTCTTCGGGATCGTTCTCAGCATGGATACCAAGGGCCTCACCAATGTCGTACTTCAAACCAGTCTCACCGAGATCGAACTCGATGTGGAAGATGTTACGATCATAGGTGGTGGGTGTGAGACGACGGTTCTCCTTGACGTGGACAGTGAAAGTCTTGTGTGCAAGGTCAGGGCGAAGAGCAGTCTTGGTGCCATAAGCCTCCTTGAATGCAAGGCCACGAGCAGCGGTCTCCCAGTCCTTGAGAAGAGTGGGGGGCTCGGATTCGTCCTTGTCAAACGAAACAAAGCTGTTGGCGACGATGTCCTTGGGGAGCTCAACGGCCTCAGTGATACCCTCAGGCTCCTTCCAGGACTCGGGAACCTCGATCTGGCGGAGCAGCTTCTCGAGATCCTTGGTAACGTTGTCCAAAGCCTCGGCATTTCCGGTAATCGAGGCCAGCTTCTTGGTTGCCAGGGTCTCCTGGGCAGGTAGGGCGACGCGCACGAACGAAGCCTGGAGGACAAGGGCGTTGAGAGACGAGTCATCAACAGCAGATGAATCAAGAACATAGAGGGAGATGCCACGCTGGGCGACAGACTGCTTGAAGGAAGCAGGAAGCTTTTTCTCCAGATCTTCATCATTAATGCCCGGGGCATTGACAATGACCTTAGCGTTGTCCCTAACAGAAGCCAGAACATCAACATCGTTCAGCAGTGAAAGGTTGCCAACGTAAGAGACCTCAGCAGCAGTGACCGCGTAAGGTGCGTCAACAATCTTAGCGCTCTTGCGAATGTCAACTCGGATAGCACCACCCTGGACGAGGTTGTCGTGGGTCTGGCTGAGCGTGACATTGCTGGCCGAGTCGGCGCCAAGAGCCTGGCTCAAAGTCTGAGCAGCCCCCTCGGTGACGGAGGTATCAACATCCCAGAAAGTGTATTCCTGCACAGATGCAGGGTCTAGCAGCTGCAGCGAAGCATTGGTTTCACCGTCGGCGATGAGGATAGGCTGGTCATACACGCGCTGGAATGCAGCAGCGATGGAGATGAGATCCCAACGCTGGGAGCGGGGGTACTTGATCTCTACACAAGCCGGGTTGTGTTCACGGCCAGTGGCAAAAGTCAGAGAAGCAAGCACATCCTCATAGAGAGCGGAGTGGATGCCATCTTCCTGAACGGCCTGCTCAGAGGCGACCTGGCCAAGAACTGCGACGATCTGAGTGGACTGGGGGAGAACGCGCAAGAACTCCTCCTCGATGAAGGGACGGTAGACGCGAACATTCACAACGCCGACACGGACACCATCCTTCGCGAGGGAGCGTGCGATTTGGGCAGTGAGGGTAGCCTCGACAGTGCCGAAAGCGATCAGGACAGAGGTGGGCTCGGAGTGACCGTGGTACTCGAAAGCACCATAGTCAGTGCCGAGTTCGCCATTCAGGCTCTTCAGCAGATCCAAAACCTTGCCTTGGGCGTCGAGATGACGGTTGCGGGACTCATCAAGAGTCTTGCGGACAGTCTCATAGGCGCGAGTCAGGCCATCCTTGTCGAGAACATCAATGACGCGGGTAGTATCGCGGCCAACACGAACGCCATCATAGATGTGAATCGAGGGGAGGACGGAGGAGAGCAAGGTTGTGAAGAGAGCCATATGCTGGGACTCGTGGGCAGAGCCGCTGGAGACCAAACCCAGACCGAGGTCCTCGGCCAGAGAGAGGGCGGACGCATAGTCAGAAACTAGGCCATCCTCACCGGCGTAGTCTACGGCGGCTACGTGTGCAGCGACTGGGCTAGCGACGGAGTACAGCAGAGAGAGCTGCTCCAACGCGGCACGCATATAAGGGAGAGTTGCTGAAGAAGCAACAATACCCTGGGGAATGTGGCGCTTCTTCAGATCAAAGTCCTGAGAGAAGAGGTAGCCAAGGGCCATGCTTCCAGCACCCTGGCGGGTTTCCAAAGCCTTGACTGAGGGAGACTCGCCATTGGCATTAGTCTCGCCTTTGGAAGTCCACTCCTTGAGAGCAGCATCAAGATCGAAAGTCTCCGGCGAGTAGGAGAAGATCTTATCACTCAGCAAGTATGCAACTTGCTGGATAAGCGTCTGGGCTGTAACATAGGTCGGGCCATTCAAGGCCGACAGAGCTGGAACTGATGAACCCATGGCTTCTTCTTGATACCGGATACAAGACCGATATCTGTTGAATACAAAAACAAAGAAGAAGGTGGGGGAAAGAGAGAATCTCCCCTCTTCATAGCTTGGTTATAGAGAAAACCCCCAGGTAACTTGCCCAAAGCGGTTAGTGGCAATTGCGTGCTTGTTATCGGGCGATAAGATTTTTCAAGGCGTGGCGGATCCAGGACCGCTTTCGGAGCCTTACTCAGCCGTGGCTGAAGCCCGTGTGTTAGTCATGAAATTATGGCGCTTCAGGCATCAAAAACTAGCACGTGATGTGCACCGAACCAGGTCAGTACATAGGACCCTAGGTACCCCGTAGGTACCTGCAACATAAGTACTCTGTATTCCGTACTCAAAACTCAGTACAACATGGTGCCAGACCATGCTCAGTGCTACGCCCTTTGTTCTCGCCTAAATACTGCGGTTTGACTTCAAAATCTTGTGCTTCATATACTATGCCATTCCCATAGGTATACATATCTATATATATATACTGTATTCGACAATAAACAGATGTATTATAATTATATTCATTACAACGTAGTTTCAAATGGCCTATGTCCAGTCATTGTACCTCTATAGAAATACTTATATAGAGGGAGTACTTCCAAGGTTTATATACGATTTAGTTATACCGATGGAATGGTGCTGGTGCCGTAGGAATAAAAAAAAGCAGTATAATACTACTAGTATACTGTAGATGAGGCCTATGAGGTTGCAGCAAGGTATTAAGGTAAAGTAAAATGCAAGGCATTGATTTTCTCCTGGCGCAGTGCTTACATAGCGCAGCCCATTGAACTCTCAGCAGAGTCCTACGTAGGTACTGCCCTATGGTCACGTACACATGATCACCGATGTATACGCTTGTGCACTGCACAAGATTGGTCTGCCCAAATCACCGAGGCTCGGCTGGGCCGCCTCACCGCGGAATGGGGAAAACCATTCCACTCATAGGCTATTGATCCTGATTTATATCAACACCCCTATACATAGACCAATACTTGCCCCTCCCTGATAGCATAATAGTTGTACGCTTCCATCATGGCCTATAACTCACCAAATCCCATCCCATTTTCGGAGCCGCCTTACATTCGAGGCCTCCCTTCCCCCTATATAACGCCTGCCCACCGCCGCTTCCAACAAGCATGCCGTAAATTTGCCACAGAGAACTTGATTCAGCACGCGTTGGAGTGGGAGCGTGAGGGAACGGTCCCTGAGCATGTCTTCCACACTTTCTGCAAGCATAATATGCTGTTGCCAAACATGCCGAGCCCATTACCTGTGGATTTGCTGAAGCGCCTAGGAATCAACGACATCCTGGGGGTCAAAGTTGAAGACTGGGACTACATCTACACCGGAATTTACTGTGATGAGGTATGCCCTAGGGATCATTAGGCTGTATGTTAATATTGCAGCGTTATTGACCGATCTTTTGCCTATAGATGGCCCGTTCGGGTCTCAGTGGCCCCGCTGGCTCTCTAAATACCGGGTTCGGTTTTGGAATTCCACCAATCTACGTATTTGGCAGTGCCGAGTTGCAAGCGCGGTTCTTGCCCAAGATGCTCACAGGTAAGAAGCGGAGTTGTATTGCCATAACGGAGCCCGGGGCTGGCAGTGATGTCGCGAACATCGCTACAACTGCTGTCAAGAGTGCCGATGGTCAGCACTATATCGTCAACGGATCAAAGAAATGGTAAGGAACAACTCTTTGGTGATGATAATGCTGTGACCTGATACAAATAACCAGGATCACGAATGGTATTTGGTCGGACTATGCCACCATGGCCGTGCGAACCGGTGGACCAGGAGCCGCGGGCCTTTCCGTTTTGATTGTGCCTCTTAAGGGACACCCCGGTGTCGCGATGCACCGACTCAAAGTCTCGGGTCAGATCACTGGCGGGGCCTCATTTATTGAACTTGACGACGTCAAGGTTCCTGTGTCGAATATTGTTGGCAAAGAAGGCGACGGCATGCGTATCATCATGACCAACTTCAACCATGAACGAATTTGTATTGCTGTTGGAGTCACTCGCCAGGCTCGTGTGGCCCTTTCTACTGCTTTCTCGTATTGTCTCAAGCGCGAGGCTTTTGGAAAGACGCTCATGGATCAACCTGTAGTCCGCCACCGTCTTGCCAAGGCAGGCGCTGAGCTTGAATCCATGTGGGCGTGGGTTGAGCAGATCTTGTATCAGTTGACTCATCTCAGCAAAGAGGAAGCTTATCGTCAACTTGGTGGCTTAACAGCATTAGCTAAAGCAAAGTCTGGTATGGTTCTGAACGAGTGTGCCCAGACAGCTGTGTTATTATTCGGAGGAAGTGGATATACCAAATCTGGCCAGGGTGAATTGGTCGAAGGTATGTTCGCTGGACTATCAGGATGTGCGTAAACCAAGCTGACCAAGCCTTCAGCCATTCTTCGCGATGTCCATAGCGCCCGAATTCCTGGTGGATCGGAAGACGTGATGCTTGATCTGTCTGTGCGTCAATTGGTCAAGCTCTATCAGGCCGAAGAGAAGAAGCTCTCACAGAGCGCCAAGATTTGATGGGATAATAAACAAGATTCCCATCTTGTTCCCTCAGGGATACAAATCCAGCTATATTGTACAATCTTCCAACTTTCATTCAAGTCTATAGACAGTACAATATTATCATCTACTTTCGGGGCTTTCTCCAACACAACCGAGCAAAATGAAAATAAAATTGGAAAGGCTAAGATGTCATAGCGCTTATAGTAGACTCTTTAGTGTCACTCAACTGAGTCTGCAGGAGTACATGAAAATAGAAGACATAGCGTGATATCGAATGAGGTCGAAATAAAATATGGTCATCAAGTATTCTTTGCCATGGCTGTCTTTGCATTTGAAACCTAGATCGTCTTCAGTGATATTTGTAGCAGGTATGCCATAAACTGATAGCAACTAGCGATGAACGCTCCCCTTGCTTTATCCCTCGGTAAGATGGAAATTGATCTCCGAGCAAGTCGTGTACATTGGGCTTCCATACCCGCGCGGAATCCCTTAAGGCTAATACCCGCGTGGACTCGTTTCAGTTCAGGCCTTGGGAGTTCTCGGGGGCAACCTTTTCGTGGGCCTCCTGGTCTTCTTGTGTGCTGTGGCTTTTCTGATGGATCCGCTATCTATCAGGGCCTTGGATACATTCTTTTGGGGAGTTTTTCTATGAGCCGTTTTGGTTGAAGCCACCCTTCTCTTGCTTTTCAAATCTTTCAGCACTGGGTATAGGCCTGCCGCACGCAAATCCAATGGACATTCTTCGTCATCAATCATTTTATCTCCCAAAGCCCCGTGTTCCACTAATATCTCAATCAAGAGATTATTGATGAAATGTTGCCTTGTGTGTTTCGTTTGCTTTTGGTATGTAACCTTCAAAAGTGTCCAAATCAGTTTGTCTCCTTTCTTACTGTGACAACGCGTATTTGGTGCTGGTTTCAAGAAACTTTCCCAGAGCCCCGGGTTCTCGAACCAGATACCCAGTGGTACCTCTCCATCCCAGTTCTGTAGATGAACATCTGCACCAGACTTCAAGAGCAACGCCACGTACTCCTTCTGGACATCTCTGTCTGCTGGAAATGCGTTGAAGGCGAGAGCGATGTGGAGGGGAGTGTTCCCCGTCCAGTCTTGTGCATTCAAATTAGCACCAGAAGCAAGAAACAGACCTAAAAGTTTCTCTGTTGATTTCCATGGGCTCCCGGGAATCCTGTGTAGGCAAGTAGACTGGGATTCCTGATCAGACTGGAAATGCGAATCTGCCCCATGAGCCAGCAGCAATTGGATCACAGCAACAAATTCATTTTCTGCCTTGCACCTCGACAAGTCATGGCGAGTGTCAAGCTGTCGGAAGTACGGATTGGCTTCCCGAATTGCGTACCCAAGTTCCAGAGCACAACCTAGTGGAGTTAACCCGCGCTTTGCACCCACGCGATCCACATGGGCACCATGCTTGAGGAGTAGACTAGTCATATTGTAGTCCCCCAGGGTTGCAGCATATTCCAAGGCGGAAATATCCGTTGCGAGATTGACTTCGGCTCCATTTCGCAGAAGCAGCTCCACAATATTCGAACGACCGAACCCAACGGCAAGAAGTAGAGGTGTGTTGATCGAGGTGTACCGGGGTACCACCGCCTTGTTCAAGTCTAGCCTGTTGCGTGAAATTATCTTCTGGATTCCCAGTTCAAACCCTCTGCTTAGCAGCCATCGCAGTGCATAATTTGCAGTCAAGCTGTCTTGCTTATGAAGGACATAGATAGCAGCATCATGAAGCATATGATTGCATCGTACAAGTGACAATTTGTCTTTGTACCGTGGCAGATTTGATGCAATAAGACAGATTACTTCCACGGGCAAGGAGTCAAGAGACATCTTGAAATGGATTTAGAACTGTGTCCACGCACGGCAAGAGGATGCACAAAAGTAAATCAAGAAGCCGAGAATTTGGATGTGATGATTTTCAATTCAGTGGTTTTTGTTTGACTCTATAGCTTCTGGATATGACAAGCCTATGATGACTCAATGAGGTACTTCACCATCCATTCGTTAACCGCATGTTGATATCTGCAAACACATCTGGTGTCTAGTCATTTTTGGGAAATACACAATTCGCATTGGTTTAAAAGGCGTAAAAATTCATTATGATTGATCATGTTTTGCAGGCATTGAGGTGACAATTAATCATACAATTCTAGGCTTCAAATTCAACCTTCGGATAGACAACTAGAAGAATCATGTATCTGCATGGAACAATCCACTTAGGAATACAATACAATAGCCTGTTCCCTTAAACTGATATGTACTATGAATGATACATAAATTGACATCTCCAGACTGCTCAATTTTCGCAAAAGCTCCAGGAAAACTATAACCCATCACTAGGTTCAAACGAACTGCATCATGCTCCCTGCTTTCTAGAAAACCGCAGCTGTAGAGCAGAAAGTAATTTAGTACCAGGCTGGTCAAGAGGGCATTGGCCAGTGTCGTCCACATAGTCTGGACAAGCACCGTATTCAAGAAGCAACCCTATCAGATCTTCCATCTCATGAAATTGAAGTTGATATGGATACTCCAACTTCCACCAATCCTTTTCCGAGTAGGACTCCCTTTCCTCCAAGCCCCGCGACGACCAGCCTGCGCCCAAGCCAGTAAACTCCCATGTTCTATAGCACGAGACCAGATGATTCTATCTCTTATTTTCGCGCCATTTGAAGAAATAACAAAGTCATGACCCCATTACCCTGGCCTGCGACCACATCCAAGGGAGTGAGGTTCTAGTATGTGAGTTCACATTTACATCTGCACCATGCTTCACTAGCAGATTTGCCATGAGCAAGTTGTCATCTTCGACAGCCAAGTGCAGGGCCAAAATTTGCTCCCATATTGGTAATTGACCCTTTTTCTTCTTCCTTGAAAAACAAGCTTTTGTTCATATCTGAATTCCAGGATGATACGTGATGTATCCCTTGAATACCACCATTCATTGCACACCAAAGCAAGGCATATCCCAGTAGATCTGTATCAAAATTTCGCTCATAGAGATCACGGATTAGAAGGTTGTGAAACAGTTTGCTGGTGCACACCATGCTAAATATGTCTTCATATGGCAGGTTTGACGCAATAATTTGAATGACTTCGAGCGGCAACGAAGCGAGGGATAATTTGAAGGTCAAGGGTCCCAGAGCCAGGCCTAGAGCAATGCGAGAATGAAAAGCAGAAACACAGTCCGGGAGCTTTGCTATGCCCTTCCTGCCTATCTCCACCGCCCACACATATCAACCATACAGAGCTCTATAAATGTGTAGCTCTCTTAAGGCATTGGCTGCGCGGAAACCAAATGAATTGCCAGAAATCATATAGTTTTGAGTATGGTATATACTAGCAGCTATTATTTCTTCTGGTAGACTTGGCTTCACATTGCACATATGATCGTCAAAGTTGAGCTTACCCAAAGTAGTTTAGCTCAACCTCGGCATGACGAAAGGCAGTGCGCCTAGATTCCTCTGGTCTCCTACTACGCTCCTCTCTTAGCATCTTGTACAAACACAACAGACATTTACTTGTATAACAATCTCATAGCTGTCAACATGGTGAATGTCGCATTGATCGGCGGTACGGGTATGGTGGTAAGTGCACACGTTGCAAGCCTAAGCTCCTCAATCTACTCGTCTGGAATTTCTTCAAATCGAGATACTGAGGCCAGAACTTGAGCTAAGTCACGTAACCGATAGGGCTCGCACATCCTCACCAGCCTTATTGCCAACCCCACTGTAACCCGTGTGGACACCATCTCCCGTCGCACCCCGCCAGCCACTAGCGGTACGCCCCCGGCCAAACTCACCAACTTCGTCTCTGGCGATACCGCCACCTGGGCAGGAAAGCTCTCCACCCTTGCCCCGACTCCAAGTATTTTCATTTCCGCCTTTGGGACTACAAGGGCAGCCGCAGGCGGGTTCGATAATCAATACAAAATCGAGCATGGGCTGAACGTTGAGATGGCCAAGGCCGCACGCGAAGCTGGTACTAAGGTCTACGTGCTGATCTCCTCCAGCGGTGCCAACAAGGATTCCAACATTGCCTACCCCCGCATGAAGGGTGAGATTGAGGAAGATATTAAGAAGCTTGGCTTTGAGCACATGGTCATCCTGCGCCCTGGACTGATCGCTGGTACTCGTGAGGAAAGCCGGCCGCTTGAGGCTGGGGCTCGGTTCATTGCGAATTGGGCTGGCAAGCTGTACTCCGGTCTGAAAGATAGCTGGGCTCAAGATGCGGAGGTGATTGGCAGGGCTGCTGTCAATGCTGGTCTAAAGGCGCTGGAAGGTGATGTTCCTGAGGGGAGCGAGAAAGTTTGGACTTTGTATGGAAGCGATATCATCAAATACGGCAAGGAAAGTTCGTCTTGAATAATAAGGTGTGTTGAAGTGTGTTATATCTGTATGTAATTCTTGTGCTTGGGATTCATGACGTTACGCGGCTATGGACGAATAATTTGGTAGTAGCATTAATCGAAACCTGATCTCACATGAATTTTAAAAATGCTGAACTCCCTACATAATATCATCATTTACCGCCCGCGATACTATGGACAAAATATTCAATCCCGGTACGAAACATGAGTCCCATCCTCCTTCACATGGATACCACGGCCCTTCTTTGTCGCCCCACGAGAGCTGGAGGCCTCGCGATCCCGATTCCGATCAGGCCCGTCCTCAGCCTGGCGCCTCCAAGCGCTAGCATCCCTATTGGCCGGGCTCATATTTAGAGGGCTCTCCGTCTTGCCTTCTTGCTTGCTTTCCTCTTCGGTGGCTGCGAGCTCGGACTCTGGTGCTGTGTTCTTTGGGTCGAATGCAGAGGGGTGTTTGGCCACTTCACCGTCAGTGCCGGATTTGGCAGTCTCTGAGCGTTCCGGGTTTAATGTTTCACGGTCAAGCGAGCCCTGGCCCTTTTCAATCTGGGGGAATGGGGTTGTACTGAAGGGCGTTCTTGTTGATGTTGGGGTTGCGAGGGATTGCATAGTGGTTTTTGAGACCTGGCTCCGCGTGGCTCGGGTAGCTTGCTGACCGGCTGAGATGATGGTTTTCAACATTTTGATGATGTTGGAAATGAGATTGGGTGTAAATCGAAGTGATTTGTAGAGATATATTGTTGAGGAGAAGGTTGCGTGTCAAGTTTGTGAGGTGCAATAATTTGGAGAATAGCAATTTGTTTAGAGAAAGGAATTGCTTGTTACTATCAGCGAGAACTCATTAGAAGTAGTCCGTCAGTATCCTCTTCCAGGTTTCCCTGGACCCAGGGATCATGTTGACGTCACTTAGTGACAATCAGTCAGGCTAACCCAATCGGGTAATGAGCTTGCCCTAAGAGGCCGCTCGATACAAATAGAACGGACGGGCCCTTCGGAGTTCTAGATGTTAATTTGCAATGGTTTGATATTTTATGAAAATCATGGCTTTGTCAGAAGCTGTAGAATATCCGTCCCGTTCAATATGATCATATCATATGTATGCAGCTCAGGAACGGCTTGATGGGGCCCACTATGTGACCTGCGATAGAGACAGTGGTGATTCACACCATACATATTTTTGAGCTCGCCATGGGGAGCTCCACCACATGCGCTTTTCTGGTCTCCTAGTCAGTCACACTATGCAGACCCGTGGCTTATTGTGACGGCTGGCGGCCCGCCAGCCGTCAAAAGCAGTCGCCAAATGATGCATGCCAAGCTGAGGTTGCGCATGTCCAAAGTTCCGGTAATAAGCAGATGCGCCACTAAAGGTGGAGTTTTGATTCTGTGCGTGGCTGAAGGGCTGGAGCGAGAATAAATCATACCTAGACTAATTTGGTTGTTCAGACAAAAGCCATTCCTCCTTATCAGTCTTGTATGCTCTTGCCCAGCCCGCTTTGAAGCTCTTTGGTATATTTTCAATGTCATATCGTAACATCAAAGCTTAGATTGGCTGGAAATACGAGCTAATAAGGCTTAGAGTGATCCTATGTTTCTTTCATTCGGGGATAGACAGGAGAGTAATAAGAATGAAGGAGAGCCGGATAGCAGACCTCGTGAGAGTTATAGAACGATTAGATTGGTAGTCTAGGGAATGCTGGCCAGATAGTCAACAGGAAGTGAGAAGGCGAAGAGAGCAAATGCAAATTATGAGCCCGAACTTCAGATAGATGAGATTAAGACAGAGAGCGTAATTATATGTGATAACCCAAATTACTTCCGCACCAACGCATTCGATGGGTTAAGACAACCTACAAGCTCAAATATTCAGATACCCTAGTTACAAATTCGAACAGCCAACCCGAGGTTCCCTTGAGCCAATTAGCAATGTTACGAGGTAAAGGGCTTTATAGACATGGCATCCCACAGAGATAGTGTTGAATGGTGCCAAATGAAGAGAAAACAGAAATATATCTCCTGGAACGTGATTTGGGACTGTATTCACAATGCCTGTGCGAGGAATGACAACTGGGAGCACACGAATGCGCGGATCCACCCAGAGAGACCACGACGTGCCAATAAGAACTAGGCCTAGGCCTCACCCATGGCAGGTGCTGATGAGATGCACATACCTCTTTGGTGCAGGACGGGTGGGGAAGGGCTCGTTGGTTGCATGCGACTGGCATACCGGCTGACGGTTTCCATTGGATGAAAGGGCCGACTGCAATTGAGGATAAGTTGACCGGTCGACCAATCCCCGTGAAGCATGAGAGATTGTAGGCAGTGGGATTTTTGCTATCCAACACCGAAGGTAGCGTTACCATCAACGATTTGTCGCCGGTCAAAGGCAGGCGTGTGTAAGGTGCGGGAGCCTCCGTTCACTTTCAAATCACGGGATCAAAAGAGCCCGACACTATGGGAGCCTGTATGCGGGTCCTGGAATTCAATTTCAACGTTGAGGCACGGGCTTCCCCGGTTGATAGCACTCAGAATCGGCCTGCGGTAGCTTTAACCAGATCAAAAATGCTCTAATTTTCCACCCGGCAACTTCGCTTGTTGGGCAGAAACAAGAACCATGCTTTTCCAACCCTCGGCCTGATCCTTGCCAGGGAAAAGATTGGTACACTAAGGATAGGCGAGGGGGAATTCGGTGGTAAGACGGAGCGAGAGGCAAAAGAGCAGGGGGCTCAGAAATTGAATGAGATTTTTTGGGGCTGGATGCAACCAGCTCGCCGCAGCAAACGATAGATCCGCCGAATGTGACGGCCATTTCGAGGCTATGAGCCATCATCAAGGATACCAGTTGCCAACTCAACATCTTGTCATGGATCATCTTCCTGGGTCTGATTCTGGGCATGATTGAGCGGCATTGCCCGACGATCGCTTTTCGGATTGGTGAATACCCAGAACAATCGGAAAAAACGGCAAGCACAGAAGTCTGCAGGATCTTCCGTTCCATATTGGCCATCAGTCATATTTCGTCATTCTCATTGATGTGAATGGCATCTGAGTTCCTGGTGGAGCTTGCAGGGGATCCCTAAACGGCGACCCACGGCTTTCGAGCCATCCCTGGCTACCCGTAATTGACGCAGAAAGCCAGAAGCAACGTGCCACGTCAGAGTCTCTGAGCTTTGGTGCAGCTGCATATGGTTCAGCAATATGTGGAAAGTGTCACGGTTCGTGTCTGCGGCGAGCGCCGTACATCAATCCGATCCTATCATTTCCGCCAACAGAAACAAGTGGATGATGATGAACACACACATGAGCGGGGGCAAATGCAGGATCCCTCTTTGCAGGAGTGAGAGATCAGCTGAACGAAAATGGATCTATCTGGCCTGCATCCCTAATTTTTGGGGTCTGGCACAAGAAATTTCAATTGCGTGGTCCGTGTCCTTGAACCCGGGTTGCCAATGATAGAGCCTCAGAGACCCTACCATTGCCACTGAAGGGAGGACTATTGGCTGAAAGCCACAGACCGGAAAGCTGCGGCAGGGATGGAACGCGGTCGAGTCTAAATTATGATAGACTGGCAAGTAAGACTCGGCAGGAATAACACAGAACGACAGGGGCTAATGGTTGCAACCACATGCTGAGACCCAATATTGATTTTCATTATTGCCCAAATGCAGGAGACGTAAGAGCAATGAAGAGGAGTAAAGGCAATAAATCGGGATGCGCATGCGTATGCAATAACACAGAAAGCAATATCGGATAGATACTTCTGTGGATAGAATATGGCGTTCGGTCGAAATCCCGTGTCAGTGCTCATGATAGATGAGGCATTGGGCCAATCAACAATTGCAGCCATCAGAAAAGTGCATCAAGATAGAACAACCCATTGTGGTGGAGTCACAAGTGGCGTGCAGAGTCCCATTACACTCGCGAAGGCAGTAGCTTTTCTCTTGCATAGAGACAGGGTTATCCCTGGGAATGAAAGCCTGATTATTGCATCAATACGACAGCTAGCAAGTGCCGAGACCAACTCGGCCATGCAGGATCAAGCATGCAAAACGCAAGAGAATCATAAGAGTGCGAGTCCATGCGAACAGCATCCACATGAAAGCGGGGAGAGGCAGATGGCGACGGCATAATTGCAGTAGTCGAATCTGGAAAGTAGAGGATTGCAGGCATGGATTGAGGGATTTTCGACCCATCGCACATTACCATGAGCAGTGAATCGCCACGGCTGAGGGTTGCATGCATCCATGAAGCAACCGGTTGTTCATAGTGGCTCCATTCGAGAGACCATGGCCATCATACCGTCTCCACTGCTTGGAGAACTGCTCACAGCCAACCGGATCAACCGTCAGGCAGGTGCGATGTGAAATCCACGGACTGGAACCACGGATGATAAGCCATCGGGCACTGAAAAACGTCGATCAACAGTGGGACGAGGCAAACATGAGAGAATAGAGCTGTAGCATAGAAACTTCGTCCGAAACATAAATAAGCCTGTCAATGCCCCCATGATGCCGTGAAGTTCTCAATCATCCCTCCCGTTTCATAATTCGAGTCTGCAATATTCAAGCAAGGCCAATAGATCTTCTTCATAAAACCGATTCATTCGAAATTTGTTTCAACTGCGTTGAACCTTCCGAGCCCTTGAAAAACGCAGAAAAAAGCCGGCCTATCAAACCCGACAAGCGCGGGTGTACTGTCAGGTGCAGCCAATAAAAACCCGGCATTCAATCTGAAACAGAGACGGAGAGCCGTGAGCAAGTGGGTCATGTCGTACTTGCAGATTATACAGCACTAACAGATCTGATAGACATGTGCTTTTACAACCAAAAGAGATTCGCGTGTGGAGACTGGAGCTGGACCAGCTTTGCTCACCGATGCAACTATGAGTATCGTACCGGCGAGACATGCGGTATGAGACTCGTCAACATGACCGAGAATGAGAAGACCAACTGTCGTCTCTGCGAAAAGATCGAAACCAAATATCGCCGGCGTAGTGCTGAACTTGACCGTTTGGACCGGTGGAAGCGAGAGGGTGCCAACCTTGTGGCCTCAATGGACCGGTCCCACAAACTCATTATGGACTTGGAGAGAGAGATCCGCTCCCTGCAACGGGAGCGGGACGACCGAAGAAGCACTCTCCTAAGATAGGACTGATTGGCTTGGAATTACAAAACCGGTGTTCCTTTGGTGCTTTTTTTCCCTTTGTTTTCTTTTTTGTTGGACTGGTGAACAGCAATTGTTCGGCTTGTTTCGGATTCTTCGTGACCAATCGTTCTGTTGGTTTTTTTGTTGTCTGTCACTGTTTTTTTAGGGGTATTTGCAGCGAGTTTCATGTTTCACCATTTATCCGTGACATCAAGTCCGAATCGAGTTTCTGCAAGGTGATGGGAGAACCATGTCACCTTCGAAAAGATTGATAGGAAATTTAATTGTTTCAGACTCCATATTTCTTTCTGTCCATAGGCTGGTAAGCTCCTAAAATATGTCAATAGGGACTAGCCATGTCATAAGCGCCCTTGTTCCTGGGTGAGCGGTTCGCTGAGACAAATTGAGTCTCACAGGACAGGAAGTGGCACACTGCTACAACCAGACAATAAAGCCATTGAGGCTTGGAACTGATCAAATGGTCAGTTAGAATCAAGTTGATATTTGAAACGAGAGCAGTGGTTTGTGATGTCTGGTGTCAGAGTGAAAGCACATAGTGTGGAACAAAATGCCCCTCATCACATTCCCTCACGTGATGATGCCCTGCTTAGATAACCTAATTAGATGAGACCTGTCACATAGAAGGATATTGAAAAAAATCTTAGGAAATGATGGAAAGTGGAAGCTGTTCTGCAGAATGTTAGTATTGTGAGAAGAATCCAGGGCTAAGTGGGCTAGGTGGGTTCCACTTCACTTGCTCTATACCCGGCAATTCCAACATTGCAAACCTTCAACCCAACTCCAGAGCAATGGTTTTTGGTAGGTTAGATGGTATGAAGGGGAATTTTTAGACTTAAATGGCATTGACAAGAGAGAAAGAGGATAGAAAAAGATGAGTCGAGCTGGAGGCCACGGAACAGCGAGCTGGGCTATATATCATGGCACTATAATCGGAGAATTTACTAGTGCTGGCTAGAGCTTGCATGCCCCTAGGCAACATCCATGTCTCTTCAGTCTACGTGTACCTATCTGCTTCAACATCTTCAGGGCAAACAGCGTCAAATTGGAATGCAGAACTGAAGGAGAGCGCTGAGACTGGGCCGATGTGCATGCCACGTCACAAGAGAACAACACTAGATGCAGCCATAAACAAAGGGACACACGACAGGTAAAAAGACCAGTGGTTTGTTTGGATATAAGGTGATGCCAGGATATTGCAATCGGCTGATTATGGTCAAAGTATTGGATTCGAGTATCTGAAACGGAAAAAGAACAAGAGAAGATTTAATCTATTTTATGTCACCAGCCTCGGGCTCATCATCGACCTTGGCCAGCCCTTGTTCCCGGAGAAGGGAATCAATTTCATCCGCAGTCCATAGGTGGTGGTAGATTTTGCCATCCTTGGTCTTGCCCACTGTTGCGAACTCGACTGCGTAAAGTAGAAATGTTAGCATGATTAAAGACAATGTAGAAATGACATCTGAGAGACTCACTCTTCTCACTGCTCAGCTTTGTGGAGTCCATAGTCTTGCTCAGCACCTTGACGGCCATAGCACAAGCCTCCTTCAGATCGCAGTCCTCCTTGTAATCTTGCTTGAGGAGACTCTGCGCGCTTGCGTTGTTTGCACCGACGCTCGTCGCTTTCCAACCCCCGTAATTTCCACTGGGGTTGCTCTGATACAACTGGAATTGACGGAGGTGGTCGTATCCGGCGTAGATGAAGGAGACACCGAACGGACGGAGACCGCCGTGTTGGGTATATCCTTGCTTCAGATCACACAATCGACGGACAAGCTGTTCACATGGGATGTCTTCATTGTACGTGAGGAGGTAGCGTTGGGCGTTCTGGCGAGCATAGTTGATCAGAATGTTGGCATCGGCGTTCATACCCGCAACGGCGCAAATCATGTTACTGGAAGATATTAGCTACTTGTACCAATACTAAAGACAGTAGCCCTGGCTCTTCGACTCGGGACAAAAAGGGGGCGGCTTACTCGTTGATTGTGTAGAGCTTCTCAGCAGAGGTATCCTGCTCCAGCAGCTTGCTGGTCACCTTCCTCTCAGCAGCGAGGACTATTCCATCCTTGGCCAAGATACCAAGGGCTGTACCGGCATGGGAAATAGCCTCAAGCGCATATTCAACCTGATAGAGACGACCTTCTGGAGAGAAGATGGTGGTCTTTCCAACAGCGTCATAGGTTAGCTGGAGCTGCACAAAAGGAATAACGGTGTGCACAAACCCTCGAATCGTATCTCCGAGACATCGTGTATGAAAAAAGAGAGCAACAAAAACTCGGATATGGGCTATAGGTAACGGTTGATTGTGCGAAACAAGTGGTTCGGGATGGTGAAGGTCGGTAGTGAAGACGTAGAAGCTCCAGGCAACTCGCCCTGGCGCGTCCTCTGTCATCCGCCAAGCTCGGACCACTTCACCACACCAAAGCTTCGCTGCGACGATTTCACCACTCGGACTTGCAAAGACGGACTCTAGGGCCGATTTACCAAATACTGTGAATTATTGATCTCGATCGCCATGCTCAGATCGACATACACTGCTCCTCCTCCTTTGCCTTCGGGGTGGACACAACATCGAGCCCCTACAGGTTGGTCTTGCGCAGGGTTCGAGTGAAAACTTTTGGCCGTTCTAACTATTCAGCTAGGTCATTTATACTATTATAATTCTTCAACAAAACAATCGACATACACCCGCCCCCAAGAAACAGCCCCTCAGCCTATTCAGGTCACTTCCGACAGCCCAGAAGCAACATACAATCCCGAGACCCTACCTGCGTTTTCTTCAACGCCATATGGACCGCCAGCAGGGCTTGGCTCTGGGCCAGCGCAAAACTTTCGCGGCCGTGGGGGATTCCGTGGTGGGAGAGGTTATCATGATCGTGGGCGGAGAGAACCCGAAGATCGGCCAAAAGCGAAGCATCCCATTCCTAACTGCGCGCCGTGGTTACTAGTGAAGACGAAGCTTGGGAGGAGATTTGTGCATAACCCAGAAACTAACGAAAGTTTTTGGAAGTTTCCTGAGCATGTTTTGAAGGGTGTAGTCGAATTCGATCGCCTCGAACGTGAGAAGAAGGAACGGAAAGAACGGGGTGAGCCAGAAGTGCCAGTCAAAAAGGAGTCGCTTCCACCACAGGGTGATGGTACGGATACACAGCCGACACCGCAAGAAGCGGAGCATCCAGATTATGACGACGACTATGAGGAGGTCGAGGTTACAGACAGCGAGGGAGAAGAGGGCCAACCATCAAAGCGTGCACGAGCTGAAAGTGAGGGTCCCAAGGATCAGCCACTAGAATTCAACGAAGAGGACATGGCATATCAACTAGCAGCCATGGGCGAAGACTACGGACTGGATCCCGGGGAATATGGTGAAGCCGGGGAAGAAGACTGGGAAGAGGGTGCAGGGGGCCTACCACTAACTGAGGCTGATGCCGAGGCCCTCTTCCGCGACTTGCTGGATGACTTCCGAATCAACCCCTTCACAACATGGGAAAACGTCATTGAAGAAGGCCGCATCATTGAAGATACTCGGTATACTGCGCCCTCGAACATGAAGACACGCCGAGAGATCTTTTCCAATTGGAGCCGGGACCGAATCCAATATGTGAAAGAGCAGAAAGCAAAGCAGGAGAAGACAGACCCGCGGATTAGATATCTGGCGTTTTTGCAAGAAAATGCCACTCCGAAGCTTTACTGGCCGGAATTCAAGCGCAAGTACAGGAAAGAGCCTGAAATGAAGGACTCTCAGCTTGGAGACAAAGAGCGCGAGAAGTTTTACCGGGACCACATCTCGCGTCTAAAGCAACCTGAAAGCACCCGCAAGTCAGACCTGTCAGCCCTCCTCAAATCTGTTCCTTTAGACTTGTTGCATCGGTCGTCGAGCTTGGAAGCTCTGCCCAACACGATCATCACCGATGTTCGTTACATTGGACTCGCGCCCGAGATCCGAAACCCTCTGATTGAGGCATATATCTCTACTCTGCCTCCGCCGCCGGAGGTACAGATGACGGCAGAAGAGCTAGAAGAAATCGACCGAAAACGAGTTGAACGGGAAAAACGTGAGAAGGCCCTTGCAGATCGGGAGAAGCGGGTGGAGGAAGAGAAACGGAGGCAGCGAGGAGATCTTCTCCGTGGCAAGCATCTACTCCGAGAAGGCGAGGCCGAGATTGAACAGGCAATGCGCGTCAACAAGGACGGACTAATGAGCTATATGGATGTTGACCAGGCGGCGGATGATGGACTGAAGCCGGGTTCATAATACTTGTTCACAAAATATTACATGTCATTTTTGTCGAAATAAGGACAGCCGAGTTCATATTGTACATCAAGAGGCAGATTGCTTATACCAATGCCATTCGGTTCCTGAGGGTATCACTGTATATGAGGGAAACCATTTCCCTTCACCTAGACGATTCGTCATTTCACCATCGATTCAATCATTTAAATCTCCAATCATCCCAGTCCTCGTCATCATCATCATCATCTTCGTCTTCTTCACTCTCGCTCTCATCCTGTTCCACTGCGCCAGATCCCATCGGCTCATCCTGTGTCTGACCTTCGGCGCGGGCTTTCCGCAGCTCTTCGCGTTTTTGTTTAAGTCTTCGCACCCGCTCCTCTAACTGGTCCATCTCATCAAACTCTTCCTCCAAAAGCCGTGCGGCATCCTCCCGCTCCCCTTCCAACTCTGTCTCTCGAGTACGGACTGAGGACGCCTTCGCTCTCTCTTGCTGCGCAGCGAGTTCTGCAGCTGTCACTGGTGCTGCGGATATCGTAGCCTCGGCTGTAACAGCGGCTGGTGCACGAGGCTCGTCATCCTGCTCAGCGACCTCGCGTTCAAATGCTGCCCAAGCTTCTTCGTCGATAGGCGTGGATGGGTCTTCGGGCGGTTGCGTGTTGGATTCTTCTGCGACGTCTGTGGCTGGTTCAACAGTCTCTTGCTTGTCGTCAAATGGAAGTTCTGGGCCGGCAATATCATCCTCGAGTTGCCCCGAACCTTCTTCTGGGGTTTGCTCGGCGCTTGTTGCGCCAGATGGAGACTGGAATACATCTAGTTCAGCGGCGCGGATCTTCTTTCGCATCACGCTATCACCGCTGTCAACCTTGCGCTTTTTGGTGACGCGATTTCCTGTCGCATTTGGTTGAGATGTGCCCTTGCGGGAAGCTAGTTCGCTACGGAGGAGCGATCGGACGTCGGCCATATTTTCGAGTTGTAAGGCGTTGACGGGATAGAAGATTTAGTAGTTGAAATGAGGTCCGAATAAAACTGGCGGCAATAAAACAGTCTGTGATGAAGAGTGGGGAACCTGGAGAAGCTCAATCTTAAGATTATTCACTCAAGGGCCTTTCGCCGCGAACCTGTGGCTGGTGACGAATATCACGTGCTACCGGTGAATGACAAAGCCGGGAGCCAAGCCACCCATTATTCATCTCTCCTCTCCTCACATCGCGCATCGCATCTCTTTTCTATCTTTTACCATCCATCTTCGCCGCTATTGCTTTCACCACTTGATTTGCGCGCAAATACTATTCTCATCTTAACTCGAACTATCTAGTGCCATTCGTGACTGCAAAGTGCGTGATTTGGGCTCATATTATCTCACGCGACCCCGCTTAGCGCCAAGTGTCGATTTGACGCGCAGCAAGGGATTGCACAGTCCACCATAACACCCGCTTGAGCGTGTTCTTCGCCACGGCGTGCCAGTCCAAGAAATATTGCGCAGAGTCTGGATCGGTTCTTTTATTCGATCAAGCAAAATTGTGGGCTAGACAGTGACGCTGTTTTGCTGTCTTCTTGTGTATTACATTAGCGCCTTGAGCTTGTAGAGACTTTTGTCAGCCTGGGGTAACACCCGAATTTCGAGCAAGTGAAGAGACCTATTATCCTTTCACGCGCTGTAGTACGCGCCGAATCACCATTATCATGGCCGGTAAGCTATCGTACATCATTCACCGCACACCTTACTATTCAACCACTTGAGAGTGGCAGGGCAGCCCCAAATCCGGGGTTGTGGATCATTTTCCAGAAGACAAGCTAACAGCGAGATCAGATGAACCCCGACGCTCCGGCCGAGCCACCAAAGGCCAACACAAGAACCTCGAGCTACCAGATGATCCCGCGAAAAAGGCAAAAGCAAAAGCCCGAAGGAGAAGAGCGCGAAGTTGTCTGCTGAACCTACACCCGGTCCTAGTGAAGGCGAGGGAGGCGAAGAAGAGATAATACGATGTATTTGCGGTGAATATGAAGAGGAAGAGGACGTGGAGCGCGACATGATCTGCTGTGATCAATGTTCAGCATGGCAACATAACGACTGCATGGGCCTTACATTCACGAAAGGTCACGAACCAGATCAATACTTTTGCGAACAATGCCGACCGGAGAATCACACAAAGCTTTTGGCGAAAATCAACGCAGGCGAAAAACCCTGGGAAGAGCTTGCCGAGAAACGTCGCCAAGAGGCTGAGGAGAAGAAGTCCAAGCGGAAAAAGGGCAAGAAGGGAGGCCGCAAAGGAAGGCCAAGTGAGAGTCGAACAGATGCTAGCACACCAGCTCGCACCGCGCCATCCATTACACCGGGTCCTAGCGGTTCTCCTGCACCTGCCGTATCTGTCTCCGTCGAACCAGAGATAAATAGCCATGCTATTGATTCTCGGCGATCCAGCACCAACAAGCGCAAACTTGAAGAGACAGTGGGGGTAGAAAATGTGAATACCTTTTCCCCTCAATCATAACATACAAAATGCTAACTCGTTTATCTCTTAGGGACCACAGGTGAAACAACAACGGGTATCCCCACAATCTACCCCAGCAGCTGCTCCCGAGGCAATTGGGCCTCAAATCAAGACAGACTCTACCCCCGAGGCACCTGCCATTGGAGCCTTAGAGGAGCTGATGCCTGCTCGCAAGAGTGTGGCCACACACCTCATCAAGTTGTTCGTAGACCAGGTTACTGCAGCGCAGAAAGCAGGCTCATTTACCTTACGTGCAAACCAGTCAGCGGAGGACGTGGCACAGAAACTCGCTCTGTCTATCGAGGATGCCATGTATGAGAGTATCTGCGGGCGGTCAGGCGAGCCGAATGAATCATATAAGGCGCAATTACGGTCGATCATGTTCAATGTAAAGAAGAATGCTTCTCTGCGAGATCGTCTCCTCATAGGTAGTCTCTCCCCTAAGGTGCTGGCTCAGATGACAACGGGGGAGATGGCCAGCAAAGAACTGCAACAGAAAGACGCGGAGATCAAGCGCGAAGCAGAGAGGCACCACACTATTGTCCAAGAGCAAGGTCCTCGGATTCGACGCACCCATAAAGGAGAGGAGCTGATTGAAGATGAACACCATGGCGCAAGCGAGTCTGTTTTCTCCCGTGGACCCCGTCGTGCACTGGGTGATGACGGCAGTCCAGCCCACAAATCCCCAACTAGCCCGACGGGACAGCAGCAATCCAAGACAGAGACAGATGGATATGTTCGAGGTCTATCGCCTGAGGGTGCTCACCATGACCACGTTTTCCCCGAAGTGGCCCCCGCTATCTACGAGCCACTGCCTAGTGGCAGGGTCCAAGCAGACGCTGAGATCGATCAGCTCTTGCGTGACGATGAACCATATTCACCACCTTATTCGCCCAAAGACTTTGATGACGACGGAACCATCTGGCGTGGCAAGGTAACGATGCCTCCAATTGGAGAGTTCTCCTCGTCCGCAAAGCATGTTGGAGGTGCAGACTTGAGTGGCCGAATCCCATGGAGCCAACTTGCGCCCTCCACGCTGGTTGTCGATGGCCGTATCGATATCAGACGAGCAACCGATTATCTCTGCGGCCTTCAATTCAGCAAGTCAACCGATGTGTCTGTGATAGCAATCAGCAGTCCTGACCAGCCCGAAGATCGAGCAGGCTTCGACAAAATGTTCGAATACTTCCATAGTCGTGGTCGTTATGGTGTCATTGGAAAGCACCCGCTTTCCGCCGTCAAAGACACCTACATTGTCCCAATGGAGATTGGCACAACGACGATGCCCGAGTTCATTGAGCTGCTGGAAAACATCTCACTGGAGGGGCCCATTACTCAACGCATGCTCCTTACCATTTTCGTCGTCAAGACTGGCGATTCCAACCCTTCATCTGTCCAGCCGCCATCCCATCAGGCTAGTCAGGAGCCACCGATGTCTGCGAGTCCCGCCGTTGCAGCCACTCCCCAGCAGCCTCAGTTTAGCGCTGGAGTTGCGCCAACTCCCCCTTCGCACTTCGGCGGATTCAACCCGAATCCCGCGCCGTACGGCCAACAGGTCCCTGTACAGCAAGGCCAGGTCACCCCTCAACACCAGCCTGCTCTGACCGGCCTTCCCGCCGCGGTGCAAGTCCTCGGATCACAAGTTGATGCTCCCGCCATTCAACAACTTCTAAAGACTGCACCCAACGTGGACATGGCGCAGCTGAGTGTTGTTCGCGACATTCTGGTCCGTCAACCTGCTGCCGCTGCTAATTACGATACTTTGATGCAGGCTCTATTCGAGACCCAAGCAAACGGCCACGTGCCCCAGTAGGGTGTGTAATAGAGCTATGCCCATGATAGCCAATTTTTCTTTTTTCACCTGTACAGTCTATCCCGTTTGTATTTCCTTTTACAAGGCTGCGCAATGCTAGTCTGGTGTTCGGGACTGATGTCTTCAGGGATGGGAAAAGGGTTTGTTTTAGGAAAGTGGAATACCCACCAAATGTTTTCATCTCTTATGCCTCCTGGTTCTCTACTCAAAATGAAACCACTTCTACCAGGGTCCTTCTGCTGTACTCTTATATGGCTTGGCCCTGGACTCCCATATGTATGGGTTTGTAGCCAAACTGAAACCATTTACCAAAGTCAGGGTTGTATTTGTATAAGTATTCTTCCTTAGTACCGTACTGTTCAATACTAGTTATCCCATTCATTCGAGCAAATAGACATTCTGGGTTTCTTTCCACACAGATCTCATCCAGTGGTTCTTACGACTTTCACTCGACACTCCTAGCAACGAGATGTTCCTGATCTGACGATAGTGTACGTTCATATTTCTTCTTCTCGCAGTCTTGACCTAAGCTTAGGGTTGAGTTCAAACCCTCGAAAGTTCTCACAACAAAAACATTCAACAGTGCAATGGCCAGCGGCAGGTTTTCGTCCGAGTATGTTCTCGCGATTTGAACAACACCCACACTGTCACCCACCCTTTCTTCCGCAGCATCCTCCCATTCGAGCACAGTCTTCAACAAGCACACGATGCATATACCATTTTGGCCGAGAGCGCCAAAAGTCGAGGCCTCTCCTGGACGGGCTATCTGGGAATGATACTCTAACCACCCACCAAATCGTTCCTTCAACTAGTATAGCTCCACGGATATTTGAATCTTGCCGCGTAAATCCTGGATGACTGCTTTATCGTAGGTAGGATTTTCTTTAAGCCTTTGCACTTTCCCCTTGGCATCGTTTCGCTATGAGTATTCTCCCGCTGCCGAGTCTCATTTATCGGAAGTCCCCTTGTAAGAGTCAAGCTTCCAGTCCTTGATGTCTTGTTTGAGCGATAGGTTCCATCTATGTCTTTGAAGAGCACATATCTCCTGGCTTCTCTAAGTCGATTTCCCCCTGCTATGGATCATTAGAAAGAATCATTGGAAAGAGAATGTTTGTCCACATCTAAAGTAAAGAGTTGGTGCTTTTCCTAAGATAAGTTGTACAAGTACAGAACAAATTTGAATCTACACGTTAGGTAGAATATGACCTGAATCACACCCGCTATCTAAAAGTCACATCTAGGAGCCATGCCACGGACTAATCGGGGTGTTACAGGTCATCCATGGATGAATCTATGAATCGAGTCTCGCATGATCAATACTTTCATTACTTCACATCAAGATAAGTGAATACACTCCATGTGAGAGTATCAATGAATATTTCGGGAAATGGGGATACACAATGTATACTGTACACGATCTTTGTACTTAGGTGGTTGTGAGATATATATCGACAAGAAGCATGAAAAATGAAATGGATATTGAGCACTTATCCTATGACCTCCCTAACCGTTGTCTGAGCATCATACACGAGATAATAAGTAAAAACGCCTGCGCTATGCAATGGACCCAGAGCCCGAATCTTCAAGAATGAAGTAAAGACAACGAACATCACCATCGACCACCTCCACGGCGCCGATATCCACCGCCGCCACCACCACCACCGCCATAACGGCCGCGACCAGCACCGGGGCGACCACCAGAAGTGTAAGGGTTATCATCTTCTTCATGGTGACGAACTGGCGGAGCACGGCCCTTCAGCTCAATGCTCAGCTTCTTACAGTTCTTGCGCATATCTGAGTATCCCATGTGCATCTTGCCGAAGAAGTGATCCGCCAACCGGCGGTCGTTGTCAAGACGAGACAAGTAAGCACCGCAAACGTCACAGACTTGCAGCTTTTGGTGGCCAGATGGACCAGAAGTATCTTGAAGATTCTTGAGATCGCGCTCAAGACTTTCCTTCTGGTGCTTGGAGGTGCGGACTTTGTGCATTTCATTGAGTGCTAGTGCGACAGAGCCTGTTTCGCCGAGAATTGAGACTTCTTGGAGGCCGGAGTTGATTGTATTGGAAAGATCAGCAATTTGTTTGAGCTATATAGGAAGTTAGCGAAGTCCATGGGAGCTACTCTCATTGGAGATTGAATATAGTAGTAAAGCTGGACATACCAAGTCATTTGTCTGCCGAATCTCATCTGGCGTCTTTTCCAGTCGGCGCTGCGCAGTGTCAATTCGGCGGTCACAGTCGTCAATGTACTTCTGCATGTCGCGCATGTAATCGAATTCGAACCCCCATTTTGCCTTCTCAGAGGGAGATGCGGCCTCGTATTCCGCCTTCAAGCCTTCGCTGTGGACCTTCGGGCAAGGTCCGAGGTCTTGCTTGGTGTTGGTGAACAGGTCGTGCGGGCAGGTGCCAACAAGGTAGGATCGGCAAACTTTGTTATCTGTAATTGCGAGCTGGGAATTGCGACCCTGTGCGCCGGTTCCAATGAGCTGATCAGCTATCGACAGAAGCAGTGTTAGCTCTAGTTGGAGACTTGTCGGGGTGGGCTGGAGCTTGGAGATTTTGAGAAGGGCAAAAAGCATGACATACCTCCCATGAGCTGCTCAAGCAGCTTTCTCTGTTCTGCTGCCATGTTGATAGTAATACACTAAGCTGAAAAGGAAAGGAAAGACGAAATTGTGTCAACGGGCTGATTTGCGGCAAACGACGAAGTCTTTCGCTTTTGATGCTTTTGGCGCCAAGGAAGGCGGTGAGGCTCCGCAGTCAACAGACCAGATGGACATCTCGGGGGTCTTGGAGTTTGGCCTCGATCATTCTTTCGATGCGGAGCTTTTCTATTGATTTGGTGAACACTTAGGTCTGATTTCCTGGGGCCACAGCCAACATATGCCCATCACCTCGCCGATAACCCCTACCAATTGACCTGTGATACCCGTATGGACGAAGACCGAGCTCCGGCAAGCATGAAGTCATGACGGTCCTTTCACTATTCTCACTTCCTTTCGTCGCGCTTATTCTCACATTATGGGGCTCCTCTGCCTTTGCATCGTCGGATTACCATGAGCAACTCCTCCTACAACCACTCCCGCAGTCCTCCTTACTAGCTTCTTTTAACTTCCGAAGCAATACATCACAACAATCATTCGACCAACAGCATTTTAGATATTTGCCTCGCGCCCTTGGTCAAATCCTTCAACACGCGCATACAAAAGAATTACACCTTCGCTTCACCACGGGAAGATGGGACGCTGAAAGCTGGGGTCCACGGCCATGGAACGGCAGTAAAGAAGGAGGCACTGGCGTCGAGCTTTGGGCGTGGATTGATGCGCCAAGTGACGAAGAGTATGTTAAACACTCAGAATATGTCCTACTAGGCACACAATGCTGATTTAATCAGGGCTTTTGCCAAATGGATCACCCTGACCCAGTCCCTCTCTGGTTTGTTCTGCGCCTCGCTGAACTTCGTGGACTCGACCCGGACCACTAGACCTGTGGTTTCTTTTGAACCAGCCGGCGATCACTCAGCTGCCAATCAGCTGCACCTTTTGCATGGAACTCTTCCCGGAGAGGTGGTTTGTACAGAGAATTTGACCCCTTTCTTGAAACTGCTTCCTTGCAAAGGCAAGGCCGGAATCTCCACACTGTTTGACGGGCACAAACTGTTCGATGCCGCATGGCAGAGTATGTCAGTGGATATCCAGCCGGTCTGTTCTGCAGATGGGGAATGTGTGGTGCAGATTGAGCAAACTGTGGACATGGTCTTGGATATTGACCGGTCTAAACGCTCTCGTTGTGCGTATCTTTCTGCGGTATACTCTGGCTTAAGAATGCTAACATATCATTAGCGAACCCTATCCCGCGGCCTGTGCCTAATGAGCAGTTGGTTTGTGACACTTCCAAGCCTTACAATTCAGATGATACTTGCTACCCGCTGGAAAAGACAAATGACAAGTCGTGGAGTCTTACAGAAGTCTTTGGGCGAAGCATACATGGGGTTTGCCCTATTACAGATCTCGATGGATCTAGCGACCAAAGTGTCTGCCTTCGGGTGCCCCACGAAAGGGGTGTCTTCATATCCGAGGGGGCTGATGAAATCAAGAAAGAGGATGGCTTCACGCGCTGCTTCAAATTGGCGCCATCGGTTTCCTTTGATATTTCAATTCCGCAGCAGCAAGTGAACACTGAAGTCCCTTTAGACGAGCCTGTTTTGCACGCAGAGCGTACTATCGTTGGACATGGCCAGGAGCGCGGCGGAATGCGCATTATCTTTGGCAATCCATCCAACACCAGCGCAGTTGATTTCATCTATTTCGAGTCTCTTCCGTGGTTCTTGCGACCATATATACATACCTTACGCGCAACAATCACAGGCCATGACGGAGTCTTGCGCGAGGTCCCAGTCTCTGAAATCGTCAAAGAGACGTACTACCGGCCCGCCATTGATCGCGAGCGTGGAACACAATTAGAACTGGCGCTGTCTGTCCCCGCCGCATCAACCGTCACGTTAACTTACGACTTCGAGAAAGCCATTCTTCGGTACACTGAGTACCCACCGGATGCCAATCGCGGGTTCAACGTTGCACCTGCAGTAATTCGGATCTTGGATCCGGCGCACAATGCGCCGGTATACATCCGTTCTACGAGTCTACTGCTTCAACTTCCAACGCCGGATTTCAGCATGCCATACAATGTGATCATTCTCACCAGTACCGTGATTGCCCTTGCTTTCGGAACTATCTTCAACATCCTGGTTCGACGAGTTGTCTCTGTGGATGAGGCTGCCGCTCTTGGAGCCCAGACTTTCAAAGCCCGGATACTGGGGAAATTGGTGGTTCTTCGTGATCGACTCCGCGGAAAGGGTGTCAAGGTAGACTAGTTAATATCTAAATATGTGCATTACAACTACACTTTTTAACAGTTCATGGCCCCGTAAGAGACTTGAGAGAACCCTAATTCATTTTTCTATTGCCATTTTTCACATAGAATGCGAGGACCAATGACATCGAAGCAAAAGATGACCAGTCACAAAGTTCTTTCCAATCGATGCATCCATGTTATTATTTGTACACATCTGCCTCTAATCTCAGTGTTCGAAATCTATTAGTACATATCAATGCAACACATGCTCACTTGGCAGAAACAGCTATACCAAGAGGCCGACCAATACTTGAACCCGATGCAAACGCCTGTCGAACATGTTCTTCCAAATGTAACACATTGTTAATTCCTTTCCAAAATATAGAGTCAATCCGTAGAAGGCCAAGATGAAGGCAAGGCAGAACATCGGCCTTCAGGCGCATATCCCGGCGCACTCTGTGCAGACACGCAACCCATTTATCTGCCTCGCTCCTATCAAGGGAGCTGGCAGCCATATGCAGGATTTGGAAACAGATGGACGAGAATGCAGTTGCACTCCATGCCGGCCATAGAGCCTCAAGGTCCTCCGGCCGCAGTTCGTGAATAAACCCCGCTGCTGCTGAGATGCAAGTTTCTGCTCGGATTCGGGCTTGCTCACGCGCCATTATATATTCGGTCTCATTCGGGGTTTCGGCGGTTCGCTGCAGGAACGGTCTCAAAATAGCTCTGCAAATACTCAGATGAATATAATGATAGTTCATCTCGAGTGTTTTTGCTAGTCCAATTGGTCTGCCTTGATTTGATGATCTCAAATCGGCCGATGATGCAGATCCCGGTCTGTGCCATGAGAATAGTTCTTCAAGTAGTGGCCCAGTCAGTGCGATGGTTTTCTCGTAATCGGTACAAATGGTATTAATGGCACGAGGTGAGCTAATATTGGTGAGTTGCGGATAACAGCGATATGACAGAGATGTGAGATCACTTACTATAATTTGGTTAGAACCTGATCAAGCAGAGAGTCAAGTTTCGCTCGCTTCATGATATTCGTCCAAGCTACAGGGTCAAGTCCACTGGCAGGAAGATCGTCTTGGCTAGGACTTGTCACGAGCCAGTTATCATATTGAAGTAAAGGTGGCCGACCAAGGCTCAACGCAAGCCACTTGTCTGTCGAATAAATGAAATAGGACAGACAGCGTCGCTGGGCAATTTGCCACGGAGGTATCCGCCATGACTTTGGATCCAAATGTAGTCCAAGGGTGTGAGCACAAGCAATAAGAGTGGCAAATTGGGACCATTTGAAGCCACTGTCCAGAACAATTGGATTAGGATAGGGTCGAATAGCCAAAAGAAGCATTGTCTGTACCACACAAAGCTTGGGTGCATGTATCTCATATGGTAGTGCTTTGTTGATAATCTCATATAGTGCCACAGCTGATGGCTTATCATATGCGAGATCAATGCATAGTCTTTCGTCAAATTTAGTGAAGGGTTCGACAATTAGGTATACGCTCGCAAGGAGGTATGGCGGACTGGTGCTGGTATTTAACTGGCCAGGTGGGCCAATTATTGGGTAATCTGGTGCGACGATCCTCTCAAACAGGTTGATTAGTCTCAGGCCGATATCTCCCGGGACCAAAGATTCGAGTTCCTGTCTTAATCCAAAGGCAGATACGTTATTGCATCCATTCTCCTCCCTGCTGGCAGTAAATATTGATGGTTTTGACAGTAAAAACTGTGTTGCGTCGTTCCCTGAGGATATGGATTGGATATTGAGATTTTTGAAATGAAAAGCGCCAGATATGTCGTATTGATAACGATTCATCAGCAAAGGATCCATATCACCACTACTGCCAAGCAATTGCGGTGTCATTGGACCTTGAGTGTCAAGGCAAATCGACGAGTCAGCCTCCTGCATAGGTAACAACAAAAAAGCGGCTTGCGATGAGCCTCCATCCTCTGAAGGGCCAGTCCCTGGCAGCCTAGGGGATGGATAGATGAAGCTACCTGGACTAAATCCAGTTGGCCAAGTACTATCTCCAAAGCCACCAGGCAATGACACATCGGCTCCATTAAAGAAATCATGAAACTCCCCAGGTGCAGTGGCAGCTGAATGGTCTACCCCACCACCATCGATCGACATCAACATATCGTAGTGGACGGAGTCGCCAACTGGGGAGACCCCAGGCAGCTCTGAGCGTGGGCTCAGATCAGTTTGTTGGGAATTCCGTGAGCTAACGGTCTGAGTAAAGTTCTGGCGCGGCCTTGAGCTTGGCTGTAGGAATGTGCATTCTTTCCCATGAAGCGTGCAAAGATAACAGGGAGGTGCTCGATCAATGCGACAAGCTGCCTTACGGGCCCGACAGGAATCACAAGCGCGGTCCCTTTTACTCATGTACCTACGAGCTCGACCTGACATCCTTTCATTGAGAAGATTGTTATGAGTACATATATCTTTTGGTAAACCCTGGGAGTTCAGGACCGAGGATGACTACAGTCCGTTTCCGATGCCGGCCCCACATCCCACGTGACTATAATCGCTCTTCATGGCTTATCTAACTCGGTTAGTTCCGGGCCCACGTGGGCAGGCGGACCCGAAGGTTGGTGGGCATTCCAAGGTTCTTCACATGTGGAACATGCCTTATCTTATTATGATTGATTTTCCCGGTTAGATGATTCCTTCTATTTCTTCTCTTGCAGACCGAGTGGACTAGAATGAATTGGTTTAATTGCCCTTGATATACCAATTTCACCTTCAAAAATCACCACATTGCCTCTACAAGCAGACTACACTGCACTGTCAAAAGTCGGGTAAAATGGGTAGGTACTGATAAAGACAAGAAGTGACATCCACCACTAGTAGTTTGGAAAATTCGTTGAAGGAAATTTTGGATTCTTATAGCCAATTTCATGACATGACCCTCGGTCTCTTGGCATGACTATAGCATGATAGGTGATACGTTGATAGATGAGCTATTAGACGGTTATGTTGATTATGGAGACCCCGTTCATCATGTGCCTAACAGCTGAACAGGGTTTGAACTGTCCGCAATGTTCGTTGATGTAACCAACTGGCCAGTCACTGGACTCTCTAACATTTCTTTGACTTGAGCGGTAAACGACTGAATGATCAATCCAACTATTGCTGTTCATTTGAGGCACAATATTATGTTCAAAAGAGATTCGATATTATTTAGATCAATTCCCAGTTCATGCCCAGTCCGTGGCTTTGACTAACACGAATTAAAACTTTAGGGTTATCGGGAACGATAACCTTGTCCCCGCATCTCCCGGGCCGACCTCGGTAAATAAATAAAGATTTGTCATAGCATTCATCCTGGGTTGATTGAACTTGAGACAAATGGTGAGAGGCGAATTTTGAAACCCTGGGGAAGATTGATATAAGCCAAAGGAACGCAAAACAAAAGGCCAGAGCTATCTACCGAACGATATATATCTCGGCTGTACGGTCTCTTCAGGGATAATTAGAGTTTGAGTGATGTAACTTTTTTTCTTCCATATACTTTCTTTGGTGCATTTGTGCTGCCAATTACTCTTCACTATTGCCAAAGTGCACCTTCCGAAGGAGTCGACTGGTATCCTCGATATATACAAAGCTTTGCGAGAGTCCCCTTTCAGGATGATTGAAGTGCCCAAATGCATGTGGCACGCCTGGGTATCTCTTCATTGTGACATCGTTTCCAGCCTCTTGCATAAGCTGGCCATAGTATTCTCCTTCATCGCGCTCGAGATCAAATTCTGCGGTGATGATGTGTGCCTTGGCAAGGTTTTTGAATGAAGGAGCCAGTACCGGGGTACAGATCCACTCCTTTGTCAAGATTCTCTCTTGGGTAGCTAGAACAATATCAGTACATGCATGAAGGAAATTACAACAGCAGAACAAAAAAAGAAAAAAAAAAAAAAAACTTACCATCATCATCGCCGAGCCAATACTTCAAGAACCATTGCTCCCTGCCCAGTGGTCCCCAAGGGGCATCATGGTATAACAGAACACTTTCGTAGGGACATGTGCTTTCATTCAACTCTCTGGTCTTTAGACAGTAGCGCATGTCTGTCGCCGGAACAATGATCAATTGAAGTTTCAGATCAATACCCTCATCGCGGGCGAAATGCGCCATTACTGCAGTCATTTGACCTCCAGCTGAGAGACCTCCGATAGAGATACTCGTCGGGTCAACGTTGATGGTTGAGGCATTGGCAATTGTCTGTTTAAATATCATGTGTTAATGAAGCATATTTCAAACGGCATTGTTTCTTGTACTTACCCATTTCACAGCATCCCATGAATCGTAGATGCTGGTGGGATAGGGAAACTCCGGAGCCAGTCGGTAGTCAACATCGATAACTTTAATTTGGGCTTTGTTGCACATGTGTCTGCACCAAGCAGCTTCAGAGTTGAGATTGCCAAGAACCCAACCCCCTATAAAGTGTGGGTTAGAGTCAAAAGTCCCATGTTGGAGAGTGTGAGTGCAGTGTCATAATATACGTACCTCCGTGGAAGTTCAAATGAACAGGGAATGGGCCTGGTCCCTCTGGCGTGTAGACCCGGATCATAATCTTTCCCGCTGGTTGAGTGACCGGAATCTCGATGTCCTCGACATGGAAAACGGACGGACCTTGATCGTAGTTAGCACTTGTTCATGGCTCCAATTTAATGATCGAAGCTATTGCATCTGACTTACCGGGGCATGTTGGGTAGGTAAAGCTATATGTCGCGGGACTTTTGCGATATTCTTCAAGAGATAGCTCGTCGGCTCTCACCATGGAACTGCCATGCTTTTCCCATAGCTCTACCCATTCAGGATCCAATCCCTTCAGGAGCTTGTCTGGGATAGACAAACGCCCCTTCTCTTCCACTGGTGTTTGTGTACTGGCCATTGTGATATGTCAAAGGATCGATTAGGTTTGCGATAGAGAATGTTAAAGACAAAAAGACGATCAATGGTCAATCTTAAGCGAACGGTCAAAATAAATCGACGAAAAAAAAATGTATTAATAAATTTAGTCACTTAGCCTTCGATACGTCTCGGATAGAATGCAGGACTCCGGTTGGCGGCATCGGCCACAGTATCGGCTCCGATCTAAGGCGATAGGCATTGGTGTGGACCTCGGGAGGTTCTCCTATCTGCGGGTCCAAGGTGGATCCTGCACCCCGGATTCGTTCCTAATGTTGAACCTTCCACTGACCGAGTTGGTTAAATTAAAACGCTGTTCCTCTGTGACATGGATTTTTTTTTCTCACACATCACTTTACACACTACCTTTTATATCCGAGATGGATTCTGTCTCAGTCGATAACCGAAGAAACTCAGAGGAACTGGACAAGGTTGACCAGTCTCCTAATGATCCCTATGCCGGACTCCGGCGTATTCCTGACAAGTTCCCACGTGTCGCATTGTTAATTCTTGTCGTTGAGGTATGTTGCTCCACCTTCCACGTGGTGAAGCACGCTAACATTGACGTATTAGCTTGGCGAACGGTTCACTTATTTTGGCCTTAGCGGTCCCATGCAAAATTATATCAAGTACGTTAAGCCTTTCCACAATTAGTGGAGATCCTGGGAGCAATGTCTAACTGCTTTTTGTATCTAGTAACCCCTATGATCCTAGTTCCGGTCTCCCTGGTGCTCTAGGCAGAGGACAATCCACTGCATCTGCTCTTGGAAACTTCTTTAAATTTTGGGCTTATGCCTCCACAATCATCGGCGCAATCGTTGCAGGTTAGATCAACATTTCCCTTGGATCTTGTAGCATTGTTGCTAACAGTGCACTAGATCAATATCTAGGCAAATTCAAAGCCATCACAATTTCTCTGGGAATTTATATCGTCGGGTTGACCATCCTGGTCGCCACCGCGACGCCAGCGGGCCTCAAGAGTGATGCGGGCTTTGGTGGGTTGGTTACTGCAATGGTCGTCATTGGCCTGGGAACAGGTGGAATCAAGGCCAATGTCACTCCCATGTGTGCTGAGCAATACCAAAACGCACAGCCAGTTCTGAAAACTCTCAAATCAGGCGAGCGTGTCGTTGTTGATCCTGAATTGACCGTACAACGTCTTTTTATGTGGTTCTACTGGGTCGTCAATGTTGGCGCCCTCTCCCCATTAATTACCGTCAATGTTGAGGCAAAGCACTCTTTCTGGCTTGCATATTTGATCCCATTAATGTAAGTTGGAATGAGAAAAATATTGGTTACATCGCTAATGACCTCCAGTGCAATCGTTCTCTCGGGTATCATCTTCTTGTCCGGGCAGAAGCGATATGTGAAAACTCCTCCTCAGGGATCTGCTATTATTGATGCATGCAAGGTCATGAACATTGCTCGACAGGAGAAGAATTTCGAAAGCGCAAAGCCATCATCCCTACAGGCTTCCGGACGTTTAAGCAAGTATTCATTTGCATCTTCACCACGTTACACGGATCAGTACGTCTCGGATGTCCGCCGAGGCTTCAAAAGCTGTAGAGTAAGTCAAAGTTAAAAACTTCTGCGGTGAGCTATACTGACAAATATTACAGATGTTTATTTTCTTCCCCTTCTACTTTGTTTGCTGGGTCCAGATTTGGAACAATCTTATCTCTCAAGCTGGACAAATGGCGCTGCACGGAACCCCGAACGATCTCCTGCAAAACCTCGACCCGATTGCGTTGTGCATCTTCATCCCCCTTCTTGACTGTGAGTATTGACGGGTTGATATCAGAAAATATTCGCTGACAACGTATCTCTAGTGGGCCTGTATCCAGTGCTTCGCAAGTTCAACATCAACTTCAGCCCAGTCCGCCGAATATTCGCCGGTTTCCTTCTTGTCTCGATCTCCATGGTCTATGCCAGCGTGCTGCAGCATTACATCTACATCTCCCCAGAAAAGAGCATCCACGTCTGGATCCAGGCCCCTGCGTATATTTTCGTCGCATTCTCCGAAGCCTTTGTCATTGTTACTGGCTTGGAAATTGCCTTCACACATGCTCCGAAAAAGTGAGTTGAACCAACCCCTCCAGGATACTGTTCATCTGAAACTAATCATATCTTACTTTAGCCTGCGCTCCTTTATCTCCGCACTTTTCTGGCTTATGATTGGCATTGCGGCGGCTATCTGCATTGGTTTAAGCCCAGTTTCAGAAGATCCAAAGCTTGTTTGGATGTATGGATCTCTCGCAATTGTGGGATTCGTGGCGGGATGTCTGTTTTACCTTTGCTTCAGAAAGAGCGACTTGGATGATCCCATTATCCCAGAACTCGACGGAGTTCCAGTTGAGGGAAATGGACAGCATGTTACTCAAGTTGCTGACTATGGGAAACATAGTGAAGTTTAGGAGTCGTTTTTTTCTGTTAAATAGCCTACATAATCAATACCTTTCCACACATTATTCTCACATTCGTGTTTAATTCTATGACATGCCCAGGTAGATGCTTAATTTGAAACCCTTTACAGCTATTTTCCACGACTCACCATGCATTGTCGCGCCCAGTGTGTTCATTCTATGCCTGCGCTTTTTGTAGACCCTTCTCAAATTGTTTTGTAGCCTTGCAGGATTTTCTCAGCTCAAAATCCTGTATACCTACTATACATGGATTTTTCTCCTAGCTTTTTCAACAAAAGCAATAAATTTTCACTCACTTGACTTTCGACTTTGGATTATTCCATATCTCCAAAGATTGTCCCAAATAGGACACCGCAAGTTTGGCAAACCTGAAAATTGGGAGATATGAGCCCTTCGATTGGGATCCACTTTCCCCAGTGCCATGTGCTGATAATCAGTCCCCAAACCCTTTATCAGCCGAGATATACATACATTTCCGATTGAGGCGACACGAGAATCACGGGCGCCAATCACAAGCTACACCGCCTACCCCACAGCTCAATGCCGCCAATCGGAGCATCCCCAAATCCTGCGCCTCCGAGATAGGCGCTCGTTTACACGTGGAATCTCATCCATGGATCTATATTGCAAGCTAGACATAAGATAAGAATATCAAATCAAAATGAGTCAAAGAAGTCTCCGAAGAAACCGACAAGCTCTAGTTTCTTTTAATTTAAATTAGAGGCGCCCCCTAGGCAAATTGAGTTCCAGTCATTTTATTGAGTTTTCGAACATCAAGCTAGTCACAATGAAGAGCGAATCTGTGGTAATTATTGGGTGCGGCTCCAAAAAAGAATTTCTTCACTGCTGCTTGCAGATTAGAGCTAACATTCTTTTTTTTCTTAAGTGCTGGCATCATTGGACTGAATGTTGCTCTTGTTCTTGCTGAGCAGGGCTATGCCAGCCAAACAACCATCATAGCTGAGCACCTCCCGGGTGATACATCCATAAACTATACTTCGCCATGGTAAGTCGGCTCGACCTTATTCATATTGGTAGATATCGAATGTGTTTTCAATGATACTAACGTGATCTAGGGCTGGCGCAAACTTCTCTGCCCTTTCTGCGAGTGATAAGAATGCCTTGCGATGGGATCAACTCGGGTACAAGCACCTTCTTAAACTTGCAGCACAAGATAGCATGAAGGCATTTGTTCGGGAAACTCCTTCTACCGAGTACTGGGATGAAATGCCGTCGCGCACAAAGCTCGATTCCATGGCTAGCTATCTGAAGGACGTGAGTCGATTACCAATAGCTGCTTCGATTCAAGTTGCTAACACAATAAACCTACAGTACAAAGAGATTCCCCAGAAAGATCTACCAGAGGGTGTTGCATGTGGTGTCAAATTCACCACAGTAACTCTCAATGCCCCAATGCACATTCGCTACCTCCTTCAAAGACTCAGACAGGAGTACGGTGTGCGGGTCATCCGCAAAAAGGTCTCGGGTGTCACCTCAGGATTCCTCAGCAAGGATACAAAGGTGGTCTTTAACTGCACCGGTAACGCTGCTCGTACCTTAAAGGGAGTCGAGGACCCTAAGTGCTACCCCACCAGAGGCCAGATTCTGCTTGCGAAGGCAACACACATCGATCAAAATGTGATGAGACACGGAAAGGATTATGAAACATATATCATCCCTCGACCACACTCGAAGGGTAATGTCATTCTTGGTGGATATATGCAGAAGGGAGTCGGGTGAGTCGAATAGATCCATATTTTTTCTGTGGATGCTTCAAGGACTAACAGTGATAGCTTGCCTGATACACTGGGAGAAGAGACCGAGTCTATATTATCCCGCACCAAGGCCATGTTACCAGAGCTTGAGTCACCCAATACAGAAATCCTTGCAGCATTTGCAGGCTTGCGCCCATCACGAGAGGGAGGTGCGCGAGTTGCCAGTGAAGTCGTGCAAATTGATGGTTCGGAGCGAAAGGGCCTCGTTGTTCACAACTACGGCGCTGGGGGAACTGGATTCCAAGCTGGATATGGAATGGCAGTTGATGCCGTTGGATGCGCGTTGGGTGAACTTGAAAAACTTCAGGCCAAATCGTCTCTCTAGGCTTAATACCCTGAGGCTGATGGCACTTGTCTAGATATCACAAGAGTTTGTTCGTGTAAGATATTCCACAGTTTTACAATTAGGCTTTGAAATTTTTGAGACGCGTTCGACATGTTAAATTCCAATTTACAATTAAGATACGTGTGAGTGTAGCAAATCCACCTTTATCCTAGTAGCATAACCGGTTTTATCCGCTGTGACAAATTGGATTTGATCAATACCAATCATGCTATGTATCTTAAAAAAAGACGAGGGAACTCACCTGCCGAAAATGTTCTTGACTGTACTCCATCCGGGATATGTGTCCGGATCTCCAGCCTTATGCTTCATGAAAGAATGATCCTCACTGGCGCAAGTGGGCTCTCCTTCGGCATTGATAGGTCTGACACTGGTCTTCTCAAAGTCGACCAAGTTCTGACGTTCAGAGAGTTTGCTTTCTCCGCGCGTCTTCTGTTCATCCAAAGCAAGGAAGCCGCCCATTGTTGATTTCGGATTAGGAGCCTGCGATATGAGAAAGACTAATCAACTTCTGCCATTACTCCTGGCAACACTATACCACGTACATCTGCATGACCCAGTCCCTCATTTTTGCCACCTAGCCATAGCCTGTCGCCCCATCCTGATCCGTCGTCGGAGTTAGCGGGTGTGGGTTGGGCACTGCTACCTCCGTTGACGGCAGTCGTTTGCTGGTTGAGGCTGCTCTCGATACCCATTTTGTTATAGTTGAGTTTGACTGCACATGAAGCTGTTAGAAAAATTATCCATATCGATAGCTAAGAGGCTGTGAGGCGATAGACTTATGAGAGGAGTGGATGGTAGGGTGCGGTGTTGTAACAAGAAGCTTGTATACTGACGATTTAAGTGTTGATAAATTTCCCTTTTGTAGGTGAGTGTAAATATTTGTGGTTGAATTTGTACAACTAATGGGTATTTGATCTAAGCCGAGTTACTCGTGCACTTGGACTTATATATGTTCTTTTGGCCTTGACCTCATTCCTTGCCATGATCCCAGATGATGTCATAATGAGTATACATCGCCCTTTCTTGATTGGCCTATCATTAAGGTACATAGTCATGTGTATCAATCATGTAGACCATGAATACCCTATTTTTGATGAACGGGGTGTTTATATCTAAATTTGATTTGTATACATAGTGAGCTGTTTGATCTGCCAGCTGGTTTTTCTTACCACCGTTGCACCAACCTATTTAGTAAGAACAGTCCAATTTGTGACCTTCGGCAACCCAGAAAGTCACATTATTGTGCAGAATATTGCATCACTAAGATGTAGCTTGCTCGGTGAACTTGTGGGATTTGTGTCTCCCCCTTTGTCTCTCGTGCCCACGGAGTTATATAGATAGATTTATGGCAGCGATAGCACTATAAACTTCATATTCTCCAAAATAACATCTTACCTCCGCTCCATGTGTGGATGGTACACGCATCAAATATATAGATATATACGAATATCTGAGTTGAAGGACATGGCGGATCAACAGCGCTTTCTAGGACCAAGCAAAGACAAAACAAGCATAGCAAAACTTTTTTCCTAGGATATTGATCGGTGAACGCATAGACTGATAGGCAGCTGCTTATGTGGCCTTAATCATGTTTGTGCCAAAGCTCATACACTGTCTGTAAATTTTCTTCAATACTCAACCAACTGGTATCGTATTTGCCCGATGCACCTAGACGACCTAGCAGCCCTCTTCTGGAAAGTATCCTTTAACAGTCTTCTCAGATAGTAGTTTTACATAGAATATACCAAGAAAGTGTGGAAATTATGACTAGATCTACCATAGACTTCAATCATATTTACTTAATTGGGGTTGATGCAGAAAGTTATTCTTACGCTCCAACTTCTAGTATTGTTTATTTTTTACGAGGATGCTCTAGATCATACCGAGCCACCCTGAAAGTTGGCCAAACCTGCAGCAAGACAGCACCAACCATCATGCACCCTGCAAAAACCTGAGCACGCAAAAACTCCGCGGTCTCAAGATTTACCAAAGCACCCGCAATCGGAGTCCCAGCAAGCGACCCGAAAGACGATATCCCCCACATCATACCCAAACGGGTCCCCAGAAAGCTCGAATCCGGACAGAAAATCGGATGCGCCACAATGGAAGTCGGCGCCGTGACCAACACACCACTCAGAGCTCCCCAGTAGCATGCCCAGACCATAAAGCCAGCCATACCAGTAGCCGCGATCCATGTGAACATCGCAATCGCCGACGCTACCACGGCAAATATCAAAATCCCAATGGGCTTGATATATGCGACAAGCAGATATGGGACGACACGACCGATGACCGACGTGCCGTTGACAATGGCAACCATATAGAAGCTAAGATCGGTGCTGGTATGCACGACCGTACGGGCGTAGGAGGCGATATAGAAAATTGGCACGTAATATGCGAGCATGACACACGTGAGTGAGAGCGAGAACATCATGAACGAGGGCTCGCGGAAGGCGCTCCAATCGATCAGACTTCTTGCATGGGTTCTTTGGCCTGGTTTTCGACATAGAATTACACATGATATGATAGCAAGGAACAGACTGATGAAGCCGATGCTGCGGACAGCCCATGGAAATCCGATTTTAGGTTGCAGTTGGCGGAACATGATGGGGAAGATGACGGCCCCCACGCTAGACCCGATTGAAGCGCAGCCGATGGCAATTGGGCGTTTGGTGGTGAAACTGGCGGAGATCACGACGAGGGCTGGGATGTAGGAAATGCCGCCTCCCATTCCGACGCAGAATCCTTGTGCGAGCAATACCTGGTCGTGTCAGAACACGGGAAACTCCAAACGATAGATTTAGATTTACCTGATAGTAGGAAGTGGCGAGACTGGTCATCATCATTCCGAATACAGTCAAGAAACTTCCGGCCAGAATTAGAGGGCGCAAGTATCCCACATCAACTAAAGGCCCCGTAGCAAGACCGACTAATGGGATAAGAGTGCCTTGGATACTGCCCACCCATGAGATTGTGGATGGTGTCTCATTTGATAGAAGGACTGTCTGGTAATACTCTTGAAACGCGCCATAAGTGGTCAACAGGCCCCTGTAGCAAAAATTAGCTTAATACAAAGGGAATCTGGCAACAATCTCAACTAACCATGAGTTCACAAAAACACAGAAACCTGCGAGGACATTTAGCCAAGCATCAAGGCCCCCGTTGACTCTTTTTTCCGGGAGTACATGTTCATTTTCTTGTTCGGGCACCAAGCTGGGTGAAGGTGGTTGGGCGTCATCTGTCTTCTCCGTTGAAACCATTTCGATGTATAGTTTCCCATCAAAGAAGAATAGGAGAACCCTTTAAGACTCCACTTGGAACTTGTGGGGAAATTGGAGGTTTTCATTAGTCAACTCATTCGGTTCAACCGGCACTCAGTAACCGAGCTCTCCCGGGGTGTCGATGCAGCTAACATACTCATTGGGGATCCCCGGATTCCCGCAATTTCGAATGGTCCTTATACTATACTTAACTTGTGTATCATGTTCACGTATTGTTTATCGCCTCTACTCATCGAGGAGACCACATTTGTGCTTTTTTATTACCCTCGATCTGAACACTTCTACGTCATTCACATTTCATACAATTTATCCCGTATAGCCGTTTCGTTCTCGGAGAATATCTTGGCTGCATGCACCTGTACACCTGCCAGTTGACGCGAGACTCCACCAATCATATCCACTTTGGATTCTATACGGAGTATGAGCAATCGAGATCTGATATGGTTCACTCGGACGTTTTGTTTTTCACCTCGAAAAGGACACTGAACAATGCCTGGGCTTTCTGGAAACATCTACTCTGCTATAGATAAATTTTCGCAGAAAAATGGCCGCCCGAAGACTAGACCTCCGCAAAGCCATAGTGGGTTGTAGGCCCCAGAGCCTATCAATGGGGGCCCACAAGGCCCCCATCAAAGCCCATTATTAATACATATATAAAATAGCTGTGGAACAGCTGTTTTCTGCGTACGTCTAGCTTATATATACTAGCCTGTATAGGCAGGGATATTAGAAATCCCAGCCACCTAAAATCTGTCTATAACTGCAGGTTTCCAGAGATCTAGGAGAGATGAATGGGTCAAAATTTTGGGATTAGAGGCGAGACGCTCTCGAGTAAAAAGAAGCGTTTCCCATCTTCGAAAAACCCCAGAAAGCCACAAAAGTCCACCGGTAACCATTCTTGCATTGTTCACGATGAATCCTTACTCTTGGGAATGCCGGAATGTAGTCTTAGGCATTGGCGTGACCCATCACGTGGAGTTAGGGCCGATGATTCCTTAGAATGCACCTTAAAGCACATCGACATTGACAAGCAAACAGACTACAAAATGTCATCAAACATATCTTTTGGCGATGGAAATTATGGGATACAGGTCGGTATCAACAGCGGTGTAATCAACGCTCAGTTACATCTACCTCCAAGTGAGTTAGTGCAGGTGAATAGTCCTGAGAGAAGCGCTGCTGACAGGGCAGAAACACCCGAGACGCCACCTCTACCTTTCTCCACGGTCCCATTTATCCGTGACCCTGACTTCATCGATCGACAAGGCCAGATTGACCAAATCGATCGATTGTGCGCTACCCCTTCGTCGCGAGTGGCGCTGGTCGGCCTTGGTGGGATCGGGTAAGCCCCTATCAACCCTCATCGGTTCCAATACTGAAAAACAACAAGAAAATCACAATTGGCAATTGAATATTCGTATCGAGTGCGTGAGAAATCCCCTAATGTTTGGGTTTTCTGGATACACGCAAGCAATGCCGCCCGATTTAAACAAAGTTACGAAGACCTCAGCAGACGGGCCAAGATCCCAGGCTACGAGGACCCAAATGTCAACGTCTTCGAGCTAGTTCACGACTGGCTCCTGGATTCAAAAAGGGGCAAATGGATCATGATCCTCGATAACATTGATGACGATGACTTCCTTCATGCGCGACCATCGCCAGATCAAAACATCAAACATCCTCTGATCACTTACATCCCCAGATATGAAAATGGATCAGTGATCCTGACCACCCGGAACAAGCAATCTGCCTGGAAAGTTGTCAATGACAGCAATGTGGTTCACATTGAGCCAGATGAATTACATGCCCGAGCACTGATACACAAAAAGCTCCGCCTGCAGGAAAGTGAGGAAGATATCCGGAGTCTAGCTGAGACTCTCGAATATATGCCTCTGGCTATTGTTCAGGCTGTCGCGTACATGGCACACCGAGCTCCTCGACGCACAATCCAACAGTATCTCGAACAGTTCCAAAAGAGTGAACGAAGGCGCATCAAGTTACTTGAGCATCAAAGTGGAAACCCGCAGCGTGACTGGGAAGCTTCCAACTCTATACTCATAACGTGGCAGATATCCTTTGACTATATTCAGCAAGCTAGAAAATCTGCAGCTGATCTTTTGTCTTTGATGAGTTTCTTCGATCGCCAAGGGATTCCTGAATATGTGTTGCACGACGACAAGAAGGATGAAGCCTCGAGTCAAATAGAAAACAATTCATCCGATGAAGATGACGGCGAAGACAGTGACTCAGATGATGATGAAATTTTCGAAAATGATCTTGTTTTATTGCGGAACTATTCATTCGTCACAGTTGGCGAAGAGAAAATATTTGCGATGCATGCATTGGTTCAATTGGCTACACGGAACTGGCTTGATTTCCATGGTGGAATTGAGGCACCGAAAGCAAGATTTGTCCACAATCTTTGTCGCGACTTTCCCGGTGGTGGTTATGAGTATTGGGAGAAGTACCAGGCGCTCTTCCCTCATGTCAAAGCCGCTGCGTCAATGTCAAAACGTCCAGCCTCAAAAGAATCCATCATGGATTGGGCCTTTTTACTATACAAAAGTGCGTGGTATGCATGGAGAAGTGGAGATCTGGCAGAAATGAAGCGAATGGCAGAGAAATCCAGGAGCGAAACACAGAAGGTGCTGCCAGCGGAACATGAGCAGAGCCTTGCTTGTGCTTCGCGGGTAGCACTTGTCTACATGCAAACAGGCAAATGGGCAGAAGCCGAAGAATTAAACCAGCATGTGCTCAAGCTCCGCAGGAAGATGAACACCAAGAGACTCTGACGTCCATGGCTAATCTTGCCTTGACTTACGACAATCTAGGACGACTCCAGGATGCGGAAGCACTTCACCTGGAAGTCCTTGACACCCGAAAGAAAGTTCTGGGGGATCGTCATGAAGAAACACTACATGGAATGAATAATCTTGGGAATAACTACTGGCTGCAAGGTCAATGGAAAAAGGCGGAAAATATTCACATGCAAGTTCTTGAAGTGCGCCGCGACTTCGGGGAGGAAGACCCAGATAATCTCACCACAACGAGCAATCTAGCTCGGTCATATGATAAACAAGAAAGATTTGAAGATGCAGAGGTGCTGCACAAGCGCGTTCTGGAATCTCGGAAAAAACTGTTCAGCGAAGAGCACCCTGATGTCTTGACGTCAATGAACAACCTTGGAATGAATTTCTTAGACCAAGGGCGCTTCGGAGAAGCCGGGCCACTGTTTATGAAAGCTGTCGAGGGTCGCAGAAACGTTCTTGGGGAAGACCATCTTGACACAATAAACAGCATGGAACAGCTTGTTGTTGTCTACCGCAAACAAGAGAATTGGGCTGATTCCCAAACGCTGTTGAAACAATTACTCGAAACCCTCATGAGAGTGTTTGGAGAAGATCATCCAAGAACGCTTAATACTACGAATAAGCTGGGATTCTCTTATTGGGTTCAAGGCCAATACAGAGAGGCCGAGGAACTGTTTAAGCGTTCTCATGAGGGTTTCAAAAGAGTTTACGGGGAAGAGGATCCCAGAACGCTTTCGGCCATGAGCAATCTCGCATCCTCCTACCGACGTCAATCTCGGTGGCTGGATGCAGAACCGCTTGATCGAAAAGTGTTTGAATGTCGCAGTAGGACTCTGGGTGCCACAGATGTGGATACTGTGCTTGCTATGTTCGAGCTTGCGGTGACCTGCAAGAATCTTGGCCGGATGCAAGAGGCGACTCAACTAGCCATGGAGTGTGTCACCATTCAAATTTTGACTCTAATGACTAAAATTCCAAAGGCTCGATCTGCCATGCCTAGAAGATTGGGCCACGACTTTGTCGTTGCTAGGCGATGAAAGAGGGTGTGAGGTTGACTTTCGAGTCCCGAAAAGTGAAGGGTATAATGCGAGAACCGACTCGTACTTTCACACATTGTCAACAAAGCCAGCATGTATCTTGCTCGTTCCATCAGCACAGAGCCAAAAGTATGACAGAACCCTTGAAGAGACATATCCAAGATCAACCACTGAGCATAGAGGGAAGGTAGAACCATCTATCAATTCGGTAAGATGATCCAGACATTTCAGTTAATCTTTACCTCTTGGAAAGGATTTCTGCGGTATGCTCCTCCGCATCTAGCCCTGGGGTAGCTTAGTGATGTAGTATGCGCTCAAGTATGTAGTCTCAAAAGCAGTTGCTCTCGGTATCAACTCACAGGGACTTGGGAAGAATATCAACACAGAAAGTAGAGTAATATTTTCTACTTTTGAAAGCACATCCGTTGACACTCATAATACTCATAACTGTACCAGAACACTTGAAGAGAGATCTGAATGAACCACAACAAAAATTTCGAAAGAACAGTCTAGAATAAGCCTGAGTACGACGTACCTCATATCAGGTTGAACTAGATGAATCGATTACTGAAATTCGTCCTTGAGGACAGAGGCGGAACCAATAGCCGACCATGCTGTGTAAGATCAATTACTAAAAATATAACAAATGTTACAGCTCAAGAAAGCAGTGTATGCTATGAATGTCAATATGCGTATATGTAATGCTGGAGGACCTATGCATCTGAGCCATCTCAGCCATGTCAGCCACCAAAAAGGCGTTAGGACAAGCGGGATATCAAATTGCAAGTGAGGGAAACAAGAGTCTTTTCATGTCATGAATGCAAAAGGAAAATCGTGAAAACCAATGAAACCAAAATTATCAAGATTCATATTCCAATGAGACATTTCGTCACTCATCGTCAAACTGGTCTGCCCAAGTTCCAGTGATTGGTGAGAACGTAGAATCCAATTTGTCCATTGCAGTTTGTGACTTGGATACCGCAGGGGCGGTTTCAGGCTCTTTCTTAGTCTCAGCCTTAGTCTTCGTCTCTGACTTAGGGACAGGCTTAGCCTCAGGCTTGACCTTTGTCTCCGGCGTAGACACAGGATTAGTCTCCGTCTTCTTAGGTCCCTCGGGCAGAGCCGGGAATGCATCCTTGTCGTCCAATCCTGGCGCGGGAGGGCTCGGTGTTGCATATATACTATCAGATAGGCCCTTGCGTGGCCGATCTCCCTGGGGAGCACGTGGAGATCCACGGTCACGGCCACCTCGACCTCCACGTCCACGACCCCGGTTACCACCGGAGTGATCTTCCGCATTTTCTGAACGGGCTTCTTCGAAATCTCGTCGCACGGCGCCAGACACGCCACCGTGCATACCGCGTCGGAATTGGCTGCCTCCACCGCGGGGGTTGTAATCTTCCTCGCGTTTCTGCGAGTCCCACTCGCGCCCTGTTTGGGCCTTGAGCTTGCGCTGTCTGTTTTTCTCACGCTCTGAGTCCATCACACGACGGTGTGCGAGTTCCTCGCGACGTTTCTTCGCTGCTTCCTGCTCGCGCTCCATGAATGACGCTTGGTCGGCTTCGGCACGAGCATGTGCCGCAGCCTTCTTTACAGCGTTTTCCTTGGCTGCAGCAATGCGTTTGGATAGTTCCTCTTCTGTGAGTTTAGGCTAGAAGTAAACAGTCAGCTTGGTACTCTCGTTTATTAGTAAGAGAAGTACTACACACCTTTCTCAGCCCACCAGTGGCACTCCGATCACCACGAACAGCTGGCACACGCTGAGCCTCGGCACCACTCGCTGGCACATCTTCACCATTACTCTCTTCGACCGGGGCAGCCTGCTCTTTGGTCTCAACTGACTTCTCTGGCTTAGAAGCGCCAGCCTCGCGCACATCCGCAGCAGGCGGATTGACAGGAGTCTTTTTACGCGGAGAGCCTTCTGATCGCTTTTGCTCTGAGTCCCGTCCTCCGCGCGCTCCTTTGCCCCGGCCCCGTCGTCCCCGGCCTCGTTCTCCACGGCCCCGCTGCGGAGTATCCCCACGTGGAATTGACTGCTCGGGAACTGGCTTCTCAGGTATATGTGTTTCCTGCACCTCGGGCTCTGGTTCGGGGGTGGAAATGACCTCTGTCTGCGCCTGTTGCTGTTCCGTAGAGATAGGGATAATCTCATCATCGAATAGATCGTCGGCGCCGCGAGTCTGTGCGAACTCGTCCATCTCGGGGTCTGCCATTGCAATTGGGGCTGGATAATTTGACTGATAGGTGGGAGAAATCACGCGTAGGGTTTGTGTGTGAGCTTGAGACACGCCGAGCGCGGGATTGTCGCCGCTATATACGCGATCCGAGGGGTAGCTTCGATTGGGGGCCTCAAATGGTGATCCGTGCACGGGCCAGTGGAGAATGCAATATATTATAGTCTTTCAGAATTTGCAATGATTCATGTAGGAGTGATATATAATGGGGAAGTAATGAGCCAGAATTATAGTGGTCACACAGCTCAACTGATCTGCAAACCAGCCGGGCAGTCTGCTAGGCGGTCTGCCACTGCGGAGCGCGTTGTTTTGCCGATGAATTCCGTTTATTTTCTGCCGATATGACGTCCTTTATGGTTGTTTACATGAGCCGGATGGAGGTTCATCGGACTTGGATTAAATCTGGCAGTTTTTCAATAAAGACACAAGCTAGCTCGAAAGAGGGCTATACACAAAAAGTGGCAAACAGGCTTAAACACACTGCCAAGCGTTCTCATTGGTGTAGTTCCCAGGACCCTTGAACACATTGCGTCGAGGCCAGCGGCAGTGCTTGCGCTTATACTCAACCTTAGAGCCAGGACCGGTAGAGAACTTGGCACCGCGAACAGTTTCCGGTGCAATACCTTCCTCGACCCACTGAACCATTGCCATAAGCACATTGTCCTCGGGATTTGTTCCACCGTAAGTGCCGAGTCCCTGGCCAATACCATAGGCACCATCGCCACCCCCACAATGGCCCATGCCGCTGATCGGGAAAAAGCGATAGAAATCATCCAATCGGGCAGGAGGAAGTCTCATGGTGTTCGAGACATGAGAATAATACATCTTAGAGTCCTCGGAACTAATCAGTTGGTCTTGGAGGCCGTGGTAATGTAGGATTTTCCCGCCGGCCTTTTTGAAGGAGGAGATATCGCCATCCCAAGTTTGGATATTGTATGGGTTCTGGGCGACAGCGAGGGCGGCGTCGTTCACTGTGAAGTTGACACCGCTCCAGGACGGGTTGTTGTAGACGACGTAGCGGTACCAGTCTTCACTGTATTGGAACGGTTTGCCATTGTACATGATAGGTGCGGCAAGAATCTCGGAGCCAGGCTGCATACGGGGGTACAACAGGGTGCCATTAATTCCGTACAATGGCGATAGCACTTGCTGGGCGGTGTTGACTTGAGCGCTGGTGAGACAGCTTGTTTTGTTTGAGACACTTGGGTCACACGTCAATGTTTCCAAGACAGGACGGCAGAGATCGGGATTCTCGATGATTCCATCTTTGGCGCCATCAATGGTATCACATTGCCGGATGATCTCTTCGTGCACAGTCTTCCATTCAGCTGTGGAGAGAAATGTGTCGGAAGTTGGGGATCCAGTGATAGAATAGAAACTTGCGCTCCATGAAAACAGGTTAATTAGGTTGATAGCAGGAGCGCCGGCAACCACCCCGTCAAAGTCATTGGGGTATTTTTGAACAGATTTCCAACCTTGGCGGCCACCAGTGGAACATCCAAGGTAGTAGCTTTTGTTGAAGCCCTCATCGTAGAATCGCTTGGTGAGCTCCTTTCCTATTACAACTCCAGTGTGAACAGAGCGATATGCATAATCTTTGATTACTTCAGGGCGGCGGTAAAATGGCTTCCCCGAGGTTCCATTATGTCCATTATTGGCTCCAACGGCAGCAAACCCTAGATGTGCTGTGTATGCGAGGTCATAATATTGAATGCCTGGATCAAGGTCAGCAGGATTTAGAATCATAGCGGATACAAGACTTACACCCCGAGACACCACCGTTCCCGGTGCTTAGGAAGCGGCCCTTGTATTGACGAGGGAACCAAGCCTCTAGGGTGATCGCGCTGGTGTTCGAGGTTGACACGGCCATAGCAATTCGGCATAGATCTACCGAGACGGCCTGGTTGAATGTACCACAGCTAGGCGGATTGTCCGCTAACGACAAATTGGTATCTCCCTGCACAAACTCGGCAAAGTTGACTTTCACATTGGGGATGTCGATCTCACCCCCGAATTTTAGACATTTTGATTTAAACGCATCTTGGCTGGCCAGGGCAAGCGAGCCTAGGGCTGCCAATAAAGGAAATGCATGAAGACGAGTCATATTGAGAAGGGGCCGTTGAGGATATCAAATCAGTTTCTGTATGAATTGTATGAATTCGAGCACGCTGAGATGGCTGCAGACCAGCGGCTTTAATATTTGATATATGTCCCGAGGCATGGTCGCTGCTCCCCTGACGGTATCAATCGCGTAGCAATACGCAACATGAGGCGGTAAATCGATTTGCCGTGGATTGAGTCTAGTCTTGCAGATCTGTGACGAAAAGGCTAGAATGGCCGAAGTTTGGCCGGATAGCAGTGGTGATCGGAGGGAAAAAGAGCGAATGAGCGACACCATGCGGAGAATGCTGCAAAACAGACTGGCTGAGCGTTGAAGGTTTGGAAAAGCAGTCAGAATCAGTCAAAAACGAAATTCTCATTTCCTCGAGTCAGAGGGAAATCCGGGGTCTCCACAAATGCGGAGAGCACTGGTCCACTTTATGGCTGTTGGAGTCGGCACTTCTCGCCACTTGTTGGAGATGTAGCCGGGTATTGATTCAGAGTAATATAATATTGAAGACCTATTTCAAGCTTAATTGCTCAGACCTTACAAATGTTCAAAATAACGCATTGAAAACTCTTCGTTGGAAGGAAATTCTTAATAAGGATCCTCTTGGAAATGATATATTCACATGAGATATACTACCGCAAAGTACAAGCCTCAGAAGCCTGCAAGAGGCCATATGTCGAATGACACCGCTCTCACAGATGTATTCCCCCTTGAGCAACCTTCCTAGTTCAATAAGGGTGACCTATGGATCTTACCCTAGACAAGTGTCTATCCTTGCAGATGGACCTGCGCAACATATGTATCCGGTATTTTCTTTTAAATAAATTCAATGTCCCCGAGACTAATTCATGCCAAACAATCCACAAACGGCAGGCCGATTTTCTCCTGGATCTCTTTGAATGCCTGGAGTAGTTTTTCTTCCTCGAATTTCTTAGCAACTAGCTGTAAAGAAACAGGTGCATCCTTTTGCTTGACCGGGTCATAATTCTCGTATGCCCAGCTGTCGAATTCGTTTTTCGGAATGTAAGCAGTGTCCTTGGCATCCCTCTCGAGATCCACCTTGGTGACAGGGAACACAAGAGCTGAATAATCGAGAAGATTGAATAAAGAAGTGTAACCCCAGTACCTCGAAGTATCGTGAAGGGGGGCGGGCGTGGGGAATGCGGGACAGAGTATAACATCCATTTCAGGAGCAACATTGTTCCACTCTGTATTAAACCGAGTCAGATCAGAAATGAGAGATTCATCGTGAATGATTGATGTACTAACCTTGTAGGTAGCTGTAGCGAAACATCTCTCGTTTGCCAGTCCAGTCCCACAAGCCCTGGTGGCTGAGTTCTTCAATGCCAGGGGTATCACGCAAAGTCCAAGCAGTGAGCGGTGTCAATGGCTCACCAGAGGCCTCGGCATGTCTGGCAAAAGCCTTTCCACCATCTGGAGCATACAGCCTGGTCTATACATGCTCGTTAGTAAGTTCAGCACGACCATTGAGGTGATATCGACCGCTTACAAGAATTTCGAGAGCCTCCTTCTGTTTATATGCTTTCCATTCAATAACCTCGATGTTGTCCACCAATTTAAGACGCTCCACCACTTCCTTCAAGGCTCTTGTCACTGCCGGCGCGGGAGTAACGACATCATCCGTCCACATTACTCCGACGGTCAGCTTTTTATTATCTTGGTGAATGTGCTTTTCCTGGTCTCTCCAAGGAATTGGAAGCATCATCGAGTCTTTGACCCAAGGCTTCGCTTCGATGATCGTCTTCATAAAAAGTTCAACACCGCCAAGTGTGGGTGAAATAGGTCCTAGTGTTCCCATAATTGCCTCACATCCGAGAAGGTAGGAAGCGCATCCGATTAGCGGTAGTCGACCGGTTGATGGCTTTAGGCCGTAGAGGCCACAATTAGCGGCAGGGGAGCGAATACTACCACCTGAATATAATTTTAGCAACCAACGAAAAGCAACCCAGAGAAACTGGCAGCATACCGATGTCTGAGCCAATTCCTAAAGGACTGCCGTAAAGGGCTTGTAGGGCCGACTCTCCACCGGAAGAACCGCCTGGCGTGAGAGCGGTATTATGTGGGTTGGTGGTGGTTCCAGTGATATTGCTGTAAGTTTCAAGAGCCATCTAGCCCGAAAAGCAGGGCATCAGCTATAGTTCAGCATAACGGGATATTCAAATCTACTGACCAGTCCTTGTGGCTCCGTTGTTCTTGCGTAAACAACTGCACCAGCATCTAGGAGAATCTTCACAATATTTGCATCGTCTTTGCTCACCCGATCTAGGCCACTGACGAATCCAGCAGCCAAGTCTCGTCCTTTAAGGCCTACATGTGCTTTGATGCTAATTGGTAAACCATGGAGCGGACCCGAAGGCTTTCCATGCTTTGTAACATAGTCGTCGAGCTCCTGAGCGCGGGCGATGGCACGTTCAGGAAGAAGCTCGTAGATACAGTTGGTCTTAGTAGATGACTGGTTAGAATTCCAAAGTCAAGTCGTTGGCCAAAAACAACCTGCAGCTCCACTCACCAACTTCTGAGCAATCGCAGCCCGCCGAAGAAAAGCCTTTGTCACCGCGGTTGCCGTCAGTTTGCCCGTTGCAAGCGAAGCCACCAAGGACTCAGCCGAAGTCTCCGTGATGGCAATCTCTGTCTGTGAGAGGTGCTTTCTGGGGAAATCGATCACCCTGCCCGTATGTGTATCGGGAAACGCAGCGATTGCGGGGTCAACGCTCTCTATGGAGAGATCACGCACTACCTGGACCTGGCGAGCTGAATCTTGCCAGGAGAGCTTTGGTTGAGGTACGGTCATTGTTCCAGCTGATGTTGAATGGTCTCAAGTTCGGGTTAAGTTGGAGTTGTAGAATGCGGACCTGTACTTAATAAAACATCTGGGCATTCTCCGCCTCCGACACGGGCCCTCCAATGTGCGACCAGAAGGGCAAAAGCTCCAGTTCTCGGCCCCAGTGTTGCACAGGGCAATAGTGCGACCCTCAGTGGGCCACATCTCTGTGCAGTGGCGTTAGGATCAACATACTCCACCGAGTCCCTTTTTATGTATTAACGGAGTAACAGATCAATCAAGTCGGACCTAATCTTCGTTAAATCCGGGTATCAAAAGCTATGCCGGTTCAACGTATGAAAGACATATAATTATCTTGATTCTAAGTTTCTACTCTGAAAAAGCGCTTCAAATGTTTTTATTACACCTATAGCTTCTCGGCCTATAGTAGCCTCTCATATTGTATAAACCTTTTATGAGTAATTCATTATCACTCAGGAGGAAGGCCTGGAGACCTCCATTGAACTTTGATATTATCCGGACTTCGGGGACCTTCGATGAGAAAAGAACCAATCAACGAAGTTTGTAAGAGGGAAGTGTGTTCCTATAATAAATTGATTGATCGGGGCACCGGTATCCGTTCGTCAAGACTGGATATTCTTGATTATAAATGGATTCTGCTGCATTTTTCTGCAACATAGGCACAACTTACATCTACACTAAACAGGGCAAAAGTACCATGCGGGAAGTTGAACTAGGTACGGTATATAGACCACGGCGTACAATACTCCGTACTCCGTACATATATGAACTCCGTACGGCATAGCCATGATACCCGCTATGCCGTCGGGGGGCCGAATAATAGCGGGCCCTGGCTCTACGATCGTTACCGCGAGCGTCTCTAGTTCCACGCTATCAGATGTGCCTTGGTTCTTTCGTACTAGCGCCAATATAGTATGGCAGGGATCTTTGGGGGCGGCTTAGTTGCGTCGTTCCAGTCCCCAACATCCTTGAAAAATTAAATTTGAGAATGGTTGCCGTCTAAGACATGAGCAACATGGAGGTGCACACACGGGGCAGCTCTCTGCATATAATCAGAATCTTGACTCGTACAAACCAGGGACTTTACAATTACTGGCACATATGACTGAACTCCAGGAGGACTCTGGACCAGCACTATGGGTAGTGAACACGATTTTCATTGTATTGGCTACACTCGCTGTTGTTGCCCGCTTTGGTGCTCGACGACTGCGAAAGTTGCCTCTCGGTGCAGATGACTGGATCATTTGCGTAGCCCTTTTCTGGGACTGGATACTATATGGGATATTTGTGGGATGTCAGTACTTCCACTACCATTGCCCTGACGCTGGTTATAAATCCTAGTAATGTTAACGCTCTTTCAGGTCGGATCAATGGCCTCGGCAAGCATCGAGAAACCCTCTTACCAGAAAAGGTCGCTGTATTCTCGAAGCTCCTCTACTTCTTCCAGATCTTCTATGTCCTCGGACCCCCAACTGTGAAGCTCGCACTGCTGTTTTTGTACCGACGCATTTTCGAGCATTCAAGTTTCTTGCGAATTGTCAATGGAATGATCGTTCTGGTCTCTGTATGGGCAATCATTATGACTTTCCTCGCTATTTTCAACTGTAATCCGATTAGCGCCTTTTGGACAACGGAAGGAACTTGCTTTGACTTTAAGCAATTTGCTGTCGGCTATGCAATTGTAAATATCATCACTGATTTCGTAATTTGGTTGATGCCAATTCCGAAAGTGTGGAATATTCAGCTTCCGAAATCACAGAAAATTGCATTGTCCCTCATTTTTGCATTGGGTCTTTTGTATGTCTATTCCTTTTTCTATCTCAAAGTTGCAGATGACTTGGAATTCTACCTTGCTAATACAATCGTTTTCAGTGATTGCGCTGCAGCTATGACCCGCCTTCTCCTCTCAATGCTTGTCCTGGGCGATTACGACTCCACATGGCTCTACGCCAAGGGATACATGTGGTCTATCATTGAAGTTTCAACGGGCATTGTCTGTACTTGTCTGCCAACGATGCGAGTCCTCTTAAAAACGGTTTTTGGTGGCGCGTTGGCAAGAATCCTTGGCATGTCAAGTGGAGATGCCAGCCATCCGCCGTCAAGCAGTACGCTTTGGTCTAGGAACAAGCAGTATTATAACGACCTTGGCGGTGTATCACCAGCGAATGTCTGTTCCAACCCCCACCGTTCAAATATAGGTTCGAGTTCGAAGTCGAATGATCAAGAGTGGGAGAGTTGGCAGGGGATTGTGGTGACTGAGGAGGTAAACATTGAACTTCAGCCAGTCAAGTAAAGGGCATCTGTAAATAGAATAACTTAGTCCACTCATAATAGTTTCTGAGAAATTCCAATCAAAGTAATTGACTACAGTGCTGACTTATCCCAAAAAGGAGACTTCTATCAAGAAATCCTTTCAACTGCAGTGTCTAGTCTTGCTGGTGTTATTGATCTGTTTGGGGTTGTTACACACGAGTTCTTGATGCTGATGCTAGGAGTGGATCAAGGCTGGATGTCTCATAATGGGTAATCAAGAGTAGATACATCGGTTGTGAAAGATTGTTGAGAAGTAGTAAAAGACCCATGGTGGTGAAAATGGAAATGAAAAGCCAACAAGTGACTAAGTAAGCTCGATACGTAGCCATAGACAGCATCGAGTTGTGGCAAACTGCCAAGGAGGTAAGATTGGCTATCCCTGAGTTCTATTCATCATTATCAGCAAAGACCAAGATAACTGGGGAAAAACCGGTATGTACTAACCGCCGTAGGTCGATCGATCGCTCAAGGATTGCCAGCCTATTAAGCTGGACTATACGCATAGCATCAAGAGACTTTCTGACCTTCCATAGAAGAAGAATCTTTCTTCGAATCATGCGTGTGCTGGCCTTCAACCTCTCTGTCTCGTCACGTAGACACTCTGCTTGTACTGGGGTGAGGGTTTCTTGTTGAATCGTGTGCAGCCGGTTTTCCCAAACCGGTGGTTTGGCCAGTTCCACATTCACCTGTTTCTTGAGCTCACGAAACTCCTTCTCCCAGATCGTCATTCTGGCATGATAGATATCGATATCCCTCTTAAGGGCATTGAATGATCGGCGGATCATCCATACGTGGAGCCAAAGAAGGAAGGCCTTGATCCATGTTGCTGCCAATGTGATAAGAGGAGCCTCGATTATAGGGAACACAACGAAGAAAATGAGGCCGTCCATGATGGGGTGTTCGAATTTTAAAGCATTGGAGATGAGAGATCGCGAAAAGTTGGAAGTGAGAAAGTGAGCGATGAGCGATGAAACAATGTTGGAATGTGGAACATAGGAAAGAGCTGACTCAGTTGGAAAGAGCTACCTGCTCAGCTACTTCCTGTCATTTTCTCTTTTCTTTGCCCTCGTTCTTGTATTCCCCTCGAAAAGAAAGAGAAAAAAAAGTCTCTCAGATCTCACCTCTCAACTGTTGATCCGATCTCAGGGCAGATTCCCCGAATAATATCAGCAGCCCGCTCAGCCACCGCATACACCGTTGCAATAGGGTTTGCATTGGTGATGAGCGGGAAAATACTCGCATCCACAACCCGCAGGTTCTCCGTCCCGTATACCCTCAAGTCTTGATCTACTACACCTCCCTCTTCACGGGGAAGCATAGCAGCAGTACCGCATGCATGGTGACACGTCAATGCTGACGCCTCGCGCAGCTGTTTCTTGATAATCTCCAAATCCGTTGGCCCTGTGCTCGGCTGCATAAATGGCTGCAGAGCTGGGGTTATGGTTAGACGATGTAAGCTTTGCACATGTCGAGCCAAAATTTCTATATCTAGATTATCGCTGAAGTATCGCATATCAATGATAGGCATCTCACTGGGATTTGCCGATGTGATATGACTACTCCCTCGCGAGAAGGGGACGCTGTTAATAGCACCCAGTATAACCATATTTCCAGGTATTACAGACATCATAAGGACCGCAGAGGCTTCATCAGGACTTCCCAAAATTGATTGCATGACTTGTTCCGATGAGCTCACTGGCTCTGGGCGTCCAGCAAATAGCCCGTTCTGCTCTTCCCGGTTGAGGCGTGCAAAGGCCAAACCCTTCAATCCAAGAGTTATTCCATCAAGATCTGGGTGAGCGTTGAGGGGAACTGGAAACATGCTCATCACATGGTTCTGGAGATTCTCGCCCACCGCTGGCTGGTCACTAACCAATGGGATTCCGAGACTCTCCAATCTGTCTTTGGCGCCAATTCCAGACAGCTCTAGTAGCTTTGGTGTGTGTAAAGCACCAGCCGCAAGAATAACTTCCTTGGTTGCCTGAATGCTCGTGATCTTGCCATCATATAGAAATTCCGCTCCAGTGACCATGGTCTTATTCGAAACAGAGGAAAAAAGGACCCGACGAGTTGTTGCTCTCGTGATGATACTCACATTGGCACGCTGGGATGCTAATCTGCCATATTCGTTGTTCGCACTGCTGCGAAGACCCGAGTTTGGATCTACGGTGACTAGATTATCACGGGTGCCAATCGTCTTATTTTCCGCAAGAATGTCGACACTATGCTCATATCCCTGGCTCTTGAACGCACCCTTCCATGCTTCTCCGAGAGGGAGGCTCTTCTTGTCGTTCAGGGCAGGGAAAATGATTTGGATTGGCCCGTGAGGAGAATCATGCACAGGCTCAGTCTTATGTGGAGCTATGTCTGGTGGGTTCAAAGTATAGGATCTTTGAAGATAAGGTCTCAATGTCTCCCAGTTCCAATTTGGATTTCCAAGCTGTGCCCATGCATTGATTGCAGCCGGTGATGGGGGAGTATATATCAGCCCATTGATGGCGGAGGACCCGCCGAGGACTTTTCCTGCCGGATGATGGAGTTCTCGGTTGTTGAAGCCAGACTTTGAGAATATGATGTTAGGTAACTTTCTGCTCGGCTCGAACATCAGAGCAAACCAACCTGGGGAACAATCTTCAGCTTCCAGTCAAGCTCTGATCCGCTCAAAGATTGCCATGCTTCGGGGTCTTGAACTCGATGGTCATCTGAAGCATCAGGGCCGCTCTCCAAGACGACAACCTTGATAGTTGGGTCCTCCGAGAGACGGTATGCAACAACCAACCCGGCTGTTCCTCCGCCTACAATTAGATAGTCGGTAGTGGATGGGAGATTCGGGAATGCCATTATCAGAAGTCTTGTTCAATATAGCAATGGTGTTTCGATGGTTATTTGGAGTGTAAAAACTGTAGCTCAACACACAGGCAGTCAACTCGGGAGTCGGGACTCAATGGGGGGCACATACTGTGCCAACAAGACTTTCCAGTCTCGGCAAGGGGTTTCAGCCAAACTTGTCATCGTCACGTTTCGAAAGACTATGCACTGTACGGAGTAAGCCAGTTGCTTTTAATTAGTGGATAGCAATGCATACATGCATCAACCAATAGGATAACCGCCACAGCCGCTATAGTAGACCCCACAATCTCCGCAGTCCCTTCGGAGATTCCACCGAGTCCCCGAGCACGTCAATTCGCAATTCTCTGGAGAAAAAAAAAAAACACTGTAGTTCACACCCAGACACACCATGGCTGCAGACGATATTGCCCGAGAACCTGCTTCTGAACAAACACCCCTGCTTCGGGATGCTCCCGATGCCAATGAGAATACCCCACCACCTCAGGAACACAGTACAAAGGAGCTGATTTGGATCCTCGGAAGCATCTGGCTCGGTGTCTTCCTGGCTGCTCTCGGTATGGACTCCGCTGACACTTCGCGATAATTAAATTAACCTAAGCTTTACAGATACTACAATTGTCGCGACTCTCTCTGCGCCCATTTCTTCGTCCTTCAACTCATTCTCGCTGCTCTCATGGCTAGCCACCTCTTATCTGATCTCCAATGCCGCCTGCCAGCCTCTCAGTGGCCGATTGACTGATATTTACTCGCGTCGCTGGGGGCTTGTGTTTTCCAACATTGTATTCGCCATTGGCAACTTGATCTGCGGCCTGGCAAGTGCGCAATGGGTTATCATCCTTGGTCGCGTCGTGGCAGGTGTCGGAGGAGGCGGTCTTACTGCAATCTCGACCTTCGTCACTTCGGACCTTATCCCTCTTCGCAAGCGAGGCATATGGCAGGGCATCGGAAACATCTGCTATGGTGCTGGCATGGGACTCGGAGGTGTGTTTGGCGGGTGGATCAACGACACTCTGGGATGGAGATGGGCATTTTTGCTCCAGGTTCCCTTCCTGCTCATCTCGTGCGTTCTAGTCACAATTAAAGTCAACATTCCTGTGAAAGAGTCGGATACCGCGCGCATCAAGCGCGTCGACTTCCTCGGCGCTATCACTCTGGTTCTGACACTGGTCACATTATTGCTCGGTCTCAATACCGGCGGAAACCAGGTGCCCTGGACCCACCCGCTGGTTGTGTCATCGCTGGTTGCCTCCGTCGTCTTCCTGGGTCTCTTTATCTATGTGGAAGCCGAGGTTGCTTCCGAGCCTGTCATTCCCGTGCGCCTTTTGATGGACCGCACTGTGGCAGCTGCTTGTCTGACTAATTGGTTCAGTACCATGGCCGTATTCGGCTTGCTATTTTACCTGCCGGTGTACTTTCAGGTGCAGGGACTTTCCGCGACTGCTGCGGGTGCGCGCATAATCCCTCAGGCGATCGGCACCTCAATTGGCTCTTTGGGATCGGGTTTCATCATGCGTGCCAGCGGTCGGTATGCACCTCTCAACTATGTTGCCATGGCCATTTCAGTTCTTTCCGCCGGGCTTATCTGCACTTTGAATCTTTCCACGCCCGTGGGACTGCCGTTCCTCTATTTCTTCCTAGGCGGTGCATCCTATGGTAGCATGCTGACCATCACCCTGGTGGCACTCATTTCTGCCGTGGACCACCAGCACCATGCGGTTGTGACATCTGCTTCGTATGCGTTCCGTAGCACCGGAAGTACGCTTGGTATCACGATCGCTTCGGCCGTCTTCCAGAACACGCTGAAGCTCGGGCTTTGGTCTCGACTGGGCGGACGCGATGACGCCAAGGAGCTGATTGGACGGCTTCGAGATAGCTTGGACGAGATTTGGAAGATGCCCGCAGACTTGACACCTGGAGTACTTGATGCATACATGGACTCCTTGCGGGCGGTATTTGTGGCATTGTTGGGCGTGGCTGTTCTGGGATCATTGACTAGTCTCGCCATGAGAGAGCACAAACTCCACAACAACCTGGCCCGACGCTAGAGTGGGTATTCATTCGGGCATTCAAGTTAATGTTCGAGTGTTATTTGTATAGATCAGTATATATACATTGCATGGGGAGTCGGCCTATTTCCGCCCCTTTTTGTACCGCTTTATCAGAGTTCGTGTTTTAATTTTGAACATGAATTCAACATCTATCAATGTACAAAAGAAGACGAATAGACAAGCAAAAAACAACATTTGAAGTATTGATGAAAATGATATCTAAAGGGTGCACATGCATATTAGGCATTGACCGCTTCCAGCTGAGAGCGGAAATGCCCAAACAGTCGCCAATCAACTTGAGCGCCTCCTGTGCGGACGCATCTTTAAACCCCATAGACCCTCGAACTAGCATTTTGCCTCTCTTTCATTGGTGGATCTCATTCTTGGGAGGATCCAGGAAGGATCTCGGCATTTTTTCGCTGTTTGGCAACTCTGTTCATCTGGCAGCTTATTATTAAGTAAGGTGTGGCAAAGACGTGGCGACGCAGACAACGCAACGACCTCACCGCTCGAAACCAGTTGATCGCGTTGATCGCTGTTGCACAATAAAGCGCCAGTCTCGATTTCAATCCTGGGTTGCATGATTGGACTCTGATCAGACCACAGCCTGATAACTTATCTTTCAGGAGTACGAGACCTCGGAAGTCCACTGTTGATTTTGTTTTCATCGCCTATCGACCTCGATCTTTTTCATACCTTTCCTACACATTTATTTGCATTCGACCGTCTTATCCTTGTACAGTTCCGCTTGTCTTATTAGTCGCGCTGGCATGACTGTTGGATTTCGATTTAATACTTCACCAATTACACAAGGCAATAGCATTACAAAAGAGGCGTGGTCAAGGGAGATGGAGGTGGATGGAGACTGTGATGAGACCGTGATTGGAAACAAAGCGGTGGAAAATGCGACATCACCGCATCCTCAGCGGCGCCGTTTGCTCTTGTCGACAGATAGCGCTTTCGCCAGCATCGTTCTCCCGTCCCTCGTTCAGAACCCATACATCGAACTGCGACTGATCACAGACGAACCTTCGGCTTTGCTCACGGGCACCAACAAGATCCCACACTACATGGATACGGTCGACAGCCAAACGTTCGACAAGAAAACCTGCGCGCGGAGATGGCTCAAGGCGAAAACGGCGGAGCTATGCGAATGGGCAGACATGCTTTTGGTTGCGCCCATCGATGCCGGGACCTTGGGGGCGATGCTGGCCGGCTTGACAAATACCTTGACGTTGGCGCTTCTTCGTGGCTGGGTCTCGAAGAAACCTGTGATTCTCATTCCAGGAATGACTGTGTCGGAATGGGATCACCCGCTCAGCAGTCGACAACTCGGTGAAATCAGTCGTTTTTGGCCTTGGATTTGCACTGTTAAGCCTGTGCTCTGGAAGTCAAATGGACCCGAGGACCTAACGATTCTGCCTTGGGACGGCTTGAAAGAGTTACACCAGGCGCTGGAGACAACATTAAAGTTACCCCCGTGGGAAGCCACCCTATCGGCTAGAGCAAACACCCATGTCGCCGCGGTCCCGGCTCAGACTGCATCGAAAACTAGCTCTGGGAGTGCGACCAGCTCCACACCACAAACGAAACATTCGGGTAATGCCGACTTTTTACCACTGGAAATATGGCTGAATGTCTTCGAGGATCAACTACGAGACTGGGAAACAGCGAAGGCCGTGGGAATTCCAACTCACCTCCCTGTTCCCCAAGAATGGCAAAGTCATTTACCTAAAATGTCCACCACGGCCACACTTGAATATACTATTTTGCGAGGATCTTTCGCTGCAATAAAAAAGCGCATCGATGCGCTCCCTCGCTGGAAGCCGCTGTCCGATCTTGCTTGCCACCTAATTGTCAAATTTTCCCGCACTGACATCCTTTCCTATCTCACCGAAAATCACCTGGACCTTCTCTGGACAACTTCTCGACTCACCAATATTACATACCGAGCATCCGCAATCTACGGTAACCCGAATGTTCTGACATGGTGGCGCGATGCGCCCGCTCTCCCAAACAAAGAGTACATGGCCGATGCTATGGACGGCGCCTCCCGAGCCGGTTTTGTTGACGTTTTAGACTGGTGGCTCCACTCAGGGCTCCCGCTGCGATACAGCGAGCGCGCCCTTGAAGCTGCCAGCGCTGAAGGTCGAGTCGCCGTGCTTGACTGGTGGAAAGCCGCTTCGGCCAACGCCCCAAAGACCAACCCCTTGCCTCTCAAAGTTGGCAAGTCCGTCCTGCTCGCCGCGCAATCAGGCCGCACCGCATCCCTTGCTTGGTGGGACGCATCAGGTATACCTTATAGCCACGCCGAAAATGTTGCCCGCATCGCGAGCACGCATGGCCATGTCCATGTGCTCGAGTTCTGGTATAAACTCAAGGGCCCGAAGATGATCTTTGATAACCAGGTATTGGTTGGCCCGACCAAGAATGGCCATGACCACATTCTGCAATGGTGGAAAACCTGCGGTTTACGGGTTGAATTCAAGACTTGTGATATTGAGGAAGCGCTTGAGGATGCTGATCCAAGCTCTGGAGCTGAGGGTCGTGTCCGGCGTTGGTGGGAACGAAATGGGCTTAACCTTGGAGTTGGTACGAGTGAGTGGATGAGATCGAAGGTTCTGTGAGAATTCATTTTGCATCACTGCATGGTTGGCTTGCGGTTTTGGTCTTTTGGCGTCTTGGGAAGGCATTCATCTTTCCTTTCCTGTTGCGAATGCGTTTTGTTCTTTTTCATATCATGACTCCAGGTTATGACCACCCACAATACCCATTTGGATTTTCACAATGCTATTATTTTCATCACACGTTGGAGTTTCGATCTTGTTCGAGGCCTGAACGAGGAATATATCTTGTTCTATATCTCAAATTGAATATACTTTTACATATATTTTGGCAGTAAAGTGACAAAATCAAACCATGCTCCTATTGTAACAAACACCCGAGTTAAGCCCATGAGTCAAGTGTGAAAAAGCGCTTCATACTGGCTGTATGCGAGAAATGCCTGGAGCATTGGAATTGCTGAGTCAAGGCCCAGCCCGCACCTGGCCAGTATCTAGCTCCAATGCTCCACTCAGTACGTCGCAGCCGCCCAACAACCTCCAACTTAACCAATTACTTGCCCACCAGATCTGCCGATGCTGGCACGCTGCGTTCTACGACGCGCGCTACACGCTTCAAAGCCAAGTGCAATATCAGCCCGCACGCGACAGCCATCACAGGGCTGTCACAACATCCCGTCAAATGGCATCAATTGTCTTCATGGCATCACCGGAAAGAGACAGAAAATCGCTCAAAATGTACAAAAAAATATTCAATCACGAAGTTTAATGACAGACGCCATTCCAAGCCTTGCTATACCGCCTCTCATGTTCATCGGGCTCCTACTCGGCCTATGGACCTGGAAATGCTTCTGGATCATCGTCATGCAAAATAAGCTTCTTTACCTATCTTGGCTGCCTCCATTTACAAGATCTGAAGTCATTTCGGACTATCAGGCTGAGTGTAAACCGGTGCGGTGGGAGGAGAAGCAGATTCGCAGTTTGGATGGAACTAAATTGGCTGTTTGTGAGGGTCACATTCCTGTTCCTCGCAAGGACGATGAGTCTTTTTCAAAGTTTGGTGCTTTACAAAATAAAAATCATGTCCCGAAACGAAAAAAGTCTGTCGTGATATGTTATTTTCAGGGCAATGGTGGATCCACCCCTATGCGACTACCTCTTCTCTCTCACGTCTTGCGCGGAATTACAGAAGCGTTGAGGTCAACTTCATCTCCTATGTCTGAGCCCGAAGTCTCTCAATATACTATCGCTGCTCTATCATACCGCGGTTACTGGACATCATCAGGTCGCGCCACACAGTCCGGTATTGAGATGGATGCCCAGGCATTCTTGACTTGGGTTTCAGAAACTTATGCGTCCCCAGAAAGCGATCTTGAGATTGTAGTTTGGGGACACAGTCTGGGTGCTGCCATTGCAAGCTCAGCAGTATCCACATATATTGCCCGCCAACACGAGGGGCAAACCTCAAATACCAGCAGTAACAGATCCCTGGCGCCTGTCACTAGGCTCCTTTTGGAGGCGCCAACATCCAGCATTAAGGATATGCTCATCAGTCTCTATCCTCAAAAATGGCTTCCATACAGGTATCTTTGGCCTTTCTCCTGGAATACCTGGGACATCAAGGCAAAGATGAAACAAATGGCTACATGGCGAGACCAGCCTGTGTCTCAAATCCCTAATTCTGAAGCTACGGCATCAACACCTCGGTCGCTCCCACCAATTCTTCTTCTCTCTGCTGAGAAAGATGAAATGATTCCATCATACGTACCAGAACAGTTAGAACAACATGCCAAGTCTCTCGGCTTGGAGATTGAGAGGAAAGATGTCCTCGGCGCCATGCATATAGAGGCACCACTCAAACTGGATGGTAGAAAGGCAATGGTGCAATTTATCCTGAATGGCACATCCGTGTCCAGGACATAACCTAATAAACTCACAATAGATGCCGCGTAGATGAACGAAAGTCATATAATAATTTACTCCCACTTCTCAATACGTACATGCTTAACATCCGCATCCTTCATCAACGCCTGAATCTTCCTAAACTCCTTGGAAATCTCAGACCCTGCGAAATCAAAATGATCCTGCACTTGGTTCCATCCACTGAAAAGTACAAATTCCTCATCGTCGGCTTCTTTATCGATGCGCCATGCACCGCAGGAAGTGAACGGAGCCGTGGCGGCATTCAAATCAGCCACGCCAACGTTGAACACAGCGTCAAATTCAGCTTTCTTGCTTGACTCGACAAAACAACGAGTTATAGCGATGACAGGTGCATCTAGTGGGATTTTGGATGTGGATGGCTGTCCGCTCTGTTAGTTTATATATTCCTTGATAACACCCATGAGATAGAAAGATAGGAAGTAAGATCATAGCAACATTGAGGAACTCACATCAAGGTCCAAGTGAAACATCCAACTAGCATCAAGAGTATCCTTCACTTTCGCATGTAGGTTCTGGTTGGCTTCGGATGACGTCCACACGCCTCCGCTTGTATGTTTCTCGATAGATTCCCACCCGCCCAGCAGATAAAAAGATTCCGGGTCTTCAATTTGGCGGAGATATGTAACTTGATGGCCTGAATATTCGGATACTGCCTTCTGGGCTTCTAAGACAGTAGTATTCGCGGAAGATAGGGCTTGCGCTTTTAGGCGGAGGAGGGCGAGTTCGGTCACCGGCATTTTATGTTCTTTTTTTGAACAGATGACCGGGATTTAGTGTTATGAGAAGTGGTATCTTGAGTTTGTTCTCGATCATCAGACATGCACGCTATTTTATAGGTTTCTTTCTGTAGTCCGTCGGGACCCCGAGAAAGACGCGAAAGAGGCCGAAGAGCGAGTCAAGGGCGGGGCGCTTAGCCCTCTCTACGAGGCGTTTTCTAGTTAATTCCAACGTACTCGGCGCTATTTGACTAATCATGGTCAATGTGTTTCATGCAAAGACTGCTGCTGGGTTCGGCACCATTGATCGTCTCGAGGTGGGCTTTAGAGCTACTAGCTAAGGCGTACTTTTAAACAAAGCCAGTATATATATCCGTTTTGGAACTTGAAAAAGGTTTACAGAAATGGCTATGCAATCAATGTCCAATTGATTTAAGAATATATACACACTGAAGACACCAACGATCAAAATGAATATTCACCTTTCAGCAACACGATAACCGATGGCGTTGGGTATACCGATAAAGCACAAGACCAGGCAATGTATGAAATAGACCAAAACTGCAAACCGCAAAAGTACAAATCATCCGAGCTTCGGCTTTGTAACCACATGGATCAGACTTCTTTCCTGTAGGGGCATTAGAAACATGAGTTGTCATCAAGAGGGAAAATGACGCACCAAGTATGTTGAGGTTTCTCAATGGCTGGGGTCTTAATGGCATTCTTGTCCCCAAAGGGATTGTCTTCATCATCCTCTTCTTCCGACTCACTCTCGCTCTCAAAGATCGGGCGTGTGTGTTGCGACGAAGATGCAAGGGGCAGGCTATCAGGACGACTCGGCCGTGGCGGCTTTGAGGGATTGATATTAAGTCCGGCAAGGCCATCATTCACGTCCGTGTCATCCAATCCAAGTCCATGTTTTTGCTTCCAATTGCCTTCCAGACCTTCGTCCTCACTATCACTGTCATAGTCCACGCTCTTGTCTAGCACCTCGAATGCCATCAATGCATCCACCAGCTCATCGTTTGCATGGATCAGACCGCCCAGGAATTCCTCGGTTTCTATATACTGGATATATCGAAGGATTCCATGACGAAGCTGTTTGCAGGTGTCGAATCGGTTGATGCATTCTGCATCCTCACTCACTCGATGCGTCTCGCGGTTGACGAGTTTAAGGGCATTCAACAAGTTGGTGCTAGCAACGGAAGAGGCAGCAAGCGCTTGCAAGATCTCCGGGCGCTCTTTTTCCAAATCAAACCTCTTGCCGCTAATTGATAGTTTCTTATCTTTCTTGACTTTCTTGGGCTTTTGCTTGGGGCTGGTCAGCAAAGTGGATGGCCCACTGCCTCCTGACACGGATACAACATGGCCCATTGGGGGGGTCGTTTGGATTCGCAGTTGAGCCCTCCCGGAGAACCTTGGCCTTTGCCTGCGTCGCAGGCTGCTTTCGCTTGGGAAGTTGCTTGTATAGCGCTGTGACTCTTGCCATACCAGGAGTGTCTTTATAAGTTGCCACCCATTGTCCAAAAATCTGTTTGCATTTCTGTTTGACGAGCGGATCTGAAACAGAATCAGTAGCTGCAATTCGCAGACGTTCGAGCAATGCCTCATCGGCGAAATCGCGTAAGAAACGTTCTCCTGCATTTTGGACCAGGAAGTCGAGAATAGTAAGTGCGCGAAGTTGTCGATGAATGTTGCCGTATTTTCTGAATCGGTCAGACTGATTTTCAGCACTGTTAATACTCGTACACTCACAGCTTCTTGCGAAGAGCCCGACTTGCTTCCATAGGGCCGCTGGCCTGGATGCGAACTACTTCCACTAGATCGACGATACCGCTTGAGTCTTCGACTTCATATTGTTCGCTAGTAAGGACCTCAATTTGTACGGTCACTGCCGAATACGGTTTCTATTGAAGGCAGTATTAGTCAGTGCTAAAGGTTGCATGATCTATGATTTCCATGCAATAACTTACGTTGGATTGGAACATCCTGGCCTAGTCACGAGGATACCCTCTAGAACAGCGTATACTTGTTCTGAGTAGAAACCGGTTGGGAAATTGACGATTTTGCCCCTGATATCAAACAACCCGCAATCACCCCGCGCTGCGATGTCGGTATAGAGATGACCCCGCACGGCCCTGTTTACACAAACGTTTCGCAAGAATTGGGTATATACGGAGTATCGGCGGCGACAGGATGCAACTTGATTCGCTAGAAAAAGAACGCCGGAAATGGATCAACTGTGTGAAAGCCAACATAAGGTTTCAGGGAGCGTTCGCGATACCTTCACGTGGTGTCGGTGACGTCGGAGGCCCCAGGGGTGTCTTGGCGTCCGTTAATCCGATAAGCGCAATGAAAGGTGCGACAAATGCACAAAGAATATGTAACCGTTCCCAATTTATTCAACGGGGCATCTATTTTGCAAAATGACCATGTTACAGGAGAAAAGGAGAGTTGAAACAACGCTGAGACAGTTTAAGCTTATCGGCTCCTCGTGACTATTTTCGGCCCAAAGAGGATTAGGGCGGGGGTCTCCTGCCTGAGGCCAAGAATGAGGAAGAGGTCCTGAATGACGACTTTGGCAAACCAATGTGTTAACCAATAAGACCACGAGAAAGTGCAGTCGATCCTGACTGCATTTCTTGCCAATCGATTTCGGATGAAGCTTTCGTCTGCACACCGGACAGATCCATCCCCACGTTCTTATTTGTTACGCGTCCTGTCCCGCTTCGTGGTCTGCTCCACCCTCATTCTCGCCGTCAGCGTGGCTCTGAAATCTCGCTCTCGTCTTTCCCTTCTTCTCCCCCACTTCTCCTCCAACCATCCTACAATCATGTCTTACCAACAGGAACGTTACATCGCCGAATTGGCCGTCCAGCGGGCGTGCCTCCTGACACAGAAGGTCTTCTTCGAGAAGGCTAAGGGCACAGTCTCCAAGGACGACAAGTCCCCTGTCACCATTGGCGACTTTGGCGCTCAGGCCCTGATCATCTCAGCCATCCGCAAGAACTTCCCCAATGATGAAATCGTTGCTGAAGAGGAGGCTAGCACCCTACGTGAGGACAAAGGCCTCAGCGCTGAGATCTGGCGCTTGGTCAAGGACATCAAGCTGGATGATGCAGAGAGTGATAATATCCTGGGTGGACCCCTCACCAGTGAGGAGAGTATGTTAGACATCATTGATAGTGGCAACAGTGCCGGTGGTCCTAAGGGTCGCATCTGGGCTCTCGATCCCATTGATGGCACCAAGGGCTTCCTTCGTGGCGGCCAGTATGCCGTGTGTCTCGGTCTGATGGTTGACGGTGACGTCAAGGTCGGTGCTATTGGTACTCCTAACCTCCCCATCGATGATGCAGCCCCCATTGATGCCAGCACCGGTGTCCAGCAGTCCGCGACTGCCGGTAACGGTGTCCTGTTCTCTGCTATCCTGGGTGAGGGTGCTACCAGCCGTCCTCTGACCAGTGGTACTCTTGCTGCCAGCAAGCCCATCTCCATGCGCCCCGTCGCCAAGATCTCTGACGCTGTTTTCTGTGAAGGTGTCGAGGCTGCTCACTCCGCCCAGGGCGACAACGCTGCTGTTGCTCAGCTCCTTGGCATCACCGCCCCGAGCGTGCGACTGGACTCGCAAGCCAAGTACTGCTCCATTGCCCGTGGCGCCGGTGACGTTTACCTGCGTCTCCCCGTCAAGAAGGATTACCAGGAGAAGATCTGGGATCACGCCGCTGGTGACTTGATTGTGCGCGAGGCTGGCGGCCAGGTGACTGACATCTACGGCAACCGGTTGGATTTCAGCAAGGGCCGGACCTTGGCTGTCAACAAGGGTGTTGTTGCTGCTCCCAAGGCCCACCAGGACCAGGTCATTGATGCCGTCAAGATCGTTCTGAAGCTGTAATTGGTTTATGATTTTTAATTTCGTCGCCTCTTCCACTGCACTTGAGCTCCTGGGGAGCAGATTCAGTCTGAAGTAGATTTGTGATACCATCGCTTGTGAGAGGAGGAAAAAAAAAATACATATATGACGATAAGAGTACAAGACACGGAACCAAACACAAAATGTCCCGCGCAGCTGAAAAAAAAATGCGCCTCCAGTCTATTTGATTTTCTTCGCCTTGAGTTTGATAGTCTCTCCGTTGACGAAGATACCCTTACCCTTGTACGGCTCGGGGCGTCTCCATTCTCGGATCTCGGCCGCGAATTGGGTCACAATGCGCTTGTCGACACCCTCCAAAAGAATTCTGGTAGGCTGGGGTGTGCTCGCCACAACACCCTTAGGGATACCCAATTCAATCGGGTGAGAGAAGCCGACCTTGAGGGAAACGAACTTTTGGCCGGGGTAGGTGGCTTTGACGGTGGAGGCCTTGTCCTCGATAGTCGCCCTGTAACCGACACCAACCATACTCAAGACACAGACGTGGCCTTCGGAGACGCCTAGGATGTGGTTATGGAGAAGTGCGCGAATGGTTCCTGGATAGAAAAGCGAAATGTTAGACATTGACTTGCCGCATTAGACCGCCGTGGAGAAAAGACAGGAGAACATACCCCACATGGCACGCTGGTGAGGGACCTCCTGATCCAAGATTGACAAAGTAGCCTTCTGGCCTGTCTCATCAGGGGTGATAGTGAGAAACGAGGGAATGCTCAGGCTCATCTCGCCTGTGAATCGGACCAGTTAGCATCCATAGATCGGACCAGATTTCAGCCTCGACACATTACCCTTAGGCCCCTTGATCTCAGCCATAACCTTAGGGATATCCTTTCCTCGTGTCCGGCTGAGAGTCGTGGGCAGATCGATGAGCTTAAATGACACCTCCGGGGGATGGAGAGAGGTGCACCTCCGACTCGGGACTGCGCCGGGGATGTGGTTGAGAAGCATTGTGTGCGGGGGGAGAAGGCGGGTGCGAGGAAGATGGGTAGAGACCCGCGCTGAAAGGGCTCTCGAAGAAGCTGGCGGGCACAGCGCTGGGGTATGGAGCACGACATGGTGAATTGCGCGTGTTGGTCGGATGCTGTGTTGCGGACTTCGGATTTTGTCGCAGATGGTTTGCCCCTAATGGGGTTTAGCGTGCACGTGACGATCTATATAGTCTGCTTTTTCTTTTTGGTTATTTTTGCAACCGAGATCTCAATGTAATTAAATATGCTCTTGACTCCTGAGATACGATACTCGAGCCTATTGTTCAATAAGTCGACCTGAATCTAAGTGATTGCTTATTGAATGCGTCCATTGCCAAAAATTGCTAAACCATTGCCCGTATATCTAAACTCGGCGACCGTTCTGATTCTCCCTCGCACCGACCAAAGTGAAAGAAAAACGACAATGCAACGCAGTCTGTCCCATTTCACATACATTTATGCCTTCAGACGCCGAGATTTGTTCAGATAACACAGATCAGGCTTCATCAACCGAATCTCACCACCAACTCAGCATCAATGTCGAACTCGTTCCCCATGAACTCTTCCTAGGTGTTCGGTCATGTTGTCCTTCCGATTGAAGGATCTGGGACGCAAAGGGCAATTGAATGATTGCGGAGTTATATGCTGCGTGTCGATATGTCGCAACAACGATGGCTTTCCGGAGAAGAGATCGCGGTATGTACAATCTTTCCAGTGGCATTCGAAAGATCGCTTAGGTTTTCTAAAACGGAAGAAATGGTGCTAGTCGGTACAGAGCTTAATGGTGAATCATGGCATTACTAACCTCTGCTTTTGCTGTCGTCCTTGGTCACGACGAGAAGCTCTTTTCCCCTTGGAATAGCTATCGCTAGTAGCTTTGACCTGATGTTCCTTTTGAACAGATGAAGCAGATTCTGGCACAGATGTGCGAGTCATCTCGTGCCCAGGGTTGAGATGGCTTGGCGCTAGGGTTATGGCTGCACATTCATAGTTGATTGGAGATTGCCATCCAGCATTATGGTTGAAGCAACATAGATTGGAGCAAGCCGGGGGAGAGGAAACAGATACCGCAAAGCTCGGTGCAATTGGATATTGTATAAGATGGCTATATGGAATAGGATCCACATATCCTATAGATGGCTCAATCAGTGTGGATGCAGATGATTGATAGGCAAGAGGGGCGAACTGGGGAGAGTTCAATTCCTCAATAGCCGAGTCATAGGCACCCAGCGCTGTTATATGGTCCAAATGAATTTCGCAAGAAGGCGAGGCCATACTAGGTGACTATATGGTAGGTGAACAAAATAAAAAAAGAAAATGGCTGGGAAATCAAGCAATATGTTGGGTATTTGAACTGAAGTAAAAGAAAAGCACTCTGGAAGAAGACGAAGGAAAAACTACTACCTCTTTGCTTCCAGTTCTCACATGGTATTTATCTATAACCTGAGGGTCAAAACGAGCTGGAGTGGAAATGTGTGGTCGGATAGTACCTATACATGCATGACCTCAAATGCCATATCTACACATCTGTTGAACTAATTGGAACAAGGCACCATCCAAATGCTCAGCGAGAAATTCTGTTTACATGGCGCCTTTTCCGGAATACTGTAGGCTTTTGTACCGTGAGTATAGATTGAATCTTCCGTCCAAGTCCTGTGTATCCTCGGGGAAGTACTGACCATTTTCAAGCTCAGAAGCCAACATTATGACCAGGGTCACGCGTATTTAAAATGCCATTGGACAAGGAGTCCCCTGAAGGGCGTACATCGCAATCACCATCGAAATAATATTTACCATAATTGTCCGGGCAATTTACCAAGAGCGTTCACCCAACATGCATTTCGGACTGGGATATGGCCATCAACGTTTCTCTCATGAATGATATTGTGCTGTCTCATGTCCAACAAATCCCATACAACACCATCAATTCGCCCTTTTATTCTCATATCTTAATGATCGCATCAGCATTTGAATAGAAAGAAAAAAACAATAAACCCCCAAAAAATGTTATAGGTGAAAAAATGAGTACCAAGGGGGAATTCTCCAGGCAAAAGTAAAGCGAGGTGTGAGCCCAACAACTTGGATGTCAAATCTCACTGTCCAGATCCATACCTCATCCATTTCCTTTCTTCCAATACTCTTCTCTCCTATCTTCGTATGGACTCATACATCTCAGACAATATCCACGAGTGATCCATAACCAGGACCAGTCCAGGGCAACACTCATAGTTCAAGTCAGCGAGACCGTTCACCATGAGGGCAATCGACAGCTTTCAAGCGCTTTCATATATCTTCCTGAGACTTGCACATCTCAGTCGAGCAGATGCCTCTCAGCACAGTAAGGCTATCAGATATGTCTCTGATCATTCTGCTAACTCAAAAAGGCGTCCCAATTATCGCGCCAAGCGCACCAAACATCGACGCGATCTCGTTTCTCAGTTCGCGATCGCAAGACCAAGACAGCATCTTCAACGAAGCTGTCAAAATTCTAGACTCAATGAAATCTTCACCCTCGTGCAATCGACTTGCAGCAACGAGATTAGTGAGCTCGTGTCAAACATTCAGCGATGGCAAACATGAAGCACAGATAGACAGCTCAGAGACGCTTGACTTCCTTCGGTCTATCTATGCAGCGCGTCTGGCATTATGTGAAATTGACGGTGCTGGTACTCAAATACCTCCATCATGCCTTTCAATCACAGTGTCGCCACCTCCACAAAAGAATCGATTCAGCTTTGTGAATCGACAAAGAGGCTCTGATCCTGCATCAGACGAAGTCCCGAAAGCATTATTAGAGCAATGTCTGAAGACACTTGAGTCGCGACCCCAGTGGTGGACTTCTTACAGTAACAGTCGCCAGAATGCTCTTGTGATCTGCCATGCCTCGCGAATGGAGACGGAAAAGGAGGAGCTTATTGACTTGCATCGATCCATTGCCAAGAGCAGTCTTAAACTCAACAACGGACTTCAAGAGGCTTTGCAACATGCAGCTGCACAATCCATGGAGCAGCAATCTTTCATACACGCTGTTCAGTCTCTGCAAGAGAGGATCGTGACCGATATGGAAGCGACTGACTCGGTGTTCAAACGAAAGTTCAGCAAGTTTCTTCGTGAAATAGAAATTGGGATATCGTCTCTGCAAGATTCTATATCAGCGGCTTTAGCAAATGTGCGGACCGGGACAGGGGCCCTTGAAAAGGTAAAATTTGAACAAGCCAATCAGAATTGAAGCATGTACTAAATGTCCACTAGGACATCCGGAATGTATCGAGCCAAGTGGTAACACTTCAACAGGCTCTACAGAGTGCGCATCAAGATGCAATGGCTCGAAGCCAAGAGACGTTGAAGGTCCAAGAAATCAATGCTGTCGCCCAGAAGGATCTCGCCTCCTCTTTACACATGTCGCTCGAGTCGCTTCTTGACTCAGACATGGACAGAATATACCGAGGCATGCAGAAGTTTGATGCTGCTATGGTTTGCCAAATATGGATTATCCCTTAGGCGTATACTGTGCGACTAATGTTTTGCCCCTTTTTGTAGGAATGGCTGACCAGCCGGATGAACATGATTCTTGAGCAGGAAACCAGGATGGCGGAGGTACGAGTTCATTTCCCACATCTCACCTCCCTCACTAACCTTCATAGCGACTTGAAACCATGGAAACATTTATACAACAGTCCGAATCGAAAGCAAGCGAGTTGCAAAAGGCACAGGTCCAACAAACAGAAGCCCTATCTGCACAATCTCGAGCCCAGGAGGCCATTCAGTTCCATGCGCAAGTATCGCAAGCTTTGCTAGCCAAGACTAGCACTGCCGCTGCCAATTTGCAATCTGTTATCGACGATGCAGCTTCCAAGTCCAACCACCTCCCGAGTTTTGGTGGAGGATCCTCCACGTGGTCTCTCTGTGCCGTCCTCCTCATGGTCATCGCCGCCCAAAACCTTAAGATTGCCATCGCTTTGTTTTTTCTTATTTTAGGTGCGTCTGTCCATGATAAAGATTGATTGGTGCTAATATAACATGGCTCAGGGCATTCTGTTGCCCTGATAATCTTCAAATTTCTTTAGTTATACCCATCCTGCGCAGTGATTTGCGAACTTGATATTATTGATACCCCGGCGTTATTTTTTTTTTTTTGCCTTGGGTTTTTTTCATTTTATTTTTTACTGTCCATCTTTGCCATTTATGCTTGCATTGCTTATGCTTGGGACTTTGGGATTCATTACATCTAGATCTATATCAACGGAACGATCCTTCCACTATTGAAATTCCCAGCTACTCCATGCGGGCTACGTATCTCCCCTTTCTGCTAATGGTATGAAACAACAATAGAGTGTTTCTAAAAAATAAAATGAAACCAATTAGCGCCGACACAGCCACAATAGCTGTCAGAGGCCAAGATAAGCTGCGGGATAGGACCCAGTTGCATTGGCAGCCAATAAACGTCCATTGTTCAGGCATCGGAAACAACAGACGTGCGAAAGTAATTCCAGAAAAAGAAAACTAAAAAATAGACGTAGACTGTCACGTGGGACTAAATAAACTGAGCGCTTCTCCTTTTCTCGATTTGAAACTTATATCCTGATTCCCATATCCTTTATCAAATCTCCCTATAACCAGATCTCAAACTCGATCAAAATGCCTGGTGTTCGTGAGTGATCCAAACAATCATCTATACTCCCGACATTTGGCGCTCGGAACCACAGGTACACAGCGCTAACATCTTCCCAGCCCCCGACGCTCTTGAACAGGTGAAGAAGGGCTTCAAGCGCTTCTTCAGCAGTCGCAAGAAGTCAGCTAAGAAACAGCCCGCCCAGAAGACCGAACCTACCCCTGCTGCCGCCACTGCTGCTACTGCTGCCCCCGTTGCAGCTGCGGCCAGTGAGACAGCTCCCGAGAAACCCACCGCCCCCGCTGCCACCCCGGACTCCGTCCCCGGTACGATGCTCTCCTATCGATTTGATATTTATTTTCTCCCGATTTGGCCCACAACTGACCTATGATCTGATATAGATGCTACTAAGGCACCAGAAGCACCGGAAGCAAAGGATGCGACCACTGCGGCGCCTACTGCCCCTGAGATGACCGCTACTGCCGGTCCTGTCGAGACCCATTACGAGCCTGCTCCTGCTGCCGCTGAGTCTGCGCCGGTTGCCCCTGCACCCGCTGCGCAGTCTGAGGCTCCCGTTGCTAAGCCCGAGGAGCCTACCAAGACTGAGGAGGCTGCCATCAAGCCAGAGGAGCCTGTCACTAAGACCGAGGCCCCTGCTGCTAAGCCCGAGGAGCCTGTCGCTAAGACTGAGGCCCCTGCTACCGAGGAACCCGCTGCCACACCTGAGGCCGCCCCTGCTGCACCTGCGGAACCTGCCGCCAAGACCGGTAAGTCAATTGTCTTGAGCACGGCACAAGACATTGCTAACAGTGATGCTAGATACCCCTGCTAAATAGAAGTGTGACCATCCACCCGATTGGCGCGGACTGGTTCTTTCATTGCGAGTTTGATCTAACCTTCGAGTGCTTTCTTCCCGCTCCCTATTTCGTTTCATACCCTCAGCGTTGTATATTATTCATTCTTACGAAGCGATGCATTGCATGCTGCTTTCTCATATCGGCCTCGATCAGACCGCTCAATACCATGCAAAGCTCTACTCATCCACTCCAGAATGCTTACACAACAGTAAAATGCCGCTTTAACTCGATATATTATGGTACTGGTGCTAACGGCAAAGGAAAAATTAACACTCCCACGGGTATCACATTAGAAAGTCTATCCTGGTGCTAGATAATTTCATTCCTCCCCGCCTGAGGAATGATCATCACCATCCGCCATAACGACATCTTCAACACTGACACCTGCCGCCGCAGCCTTCTGTTCTCTCGCCTTTTGTCTACGCTTAAGCTTTCTCTCGCGGTTCTTGCGAGTCCGCTTCTCTGCTTCATTTTCCTTAGCAGCCTGCGCAGCCGCAACCCGCTTGCGCAGCTGCACTCGTCGCTTCTTGCCTGGCTTCTTGCGTGTAAGTGGACTCTTCGAGACAGGTACGCCTTCTACCACGTAGACGGGAAGACTATTGGCTGGGCGTGGCATTTTGGTCTGATGGCGTTTGAGGTGGATGACTCGCCAGGGGAGATGACAACCGGGCTATAAACCAAGTCAGCAGTTATAAAGCTAGCCAGATCCCAAATGGGTATCTACTTACCCAGACTAGCGAGTTGGCCCATGTCAACACGTGCTGTCCGCTAACGGCCATATCCTCAAATTGTTTCTTCTTTTCTGCTATCCGGCTCTCGTCTTCAATGTTAGTTTCTCCGCTCCGAGTGCCCTGGAGAGACGGTGTAGAGAAGTAATAATCCCATCCGCGGGAGGCTTTCACAAATCGTCCTTCGGCGCCGGCGCCAGGTCCCGGTGTAGGTGAATGCAGCCGAATCCTCAATTTTTGTGTAGTGGCCACTGGCTTTTCCTCTGTGCTTTTCTCGTCTGTAGCCTTTCCTGACTGCTTCGTGGTATCTTCCGTTGCTTTGGCGGGGGCGCTGAATAGGCGGAACTCGAATTCTTGTTCCTCGTCCTCGTTCTCCACGGGTTGATTATCCTCACTCGTTGTCTGCTGTGTACTGTCCAATTGATCGAGATTGAGTAGCTTTCCTAGCCGGGCGTATGCATCTTGGGCGGCGCTGTCATCTGGTGCTGGTGATGGCGACCGGGAGGACGCTGGAGAACGCATCTCATCGCGGCGGACGCTGCATAAGTCAGATTAGCTGCTGTGTATTTTGAAAAGTATCTTGGTTTGTATCTTGCTCACATACCGCTTAGCATCTGGTAGATCAAACATCGTGTGCTGTGTACTGGGAAGAGGATTAGGAACCAAATGCCAAATTGAGAAAAACGGTGTTTCCACGGCACACTGCGGCCACGGCCTAATGACATGGCACGGGCCGCCCAGCCTCAACCTCCGACTTCGAAACAAGTCCTTTTGTCTACAGTGTGACTCTCTACTACGCCATTTTGTTCATTTCATATTCTCTGTTTTCTGCATATTCCACACACTCATTACCCTCCGATAATCCTCACATTCTCTAGCAAAGGATACCCGCATCTCAACTATTGGGGTGATTAATGCCTCGTGTCCCTCGCATAGCGTAAACGTGCAGCCAAGGACATCCCCGGTTCTGAATCCCTGATCCCGATCCTCATAAATGGGTATCTGTGCCTCCTGCCTTGGCGGGAATCGCCACGAATCTCCTGAGGTGAGTTCCGAGTCTGGAGCTAGGTTAACCATCACATGTTCAGCGCGCATTATCTCAGTCTGATACGCAATGCGTGGGATGTTTTTCGGAGAATACAATGTCTAACTTTCTTTTTTCCAGCCTGAATCTGCGCGTCTACTTGAAGAAGATCCTTATCAAGCCGGGTATGGTTATGGAGCACTGAATCATGCTCATCAGGCAAGCCAGCCGGATTCGGAATACGTGAGACGTGAGAGGGAGGCGCTGGAATCTATTTGCCAGCGGACATCTGAGTAAGTATATCTACTGGTTTACTCTGTTCTTATACATGGCAAATTAGCTTCCGATGGAAATGAATTTATGCTAATAATCTAATCTCTCGTTTAGCTCCGTCATTGATATCTGGTCCCTCCAACCACAACCACACCTTCAACCTCAAGCAACCCTCCACACACCAATATCTGCATCCCCCGTGCCATCACAAAAGACGGACAGAACAACACCCGTGGGATCTACTGCGCGCACATCACCATCAAGCCGTCCCACCTCCGGCGCTTCAGGCACCGTCCCAAAACATTGGGGTGAAGTTGTCATAAACCCAAACAAGAAACGGTCTCGCACCGATATCAACACAGATGCTAAGACTAGCCATGATGTGTTTGGGGTTCTGAACGTCACCTAAGATCAGGCGTTTGGGCATGCATCGCTGCACATTGACTATGACGCTGTACACGACAAAAGAGGGTGCGGGCTATGAGGATTGCATCAACGGATGCAGATAAGGGTACTGGAAGACCCGTTTTTTTTTCCCATTATTTTCTTGCACTGCGCTGTTCTTTGAGGGATTATTGTTTCTAGCATGGATCGCAGGCCGACTGTTTTTTCGCACTTACATAGCCATTCCTTCTTTTTCCTCCATTCTTGGTCTGCTAATACCCAATGGCGCAGACTTTCTCCTTTGTTATCAGAATCTTCTCTCTTATCATACGTTTGGTTTGGTTTCCGTCGGCGTGTTTTGTTTCTGAGTTTGATTCTTTGTCTTCATATCATATTGTCAGTCGTAAACTGCTTGTATATGTATTTTTCTTTTTTGAGTACCGGCCTTCATCTTTTCTCTTCGCATAGACACTCAATTTGAAATATGTTATGAATCGGGTTGCTGGAAATCAGGACAATGTACGTAGATGCTGAAGGCGCCAATTCTTCCAGGGAAGATAGACATCATAGGCGAGTCAACCCGTATAGAAGTTCGGCTTTGGGTGGAATGGTCTACATGCAAAGTACTTGAGGCTTCTATACAATTCTAACATAATCACAAACTTTAGAAAAGAATATCATTCCCCACACTTATGAGAGATCTGGTATCAATGATTCAACCCATGACGTGACTCCGTTGGTCATTATTCGCAAATACCTGTTGGGTAGGCCGAAATAGATAAGAATAAGCAGGGTAGAATAAGACAAAGATAGACATTGAGAGGGTAAAAGAGAAATGGATACATGATAACTCCCCTATGTCAGAAAAGAAAACGCCCGCTGATATCCAGCACCGTGATGATTATTGAAGAAAGTAGAGTGATGCAATATGTTCGTGCCGGGTCAACCCAAGCGCGACGGAAACCTTCGCACTGCAGACCATCAGACATCGTCCATCGTACCCGCGGGCTCTTCGCCGCCCGATTCGTAACTTCCTGCGGAGCTGAGCTCGTCTTCAGACTCGGTGTCTTCGCCTGCTTCGTCCACGGCCTCCTTGCTAGCGTATTTGGCAACGTATTCTGGTGATAAGCTGTCAGTATGGCATTATGAGGAATAATCTTTTGAAAAATTGTAACACACCTTTGACCTTTGCTTCGTATGCTTTGGGCTCCCGCATCATCAGCGCTGCTGCTTCCCCGTTGAGAGGATCCGAAGGGTTGGGGTAACGGAGGAGCTGGGGAAGGAAGACCTCGAAGATATTGAGCATGTCGTACATTGGCGACCAGGTTTGATTGATCACATCGAGGCAGACCGAGCCGGACCTATACCGGAGGATGGGATTAATCTCTGACTCTCCACACATGTCGGAAGAACCATAACTCACAGCTCATCAATATTTGGGTGGAAGATTCTGTTGACAAATCCGATGCTTGGGCTTTTGTAGGGGTACTGGTCAGGCAACTCGACGTGGATTTTCCAGAGGCCTCCGGTGAAAGGAGCTAAGAAAGTTAGTATGATAGAGTACTGGTTGGTTATAGTCGAGACATACTCTCTTCCGGGCCCTTGAATCGAACATAGAATTCTTGCCTGTGGATAGTAATTGGTATCGGAAAGCTTCAAATGGTCCAAGGTTTAATCGTGGGGTACAGAAAGTACATACACTGGATTTTCAAGTCAGTATATAGATCAATAGCCTAATAGCCAAAACACGGTCACAACTTACTGTTATCATTGACCAGAGTCACCTCATAGTCACTCATCAACCTGAAGATACCGTCAGATCAAATCCCGGCAAACAAATGTACATGCCGAAGGCCAACCAAAGAGGTTGGGAAAAGCGGCGGAAAGGGTAGGGGGGTTGTTAGTCGTACATCCTAGATAAAGGTTAGTAGCTGTGTATTGTAGATATTGTTAGGCTTGTGGAGCATACTTCATGACCTGTATAATCAATCACAACCGTTATTAGCATCTCCGGCGACGCTGGGGGCTTATCGGACTATCCGCAACATTACTCACATCTGTCTCGATTCTGCGCTTTGGGCTACTCATGTTGGCGGTTTGGATAGCGAAGGCAGGTTTTGATCTTAAGAATGCTGTCAGAAAGGGTCTCTCACAGCGAAAGCAGACCTAGCAGGGTCGGAACGCGACGATTGACAAGAGCAGCTATTCCCGGAATCGGCGCGGGGAACTACTGGGCGGGGCAACCAACTTTGAAAGAGAAGTAGTTCAATGGTCAATAAGTAAGGGATGGGAAAGGGATGCGGACAACAAATATCGGAGAATGCTTCACTTCTCCGACCTGACAACAAGGAGAGGAGAATGAGGTTTCAGGTGAATGATTCCAAGGTTAGATCGGGCATGATGAGTCGATGACTCAGCGCCGAGGCCCAGCGCCATGACGATGGCTGGTTCAGTATAGGTGGGGAAATATGTGGGGCCATGCCCTGATGCAACTTGCTACACTCATATCACAAGGTTATCTCGACATAGTTCCATGATGATAGACCTCTATACGGTGATCGCTCAAAAAGGACCATTGAACTTCAACTATATATCTGCGGGCTGTTAATCTCTATTATACTCCTTTTATTGTATCTCCGACAGGCAGGTGCGACAAGAAGTGCGAAAGGCTTAGGTGGGCCTAAGCGACAGATCAGCTCTCTGTTCTGATCACTGGGTTAGACTTTATTTCTCTTCTTCGGGTCTCAGGCACTTGTGAGTATCCCCCAGTTAGGTTTGGCTGAGTCACGTGGACCCGACGTGAATAGTATGTATGTACGTAGCTACATGACGGGCTATCTTCTCTTGCCCTCTAGAGTTCTCAGGGATATACTGGGCTTGATTATCATTTCATTATTGGACATACCGTCACTTGGTAAATTATAAAATCCAAGACTATAAGTGGGCTGCACAGGGTTTATAGGATGTAGCTTTTGAATATGGAAGAAATGAGTATTGCACATTTACCTAAATAACACTCACCTCAAAACACTACCCAATATCTATCCTAGTCGTATAATAACTTTGGAAATAAGCAGATCCAAGACTTTTCCGAGCAGGAAGAGGGATATGAATGCATCGGTCCACAGGCTCATCCCACGAGACAACCCCCAGAGAATTGACTGTATAGTCTAAACATTCTTTGTTTTTGAAGATATCAATTAAGTCACAGATGAATTGGGCTCCAGCTGTAAGAGCAAAACTCAGGAGCTCAGGCACAAACCCAGTTTCTGTGGGGATACTGGCTTATATCTCTATGGTAGTGTTAGCGAGGTCATGGCCGCTGTATGGCATTTAACACTTGCGTATATAATACCGGTAGATGTTTCCAACAATCCCTTGATATATGGCGTGTCCATTCTTTTTATCATTCTTTTTTTTTCGCCTATATCTGCACATCCGAAAGGCCGGTCTTTCAAACGGCAGTTTAAATCCCAATCGCCTTCTGTGGGAGTCTGAGCTAATTGTAGTTCTTTGTAACACATATAGGAAATTTTACCTCACACCAATTCAGGTATACTCGTAGGATCACGATCAGTTTGCACGAAGGCATACGATGGACACACAATAATCGAGAAACACAGGTTTCATGCAAGTTTGCCACCTTGGTAGTATGCTGTATATCGTGGTGCACAGCGACCACCAACGATATTTTTCGATCTGGCTTCTAGAATCGATTGCTTGCCTCTGAATTTTTAAACTGATTTTCAATACTACAAAACATAAGTTGTTATACCAAATTCGTGCTGGAAAACTCTTGTTGTTTTGCACGTTGTGTATATATATTACAAGCTGAAAACTATGGGATCACATATCAAAAAGCACAATTCCGATAAATGGACTTCTTCATACATACACACAGGTTATTTTGACTTTCATGTCTGAAAAAGCCTGATATTTGTGTATGATCTGCACTAGGCTTCCAACTGAGAAATTAGTCGACAGGTCAATTGACGTCTCATTAATCAAGATTTAGGGAGCAAACGAAGCGAGCGGATAGCAGGATCTTGTTGATTGGTTGTACGGAAAGGAGGCGATTGGTTGAAAAGTGGCAATAGTGGAGCTGTTGCCTAAGGTTGCCTAAGGATGCCTGGACGCTAACGCTAAGTGGATATCAGCGATATGACCCTAAACATTGGGCCTCTCTATATAAACCTCAGGAGATCTCTCCTGACTTTGCTATTCAATTGATGCATTATTACAACATCATTGTTACATTTTTACAGTTGAAAAGATGACCTCGTTGCCCTCCCTCCCAGTGAAGCACAATGACTTCGTGAAGTATGTCAACGATAACCCAGAAAAGCCCATGAGAGACTTGGTTCAGCCATATAACGAATATGATGCTATTTTGCGCAAAACATTTGCACAAGATCCAGATCATCCATCAGTCCGGGATAGCTACGTCAATGTTGTGCCCTTGTACGACCAGAACGGTTCCACAGATCTTTCTATTCGAGCCCGGGACCTTGCCTCAGAAACGCCAGAGCAAGCGGAGAAGTATCTTTTGCCTCTGAATGCAAAAGACCGGAAAGAAAATGGTGTCGCAGCCGTGGTACCCTCGCTAAATGAGTTTCAGAACAACTTTGCGCTCTTCACAGAGGGCTCATTGAGTGAAATCGACTGGTCCAACGTTGTGGTTGCAGGTAGCGCTGTAGTGACCTCCCTTTTGCCCGTGCCAGAGAAGTACCGCAACTCAAAGCGTGGGCTTCGCAAGTACTATCATGAAGAGTTTGCTCCCGCGTCAGATGTGGATCTCTTTCTATATGGTCTGGATGAGGAGCAAGCCCTCGAGAAGATCATGCATATCGAAGATAAGATCAAGAACACGATCCTCTATGAGACCACAACTATCCGGACCAAGAATACAATTACGATTGCTTCCCAGTACCCAAACCGCCATGTGCAAATCGTGCTTCGCATCTACCATTCAGTAGCTGAGATTCTCACCGGCTTTGACGTGGATGTTTCTTGCGCAGCTTATGATGGTCATCAAGTCTATACATCTCCACGTGCAATTGCCGCATACATCACCCAGACGAATCAGATTGACCTAACCCGACGATCACCATCATATGAGAACCGTCTCTCCAAGTATTCACGCCGTGGATTTGAGGTTTTCTGGCCTGCCCTTGACAGATCGAAGATTGACCCGGTGAGAACTGAGCCCCTGGTTGAATGTATCAAGTTTCAGTGAAACTAATTTCTGAAAAAGACCATCTTCGAGAGGAGCTTCACCAGAACCGAAGGTCTTGCAAGACTTTTGGTTTTGGAAAAGCTTCCTCGGTCTCAAGACCGGGATAACTATCTTCAAAAAAGGCGCGAGGAGCGAGGTCGCCCTCCTCTAGATGTGTACCTGCAGCGTCGTCATGGAAAAATGCTGCATGGAAACATCAAGGATGACTGGGAAGATGAAGTGCCTGAATGGCAAGAACAAGACCAAGTATCTGATTATCATACTTTCGTTCGTACCTTCACTGCAACAGACTTGCTGCCATTTGATCTTACTGACCATCGGATAGACTATTCCTTACGGCCGAAGATTCAATGCCAGGAATATTGAGAAGCTGCTCTACACCAAAGATCTCTTGCTGAACGCCCAATGGAACCAGCCCAAGGACCGTACAGTCTATCTTCATCGTCATCCAGCATTCTTCGGCGAAGCAGAACATGTCATTGGCGACTGCTGTGGCTTCTGCCCCAAGCCCGTTACCGAGGAAGAAATCAAAGTCGCCGAAGAGGAGGCTAAGATTTATATCTCTGGTCAGGTTACTTTCATCAAAGATGATCCCGGTCGCCAGGAAATCGGAAGTTTCAATCCGATCACTGAGACTGATTGGACGGGTGAGTGAACTGTCCAGGATGTCTCTTCACCAGCGAACTATACACTAATACGTACACGATAGAAATGGCTTACGTTGGCCGCACCGAGAGACTGTGCCAGGCAATCGTGGCAAACGATGTTGACTCTGTGAAAGCTTTCCTTGCAGAGGAGGGTACTAACCCGGATCGTCGTGATTACACTGGGCGAACACCCCTCCAATTGGCGTGCATGTGCTCAACACCTGAGGTCGTACAATGCCTTGTTGATGGTGGCGCTCGCATGATCCCCCGTATGGCTGATGGAAAGACCGCACTCCATCTTGCCGCCGCCCGGGGGCACGTGGAGATCATTCGAATTCTACTCACAAAGAGCAACGAGAATGAGGAAGAAGAGTCTAAGAAGCAGGATGCTCTGAAAAAGAGTGACAACTCAGAGGGAGAGCCCAAAACAGATGAGGATGAAGATATTGATATGATTGACCAAGCTGATGTCATGTCTCACACCTCTGCTTCTTACGTGAAAGTCGATGCTGATGAGAAGGAAGATCTGACCACGTACGATACGCTCGAGGAGAACGACATTGAGCCGGATGTCTATGACATCAATGTTGTTGCATGGGATAGTCGGACTGCTCCTCTGCATCTTGCAATTCTCCATGGTCACACTGAGGCTGTTAGAGAGCTTGTCACGTCTTTCGGTGCTGATATCTTGATGCCAATCAAGATTATGAACGAGCACAACAAAACACCCTCTGCTGCAATTCTAAACTTGGTTCTCATCCATGCCCTCCCATTCGAGAAAGCAAAGGAGATGTCACAGACCCTTCTCGATCTCGGCGCCTCACCAGCACAAGCAGACCTCAAGCAGAAGACGCCGCTATATTACCTTGCCCATTCCAACAAGTTTGATATTCTTGATATTTACATGCAGCATGACGAGCCGGCCGTAAAGCGGGCAATCAATCACTTAGCAGTCCAGGGGTCTTACTGGACGCCAGAATTCTCCTCAGTATTGATGGCTGCTCTCACTGCGAAGAACGCTCCCGCAGCGACCAAGCTGTTGAATACAGGTGCTAGCCCAGAGATTGACCTCGGAGACCTTGTGAAGGCTATCACAGAATCTAGAGGAACCCAGACCTACTACGGCAACATTGAACAAGACGCACAGTCTAGTGTGAAACAGCCGATCTTACTGGCCATTCAAAATGATCTCCCTCTGGTTGCCATTGATATGCTCAATCGTGGGGTTAACCCCAACAGTCCTACTAATCAACTCAAGACGAGATATCAAGAGAAGGGTCAAACGGTGTTGGATGTCATGCGCCAAACCTTGAAAACTCTCCGTGAATTCTTGGTCGAGCGAAAGGACCGATACTATTATCATTCCATTGTAACTCCGCTTGACCCAAACGATGAGACATATCTGTCGGAGTTCCAATCTGGTAGTTACAAAAGGTTCACTGCAAAGGATCTGCTCCGCAACGTGCGCAAAGCGAACCGAGAGGCCGAAAAGGAAGCCAACAATTACCAAAACAACCCTGCTGATCCTCCTGGCTTGGTTGAGAAAAAGGCGTTTATTGCGGAGTTGATTCACGACTACGAGAAGCTGGAATCCGTTCTCCTCCAAAAGGATGCAAAGACATGGGACGAGCTTTATCCTCCACAGAACGTCCCTGTGAATTTACCTGCCCAATTTTATACTGAGCAGACACAGCAAGCCACTAAGCCTTGGGAAATCGAATTCAAGTTCAATGTACCGGCTATTACTGACAATGTCCGCGACGGATACCTACAACTGTATGTCTCCCCTCCTTAACTCCACGGCCCAATATTCTCTTACTAACGATGAATGATTCCACAGTTTCGAAGCAGCTTGGAATGGTGATATTGATACCATAAAGTCCTTGACACTGGGCAAGTGGGGATCTCTCAATGACCAAGCACCACTTGAGATTGCTGTGACCGACAAGCAAAACCTGTCCGCTCTTTCGATTTCCATCATGCGTGGCCATTTTGCAGTCGCTAGGGCCATCCTTCAAATCCTTCATGTGCAGTACAGAGTGAAGGAGCCTCGGGGTCGGACGCGCTTTGAAATAGATGTCGACTGCTCCGATGACTCAGACGACTCAGATGCAGAGAACGAGCATCTCAATATTGCCAGTGACATTGTCGACGATACCTTCACATATGAAAACATCGGTGAAGTTACCAGTGAGGTTAAGAGCAATACGTCCCCTCTTGCTGCTTTCGAGGCACGATTCAATGGCTTCCTCTTCTTGGACGAATACAAAGACGAAAGGTCTTGGAATAAGAGAGAGAAGCATGTCAATGTTGACAGCTTTTTGAAATACGCTGTTTACACAAACAACATTACTCTATTGGAATTCCTTCTCAAGACCGGGCTGGATCTTGCTCGCACCAATCCCTCGGGCAAGTGTGAGTTCTCGGTAGCCTCCGACGTGTTCCAACTTGCCATTTTGCTTGGACGTACCGATTGCCTTGCCAAAATGATTCAAAGTGCCGGAGCAGGCCTTCCACTCACAAAATTGAGCGAGGATTGCGGCGTCGAGGAGAAGAAAGAGCCTCAGTACTACCCTGGGTTGTCAATTCGTGGCACCAAGCGCGCCGATTGGGCTAGCGCTGGCCGGGAGCAACCGATGAAAGCCATCACACAGCGTCCTCCCCTTCTTATCGCTGCTCGTCAGGGTAATCTGGCCGCTACAGAGTTCTTCCTTGGTACTGCGGCTGCTCGCTATTACTTGGAGTACCTCAATGCAAACAATGATGACGAGAGAGTCAAACGATTGACTCAGTCCAAACTCGGACTCGAGGGAACACTCTCAAATTGGCTCAAAGCAAGTAGTAAGTGTCCAACCTATTCAGGAACCTTGACAAACAAAGCTGACCATGTAAAAGATAACCTCGTTCTCCACTGCGCAATCATGTCTGAACCAAGCGACGAGACTGTTCGTCTCGTTCAGTATCTTGTCAATCATTACCCTGAATGCTTGGAGGTCCGATCCACGGAAGGACTAACGCCTTTGGCCTGGGCCATGTCCCTCCACAAGGTCCGCTTTGCCCGCATTTTGGTAGAAGCCGGAGCCAACCAGGCCGTTCGTGACAAAGAAGCGCGCAATCTCCTCCACTTGATTCTTGTATCAAACAATGGTCGAGTCTGCAAGAACTCTAGCCGATTCATCAAGCTACGAGACCTACTGGATGAACAACTTATCCCAACGATGCTCATGGAGCGCGCAGGTGATGGCTCAAGAACGCCATTTGCACGATGGCTTGACGCCTATCCCCACTTTACTCCAGACGATCCAGCCATCCCTCGACCCCCAAACAGTCGCCAGACTGATGACGAAATGATAACCTCCATGACGAACCTCGTTTTGGACCTAGCCAACTCCACGGACCAAAAGCATCTCGAGCTCTTTGACGAAGCTGGAAACACACCAGTGCATACTGCTGTCAAGAAAGGCTTCCCTCAAGTGCTTGGACAACTCCTCGACCGTCGTCCTGACATGCTCAATCGGGAGAATGCCACTGGTACAACTCCTCTCGAAATGGCAGTTGATGCTTGGGTCAATAAGAGTACCTCTGGGCCGCCAAATGGTCCTTCAGAATCATCGCATTGCCACCCCAAATGGCAAAATGCCGTTCAGCGTGAGCCCCGATTCTTCATCCCCGGTAGTAGATCGAAGTATAGCAAGGAGAAGGCTATGTTCCGGGTCTGCCGTGAACGGGCTCAGCAACGGCCTGCAAAGAGGAGACTTGTCAGTCTCTTCGAGGCGAATGAGGTCGCTAAGAGATTGGCAGCGGCGGGACGGAGCACTGGTCAGAATGTTGGCCTTGAAGATGACAATGGACGTATGGGTCCTGAAGATCGTCCTGAATTGTGGGGAAGCGTGGCTGCTCATTGGTAATTTGCATGTGTGGAAGATGATAGTTTATAGTACAATGTGTATCGACACTCAACAATCTTGCTTGAATATATCTCAGTTATGTCTCTATATTCTTCATTGTAACCTACTCGCAATTGAGTATTCCCAGGACCTACTTTCCAATGTACATGCTGGAGGCAGGGGAAGCAAACCCAGGAAGGCCTCGGGAGGCTACTGTGGGAGACTAGAAAACATAAAGTCGTATCATGAATTGAACCAACCCGATCTTTTCTTAGTCCTCAGTGTTGCTCCTCAGGCGGCAGCTGAACCTTCACTGCAGCCTCCGCCAGAGCTTGGTTCTGACTGTTTTTACTAGCGATATACGATTTGATATACTCTGGCACTTCAGCGACATTACCATCACCGCTTGGAATCGGGGTTCCAAATGTTTCCCAGACCGGCACTACACCAGTCCACACACTGCTAGTGACCTGCTCGTTACCGGTGTCCTTGCGCTCATCCGAGACACCACCATCACGGATCTTGCCGCTGCCATCCATAATCTTGACCTTCAGGATGACAGTCGACTGCATCTCAGCACGGTCCGGCGGCACACGCGAGTGATCCCACCGGTCCGCGAGAACGGAGTTCGTGATCAGTTTCATGGCCCAGAGCTTTTCTTCCTCGTTGGTGACGAGGGTTGCGTAGCCGTGTAGGATGGCAGAGCGGTAATTATAGCTGTGCGAGTTGGGCGTGAGCGACAGGATTAGGCCGTCTATTTTGCTTGTTGCCACGCAGATGGGGAGGCCCTCGCCATCACTGCAGCTGCGGGCCAGGTTCATGATTCGTGAGCTGACATAGCCGTGGAGGTAACACTCTAAAGGCTCATCGATGCTCGCGGAGGGAAAATCGAATGATCCCATTTGCCCGATCATTGGTAGGATTGCGGGGAATGGGTCATCTGGCCCTGGGTTGAAAGATACATGGAGAACTTGGGAGTCATTGATGATTGAATGGATTTGACCCAAGCCATATGTGGCTAGGATATAGTGTTAGTTGGCTTCGATGTATTTCTGTAGTCATTGTTGTACCTCGATGGTTGTACCTGTTGACGGTGTTGGAAAGCCTCTTGGGGTAGGTCAAGCTTCGTCCCATAATGTGTATGACGATCTTGAGAGTGCGGTTGGAAGGGAAGACAAGCAAGAAGAGAGCGAACTACGCATTTAAGTAGATAAATAGCGAGTCGCGATAAATGATGCGATGAGCTAGGGCATGCCTCCAAACGCCCTTTTTGGCAGGTCCATCCGGACAAGTGTTCTCCACAAGGCTAGACAAGGGCATATTGATGGCAGACGCACAGAATCATGAAAGTAAGCATGAAATAACAGGGGATGTGGACAAATAGGACTGGTCTCCGATGGGAAACGCAGTCGGGGTGATTGGCCCACACCGCCGACTGGATCATCCACGGAACCTGGCGATAACTCCGGTTTACTCTTATCACTTATTTTTTGGGGACTTTGAAGCATGGCGGCATGCAGGTCTCTTGTGCGCCAATGCGCTATCAATTTGCGTTCAGCGAGGCCTTTGAGTCATTCATTGCGCCAATTGCCTAGATGCAATCCTCTGACTCGCAAGTACGCTACCTCCGTGGCCGCCGCGGAACTCAAATTCGGCCAGCCGTTGCATGAGACGCACCCCCATATCCTTAGCCCAGGCGAACGTGAGTCATTATCGGTGTTTCGACTCGTTCAATAAACTAATTGACTTTTGTCTAGTTACGCCTGGAATCAGCGCCCTTGAATATGCGCAACGTCGATCGAAACTCGCCAACAAGCTACCTAAAGGTGCAATTGCGGTGCTGGCTGCCTCGGAGGTCAAGTACCGCGCCCAAGGCATCTTCAATGAGTACCGCCAGGATTCAAATTTCTTTTACCTGACTGGTAAGTTTGTTTTGTACAACGGTGATGCTGTGGAGGACACCCACTAAGCGTTTGCGCGTTGGATAGGTTTTAACGAACCGAATGCACTGGCGATCATCGGGAACGACGGCTCAGGCGATAACCATACCTTCCATTTATACGTGCGAGAAAAAGATCCCAGGGCAGAACTCTGGGACGGGGCGCGCTCCGGCACCCAGGCTGCTTTGGACGTCTTCAATGCGGATGAGGTGCGAGAGATACTGGCCTAAGGATCCGACAGATCATCACGTTAACGTCTCGAACAGACAGGAAACATTGAACGAATTGGAGATATTTTGCCAAGCATCGTTCAGGGAGCGACGGAGGTTTACTCGGACATCCCCGCATTTGATGGCTCAAGATCATCTTTGAATCGTTATCTGTATGGACCAACAGTCGCGTCGGAAAAGCTGAAGAAGGTCATCGATAACCGCAGGGTCAAGCCCTTGAAGCATTTGCTCAACGAAATGAGAGTATTTAAGAGTGAGAATGAGGTTGTACAGATGCGCCGCTTGGGACAAGCGTCAGGGAGAGCTTTCACCGAAGCTATGCGACAGGATTTCACCCGGGAGAAAGATCTCTATTCTTTCCTGGAGTATCAGTTTAAGGTGAATGGCTGTGATACCAACGCATTTGTCCCGGTTGTCGCGGGTGGCCAGGTAAATTTACCGACCTCTGTTAAAATGAGCTCGATACTGACCCAACCTAGAACGCCTTGGCTATTCATTACACTCGAAATGACGATGTATTGAAGTTCGTGTGCATTCCCTGAACTATCGTGAGACTCTGCTTACACATACTTCTAGGGATGGTGATTTGGTTCTCGTTGATGGCGGTGGTGTAAGTTCTTTACCCTGAGCTTAGTCTTTACAGTTCCAGGATACTGACCAAAGTACAGGAATGGGGAAGCTATATTTCCGACATTACTAGGACCTGGCCTGTCAATGGCAAGTTTACGGATCCCCAGCGGGATCTATACAATGCTGTGCTCAACGTGCATCGGCGCTGTCTAGCTCTGTGCCGCGAGACCTCCAATCTTTCTTTGGACAAGCTCCATGGCATCGCTGAGACTGGATTGAAAGATGAGCTCAAGTCACTTGGCTTTGATCTTTCTGGCAATGTAAGTATTCAGAGTCCTTCCACGCCGGTGTATGCTGACTCCGACTAGGCACTGAACGTTCTCTTCCCCCATCATCTTGGCCACTATGTCGGCCTGGATGTGCATGACTGCCCTGGGTATTCCAGAGGCTATGATTTGAAAGCAGGTCAATGTATAACAATTGAGCCGTGTGTTCCCAGCCTCTTTCCCCCAGATCTGAAACAAGCTAATGCATGCCAGGGGCATCTATGTTCCTGACGACGAGCGATGGCCCGCCCACTTCCGTGGGATCGGAATTCGTATTGAGGATAGTGTTTGCGTCGGCGAGGAACATCCGATTGTCTTAACCCCCGAAGCTGTCAAGGAGGTATGTTAAAAACTGTAGTTTCGCCCAAATTTGATCGTTACTGACTTAGACTAGGTTGAGGACATTGAGGCACTACGTAATTAGTTATGACGTATATGGTAGCCGTCGAATCCCTCCAATTCCCATGTACAATAGCATAATGGCTTTGAAATATCATCTCTGAGCCCCTTCATCTTATTTTATATTACTTTGTTCCATGAAAGTATAGTCTACATGTCTGAACCATCCTTGCCTCATTAGGTACTTTGTGGTGGCTGGTCTGTTTGTTTGGGGGCTGTTTGGAAGGCTGGTCTTGGGGAGGTTGGAGATCATGGATTTTTTTTGAGTAGGTTATTAAGAAGGATAATATCGGATCAAATAACAAAGAATGAGAACGAGAATGAAGTATTGAAGAAAAGCGAAAAAACAATCTCGTCGCGGTCAAAGAATGCAATGTTGATGTTCATGCTTCGCGCACTGCCGTTGGTTGTCAGGCCTCCGCCCAAAACAAACTGAGCTCCACACCACACGACTTGCTTTGCTCTTCTTTCTTTCCAGGTCTTCCACCTCGACTTTTTCTTCCCATCCCACCTTCGAGTCCTTTAATCTCTTCTTCTCTACTTGGGCTACTTGCTATTGCCTTGCGGGATACAATGTCCATTCTCTGATCTTCACTAACCCTGAAAAGACGTGTTAGTACGCGTGCTCTTCACCGAGTACCCCTCTTTGATATCTGACTATTTGTCACTCTAAAACATCTGCACGCGTTCTCAGCCTTGGGAACTCGTTTTCAAATGGCCACTGTCTTCGTACCTCCCTCGCCACGAACCTCCTTGACCATGGCTACTCGCCGTCCACTTGCAAACGTCCCGAATGCAACAAATTCCCCACGCAGGGCAGAGCTAGTGCTTAAACGAGCTCGCCCTACTCGAGTGGACATCCCGTACGGACAGCCACCGCCGAAGAGACAAGTGATGGAGAATCTCGAGTACGAGCCTCGCTCTACCACCTGCCAAGCCACGAACACAGACTCGAAACTCTTCGCGCGACGATCGAACAACAGCAACCCTAGTGCATTCGAGAAGAAGCTTGTTGCAGCTAGGGAGAAAGAACGTCAACCGCAAGTCAAGCATGTTAGAGTTGAGAAGGCCCCGGCAGATACTATGGATTCCATCCGGCAATGGCAGCGGCACTATAGGAAGGCGTTCCCTCAATTTGTGTTCTACTTCGATAGCATCCCTGAGGATGTCAGACGGCGGTTCAACCGCCAGGTAATTGCTCTTGGAGCTGTAAGTTATACCGCCCTACAGAGCATTCAGCTGGTCTTGGTTGCACTTCATGTCTCCATCTTCAGTGATTGATCACCTTCCATTGAAATCGTCTCTAACCCACTGCAATACAGCGCGAGGAGAAGTTTTTCTCGCGTCTAGTGACCCACGTTGTCACCTCGCGTGCTATCCCCCCGGAATCAGCCACTCTAACAGAACCGGAGTCAACTGCAGACGCCAACAACGTCGATAGCAATGTCCAGACTGTCAACCCTTCTCTTCTGGAGAGGAACGGTGAGACTCACCTGCATACTTCATTGAAAACCGAGACGCGTCGTGAAGTCACTATGGACATTTTGCAACGGGCTCGGCAGATGGGCATGAAAATCTGGGCATTGGAAAAGCTTCAGCGTATGATCACTACAATCAATGACAGTGACATCGGTGCCCAATATGAACAAGCTGCTCGGAACAAGGCTGCTGGTGGTAACGTCGCCAACGGTAGGGGCGAAAATGACCTTTCGCGGGTTCTTCGCCAGGAACTTCTCAACGGACCGTCTGATCGCGATCCATTGACCTCAATGGAAATGATTATCTTCAAGGGACCATTCGTTTACATCCATGACATGAATGAAAAGACCAAACCAGTGATGGTTCGAGAATACTCCCGAGTCGCGAGACGCCAGGATGGATCTTGGCCACAGTTCCGAAGTGCTCCCCTCGGAAAGTGCCCTTTCATAGATGAGCCCCCGAGCAGGAAGGAGTACGACCGACACCGATTACGTCAACTCCACAAAGAGAAGAAGGCTGCCTCTCTCAAGGCTGACGGAAGTCGTGATGCTAAGACAAAAGCTGCTGTGCCAATCCAAGCCCCCGAATCTGTGGCCACAGAGATCGCACATTCCCAGCCGCTGACGAAACAAGAAGAGCGTGTTTCACCTCCTGTTCAAAACGAAATTCAGAAGCCATCACTTGATGAAACTCATGAACGAAAGAGTTCTGAAAGCTTTATTCCTCCTCACTTCCCTCGCACCGGGCCTTTCTATGCTGGCCATGAGCCTGCTGCCTCAGGTGTTCAGCCGTCGAATATGACATCTGCAATCCGCTCGCAGATGATCTCGTCTACTGCTGCAGCACCTGGCGCAAAAGCTGGGCTCAGCAAGGAGGTTCATGGTCTCAAGCGGAAGGTCCTCGAGAAGGGCACTGGTGGATTCGCAGTGGGATCTATGGCTGCTCCTCAGCGTCGTGGAGATGGGTTTGCGACAGTTCCGATGAAGAATAACGTCAATCCCCCTGGGAAGCCCAACATCTCTCACGATGAGGATGAGGCAAAGCAATCCGAGATGGCTGGCTCAAAGCGGCAAAGGGAGGACAAAGATGAACAAAGGAAACCCGAACGTCGCAGAGATCCCAAGCCTGGCTATTGCGAGAACTGCAGGGATAAGTTTGACGATTTCGAAGAGGTATCATTCAAGTTGTCCGATTTCTCAGATTCATATTAATACTGACATCTCTTAGCACACTCAAACTCGAAAACATCGCCGGTTTGCCGCGAACTCGACGAATTGGGCTGAGCTTGATGCATTGCTCGCTGAAATTCAGCGTCCGCTCAAGGTCGACCATGAATATGATGAATAGACCTGCTGTTCCTCACAGCATTCCATGATTTCCTTTGCACCTCGGCCTTCTCTTTCATGCAAACAGTCTGCATCCCAGTACAGGTCAAGCTCTCTATTTTCAAGTTATCTTTCTTCTGCCACGTTGCAATTTTGATTTCCGTCATGCCCGATTTGCACTTCAAAACATTTGCATAACCATACCCTCGGCATCGACATGCATGGTGGCGTTTTCCTTTTTTCTTTCTGTTTTTACGCATCAGCAGTACCAGTACCCAGTCCCTTCCTGAGGTGCGGTCTGCTTGCCTTGACCTCGATGGAGGTCGTCCACTCCTTTACAGCATTTTCACTTCTTTCGATTGTATTGAATATCCGATTTTTAACCAGCATCACATCACCTTCGATCTCGTTCACCGACCTCCATCGACCGCCGACGCCAATTTTGGATAATTGCATTCATCATCTTGCTCCAAAAAAAGTCATCGTCGACGCTGTTTGCCTCACATGCAATCAGCTTGCGCTTTACGGCCTTTAATAATCGCCGGTTGCGATATACCTAAGGTATAATGGACGATTTAGCATGAACTCAAGGGTTCCTAACCTTGTATTGCATTTCATTCTAACACATCATTTTCCTCCTTTTTGGTCCTACGGGCCCATGTTTTCTACCTTGATCGGCTTTCCCTTGTGTCTTTTCATTGGTGGTGTCTTATTTCCCGATGCCAGTGGTTGTTTAACCCAGCGCAGGCGGCCGAGTCTATTGAGACTTTTCCTTTCTCGTGACATTACTTACCTGAATAAGCATTTATTTGACTCGACGATCTGTATGCATTTTGTATCATGCTAATTGAAATTGTCTGCTAAATGGATTCTTCACTAAAGATTAGCCCATAGAAGTAGAAGTCCTAGGCCCCTCACTTAGCCTAATGCGGTAATCACCTTGAAGGGACGTAAACTGCAGGCGGTGAAAGTGAAGTAAAACACATCGAGCTTCCGAATCCGATGTCAACAGATCAACCAAGGCCTTTAGTATGTTGACAAGTGGACAGTCGTCAAATTGACCTATAGCCATTAGCACCAGGTCCGAGGGTTCACATTATGCTCAAGTCCAAGCACCTGGTAACCCCGCAAAATTCCTGCCTACGGGAATCCTTAGCAGCCATCGTGTCAATTCAGTCACCGCTTTATTCTCGCCTGTATACATAGGCTTAGAGTCCTCGTTAATTCAGATCCACTGAAATAGATAAATCGCGCAATTTTCATGGCAATATCATTTCTAGGCTGGAAGGTTCGCTCCGCTACACTGCATAGATGAAGATAGAATGAGTTCAGAAATTTTGTGAGCATGATGCCTAGGCTCCAGCTGTAGAGGATCCGCCGGGGCGGAGATGGCCCCGGTTGTGCCTCGTTGGCCAATTTTCTGCCGGCCAAAATCGGGGCTTGGTTGGCTCGATGGCTGCTAAAACCAACCCTACTCGGCACTCGGCCCCGTAATCAGCGGCAGTAAAGAAGCTCTTTGACTTCAAGAATTTTTGATGCTCCCATCTACGCCGCATAACCCAGCACGTTCATTCGGACAGAAGGATATTTGGAAGCCGCAGCTCCGGGCATATTCCTCGATATAAGATCTTAAGACCTCCTCGTCTACATTCGCGCATTTGAGAAGCTGCAATTCGCCGCTGAGGTCATCGTTATTCCTTTGTTATTGCCACTTTTACAGCTCGAAAACAATACAGCTATTGTATATAGCATTACGTTCTGGGACATATCGAGATATATATACACACCACGGAGATAGTGTCGAATTTTCACATTGTGCGTCACCGTGTGCATCGCGCCACTTGTTTTTTCACAATCACACCACACAATGGCCGCGCCAGGCTCTGCGCTGCGGCGCACAGCGCTCGTTTCTTCGTCGCTACTAAGGACGAGAGTGGTCCCCGCTGCCCGAACTCAGGCCACACACACCCTTCGTGCCGACCGCCGTCCTGCCCTATCCTCACTTGTACCGATGCCACGCTCCCTCGCCCAAACCCGACACAGCTCTTACTCCGCGCCAACACCGGGTGGAAATGGAAAAGCGCGAAAGAAAGTTACTATCCAGACGCTTCAGAACATGCACAAAAAGGGGGAGCCAATCACGATGCTCACGGCGCATGACTTTCCCAGTGCTCATGTGGCCGATGCGTCGGGGATGGATATGGTCTTGGTCGGGGATAGTTTAGGAATGGTAGCTCTTGGACTGGAAAACACGACGGAGGTCGTTATCGAAGAGATGATCCTTCATTGTCGGAGCGTAGCGCGGGCTACCAAAGCCGCGTTCATTGTGAGTTACCAGGATTCCTTGACTAGCATGCGCCACACGACTAACAACCATACTCTAATTCCAGATCGGGGATTTGCCGATGGGGTCATATGAAGTGAGCGCAGAGCAAGCAATCGAGTCAGCCCTGCGCCTGGTTAAGGAAGGCCGCGTACACGGGGTCAAGCTCGAAGGCGGCGAGGAACTCGCACCCACAATCAAGCGAATCGCACAAGCTGGCGTTCCAGTGATAGGCCATGTTGGTCTTACGCCGCAGCGTCAGAATGCCCTCGGCGGCTTCCGTGTACAGGGGAAAACAGCTGCCAGCGCGATGAGGCTGCTCCGGGATGCGCTTGCTATGCAAGAGGCTGGCGTGTTCATGCTTGTCCTCGAAGCTATGCCCTCGGAGGTTGCATCGATCATCACGCAGAAACTGCGGATCCCGACTATCGGTATCGGTTCTGGAAATGGCTGCTCCGGGCAGGTTCTTGTGCAGGTTGACATGTCTGGGAATTTCCAGCCTGGTCGGTTTGTGCCAAAGTTTGTTAAGCAGTATGCGGATGTTTGGGATGAGGCTGCCCGTGGCATTTCGCTGTATCGAGATGAAGTCAAGAGTCGGGCGTTCCCTTCTGAGGAATACACGTATCCCATTGCGAAGGATGAGCTCGATCAGTTCCGGAAGACGGTGGACGAGGTCTTCCGGGAATCATGATGCGTCTGGTTGCCATCTTTGTTTCTCGGTCATTTCTTGCATGTTCTGTATATAGCATTATCATCATCTGTACATATCATCATTCAGCAGTTCGCGCTGCTTGTTCATAGCCTGCTCAGCCGAAAGCTGGTGTCATTGAATAGGCGACGATCAATTGATCGTCAGTCTTGAAACACTATCACAAACTTAGCCTTCAATTTGTCGAATGTGCAGGTAGAACGGGAAACCCACCCTCCATAGTCCGCCCATGCCTTCATCTAACCCGGGTGCAAACACACTATTAACGTAACAAAAAACAGAATCGGTTTCTTTGCAGTCCAGCTTCTTGCGCAGAAACTTCACAACCGTTTCGAATTTCTGCGACGCGCTAACCTTGAACACCCGGTTCTTTAAAATCGGCGCGGAAGGGAGAGGCTGAAAGCGCACAGTGACTTGATAATCGTTAGTTGTTGACATCGCAGTCTGACCCAAGAGCTTGGAAAAGGAGGGGTCATACCTTTTCCGGAATCAATACTCTCCACGTCCGCAAGTGCCTGGTGCGCATCACGAGGTAAGTTGGTCAACATGACCGATGCAGACATGTTCATCGGTAGATCAGCACCATGGTCGTCATCTGGAATTGGGGCGTTGGCTGAGGTGTTGGGCGTGTCCGAGCTTTGGGGTCGCGGACTTGGACGATGACTGAGTGTACTCTGATTTGAAGCTGGGGAGCCCTGTGGAAAGCGAGTGGAAGATGAATCCATGATGTATGCAGAGTACCTACAATGATGGGATGGAGTGAAGTTGGGAGAGGAGAATCCTTAACGCGCTTTAAGTTTAGCCTGAACGTGGGGCTGAAATGTACATAATCTACATACGGAGTAACGGAGTCAGAGTATACATGCAGACTTTCATATAGGTACATATTCGTTGAGAAATGAATACTTCATAGTAAATAAATAAATCTAATGATCCATAGAATGATCCATAGCTTAGAGTGAAGGCTATTTACATGTAAACCAATCAACTGGCGTATATCTCTATATCCTCACATTGCATGATTCATGATTCATGATTATGTCATCTACTAACAGCCCTGGGAGCTGTACTGGGCTTTCTTGGTCTTCGTCAATCTTTGTCGATAAGAAACATATGGGAAATACCAATAGCCATTGAAGAAACAGAGAATGCAAACATCTCATCTACATAGCCCCTTCCCCCATGTCGAACCACCGCCACGTCCCTTGCCATCTCATACTCACCATACAATACGAGAGAGTGACAAAGAGAGGGATTGGGAGCTCCCTCACATCCTTGGAGGACTAAGCAATATTATACCTGGGTGGGGGCAGTCAACACCTGAATGCGAGGGTCGTTCGCATCCAGAAGAGACGGCGAGCAGTCCGCACGGGTCAGATCAGGCGCAAAGAATTACATCCAACACCAAAGCCCAGGGAGCGTTGCAGACTACGTTCGCGGGGAAGTATGGAAAATTTAACAGAATCGTCCATTACGATCCCACCAATACTATTGAATTATTTAAAAAGAGAGTACTGGTTGTTGATCCAATCACGCCCACAGCAAAACCCCCACAACACCATATTCTGGGGGCCATGTTGGGGGGAAATTCTGCCAATGCAATTTTTGAACTCTACGCAGTCAAAGTGTTTCGCCATACCCACATCACCCTCTCCCCGAACAATCTTCAAGATCTAAGTCAAAATGGCCCCTTATGTCATCCCAATATCGTCCCAGTCATCGACATTCTCTACAATCAGAAACAGAATATATGTATTGTCATGCCGTACTATGCTGGCGGGGATCTACGCTGTTTCATTGCACGAAAAAGACGCCCAGAAGATGAACCTTCCACTGAAGAGTTGGATTGTTTAGCCATTCAAGTCCTGCGCGCGGTGGGTTTTCTACACGAAAACGATATTGCCCATGGTGATATCAGGCCAGAACATATACTTTTAACGGCCAGAGGCTCGGTGAAACTGGGCGGGTTTGGCGAAGACCGAGAAGCAATTCGAGAGATAGTCACACTCACAAAAGATGAGAGTCCTGAGTTGTCCGTTTCGGTACCAAACCCTGACCCAGCTCCGGATTCCAAATATGTGCCAACTCTGTGCATGCGGCAAACAGCCTCGTATTCCAGTGTTCCTTATCTTCCTCCCGAGAGGTTTCCCCGTCGTGGTGCTCGCCGTCGAAGCCATGAGAATCAAGATATCTATGATTTCAAAGCTGGAGATATATGGGCATGCGGCGTAATCTGCATGTTACTTCGATCGGGCCGCCTCCTATGGCTCAGCGCTCATACGGTTCATCCTGAGGAAGCCTTTGCTGATTATCTCCGCTGTCGTCTGGAGGAAGATGGCTATGGTCCCATACAGGCTCTGAGATTAGTAAGTTACATCTATAGTTTCCTTCTAGCGAGGCTGATTACGAGAATAATATCTAACCTGTCGGAACTTGAAGCATCACCGAAATGTAGTTTACGCGATGTTACATCCAGATATGGGGGCTAGAATTACTGCTGCAGAGGTCTTGAGGTCTGAATGGGCTCTTGAGATTCCAGCGTGTGAGATTGGAGAGAAGGGGTTGTGATCAAAGGTCCATTCTCATGACACCGACGTGAGAGGTAAAAGCTTCGTGGATATCTGAATCTATACCCTCCTACTATTTCACCACCCACTTCTACATAGAAAACGTCAAAGCCCGAGTAAAAAAGCGGAAGGAAGAGTCAAGTAACCAAGGAAATCCGTTATGTAGATGCCACACCACGTACTCGCTCAAACGGCAAGTGTATACCACATCAATCTGATATCTTCAGATACCCATGTGATTAATGAATGCATGATTGCTGACGGGGTAGTTGAGCATTTTGTCTTCATTTCACCTTTGATTCAACTAATAGCCTTCCTTTACTTATCACACAACACGTCATGGCACCTGTCTATCATGGTCAGTGGTCATACAACATAGACACATTCTACGCCACTTCCTCTTGCGGTTATGTCTACCCACGCGCCACATTGTCCGAGCTAGATGAAATCTTCAGTGCACCATTGGGAGTCAGAAGAACCAGGCCAGACAATCCGTCCCACTGGTACGAAGCCCAACTTCTCCATTTTGGACTGCCGCCGACCAAGTCCAAAGCCACAGCAAAGATGAGGTTGATGGATGCCTTCCAAGACGGGACACTCGATGTCCCGGAGGGAATACTACGAATTGAAGAAAATCTGAGCAGGAAATGGATGAAACAAGATCTGGAAACCCGTATTCTGGGTCCTTCTGTGCGACCTTCGCTCGATCCTGGTATCACAACCGCTCTGGCGATTGGCACAACGCGACTCAGGGCTCAGAGAACGTCTGGTGGTGAGCAGGAGAATGATGTATTCAGTGCAGGGTTGGCTGGAGGAAGCGGAATGCAAGGTAATATGCAATCTCAACAGAACGATATGCAACCACCCCATGCTCAGACAAAGAAACGAAAAGGCTTTAACGGAGACCCATCGACCCACCCTATGAAGCATTTCAGAGTTCGTGGTGAAACTGGTGCACCTGACTTGCAGGCCCAGACCCAAAATCCAAACGACGAGATCTTCCAGCAGATGTCAAACGATATTCCCGAGTCAGTAGGAAACGGACGTGGACGCTCGGCTCCGGACAGAGGATTACAGCAAGTCGGATATCAAACCGTGCCTCTGTCGTACCAGGGTACTTACGAAACAGTGAGGATATCCTTTTGTGCGCAATGGATGAAACAAAACCATCTCTAACCATCATGAATAGGCTACCCAAGTACCTCCGCCAGGACCGATGGATCTTAACGGTGCAAATGACTATTGCCGGTATGGCTATGAGTCAGTGATCGGATTGAGTCATTCTGGATGGGACTTGAGAGACAGAGATTCCATGGCCCAGATATGAGTCGACCTTGGGATTTAGGTTGGTTGAAACATATTGAAATTATCTCCAAGTTTGGGGGTATGAGGTCGTACGTAAGCACGTGTTTCCCAGGGGAGATGAGGATAGTGAAATGTTTGGAGCCCAAGTTGACTCAAGATATCTACGGCTTCTAAACAGAGAATGAAAGATGCAACAAAAGGCATTCGTTCTTTTAATGCAATACGAACTTATTGTATCAAGCTCGATGGCTCGCCCATCTATGTGTGTGAATCATGTCTATCTATCCTCAGAATGTCCCGAACCTAGAAGCAGGGTCTACTCAATAGTTTTCAAAAAGCCGCGTCTCTCGACATCAGCAATCGCAAATTGAAAAGGCGCATCGACAAGTCCAGTTGACTTTTCCCACTGTGGATCCAGATACCATGGCTTGATGAGCAAGACGTCAAAAATAGTCGGCTGTTGGATCTGATGCAGCGGTATGAGCCAGTCATCCAACCGCTTCGTGACATGAGGATACAGATGGATGGTCAAGTTCTTCAGACCAGGCAACTTCGTGGCCAGAACCTGACAGCATTTATTCCAACTAAGGCCACCAGGATCTAGAAAGCTGAGCTGTAAAGTGCGGATCATGCTCGCTCGCTGTGGTAGAAGTGTATGCGCAAAATCGACAATTGTATCTGTGCGGTTAAAGAGAAAGGTGCTCTTTTGGAAGATGATATCGATAGTCTCGGAGTATCTGACACACCTGTTAGTTGGGTTATATTCGAACATACATGGAAGGTACTCACACCCTTCGACAAGTTTGCAAAAGTGGCACGAAATCAACTCTTCTCGTGTCAAATCTCCACTCGGAATTCTCATGGTAATATGACCCATAGTCCATGGGTGTGATGCAGTTCCCCACAGGGCGACGGGCAAGGGGTCCCCAGCAATGATGACTGCATGGGCAGAAATTGCGAGGCTCACTGCATAGTATCCCGACAATTCGTTTATGGGATTTTTTCCATTTGCGCTGGCTTGGTCGAACAATGTGTAGCATGCGGCTACAGAGATAGTGTTCCCAGATAAGAAGCCGGACTTCGGCGGGTAGACATTTGAATAGAGGAGATTGGGCTTGGTCGAAGGTAGATTGTTGCTTGCACCGTCTTAAAGGGGATAACCGCCATCCAAGACTAGTTGGTGAGGCTTGAGGTTTGAGGTCTTTGTTGTCGGGGAAAGGTAGAGTGAGTGGCCTAGGGCGGGGGTTTGGGGGTGAATTGACGTTTTTGAAGTCGTCATCTTGAAGTCGACTCTTCTTCACCAATGCAAGTTTCTTGCCATCGGACTCGTCACCTAGGTTTGAAGGTGCCATATCTGAACTGAAACAGAGTGAACATAAAGGTCGATAGACAGAGTTGTGCTGGATGTTATTGGCGCGAATGTTACACGCCAGCGCGCGTTTGGCAAAGTCAAGCTTGCACCACCAAAATTGAATATTCAGATCTTAGCTTGGGGGCCAAAAGTGACACAGGTCAGACAAAGCAGAAAGGACGGAAAACAAAGTTTCCAAACTAGAACAAACCAGAGTCTGTCTACTAAAGGTAAACGTATCGTGCAGGGCCGTTCAACGGCTATCTATAACCCAGTTGGTCAGAGCCTACATCGGATGACATGACCGAAAATTGTAATAACCAAAGCTAAATAGATCTCGAATATAGTAGAGCGGTAGATAGAGCCGCAGTATTGGAAATGCCCTCCATATGGTTGCTACCCATGCGCTTGTTGATGGTATCTGTGTTTCCTCGGCTTCGGTTGGCTCAATATCCTTGACAATTGATACAAGGAACAATCGAATCGTACAAGTCTTCATATCAATACTCTCAGCATATTCATATGTGTGGTATGTCAATTGCCATGTTGTGGTTTCAAGATTGTGATAAGGCCTCGGAAGCTTGCAATGAACAGCATATGCATTCGACATTTATATTCTAATGCACTAACATATAGTTTTGAGGATACAGTGTTTACAAGAAACAGGATGTTCTGGAAAACTGTCTTGAAATGCGTGAAGAAAGGAGAAAGTTATCTAGGTGTGGAGACTACTCCGTATGCTGAGAGCAAACCACAGAGATCACGTGATCTCCGGCAAGCTTGCTCCGCATTTCTTATCCCTTCTCTTGTTTCTTTCTCTTCTTGAAACTAACCGGCCCTTACATTTTTTTACAAAAATTACAGACCCTCCTTACGGAGGGTCCGCCACCCAAACGTCAGGGATCACCCAAACGTCAGATTTTTTGACACTTTTACTTTAGGCACCATTTACTAAACCATAATATAGTAAATTAATTAAATAAATAGGATATATAGATAATTTAATCAATTTACTACTGGAATATCAAGTTGTTTTTAATTATTTACTCTTTTTTTGGCCCGTCCATGCCTCCTAATTTCGATCAATACCTTCTTCCACTTCTGCCTTGTGCGATCTTAATCGGCTTTTTCACTCAATTTATACTCTTTTCTTTTGATTTCTTTGACCTAGCGAGTATTGACAATACTAGTGATTTAGATATAACGATAAGAAGTGTTATACCTAGCGTGGCGAGTACCTATAATAGCCTATATCTAATCGAATTACCGCTAGAGCTATAGTACTAAAGTAGCCTATACTTCGGCCCCCTTTACTAGCTTTATAAGCCCTTCTTTAAAGCGTAATAAATTAGGGAATATTAATTAAGATAATAGCTAATTCTCCTAACTTTCTTAGCTATTTTTAGGGTACTAAACTCGGTATATTAAGAGGTTATTAATAGGGTATTCAACCTAAATAGATTATTAGGATATAGGTTATATACTACTAATTTATCTATAATTAGCTCTAGATTAATAGGCTAAAGGCCTATTAATTTAAATCTAAGCTTAATTGTATAGGGATAAAAGGTCTTTTTTCGAATTTCTAAGATTAAATAGAGGAATTTATCCTTCGAAAACTTACGGTATCCGGATACTGTAGTAGCTTTAATAGCCTTACTATACTAGTGTTTATAGATACTAAATATACCTATATCTAAAGGCTATAGTATATAGCTAGTATATATAAGTAAAAAGAATAAAATAATATTATTCTTATCATAAAACTTAATAAATTAGCGAGTTAAATAGGACCTAAAATAATTATATAGAACTAGGTATTTCGCACTAATTATATAAGGCTTTATCTATTTATAAAATAATTAAATCTATTAGAGAGTAAGAGTATTATTTATATAGCTAGTATCTATAACTACTATATACTTATCTTCCTTAATAGTATTAAACTAGCGAAGGAGAGCTTATTTTCTACTTAGAATAATAAGTAGAGGATAGGTAAAACTATTAGCCAAAATAGCCTCTAAAATAGTGACTAATTTATAACTAGTAATAGATCTATTAAATAGCTTCCTCTTTAGCTCTTTTATAATAATAAATTAATTATAGCCGACACCGATTTAGAAGCTAGTTTTATTAAAGTTATAGATATCTTAGTGGTGAATCCTATACTCTATAACTATACGTTTATAGTTATCAAACTACCTAGAAACCACTAATTTATCGAGGGTAGTAGCTCTCTTAATATCTAAAGCCCTCCGGCGCTATATATAGTACTTAGGATAATATTTAAGAAAACGTTTTAGCCAATAGTTACCGATTTGTAGGGGGTCTATTGTGGTATCTCGGTGATTATCTTCGAGGATTAAATTAGCAGCGATCGCAATTTAACAGCGATTTATCGAGGCTCCTACTAAATCAAAGTAGTCGATATATTTATATAAAGCCTTCTCCTATTCGAAACTAAGTTTCCGACCGTTAGCTAGGCGTTAAAAGAGCGTTTTTCCACCTTTCTATCGGCGTCGGAGTCGGCTTTCTAGGACCGCGAATTCTCGTGCAGTTCTTACGATATTAGGTTTAGATTGATTGGATAGGCTGTCGATAGCCTTAGTTATCTGATCCTCGATAGATTTATTAGTTTTAGGCATGGTGGGTGGAATGGTTGATGGTGAAAGATAAAAGTGTGAATTGTCAAAAAATCTGACGTTTGGGTGATCCCTGACGTTTGGGTGGCGGACCCTCCGTAAGGAGGGTCTGTAATTTTTGTAAAAAAATATAAGGGCCGGTTATGTTGTATATTATAGTGGGGACCGCTGTCGTTGGCGCGTAGTAATACCTGTCTGCGAACCAGAGCAAAACCAGTGCAGGTTGTTAAGTAGCGGAGGATAGGGGAAGGAAACCCAGGGGTAGTTTGTAGAAGAAAGGTGGGATAGTCTTCTATTCTCTTGCTTCTAGCACTTAAATACACGTATTCCGCTCAGTCAGCTTACACCGCTATTTCTCACGTGTCCCTCTACAATATCTAAGTGATTTATGGTAGGCATAGTGCTCTCCTTCGTGGGAATATTTGTCAGCGACGACTCGCTCACATGACCGACGACCCCTCATAGCGACCGACCGTAGCTAGTAATATCATCTTGATCTTTCCCCCAAGTTATCACGCTTTCAATATTCATCAATCACTTCCTGCTTCCTCTCCACACGTAGATATTTGCATCACATCTGTATCTGGGTTCCAAATTTAACATCATCTCGGATACTGATCCGCTTGAGTCACGTAGCATACCTCTGCTGGATCATGTTTTCCACCTTCGAACAAGCTTTCAATTTCACGGCCCAGGTAGGTTACTCATTCTCATACATGATAAACTTGCAAGTAATCACTCCGATAGGCGGGAGCCTGGGCTCTCGAGAATCCCACTTTAGCTGCATGTGCGGTAGCTGGCGTTGGAGGAGTTGCTGTTGCTGCAGCTCCAGTACTAGTAACAGGCCCAGTGCTATCAGGCCTAGGATTTAACGTCGGTGGTGTCGCTACAGGTACTTACAACCACTCAGCAATAACGTCTTATTTATATGATACTCATCTACTGTGAAGTTGTGTTAACATGCTACTGAGGATAGGGTCTATCGCTGCTGGAATTCAAAGTTCTATGGGTAATGTCGCAGCTAATAGCCTTTTTGCCGTGGCACAAAGTGCAGGAGCAGGAGGTCTCGGTGGTGTGACTGCAAATATTGCTGCACAGTCATGTGGTGTGCTCACGACTATGGGAAGTGCTGGTTTGGCCTGGATAAAGCGCAACTCGACTGGTTGAGTTGTTACTGTTCGGGTGCTATACGCCTCGATGTTTGCCTCCATATCTCTCGTATGGCTACTATGATATTCCGAGGCCCACTTGGTTCTCTTTGGGACTTCTAATCTGAAACATCTTACTCGGTTTCATTGGACAGAGCTTCTAGCTTGCATAGAATAGTAGCTGGTGGATTCTGCTTCTTAGCTTTATTTCGCCAGCGTCTCTTCTCAAATTGCTCCAATATCAGGTTTACTGCCAATATTTTAAATATCAGTGTATATTTTATCCTAGAATGATATACCTGCCTAGACGAATATATTCAAAGCATATAGTACTAGCAATCAACGAAAGATAGCCCCTGCTAAACTGTCAATTTTCTCTTATTTCAAGGGAAAAGGAAAGAAATATCCCATAGTAAGTCAACCGATACTCCAATGGTATATGTTTGAACAAAGAATTGTCCTGGCGCCTTATAGATCAGGTGTTGATGGAGTATAGATTCCCCGCATCTCCACTTCGGCCCCTGCCACGAGCCTCAGCTCTTCCACCTTCAGATTTCTTGGTGTGACTCCAAAGTCATGGCTTTACCTAGAGGGAGCGTTGTACCTACTGCAGACCTTCAATCATTTACTGAATATTTAAAAGGCTCCAAACGCATTGTTGCTCTTCTCGGGGCTGGAATCTCAGCATCATCAGGCCTACCCACTTTCCGTGGCGCAGGTGGACTCTGGCGTGCGCACGATGCAACCTCCCTCGCGACTCCAGAAGCCTTCGATAGGACCCCCGGCCTCGTGTGGCAATTCTACAGTTATCGACGACACATGGCCTTGCAAGCCCACCCCAACAAAGCACACTACGCCTTGGCGGAGCTATCGCGAAGGAATGAAGATTTCATTACATTGAGCCAAAATGTTGATGGTACTAATGTCCAACAGATTTCTGGTTTGTTTTCTTGACTAACAGGTCCCTCGCGTTTCTTTCAGGCCTCTCCCAGCGAGCGAACCATCCCTCGAAGCAGTTGCATCTTCTTCACGGCACTCTGTTCAACGTAAAATGCACCAATTTCTACTGCAACTACAGCGAAGAAAACTACACAGACCCCATCGTGCCCGCCCTCGCGATCCCCCAAAAGGGTTCAGACCTTAACCCCTCTGCGACCGACAAGACTGGCGAGGAAGCATCGAAGGCGATTGCAGGAGCGCTGGAAGACACAAGCAACGAGGTCGACATATCCGATCCCAGTAATCCGATCGCCACAGTGCCAAAAGAGGACTTACCTCAATGTCCCAAATGCAAAGATGGTTTGCTCCGACCGGGAGTCGTATGGTTTGGAGAATCCCTACCGGAGAAAACACTCACAGCTGTTGATCAGTGGATCGCAGCGGGTCCAATTGATCTATGCTTGGTCATTGGCACCAGCGCAAGGGTCTGGCCAGCCGCGGGGTATGTCCATGAGGCTCGTTCGCAGGGCGCCCGAGTTGCAGTGTGCAATATGGACCCCAATGATACACCGGGTGACCTTCATTACGGTGATTGGTTCTTTCAAGGAGATGCGGGTGTTATTATCCCTGAGATACTGAAGGGCGTTATTGGTGAGATCTGAATTTGATAGCGTTGGCATAAACTGGCGATGAGCGTAATGAGGTTGGGGTTTTCATAGAAGCTAGGAGAATCTATGGTGCAATTTCAATATTTCTAGACCAATCGTGAGGATTCCGAGACACCAAAATGCCGGTGAATCTGCCGATCATTCCTCCCGAGGTTGGGTACTCCTTGTATGGACGTGATGGGCGGAAACCATTTCATAGCCCCATAATTAGCGGAACGAGCTGTGTGAGTATGCGGGGTATATAGAGCCCTGACCTTCCAAGGGGTTGACATTGAAATTTTCCCATTACCAATGCCAACTCAATTGCAAGAAATGAAGTCAGCAAGCACAGTTCCCCAGAAACGGAAGAAAGTAGAAAGTGAGGATGAAGACGAGATTGTCAAGGATGGTAGCCTGACATCTGCAGCTGAGAATTTCTTCGAAGCGCTGTGTATGTGATCTAAACTCCACAATATTATTAGAAAAGCTCAGTTCGAAAGGCTAACCATGCTCACAGCTGAGGCCGGCATCACCCATTGCTTCGTCAACCTGTGAGTCCCTATAATCACCATCATTGTGATGTGTTTTGACCCGTTCGATAGGGGCAGCGACCATCCCGCGATGTTGGAAGCAATGATCAAGGCCAAGCAAGGTGAGCACCAGAGATATTATCCCATAACACCAGGGCTAAGCTGTGGCAGAAAACAAAACCAATTTCCCAAATATCATCACCTGTCCTTCTGAGCTAGTTGCGCTTTCAGCTGCACTGGGATATGCTCAAGCTACAGGAGTTCCGGTAGGTGACTATGTCTATCGTGTCAATCGATTTGGCTAACTCCTCATTAGCAATGTGTAATTGTGCACGTTGACTGCGGCACTCTCGCTATGGGTCAGTCCATACATAATGCCTCCGTTAGCAGAGTTCCTGTCCTGTGTTTTGCGGGCTTGAGTCCTTTTACCCAGAATGGTGAACTGTTGGGTTCCAGAACAGAGTCAGCAAGCTCCAAATGGAATACTTACATGGAGCCTACTGACAATCTAACAGGTTCATCCATTGGCTGCAAGACGTACCCGACCAAGCAGCAATTGTTCGACAGTACTGCAGATATACAGGTGAAATAAAGACTGGGCGCAATATCAAGCAAATGGTCTCGCGAGCTTTGCAATTTGCTACATCCGACCCCAAAGGCCCGGTATATCTAATGGCTGCGAGAGAGGTACTTGAGGAAGTAAGTACCCAGTCTTCGAACAACAAGAACAACAACTAAAATAACCACTAACCAAATATGTTATGTAGCGCGTGGGAAAAGAATGCGTAGATGGGGATATTCTCAGTTCAGTCACTCCAAGCGCTTTGCCAGAGCAAGGTAGGGTGGTATTTATCCAACCTAGAACTTCACCCTACTAACATCAATAGATGTGGAATTGATTGCCAAGTCGCTCCTGAGCGCAAAACGACCACTTGTCATCACAGGTTATCTTGGTCGAGACCGCAATGCACCAGCCCTCTTAGCTGAGCTTTGTGACAAACTTCCAATCACTGTCGTGGAGATGGTCGGCTCTGATGTTTCCCTGCGGAGTGACCATGAAGCATATCGCGGCGTTACCGTTACTACTCATCCAGAAGTTCTTGAAGCCGACGTTATTCTTATTCTCGATTGTGATGTGCCTTGGATTCCTACTGCTGGCAAGCCTCGGAGCGGTAAGAGTACTCAGCTAAGAATCTTTCAATTTTTTTCTGACAGGCATTGTAGGCACCAAGATATTCCATCTAGATGTTGATCCGTTGAAGCAACAGATGCCACGTACGTTCACCGATTGACTATAGGGCTGCCTGCTGAAGTCTTCTTGCTAATATTATTTGTACCAGTATTTTCAATCAACGCCACTCGTAAACTCAAGGTCGGCTGTGGAATTGCGCTTGGGCAAATCAATGCTTTCTTGGATAAACAAGATATCGATCGGGCCATGTATACCCTGGAGTTTGAGGAGCGGTCAAAGAACTACAAAACCTGGAGGGAAAACTTGAAATCACTTGAGTCACCATCTTCCGATGGTGTTGTCAGTGTGCCGTACCTCGCATCAAGGCTGCGTGATTCTCTCCCCGAAGACACTGTCTATGTTTTGGAGGCTGTAACCAATGCAGGAAATCTCATTCATCATTTGAACTTGACCAAGGTATGTGCTCATGCTAAGCTGCAGACCCGATGCTGATTGAATTATAGCCAGGAAGCCTAATTGCCAGCGGCGCAGGTGGCCTGGGATGGGGAGGTGGTGCAGCACTAGGCGTGAAGCTAGGCAAGCCCGGTTCTTTTATATGTGCGATGTAAGTGCTCACAAGCGTGCGAAATGTCCATGATATCTAATGTACGCCCAGTGTCGGTGACGGAGTTTATCTGTTCTCTCAGATGGAGAGTGTCTATTGGATTGCTAGACGTTACGATATCCCGTTCCTTCTCATTGTATTAAACAATGGCGGATGGAACGCACCAAAGGTGTCTGCACTTCTGGTCCACAAAGACGGGTTATCGTCGAAGTCAAACAGACGAGGTCAGCTAGATCTGAGGTAAATTCTTTTGGGCACAGTGGCTGATTAAGTGTAGATCTCAATATCTCGTTTGATCCTTCTCCCGATTATCCAGGAATCGCCGCCGCAGCTGGTAAGGCGTGGGGTGCGACAGTCACTTCGCAAAGTGAGCTTGATCCTGCCATCAAAGAGGCAACCGATATTGTTCAGGGTGGGAGATGTGCTGTGATCGAGGTTTCGTAAGTAATATTAGTGGCTTCTAACTGGCCACCGGCTAACATTTATCTATATAGTGTTCCGTCCATGTGGAAAGATAACTGAGAATAAAAGGGTGCATTCACTTCCTGCCCCCCCCCTCTTTCGCTTTGCCATTCTTCCAGCAAAGACATAGAAACAAGAAGATATCTTTTCTTGTTCTTTCACAATCTTTTTCCTAGTATTTAGTCCAATTTAGTCCACAGGTATGAGCCGATTAGATAGGTACTCGATCTCATGACAAAAGAGGAGGCCTTTCGGACTCCGTCCGCGGAAGGTCCGAAGGAACAATGACCCTGGCGCCCAACTATGTATGAAACTATCTATGCGTAGCTTCTGAGCCAAGCTTCGTAGAGGCACAAACGCCTAACGCGCTATTGGATTAGAGGTTTCCTCGGATTTACTGTAGCCGTAGGCTAGATATGGTCAAGGGTGAGGTTCAGTCTATATGCGTTATTAATCGCTAGTGATCCTCCGACAATAAGGATACGCTAGCATTATAGGCGATAGCCCCGACTAGAGTCGCACGTTAAGCAAACGCCCATGGTGTAAGAAGCCGACCGATCCACAGCGTATTTTGCCGAAACGCAATCCTATCGAGGGTTGTCTTGCACCCTCTGGACAATGAGCGGAACGTCAGAGCGCTAGTAGCGATTTTCAGCCTATTTGTTAAGCACGACAGCACAGACTGAAAATGCCCCTGCTGTAAATGACGATCGTGGGCTTTCGAGGTCTACTCAAGTGCCGCGAGCTCTTCTTCCATATGATAACCTCGATCAAAGACACAGAGAATCTAGGCGGGAATTGGGTCATGGCGGTCAGTGGAAATTTGATAGTGGCCCGCATGTCCAGGCCAGTTGGAATGTGATAAAGATGATATTAGGGCTGTGATGTATCGTGCATGATTCGGGTATCTGCCTCAACAGTTTTTATATAGTGTGATCTGTCTCTCGACACGTAGTGTTCCGAAGAAACATCCAGATAGTGACATACGAGGTGTCAAGGTACTTTATGAGAATACAAGTCGATTTTCATGGACGAGAGGTATGGATTGCTGGGACTAGAAGGGCCATTTCACATGTATTTATTCCTTTCTGCCTGAGGCATCAGCCGTTGCCAGGCCGACCGCAAACACAACGATAACCTTTTGATCGATAACGACCCTTTTCTTTGATGTTTGCAAACCCCCACCATCGACAAAACACCCCAGGGCTTCACATTCAAGGCATGACCTAGAGGTTAGTATCTCCTATCGAATTCGCCCGAGTGAAAGAAATAGATTTTGAAATATTCCGCCTCCAAACCCCAAAGTTGTAGAGCCCACACAACTAACGCCAAATTCCAGTGGCCTGAGATTGCTCTTCGCGTTTAATTGATGCCCAAAGATCGGATCATTCCCAACTTGGTCATTCGGCGAATTCAAAAAACCAGCCTATTCACCCATTTGACAAGATATCGCCCAAACCACATCACTCGTTAAACCAAGATGGCTAGAGAAAGCAACGCTCCATTGGAGCCCCTCACTCCAGGGGCAAAGCCAACCAGCCAGTCTCACACCGCGCATATCCAGGGACCTGAATTTGGCAAACCCTCGCCGATCGGTCATCCACAACACAGATCAAACCACCTTTTCAACATTCCGAAGCCGAATCAATCTCGTGCCGAACATCATCGACCTGCCCCTCGACCGCAGCCGCAACCCCAACCACAATCGCGCCACCATGGTCAGTCCAGTGCTACGCCTCACGCTTATCGTCCATCAGGCACATCGGCTGCCCCAGTCGCTACGCCGATGACGAAGCGCAGCGAGCCATGGGATCCATTCAAGCCGGTGGCACCGTCGGCCTACAACAATCCTCGCGGAGGATTGCATCATGGTGCAGTCAGTATAAAGCGTCCTGAAAATGTCACCTGGACAACTCCTCGGGCTCCTAGGCCTATCTATCAATCCAAACCTGTTCCACCGAGGGCAGGGGCATCGAAGAACATACAGAAATTCATCGACCTCACACGCGATGACACTGACCCTGTTCCAAGGGCATCGGCCTATGCAACGCCGAGCTTCGGAGCCATGGATATGAATGGGTATGTGGACACGGCGATGGCAAACGAGAACATCAAAGCACTGCTTGAAGGAGCATTCGAGGACGATGAGGACAAAACTGAGCCGAAGCGTAAAGGCAAGAAGAAGAAGGGTGGGAAAAAGAAGTCCAAGAAGTCATTAGACAAGAAGAAAGATGAAATCGTCGTGGACAAGAAGAAGGAGCAGGCAATTGACGACCTTGATGATCTTGCGGCTCAACTGCAAGGTGTCACGGTCAACGATCCGAAGCATGATGATGCCAAGTCTGAACACGATTCGTCTGCCAAGGTTGAGCAAGACGATGAAGTTGACAAGCAAGATAAAGACAACGAGCCAGCAGAGGAGGAAGAAGAAGAGGAGGAGGAGGAGGATTCCGACGATGAAGATGAAGGAGTTGTCGAAGGCTTAAAAGTGACCCTCCTCCCCCATCAAATTGAAGGTGTGAGATGGATGTGTGATAAAGAGACCGGGCGAAAGACTTCAAAAGGAATTTTCCCCAAAGGTGGAATCCTTGCAGATGACATGGGTTTGGGCAAAACAGTTCAAACAATTGCTTTACTGCTTAAAAACCCCAAATCCGACCACGAACAGAGCGACAATACCGAATCTGAGGGCAAGACGACCAAGCTGCCCCCAAACTGCATTTCCTCCACTTTGGTAATTGCGCCCCTTGCTCTCATTAAGCAGTGGGAGGCAGAAATCAAGGACAAAGTTGAGCCGTCTCACAAGCTGCGGGTTTGCCTCTATCACGGTACAACACGCGCGAAGACTGCGACGACATTGGACAAATACGATGTTGTGATCACAACATATGGAACTCTTACCTCCGAGTTCAACTCTTCTGCATCAGACAAGGCCAAAAAGTCGGGCATTTTCGCTGTTCATTGGTATCGTATCATCCTTGACGAAGCGCATACAATCAAGAATCGTAACGCCAAAGCCACACAGTCAGCGTATGCATTAGATGCCCAATACCGCTGGTGCTTGACTGGAACGCCGTTACAAAACAACCTGGATGAGTTGCAGAGTCTGATCAAATTCCTTCGGGTGAAGCCCTATGATGACCTGGCTGCATGGAGAGATCAGATCAGTCGGCCTCTGAACAATGGCCGTGGAGGCCTGGCTATTCAGCGACTGCAGGTCTATCTTAAGGCGTTTATGAAACGGCGCACGAAGGATGTCCTCAGATTGAACGACACTGCGGAGCCTGGCGAAGAAGGACCAGACGGCAAGCCAAAGAAGTCCTCGAATGGATTCCATATCACCAAGCGTGAGGTCATCAAGGTCGACCCCGAATTCATGCCTGGGGAGCTGAACTTCTACAAACGTTTGGAACAGAGAACTGAAAATAGTCTTGAGAAAATGATGGGCGGTGCTAAGGTTGATTACGCTGGGGCTTTGGTCCTGCTGTTGCGTCTTCGACAGGCATGTAACCACCCAGACTTGGTCAAGGGTGATTTAGCCAAAGACAAGGATATCCTTCTACAAAATGGCAGTACAAACAGCCAGTCCACACAGTCAAAGCCGGATGACCTCGACAGCATGGCTGATCTTTTTGGAGCAATGAGCGTTGTTGCGAAGAAATGCGATGTTTGTCAAACAGACCTGAGCTCAGGCGAAATCAAGGCCGGTAGCAGTCGATGTGCTGAATGTGAAGCCGATTTGAATACCAATGTTATCGGGACAGATAGAAAAAAGAAAAAGAAGTCAAAGAGCAGCCACAAGGAGCGTGATATCCTCGACTCCCCGACAGCCCGCAAATCCGATGCACCGCTTGCTCGTTCCCGCAAAAACCGACGAGTCATTATTGACAGTGACGACGAAGATGAAGAAGAAGGCGATTGGGTTGTACCTGAAGACCAGCGCAAGGTTGGCCTCGGGAAAGCAGGTGGTTCGGACGATGAAAATGCTGAAGGAGGTGGTGAATGGCTCATTTCAGACGATGAAACCGATGATGAGGTCGAAATTGAATCGCCCTCCAGAAGGAAGAGCAAGCCCATCATTCTGAGCGATTCCGAGGATGAAAGCGATTCCGAAGCGGAGGACATCTACAACGATGAAGGAGAAAATGGAGAGCTTCCATCCACCAAGATCCGCCATCTCATGCGGATTCTCAATCGCGAGGCACCGGATTTCAAGTTCATTGTCTTCTCCGTCTTTACATCCATGCTTGATAAGGTCGAGCCTTTCTTGAAGAGTGCGAATATTGGATTCGCTCGCTACGATGGTGGAATGGCAAATAATCACCGCGAGGCCAGTCTCGAAAAGCTTCGTAACAACAGTGGCACACGTGTGTTGCTCTGCAGCCTGCGTGCCGGTGCACTCGGCCTTAATTTGACAGCTGCGAGCCGCGTTGTCATCTTGGAGCCCTTCTGGAATCCTGTACGTTGCAATCGTCTATATTTTATTATGCATTACGCTAACTATGAAGCTAGTTCGTGGAAGAGCAAGCCATCGATCGTGTCCATCGCCTGAACCAAACTGTTGACGTGAAAATCTACAGGATGGTCATCAAGGGTACCGTCGAGGAGCGCATCGTTGCCCTGCAAGACCGCAAGCGCGAACTAGCTAATGCCACTATCGAGGGCAAGGCGGGCGCTGGCAAGCTAACCGTGCGCGACATGATGGCGCTCTTTGGTCGGGATGCGGAATCCAAATTCACAGATAATCAGACAGCCTTGGACTTTAACCAGCCCGCTCGGCTGCTGAATGCCGGGGATGAGACTGGATCTGCTCCTTCTTCTTCTCGGGAGTCATCACAATCCGCCCCGCGCAGCCAGAGAAGCGAGGTCCAGTCTAACCGGCCGCGACATGAGCATTCGGTTTATGGCCGGCGCTGGTAATCAGCATGATACCTTTCGACGAAATTACGAACTTATACTCGGCGAGGACTTTGGGGGAGTCTCGGTTGGCGTCGGGAACTTGTTTGAAATCTTTCAGCTAGATTTATCCTATTTCTTGTTTTATATTATTCTTTATTGGGTCTTGTCGTATATCTCTAGGTCGAAAATCGCGTCTCCATATCCTCCGCTCCCTATACTCGGCCTAGTGTTCTTCCAGGCCGAGGATTAATGGAACCTTGGTCGTGTCATGACTGGCCTCACGCCTCCCATTTATCCGGAAACAACGCCCACGAGTCATATTCCCGTCCAGCTCTAGATATGGCAATTTTACAACGGGGCTCGGCATTGTGGTCCGATTGGAATACCTGCGATCCCGGATGATAACTGCTGTCGCTACGAGTGAGGGCATCTCGAGTACCATTGCAATGGTGCGATATATATCTTTATTTGACATGCATGGAAGAATTCGATCTCCATGGTCTATTCCGATCCATTCCCACATCATCTTGATACTTGATATCGAAGGACAGAAGCTCATCAAGAATCCAGTTGCCAAATCCAAGCTCTTTTCAATGTCGCCATTCAACGCGTTTGTCATACACACACACTACCTAGCTGAGCACACTGTTCGTCTTTTGTGGAACGCGTGGGGTTTTAGCCATTCAAGCTGAGCTGATCCTTGATGGGCAAGAACAGGTACCTCCATGTTAGGTTCTATGGTTCTCGTCCGGGCTCACCGAGTATCGCCTTCGTGCGCTTCAACTTGATTGCCGGTAATAGCGATTGGATAGTACTGGAAGCACATGGAATTAACCAGCTCGTCAAAGCTCTCAAGTTTTGAGAGTGGACGAGGCTTAGCGCAAAGATTCTCACTCCTAAGAGGCATCGGGGATAGTTTCAAGCCATGGCCATCCGACTGATCAGACCATTTGCCGAAGCTCATACCATGGATCTCCGAGTCTGGTCCAAAGGATTGCGAGTGATTTTCTCATGGTAGTCTCCGGCGAACCGGACAAGGGAACCGAGGGCATGGTCCCAGGGAGGAAGCTTGTTTCCGGTGGCTGCTCTTTTGATAGGTTGAAAGCTCAGGAGAAAACATGAGCTGGGGAAGAAACCTCCTTGGTAACCCTGGTTGATATATGCCATTTCGTGGAGATCTTTCAATCATACACTACATATACCCTTCAACTTTGTTTGATCTCCTTCCAATGCTCTGTGTGCTGCTCAAATTACACTAGTTACACAATGACTCGGATGTTGCTAGGCAATTATTAACTGCGTGGATACATCGCTACCTCTCCGTGACCAGCTTCTTGTCAAACTCGGTGTTTGAATGAGAATTAACGCTGTTAATCTCCTTGATTAAGACCACTCTCGATAGCTCTTTCTACCGAGGATTGAAGACTGAAATATGCCTTCGCCATCCGACATTAAAGACAACGGCGATTGGACGGTCATTTACGATGACCCGAACGACGATGACCAAAATGACAAGAAGGAAGAAAAGCCTTCTGGAAGGAGGCAATCTCTCGCACGAACGTTATACATATCAAATACCATGTGCATCATGTCCGACGACAAGACTGAGATATCAACGGTAGCCGAACTGCTATCCCCGAAGTTGAAACTACCTCAACTGGGAACTGACTCGGCGGAAAGAGTGTTCCCAGTCCGCTCAGTCGTCTCGTTCGATTCGACGCCTTCATCTGCTCTGCAAACACCTTCCCTCGATAAGCTCGAAACATCGATATCCCCATTTTCAGACACATGGAGTGCAGGGATCACCAATGAACAAGCGGACCGTCAGCAGAAGAATCAGAGTCCCTCGGGGAGGAGCGTGAATTCTGAAAATGGTGTCTCGAATAGGCCTGACTATCTGACTCGACTGCATCAAAAGAGCGGCGGTGGGAGGGAGACTTATCAAGGACAATCTCACGCCAGCGACAATCTCGACATTTTGGCACAATTGAAGAGTACAGTGCAGAATGGTGGCGAGATCCTTGACTTCCACAGAACCACAAAGGGGATATCCTTCTCGCACGAGGATGAAGAGGACATTTTCATTCAGTCATTCGGTGCACTCATCGTGTTGACGGAGTCCAATGGCAACTTCGAAGTGCAGATAGTGAGCGACAACTCGGAAGAAATCATTGGGCATTCTCCTGGCAAACTCTTTGAGCTTCAAACGTTTTTGGATATATTGCCATCCTCGCAACATAGCAACTTCCTTTCTCATATTCAATTCGTCTTGAGTGATGCCTACTCTGTCGAGGATTCTGGGCCCGAGGTTTTCTTCCTCTCCGTCTTATTATCGGACGGCTTTACCCAGGGTACTTGGTGCACCGTGCATACGAGCACAATATATAAGAACTATGTGATCTGCGAGCTCCAGCCAGAGGGTCGCAGGACAATGGATCACCCCAATTTTGAGAATCACGAGAGTCAAACGACCGCAATAGATAGTCGGAACTTGGACGTCACTTCTGGGGCATTCTTCGAGGATATCAGTTCTCCTGGAAACCATGTCGACGCGAATAACAGACCTGTGCCAGACTCATCGGAGCTTCTCAATAGCATTCCTCGAATACTCCAGCGACTTGCAAATGCCCAAACACTGGAGGCACTCGTTCAGCATACTATCAACACTTTGAAAAGTCTTGTTCAATTTGATAGAACGACCATGTATCATTTTGACAGTGATCGCAACGGAATCGTGGTGGCTGATGCAGTGAATACTTCGTCAGGGTTAACTTCGTTCGAAGGCATGCATTTCCCAGAATCAACATTCCCCGAAGGATTGAAGAAGTTATACACACGGAGTACTATATGCTCCTCTTCTGCTGGAAGTCGGGGCATTTCAAAGCTTGTGTATCGAGCTTCCACCAACAAAAGGGCCCTCGACATGTCAAACACGTATCTCTCTGCAGCACCCGCGTTCTCAACACCGAACACCAACAATCCTATCGAGACATGCTTGTCAATTCAAATCAATGTTTTTGGCAAGCTTTGGGGTCTTATATCATGTCAGTCCTGTGACAACAGCCAAAGACTTCATCCCCTTATCCAGAAAGTTTGTTGGTTTGTAGCCACGGCGGTTTCAAGTAACATTGAGCGTCTGTCCTACACTTTGCCGTTTCAGCTCCGAGAATCGAACATTTCCCCGAGTAAATTGAGCACACCCCAGGCCATCAAGACTCCACCCGGCGATCTTCTCAGTCTTTTTGGGGCGGATTACGCCGCAGCGTCAATCATGGGGGAGGCTAAGATCTTAGGAAAGCCAGTTGACTCGCAGGAAGTTTTGGCTTTGTTTGAATACATGAAAGCCAAGGAGAACGACACTGTGTTTTGGTCTGGAGATATCGGTGCCGATTTTCAGGACCTCAACTACTCGCGTGGCTTTCATCATCTTTCTGGTTTGCTGTATGTTCCTCTTTCAGTGGACGGTCGTGAGTTTATAATCTTCTTTCGGGCCGGTTTGGAAAGCAACAGCCTCGCATCTGGTTTAGACAGATCGAGTCGACAGCATGAGTGGTCATCAGCAGATTTTGGAAAGGCGTCTGTTCTGTCTTTGCTATATCGCACTTTTACCGATATATGGCAAGAGAAGGAGGCGACAATGCAAAACAACCAGTTGATGAGGCTTTTACTCGCCAATTCTGCACATGAGTTTAGAACACCCCTCAATGCCATCATCAACTATCTGGAAATTGTTCTTGATGGATCTCTGGATCACGAAACACGAGATCACATTTCTAGATCTCACTCGGCTTCCAAGTCGTTGGTATACATCATCAATGACCTTCTGGACCTAACAAATGCTGAGAATGGACAACGGCTTATAAAGGATGAGGTGTTCGATCTCTCGGAGACCCTCACGGAAGCAACAGACCTATTTTGGGAAGAGGCAAGACAGAAACATGTCGATCTGCAGGTAGTCCAACATGCAGCCTTACCTCCCGTCCTCGGAGATCAACGACGGGTGCGCCAGGTGATCACAAACTTGATAAGCAATGCTATTCAGCACACATCCACTGGGGCAGTAACAATCGAGTCTTGCGTCGTACCAGAGGTCCTAGAGCCAGATCATATTTGCGTCGAAGTGGCAATACACGATACCGGGTCTGGGATGTCCCAGGAGACTGTCGAAACATTGTTCTGTGAGTTGGAACAAGTGTCCAACAAGGGATATATGCAGAATCCAAAGTCATATGATGGCAATGCAAGTGGCAATGTGTTTGAGACTGACAGTGTTCTTGGCCTTGGCCTCGCACTGGTAGCCCGAATTGTGCGCAATATGAACGGGCAGCTGAGCTTGAAGTCAGAGGAAGGCCAGGGAAGTTGCTTCAAGATCAGGCTTGCATTTCCTCTTCCGGATGAAGATAGTAGCCAAAAGCAGACCTCTCATGCTATGTCAAATGAATATCCGCCGGAAGATGAAAGAAAACAACACACAAAGCAAAACGCTTCATCCTCGCGCTGCATAACAAATCATAAAGGTGGTAGTATTCCATGCGAATGTGGTCAAAACTCAGAATTTGGATCAGGGGAATCCATCGTGAACGTTGATGTCAACTTGAAAACAGGCGAATCAAGGAACCTCTCACTTTCTGGCCAACAGCTCGACCAGAGCAACCAGCCAGATAGGCCATCCACTATCTTCCCAATTCAAGATCCCAAGCAATTATCAGAAGCACGCACATATCCGATCAAACAAACCTCCTCTGGCTCACCAACCACAAGATCCCAAACCAGCCAGCCCCAAACTCGCCAACCAAGCACCTCTACCACAATGGACTGGAATCTTCACGTCCTCATCGCAGAAGATGACCCAATCAACAGCAGGATTGTCCAAAAGCGCCTCGAGAAATTTGGCTACACAGTCCACATGACAAGCAACGGCAAGGAATGCGCCGCCGCCTACAAAGCGAATCCCACTCGATTTGACGCGGTGTTGATGGATCTACAAGTACGTACACGAAACAATCAAACATTTCCTAACTCAATGTATGTATATACTAAAGCTCGGACCTCCATCCGCAGATGCCTATTGTCGACGGCCTCGGTGCAACACAGATGATACGCGAATACGAGCAGCAAGAGCTGGCTAATGAGACCACGCCTGCACCTCGCATTCCCATTTTCGCTGTCTCTGCTTCCTTGCTGGAGGAGAACCGGCAGATGTATATGGATTCGGGATTTGATGGGTGGGTTTTGAAGCCAATTGATTTCCAGAGAGTGGATCGATTGCTCGGGGGTGTTAGGCTTCAGTGGGTGCGGGAGGAGATTGTCTATCGGCCTGGTGTGTGGGAGGCCGGAGGGTGGTTTGAGGCATAAGAGGGATGATATGCTATCGAATTTGAGGCGGAGGGTGTTTTGACTTCGGTAGATATCCAATATCCAGATCGGGGCATTGAGATCAATATGCAAGAAAGAAATCTAGTCTTTATCCATGGTATCTATGCAAACAAAAATATGAAACGCAAAATGCAACATGTAGTAAATGCAGTAAAATTAGATCAGAAACTTTCCGCTGCATCGGAAAAGTCGGGCACTGTATCTCCGCACTTGAACGAAGGGCTATATGCCTTGCTAGGCATATATCCATTCTTCCATGCAGTCCGGTAGCTCCACTGGGCAGCTGACTCTGTCCGCCAGGTCCAGTAGAACCATCCCATCGCCGTTTCGAATGCAGACATCTGTGCCTCGGCATAGGTCTGTAGGTACTTCTTGTAGGTGGGCGAATAATCGGATGGGTCTTGGTTTGCATCTGCGCAGCTGCAGGTTCCTTTGTCCGCTGTTGGGCAATATGCCTTTGTGGAACTGGTATCGTAGGTCCCTTCCCATCGGGCACCTCGGCCGACGTTGTTCACATATTGTGCACAGTCGGTGTCGGCCTGTGACCATTCACCACAAATGGTTGGTCCCCACCTGAGTGTATGTTAGCATATGAGATTACCAAGAAACAACGAGCCCAGCTTACCCAGAAGTTGTCGTGTTGATCTCCTTGATCATGGGATACCAACTATTGCAGATGACATCGAGCTTGGCGGTGTGGTTCAAGACGATCTCACCCGTGTTGAAGGTGGTGTATTGGTGTGTGTCAAGGTACATGTCATCTGGGTGAGATTGGAACATGGTATCCCACTTGGCGAGATTCAGAAACCCATCATGCAGGACAAGGGTGGCAGTGACACCGTTCTTGCGGACGAGTTCTGCGGCCTCCTTGGTCCAATCGAGGACCTTTTCAACAGGCAGCTTCAGCATCAACGGCTCGTTCGCCAGACCGTAGATTGTCACCACGTTCTTATACCGATCTTGGGCAAAGAACTTCGAGAGTTGGTCGTGAATCTCAAGTGACCGCTTACGGTTGAGATCACCGTCTGAGCCTTCCAACCAGTTGACGCTTCCCTGTCGGCCGCTGTGGTTCCAGCCGTTCTGACTGCCGGGGAGTCCGTGGAGGTCGAGTTTGATCCGCAGTCCATACTTGCGGCACCACTCAATTGCACGCAGTAGATAACGCCACGCAATCTTGGGGACGTAGGGGTCTCCGTCGTAGGTGGTCACAGCCCAATAGGAGTATGGGATACGGACATGATCAAGGCCGGCTTCTGCGATTTCCTTCAGATCTGACTCTGAAACGAATTCGGCATAATGTTTCTCTATCGTGCCTGCCGCTGAGTTCCCTAACTTTTTAGTCAAGGTATACTCATCGATGATACCAGCGCTGGATGGCCACTTGCTGAAAAAGGACGGGGTAATAAACGGTTCGATAGAAAGCCATCCGCCTAGATTGACTCCGCGGATCGGTTGTGACCCGTAAGGGAACGGCTTATTTAGAGGAGGCACTTTGTCGTTTGGCCGGGCAGAGTCATCCCACTTCGAGTCGATACCCATGACGGAAAGACCACCCACGGTGGCATTTGTGAAAGTGAGGTTGAACCCATCGGTCTCGTACCATATAAATGGGTCCAAGACGGTGCCCTTGGCGTAACTCTGAGGTACTGTCGTCAGCAAATGCCATGAATATGGTTGACTCAAAATTTACCGGGATGCTGTCGCGGCTGATACTGCCCAAATTAGAGGTGGGAGAACTGCTATCACCGGACTCCGAGGAACTCGAATCTGAATCTGACCCTTTCTTTTTGGACACAACAAGTGCAACCGGTATGATGATGGCAAGCAAGAGGATCACCGCCAGCAGGCATCCAACCAAAATACGCTTCTTTCTCGACCAATTAGACCAGAACTTCCAAGCCGGTGGTCCACGGCTCTCCAAGCTACCCTCCCAGCTGTCTTCATCTTTCCAATGATCATGCACAGCAGGTCCACCGCCACGACGACGAACCCGAGCATCAGAGCTATGCCCTTCTTCCAAATGGGCACCAGACACAACTCGCGCACCCGCTTTATGGCGTGAGCGACCCTGCGCAATTTCAGCACCAAGCGCAGCACCGGCAGCTTCGTCTAACGCAGCTCTTTTCCGCTGCCGTCGGGCTTCCCTTTCCCGGCGCGTCTCATCTGCTCCGCGGGACCGCTCCATGCGATCCGCCTCCTCGTGCTCAGCAGCAAGACGCGCCATAGCATCCACACTCAAGAGATGCGCGGCGCTACTCGAAGATTCAGTGCTGCGATGCTTCCTCGCCGGCGACGCAGCAGCATCGTATTCCCGCTGCCGTTCCCGTTCTCTTTCCCGCTCGCGCTCGCGCCGTCTCTGTCGACGCGCTTCAGCCTCAGCATCAACATCGTAATCTCTCCGTCTTTCTCTAACAGGACTGGCACTTGGACTCTCTTCTCTGAGGTAGCGTCTCTCACGATCCCGCCGTTTAGTAGGCGACGCAGCAGGTGAGTCCTTCGCCCTAGAATTTCCCCTCTCTCGTTCCCGCTCCCGATCCCGTCTCCTCCCCTCCCCAGGCTCCCCATAAGCAAGACCAGCCGCTTCATCCTCTTCCTCCCTCCGTCTGCGCCTCCGTTCCCTGCGCCGCTCACGCTCCTCGTCGTAATCATCACGTTCATTATATGAGTTTGACTCGTACCCTGGTTCCCCACGAAAGCGATATTTCGCGGTGCGCGCGTTTCCAGGGCTGGATGTGGCGCCTTCGTCGTCTTCGTAGCGGCCGCGGATATACTCGCGGTCCCGGTCTCGGTCTCGGCGGCGCGAGCGCTCTTGCTCGCGTGTTCGGTCGCGATCCCGATCCCGATCCCGGTCACGGTCACGGTCCCGTCTGTCTCGGGATTGGCTTGGCATGCCAGATGGGTGGGGGGTTTTGGTGTGGAATGCGCTGATCGGTGGGATACAATGTGGAATTGTTGATTGCGCCTGTGGATGATTGGTGGGTTGTTATTAGATGGGAAGGGAAGAAGGAATGGAAGATGAGTCGAGGTTGGGTTTGATAACACGTGGGATTTGGAAAGTCCAGGCTGTCTTGGAATTCTTGGAATCTATATCGGGTCGGTCTAAGGGATTTTGTATGGCTTTGTTTTGCTTTTTCCCCACACAGAAGATCCTGCCAAGATTTTGTTAATGCCAATGTGTAATGTTGGGTTTGTAGGGTTAGAGGGTTACCTTAAATCCCTTTGTACATAATATTCTATATATGGACTATACTCCGTCGAGTTCACGTGTTACCGTGCAGCATACGTACACGATCCATAGGTGTGCATGGTTGCGGAGCAACGGATATATAAGGATAGAAAGGTACGCGCATACACACAACAATAGATATACAACTGTTTGGATTGCAGCACCAAAGAGTCAAATTCATTTTGTATATTGATATGGAAATGACATTAGATACACCTATTCCAGTCCACATGGACATGCAAGCTCCGGTCCATTCTATCCAAAATATAAAGGTTCATATCAACGAGTCAGGGTATGCAAACTCCAAAGGACAATACAAGGTGAAAGACATCATTGCCAATAAAAAGTGACAAAAGTGAACAAAAGCTACCGAAAAGACTGGTAAAAAAAAAATCAAAGCACGGTGTCTGCCATGAGTATCTGTACAGTTGTGAGGGGGGAAGATGGGGACATGGTGCGAAAACATGATATGTAGAGATGATAAAAGATGAAATAAATGAATTCTCGCTGTGTCCGGGGAATCTAATAGAATGAAAGGGAGATGGTGCCACGAGCACTGCATCTCTTGCTGCAGAGATCAACGCAGAGAAATGCAATCAGACAGGGTCAACAAGGCCGTCTCCCTCCGGCCACCCCAATGGAGCGGAAACCGGAACGTGTCAAAGTAGTGGCGACCCAGCCAAGGAGTGAGAGCATTGAATCATCGACTTCCTTGGGTGCTAAAATGGGTAGCACTGGTCTCGGGGTTACGATTTCAAACTCAAGTGTGAGTAGAAACCACATAGGTTGGTATGATAGCCCATATCGTGCGGGTATATTGTCAGCGACAACGCCACCCGTATGAGCGCCAATTGGATTTTCATCAAAGGCGAGCCTTTCAGCTAATGATCTGCCTGGCTCCCTCTTTGCCCAGAACACCTGGCTCAGTCGGCTTGGGACTGCGGTCGCGGCCCTTCTTTCGACTGAAGAATGATAGCATGCCATTGGCTTGTTTGCCCTTGTCATCACCATTTTCCATTCCGTCAGCGGGAAGGGCGTTATGGGCCAGCTCACTCCAGCTACCATGTTCGTTCAGAACCATTTGTACGCCTCCACTTTTGCTCATTTGACGGGTGGCACCGCGGTGTCGACTGTTGTGGTTGGGGGTAGGGGTCGGTGGAAAGACGGGGCAGGCGGCGGTGAAGGGGACACGCGGGTTGATGGGGAAGATGGAGCCTGACCAGTTGTGGGGTCATTGGGGTCGATTGTCTCGCTGAGTGTGGTCATGGTTTCACTTGGTGGAGCACGGTATTGCGAGCCGTCAGCTTGGATAGGAGATGTATTTTTAGACGGGTCGGGCTGTGAGAATTGACGAGCATGTACGGTTGGGTTCGCTGGTGTTGTGATGTTCCCTTGAGTTGTGGTGGCCATTGGGAAGCACTCCTCAGGATTTCTGGAAGACGCTGTTAGCACAGAAGGACAGTTTTCTGCATGGTGAGAGAAACCCACATTACAGCAGCAATAGCTTCAGCGGCATTGCCTTGGTAGCTGGTTTGGGTGTAGTCAAACGGTTCAAACATTGTTTCAATGAGGCGATGAAGCTCATCATCTCGAATTTCTTTTGCGGTGGCATCATCCCTTAGTTCAGCGCGCGGCTTTTGCCGGCGCGCTCTGGCTTCCAAGGGCGCTTCTTCAAGAAGCAGTTCCTCCAGATCATAGGTCGCGTCGAAGTTGGTTTTGTCGCTTGATGGGACGAATACTGGCGGGATCTGTTTGCGCTCCAGCGCGTTGAAGTCGATTTCGTTGAAGAACATGTGTGAGGTATAGCTCTCAAAGCTGATAGCGCCAATTCGTTGACTCCGATCCTTTTGCATCAATGATCCCAACGCCCGCAAACAAGCTACTGATACGGCAGGGTTGGTGACGTAGTATTTTGGCTGCGCCTTTTTGATGTTCTCGCTCAGTGTTTCTTGGCTTCGGCCCTCAAATGGTCGCTGCACTGGAAGTTAGAAGGAGGCGCTAGACAAGGAACCGACCTCTCGTACCTTATTGTAAATGCACTCATAAAAAGTGACACCTAATGACCACCAATCGACCTCAAAGGTATAACCAGTACCTTCGTAGACTTCAGGAGCTAGATAAGCTAGTGTGCCAGACTTGCTTGTAAGAGGCTTCCCCGGTCGGTAATCCGATGCCACATTCTACAATTCATGTTAGTTGAAGCTCACGTGAGAATGCAATTCATGCCGGTAGAACTTACAAAATCAGCCAAGTGAACATGTCCATCGGAATCCAATAGGACGTTGTCTGGTTTTAAATCTCGATGAATGATGCCCTGCGAATGGATATACCTCAGAGCACACCCCAACTCCGCCATCCAAAACCGCACCGCATCCTCTGTGAAGCATTTCCGGGAGATATGGAATCGAAGATCGCCGCCATTCATTAAATCAACCACAATATAGCTTGAGTTTGGTCAGCTTGGAGTGATGAGAGCCGATTTTGGGATACTCACATGTACTCCATGTCCTGGAAACTGTATCTCAAGTTGCAAAGGAATGGATGGTTCAGGTGCTCCAGCATTCTCCGTTCACGAATTATATTTCGTACGCTTTCCGAACGAACCACTAAAACGAGCTGTCAGTTATAGCTCTCTCGGCTTGGCAAGCTTGGAGCTCCAACAAACCTTCCTCTTTGCGAATATATTTTAGAGCGAATGTAAGACCTGTGTCCTTCCTTTCGACGATTCGTACCTTTCCAAATGCGCCTTTTCCAACAACTCGCAGGAGTCGAAAATGATTGAGGTTGACTAGCAGAAAGAAGCAAGCAATTAGCATGTTATTCAGTATTCGTCGGCGACTCGGCAAGTCCTGGCGTCCGAATCCGTGTCCAGTGAACCTACCTGCATCGTTGCAATTCACCGGTTTCCCCTGGGTATTCCCCATGTTGTGAAGATAGACCGATGGTCGAGGTAATTAAAGTTAACTAGTATCTTTCTAGCAACATCACACTTGTCTCAAATGTCCTCCAGTTGAATAGTGATCGCGTTAAGAGCGGTATTCGAGAAAACCACGAGTAGATATTAGAGACGGGTTTTCGGCGGATATCGAGCTTAAATCGCAATCTCCATGAGAAGTTGAACTCCGACGGTAAAACGGCTGAGCGGGTGTCAAATGTTTCAGAGTCCAGCGAATACTATCGGTGCAGGTCTAGATATGAAATTTTGCAGTCTAGACAAGACTGGATGAAACAAGAAGGCGACCAGAAGTGAAGAGAAATAAAGATCCGAGGTTCCAAGCCTGCAGGATATGTATATCATAAAAACGTGCCCGGGAGCTCGCGAAACACACCAGTCTCGGGTTTGATAAGACACCACCCAAAAAAGGGGGGGACAAAGACAGAAATAAAAAGAGATATGTCAAATGACACACCACGAATATCCTGTCTTCGGGAAGTGAAGCAGATGAAAGAAAGGGGATGAAGTGAGCGGTCTGGAGAGAATGGCAGTAATTGCGGGCCAATCACGCGTGACGCGCAAAAAAATGGGGGAAAGGGGGATGAAAGAAAAAAAAGGGCCCTTTTACACTGTTCTGGTCTTGAATGCCGTGCGATCGACATTGTGCAGCTACGATTCAGGATAAGTTGGTTGAAGATACCAATTCCCGTGTTTCTTGAATTTACATATTGCTATAGAAGTGAACAATGACTATGACTTCTATACGGAGTACTCCGTACTACGGATATACATATCCTTCCCCCCACGCTCTCCGAACATCGGGTTCTTGCGAAATGAAGCTAGGTGGAGAGGATATAGCCCTGGCCCAGTTCAATCGGGGGCCCGCTTAAACTGGCCATGATATCCGCTAAATGCATAGACTTTTCTCAATTCGGTGACTTGTCCATTATGATCCTAGACGAACATCCAGGTGATCAAAATTCATTTTGAAACAAGTGTTCGAAGAGATTTGGGGCAAATTTAGTATTTCTACAAGAGAGAGTGTGTGGATTATAATACAATGTAGATCACTATTTGCGCAATTAGCATGCTCTACGCTCTACAACATACACTCCCACTTGTGAGACTCTGTGAAACTTGAGATTCATCTTACCAGGTGTTCTGTCTCATTCCGATCTGAAATTGCAAGGTGGAATATCCCGAACCACCTTAAGTTTGATCCTATAACCAGGAGATATCCTGGAAGCCGTGTTGCAAATGACTGATCACTGTCGGCCGTGTGAGAGATTTCTCCCGAATCTCGTGGACGCCACGTTATTGACTTCCCTACAATGTAAGGCCAGACACAGAATTGTCTCGGAAACCGCTATCGAAGGGCCCTGGAATACCTGTAGAATATTCGATGCTCGATTTGATCCCTCACATGCGGGACTTTTGTGCAGTTGGAATCCGGATTCTAGACGGGTCTTTGTCGCCCTTCACTCCACTAGGGCACAAATATGCTGAATATGTACAGATAGTGTTTGTCTAACACTTTGACTCTATCAATTTGAATGTCATTGGTTCCACCAAACTTGATATGTGCATGTGAGCGCAGTCAGATTGTTGGTGCAGGGTTCTTAATCCCTGTCAAATGAGAGATGGACTAGAAACCTTGGAGAGTGTCCACTAAGCTTATAATATGACTCTGGGGCTCCAATGGTGATCCTTGTCAACTGGGCGTTGGGTCAAACGAACGTGTACAACGTACAAAGGCAGGTTCGGCTATTTTGACTCTGAAATCAAGACAAGGCTGTTTATACTATTTGATTGATATTATTTGTATTCTTATATGCACGAACTTTGTGATGAATCGAGATATCATGTTGCATGACAATTACACTCCCTACCTACGTGGCATCCTTTGTGTCGGCACATTTACTCTTATTTTCCAGTTTAGCACAAATAGAATACAAGAGAGATAGGAATAATATATGCTGTTAGCTTTAGCTGATACAACCTGGTACCTAGACTTCTTAAAACAGTTGGTTGATGCTCTTCATGAAAAAGTATAACCATATATGTCTCCACGCGACCTACATATGTATCCCAAAGCATGAACAACAGCTCGGAGAAATATGCTTCCCCCCGGCATCGACTCCTATGTAGCCAAAGGAAATCGATATTCCTGTCCAGTGTTCATACTCCTAGATCAGCTTCAACTAAACGCGGCTGACTAGCCAAAATGGCGATTCTTACCATATTGCGTCTAGATGAAAGATTTTTGACCCTTTTCGCTTTTCCTATCATCCTAATTCGACTATTTCAAACTTTCGGCGTGAAAACGTAGTGCAAACCTCTGAAGATGGAAGTGTAGAGATGGCTCGGTCACGGGGTAGCTCCTTCCCATGTCCTCCTTGACGTGGATACCATTTCTTGACCTCGCCATTTCTTCGTCTTCCGTACTTACTCCATCATTTCCAATAAATGTCCACTATGGAGAGCTCTGAAAGGCCTCCGCCGCTGTTGCAGCGCCCAGAGAGTTCTGGCATTGATGTCCTAGATTTCTCTTTCAGCAAGCCTGCCTCACACAAGCCCTCGTACTCGCGAAGCCTGGCCAAGCAACCACCCATGCCTCATCATGCAATCGATAATTCCCGTCCTTCAAGGGAGCCCATGGGAGAGGGCGACTATCAGATATCAAGGCCAGATACGTATGTAGATGATCCAGGCTGACCCCAGACAACACTGTCCACAATGGACTAACATGTTCTCTTGAGATCAGACCTTCCAATCAGTGCAGTGTTGTGAAAGAAGGAATCTCCACGGCACCAATTGCCGCGGGACAACCTATATTTACTCGGCCACCAAGCCGGCTCTCGACAGCAGCCGGACCCAACAAAGACAGCGGCAGTCGATCTACACCTAGACATCTAGATAACCCGAGTTTCAGAAAAAATCATGAAGTCATTATTTGCCAACCAAAGAAGCCCACCGGAGCTGATATCCCCAGGGAGACAGTTGGCTCTGCAGGAAGCGTTGTTGGCCTAAGTGCAAAGCGTGTTGTTGACATTGACAAAATGGTTGAAGCTGAACCTGTCTTGTCTGAGCCACCCCACGTACAAGGGCCTCATAAAGAGGGGCAAGATATCCCGGAGAACCCATGCTCCCGAGTTCCTCTCATGCCTGTACACAATCAGCCCCATACGTCGACGCGACGTCGTGTCTCCGAGAAAGAACCGTCTTCGAAACAACCGGCCCCGCTCGTTGGTGGCAAGAATGGCGTTCAGCTCAGTGAGGATCATCTTTTCGAGCTTCTGATCACGAAAATGAGACAGCGCGAGGAGAGCGAGCAAGCAGCTGCAGCCATCCAACGGCAACTCAAGAATGAGAACATGGCCTTGAGGGAGGATAATCTCAACATGCAAGACCGCCTAAAAAGATGCCAAGGACAGCTTGCCAGAACATCAATCGAGTCAAGGTCTCAGCGAGCACAAATAGACAAGTGGAAGGCAAAACTTGGTACCTTCAAAGGTGTCCTTAACGAACTTGGCCGTGAATATGACACAGTTCGGGAGCAAGCCACAGAATTGAAAGCAGCAACAATATCTCTTGGTAGAGAGAAGAGCGAGATCCAAGACAGTTTGGACGAGATCAAGTTGAAGCTTTCAAAAAGTGAGGAAATCATGCGGAATCAACGGGAAAGGCTTTCAACCTCCGAGCACACGGTTGCCAACCTGAGAGAAGCTTTGGATCATTCAGAGAAAAGGGGCGATTTGATCAAGTTGCAGCTAACCAATGAGAACAAAAGAATCGCGACTCTAGAAGCCTACATTCAAAACGAGTCTCAGAGCCAATCGCGGTGCTTGGCCCTTGTCAGAAACGACCAGCGCAGGATGGCCGAGAATTTTGACTCTGCCTGCGAGCTGTTCACCACATCTTGCATCAAATCCCAGGATGAGATTTTGTCGAAACTGAGTCCTGCGCTCGAGCACTGTATTGCTTCGGTTCAGACGTTGAAAGAGCAGTGCTCGTCTGAGGTCACCAATGTCCAAGCCTTCACCAGCAGTGTTCAGGAGGTAGCATCTCGGTGAGTTAAGTAGAAGTGTAGAAGAGTAACAAGTGTTGTTGACTAACTATGTCTTTAGTTTCAACTCCTTGGCTGGGCAGGTCACAAGCGATGTTGACCGAAGCACAGAAATGAACAAAAATGTGTTCCAAGCCCTGCAAGAAGCCCTTCGAGCAATTGAAAGCAACATTGGTCCGTATTCGTCGATTTCCAAACAGCTTGCTAATAACGAGAGTTGCTGCGGAAACTTACAACAACAGCTTCAAATTTTTGAGCCAATGCTCGGTAGTCTTGAAGCTTCTATTAAGGCTGTAGGAATGACAGAGACAGGCCTTGTGTGCGGTCTAGAAACTTTCGGTCAGAAGCTTTCCGAGGCTCAAATCCCAGCAGGAAACCCTGTTCTGGAGATGGAGGTTTCCAAGAAATTTGCTGAGAATACGCAGTTGCAACTGCAACTACAAGAAATCTCACTTGAGGTCGAATCGCTTCGAAAACAACTTGCAAGCAAAGCGTCTGAGAACGAACATCTTCAGCATGCTTTGACTGACGCCGTCACTAATGAACAAGCATCCAAAAGTCAAAGCTCCCGGCTGGAAATTGAAAATACGGCCTTGCAGGGTGAACTTCAATTTCTCGAGCAGAGGATCCGAGAAGAGTTGGGCGCCGCAAGTACCAAATTACAGGGTCAGATGAAGGCTAGAGTTGAAGAACAAGTCCAAGGCCTTGAGACCGAAAGGGCGAGGCTAGAAAATTACTCCAGTAACCTTCAGGCGCAGCTTGCAAATGTCCAAAGATCTTTGGTAAGCCCGACCGTGCCTGGTGAGAGACTGGTCCACTAATAGTACGTATGAAGATCGAAACAAAAAGGACAGCCGAGGATGAGCGACTGGAAAAGGCCTCCATGGTAAGCGATGCGGAGGATCGTCATGATGTGTTTTACTGATAAGCGCAGCACCAGGAATCACAGAAACGAATTGAGGCGCTGGACGTTTCTTGCTCAAAATACATCACAGAGGCCAAGGCCATGGAGACTCGATCACAATTATTGAAAAGCTCCGAAGCCGCTCTCTTGGCGGAAAGGGAGAGGCTCCTTGAACAGCTTGAGCAAGCGAAGGTAAAGACAATCGAGCTTGAAGCGAACTTGGGGATGAAGACCGAGTCTGCAGCATTGAAAGAGAAAGCGACACAGGAGGCAGAAAGGAGGGCTCAGGTACTTGAGCTGGAGACGACTCAGAAGACTGAAGAGCTTGCAACGATGAAAAAGACCGTTGCCATGCTCGAATCACGGTCATCGGCTTTGGAAAAGGTAGGAGAGGAGGCTGACGCTGAGATAATTTCACTCCTCCGCCGTGCTCAGGAAGCTGAGAATTGGCAAGCGACTATAAGAGAAGGGTTTGCGAAGGTGATCGATGTACCTCCCGATGAGCCTTTCGAACAAACATGGCAGAAACTGGAAGACATCATTCAGTCCCCGCTCGCTCAGCTGTCTATCACTGGCGATACGCCTTGCACCAGGCTTGATGGCACGGCGAGTATGGAGGGGGCTGAAGGTACTAATCTCACAATAGAACCAAGAGAAAGCAGACATGTTGATTCCTTGGACACTGATGGATCAAACAACAAGGTTCGCAAGCCCGTTGATCAGATGCAGACAGATGGACATCTAGCATCCAATGATCTCAGCCCCCGAAGGCTTCGAAACATGGTGATTGTGCTGACTCGCTGCCAAAATTCCCTGCTGGTCACAGTCATATTGTTCCTTTCTCAAGCCTCCATGACAGGCTTTCACGGGAAGATAGTCTCTCACTTTTCAACGATCCAGCTGAGCTCGAAATGCTCCTTATGTCAACTCCGGATCTTCAGGGACATTCGACGACAGGTGATGACCCCAAGAAGAATCAAGAACAGCAAAAGATTGAGCCTTTGAAAATGAATCGAAATACCAATGAAGCTGACCCAGTTTTCCGGATGGAACCTCCCCGCGCTGATGACGGCACAACTGAAAGACCCCAGTCCGCTGTTGAAAATGTCGATAGTTCGGTGGTTGACAAATCTGCCAACAACCAACAAGCCAACATCAAGCGTAAAGTAGTCAGCTTCGAGGGTACACGGGTTTTCACCAAAACAGAGGTTGGCAAAGCTAGACGAATGTCAGACGCAACGGACAACAGCTCCGGTAGAGAGTCTGAAAGCAAGGAAGTAAAGAAAACGCATAAACGGACTTATAGCCGCCTTCGCCAGTCCATAGCACAGGAGGAAACCTCGATCGAAGCAACTTCAGAAGGGCAGCCCGCCAGCAAAACTTTAGTGGGAGATTCACAACAGAGCTCAATGAAAAAGACTGGGCATCCTTCAAACGCGCACCCAAGGCCACCGAAAAGACCTCGAAACGCATCCGATGGCCCGGAACGACGGCTGAGTCCGAAGGGCTTGGCTTCTGGTAGCAGCAGGGGAAACGCAGCCGGCCAAGCCAGCATTTCGCGAGGCCGCGGTAAGCGCCGCACTCGAGGTAAGATGCTTGATGCTTTTTCAAGGTGTCCCAGCTCACAGTTAGAAGGTGATCGCTATAATGAGCGCTTCAGCCAAGATGTCGGCTGAGCAATTCAACGTGAGGTAACCCTGATACGCCATTCCTGCATTCTTACTCTGATCATGTTACGCAATTTCCCTCTTTATTCACTTTATCGAACACAAGATGCGTGTGACAAGTCAAATATTGTCTAAAACATATGTCTTTGTCATAACCAAATGGAGGAGAGGAGCCACCAAGGAGGGCTCAGGGTTCGGAAGGCGATAAGTCGGAATGTGGGATGTTTATTTTAGTTTTATTGAGGTACCCAAAGCAGTATTGCTCTTAACGCCAAACACAATGCTCCAACAAAAAGGAGGTTTCACCGCAGAAGATCCGGAAAACCGGGGAAACCGGGGAGATCGCAATTCCCCGGTTGCATCCAGTAAAATAATGTACATACAGGGGTGGTTCCCCTGACATCCTTATCGCATTCCCCTGAATCCGCAGAACAAGACGAGATATCATTCGACATGTCGGGATAGCGAGTGCGACGAATGCAAGAGGCGAGGTTGGATTCGGTGGAGAAAAGATATCGAAATCAGTCGGAATCACGGTGGAAAGGCGGATATCTCTCAAGGCGCACAACAACCGACGTGATACAAACAAACAACCAGCAGAACTCCGACTTGAAATCGGATAGCTTATTTGTTCTTTCCACCCTTGGTCGCCTCGAGGAAAAGCACCTGCTTCTTAACGACAGGGTCGTACTTCATCATGCTGAGCGGACGGTGTACACGGGGCCGGATCATCGTGCGATAATAACCCGTCATGGCCATGGAGATCAGCCGAACGGCAATGGTACGGGACTTCGCTGTGTCGGAGAAAAGACGATGTTAGCCATCGGCCGCAAATGAATCCGGGGGTTCTCGGTTTTCGCTGCCCAGCGTGCGTTTCGCGTCCCAATTACGGCGCGGACGGACAAATGCAAGATGTGATTCAAGAGTCAGTTGTTTTGTCCCACGTACCTTTCTTGGCCATCTTGGGCGGCGTCTCGGGTTTACTTAGTCGAGTTGTCGCTCCGAAACAATTTCAAGGTCGGAGTTGAGCGTTTCCCATAAATCACGTGCTAATTGCTTAGTCACTGCCATGGGGCGGGCTCTTTATTGCCCAGATGGCCGGTGATCAACGTGGACATTTCGTTGGCTGGCGATTGAAATGTTTTGGGTCTTTTTATCATTTTCATGCCAGACATAAGTACGTCCATGCATTAATCGTGCCATGCTCACCACCATTTACCTATTGTTGATGGGCCCACCAGACCGCGATCATAGGATGGTTTCTTTTGCACGGCGTTGACACCGATAAAAGGTACGTAAACACATACTTGCATAGCTTCCTAAATTCTCCCTGGCTAACTCGAGGGAGATACACCATAAAGGAAGTTCCAACTACTTAGTATTTACCATGACAAGAATTGTTAAGTATGCTTGAAGCAAGAGAATGGTTAAGCTCGTGGAATATTTGTAGAGGATTATTTTCCAAGGTCCTCTTTACATTTCCATATATATGTATATATATATATATATATTCTGAATTAGTTTTAGTGGATCGATTGAATCAGACTTACGTTATAGCTTTGACTTGCTATGATTTATTTAGGCTGCATCTAGTTGGAGGATTCAGAATAATCGGGGTTGTGCTTATGTGTATATGTACTCTTTGTATAGCATGGCTATACAAAAGATACATTACCCTTCCAGCTTGGTATCTGATGGGGCGCAGGAATATCAGGAGTAATTGAAGCTCTAATAAAGATCAACAAAGTCTTCGCTATCTATATATATCCCCGGGGCCTATGGATGGACGAGGGCCTATCACGCCCTTAGGAGTTCATCGTTAACTTTTTTTCCACTCGCCATAGCTGTTACTCTTTTTGGTCATCTATGAAATCTTGATCATCCTCATGGAGCTCGCCAATTCAGCACAAGCTTTAACGAGAGGGTGAGTGATTAGTATGATATTGATTATTGGTTGCCTTGTAAGCTGTGGATGTCCCCCCAAATATGCGAACTGAAGTGCCGATCTTTCCCAGCAGTTTCTTAATGCGGAACAGTCCGGCGTAAGCGCCCTGATAATTAATCTAGTCTCTGCAGCTAACATACTTCTCGTTCGGGCTACGTTTACATCACCGTTTTGCCGATGTGACGCTATGCAGGCCCTGAAACTTTCGCCCCCCCCGCAGTAATCCTGGTCCAGGCACGAATCTCCTGTCCTCTCCTATAATACCCCAAAATCAGCTTGACCAAGGTCCTGTAGCTACCTAGAGACCGTTATTGTGGCTGGATCATGTAGTATTTTGGCTTTTCTGGGTTAGTGTGTCTTACCCCTTATGCAGAACTAAAGGATCGACTGCATGACCGAAGCTGACAAGGTGATATGAACTATGTAAAAAGCAAAGTCATTTGATGGCAATTTGCCGTTCGGTTCGCCGGAGTAGTATTTACTAGTCAATAATTGCTTGATGTTTCAGGATCCAGTGTTGATAAAGGACCACTTGCCCCAGCTCTGAGAAGCAAGAATCTTCTTCCTCCCACATCGCAAAGCTTCTACCGCAATCATGATGACCTACAGCCGCTCAATTCCCTTTGCCCTCCTGGCCTTGTTTGGCACCGGCTTGGCCCAAACCGTGTCTGGCCCCGAGTTCAACAAGCCTGACGCCGGCCCCCCAGGAAGCTATTTCGCTGCTGGCTCGTCTATCCCCGTCGCTGCTTTGAAGACCGCTGCTGGCAAGGCTAGCACTGCGGCAAAGAAAGCCACTTATCCCATCAACGGCGATGAAGGTGCTAAGAAAGTGACCATCTACAGCGACTGGTCCAACTTCAACGAGGTATATATTCTTATCAGTATGCTGCGAGAATTACATGTTAATTTATGATAGGGCGCGGCCTTTGTTTGGACTGCTGATATGGATGTCGACTGCGATGGCCTTGACCACAACTGTAAGGTATGTTGAACATGACTCTCTGTCTGAAATCTTCTTACTAACCCCGTGCAGGGCAACCCTGATGGCCAGCCACAGACCAAGTTCGGTGCTTTGGCTGCCTATGAAGTGCCATTCATTGTGATTCCGGACACCTTCGCAAAAGCCTATGAGTCTTCTCTGAAGGGAAACAACATCGGTGCAGTGATCTGGTATTTCCTCCCCCTTTGGCTGCAGTTCCAGCACTGTCCTGTTCTAACTAAAAGCTAGTGATGGAAAGATGTTCTACGGCATCTTCGGAGACACCGATGGCGATAACCCCGAGGTTATCGGTGAGGCCTCGTGGCTGATGGCCCGGACCTGTTTCCCCAATGATGACCTGAATGGAAACAGCGGCCACGGAGATGCTGATGTTACCTGTAAGCCTGGTAATTTCATATCTTTCTTCTGACATATACTAATCGAACAAGACATCCTCTTCACTGGAGACCACGCGGTACTCCCCAGCACTGCTTTCAACAACCACTACGTCACCAATTTCACCAGCTTGCGCACTACGGGTGATGATCTCGTGGCCGCTCTTGCGAATAACCTCAAGCTGGGAAGCGGAGGTGGTGGTGGTTCTCCTACTACCACATTGAAGACCACAACTACCTCTGGTACCAGCCCTACTGGAGGAGCTTGCGAATGGGAGGGACACTGTGCCGGTAAGAATCATTCTCATATATTCCTTCGAAGTTATTAATGATTTCCTAGGTGCCTCTTGCTCGGACGAGAATGACTGCTCGGATGAACTGGTCTGCAAGAGTGGAAAGTGTGCCCCCGAATGATTGAAACCAGGTAGCTATGTGGTACTTGACCCAAGCAAAAATGTGGCATAAATGGGAGAGATCTGCAGGCTTTTACTATAGTTGTAGATAGCTATAAACAATGTGTTATGCTAGATACGGAGAACTCCGTAAGACAGAGAACAAGACTTGAATGTGGAGTAAAGGATTCCTTGGCTTTGCCCTCCAATTTCCGTAGAATCCTTCGCCGATCTACACTTCAGCCGGCTTGGCCTTGACATTGGCACATCGTGATTTCAACGGCTTGAACGGGAAAGTGGAGCTTGTCAGACTGCATATGACAATTCTGAACCTGAATTTCTTATGATCTAATGAAAAAGTGGGTAGTTAAACATTGTGGAGAGTAGGGGATGAAACAGCTAGCGAGATCTCTCTCATGTATCATGTTCTTCGTAAATATGATATGCCGTGTCTGCCATTGTAGCTTTTGTGTAAATGAAATGATCGTGGTTGATTGTAATGTTCGAAGGGGTTGTATACAATTTTTCCTTGCTCTGAGGGAATTTCTCAATCTGACTGGCTTTACAGGTAAATCAGACAACTCAATTACTGCTCTTGTCAAGAGTTTGGTCGAAATGGATACCGAGGGCATGAAATTGGAGAATTATTGTATGGGCATAATTTTCTGTGTAGAAAAAACCACTGTATATCCAACTAAATGATGTGTTGGCTGATCCAAATGTTCTTGTCGCTGTAAGCAAATTCAAAATCCGATTTTATACAGTTCCGAGTCACTTAGTTGTAGGCAATCTTGGGTAGCTATTTGAGGATTTGAGAACAACATCAATTACCAAAACGAGGTAGAAATGGAAATTGTTGCTGTCTGTGTGGGGGGAGTCAATTGTCCCTGCTAATGTGGAAATAGGACTTGGGAGAAGCAACAAAAAAACCACTAGAAATGAAATTCAACCCTTCTAGAGGTTTTTAGAAGCGTCAAGTCAATACTGGATGTTCGAACAAAACAGTTGTTCATGACACGAGTACTCCAATATCAAAGAATCTCTTAGGGCTGGCAATAGCGCAATAGCCCGTATTTATCTGAAGATATCTTGCTTTTTCTATGTGCAGTTGTAACCCCAGCCAAGCTTATGCTTGATCGGTTTGTATCTAGCAGAGTATGCTTGTTCCCCGGAATCTGTCTGTGGCCCCCTGCTGGCACCTTGTCGCCTATAACCTCATGGTTTTCTTGTTGATACGTAGTCTTCTATAAACACCAAATAGATGCACATCACAAGCCGCAGAACTCAGTCAAGACCCCGACTCAGTGGTAGTATTCGCGATCGTAATGATGATTCTAGGCCGAGCTGACAAAGAAGCGTGATCAAAGTACTGTGAAGCACTAGAATACTCTAGCAATCAAGCGGTATCGGTCTTAATTGCTTTGGTCTAGACAGACCTACTATGCCGTTAGATGTACATGCTGACGCCCGCATTTTAGACGCCCGGGAATCTCAGAATCATCTCTCTATTGGCTGGGCTGGATCTGTTCTTGTTGGTTCTGCAAGTCCTGTTGCAGTCCTGTTGGAGGAACGGACCTGGGTGGCGGATTAGAATCAGTATGATTTTGGGTATATGCAAACGCTTAGACAATTCGAGGATTTGATTTGGCTCTTGTGCCAGAATCGAAGAGAAGGGGGTATACAAGCCCCTGTTGAGGGTAGCACAACAAGGGAGAGAGTGCATAGGCCTGGACAGAGGCGTTTGCAGGAGGAAATTTGGGGGGAAGTTAATGAAATTGATGATGACCAATAAGCTACTCACAGGGGTACTATGCATGTTAAATTGGTCTGACTTGAAATATGCGACTACGCACGGATATGTGGAAGTGGTTGAGAATTGAGACCTGTATACCAGATCTTGTATCTAATTTGCACCCAACTCGATTGCTTATATATCACTATTTAGGGGTAAAATAAATAAAAAAGGATAAGGGGAAGATAGTCATTTAAACTATATAGAAAGATCCGGGGACATCCAGAATGAAACCCTTTTGTACATGGTAAGCGCCCTTGGCAATGTCCTAAGCAAGGCCGGAGAAATTTAACGGATTCAACTGTTTTAAGGAGACAAAGGATTAACCATGTGGCTCAGGAGTGAATCACTGTAATTGGTTCAACTTGATTGAGGCTTGACGCTATGAAAATCTGATCTGTACGATTTCCTAGTTGTGAAACGAGACAATTCTCCGATATGCATTCTCAAATCCATCTAAGAAAACTCAGGATCGGATTAGCATATATATCTCATCAATTGATTACTAGACTGAAGCCTCTTGTTCATTGCTGCTGGGACATGTAAGTCAGATAGTCAGCTAAATATCCAATGAACGGACGACGTCTACCGCGAGGCGTTTCTTGGCAATTCTTTCATGAGGTTTTTATATTTTTACTGATCCTGAAATTAATCTGTGGTCTAAGCTATCGAATCTACTGGGTTCGATTTTGCTTGGCTTCGTTTAATGTCCCCCGCTAGTGGTTCAATCTTATGGTTCTCTTATGCGTTCGATCTCATCTGTGGAAATCTGAAACGGCTCGATGTAGGGTATCCAAACACTTGTCAGCATGTCCCGGACTATAAGTACTAGATAGCAACTCGCGAACTCTTCCTGTCTATCCTTGTTATCCTTCAGTCTTTCCTTTCTCTGACACTTGCTGGATTCAAGTTGTCTATCCATTCATTTTTTACAAACACATTCATTTCTTACATTCCTTTTTTGAACATTCCTTTCAACTTTATCAAAATCATGAATTCTTCTCAAACTTCCGGCTGGCAGGTCCTAGCGACCAGCAGAAAGCTCCTCATATTCTGTGTTCTCGGACTCTTCCTCCTCGCCATCGGTATGGACCTCCGAGGAGAGCCCGGATCTAGATACAACCAAAAAATGTCCAAGCGCGACACCACCAGCCCTGACAACACCGACATCTGGCAACCAGAGGCTGGAGTCAAGTGGCAAATTCAACTTGTCGATCCAGTCGAAGATACCACCGTCGATGCCGACATCTGGGACATCGATCTCTTTGAAAACACTGGTGAAACAATCACCGCTCTAAAGAGCAAAGGCCACAAAGTTATCTGCTACTTCTCTGCCGGCACGTACGAAGACTGGCGTCCGGATATCAGCAAGTTCGATCCCAAAGACTTTGGCAGCAACCTCGATGAATGGCCAGGCGAGCGCTGGCTCGATCTCAAGTCGGATAAGATCCGCGCGATTATGATCTCGCGACTGGATATTGCCAAGGACAAGGGCTGCGACGGTGTGGACCCGGACAATATCGATGCGTACGGAAATGAGAATGGTCTTGGGTTAACGGAAGCCGACTCGATCGACTTTTTGACTTTCCTGGCAAAGGAGTCGCATTCCCGTGGCATGGCTATCGGGTTAAAGAACGGGGGCGATATTATCGGCTCTGTTATTGATATGATGCAGTGGTCTGTCAATGAGCAGTGTGCTGAGTACAATGAGTGTGAGACGTATGCTGCATTCACGGAAGTCAACAAGCCTGTTTTCCATATTGAATACTCCGGGGAATCTCTTGAGGCTCGGGACTTTGATGATACTTCTGCCACCCCCTCAGCTCTGACTGGCAGCGGGGCCACCGCTGCTGGCAGTATTGGTCTTACCTCTGTGGCCTCCGATGATACTGGCAACCTCGCCGGCCCCCTTGAAGTTGCCGACCCTAAGGAGGGTGCAACTAGCACCACTACCCAGGCGCCCAATGGGGGTGGCGACACCGCTACTGATAGTGTTTCTAACAGCCTCGCTGGTCTCCTTGGATACATTGATTCCAAGGAGGGTACTTCTGGTCCTACCACCGAAGCTCCCACAGGCAGCGGAGCCACCGTTGCGGACAGTATCACGCCTCAAGGCTCTGGCGACATTTCTGGCAGCCTCTCTGGACCCCTTGAATATATTGACCCTAAGGAGAGTGCAACTAGCACCACTTCTGAGGCTCCCATTGGCAACTCTGATAACACTCTGGACAGCGTCGCTGCTCCAGTTGATTATCTTGACCTCAAGCCTGAAGCCGGTGGTGATGTTAACGCCGATGTGACTAAGGAAGAAAACCTACGTGGACACGGTCTCTACAAGGTCCGATCCAGAAGTGTGCTCTCCAAGTTGAAGATATCAGCCTGTAACGCAGCAAACGCCGACAAGTTCTCGACTGTCATCAAGAACATGGATCTTGATGCTTGGGTAGAATATTGTTGAACAATGATCAAATGGCGGTGTTGGTCCCGTCGAGATGCGGGATCCTGTTGTCGATGGTCTTATTGACCATGATTTTACCTCTGTTTTGCATCCAGATTGTCATATGGTGTATATAACATCTCTGCATTCCATATTTTTGTATCAATTTATCACTCTTCTAGTATATTCTTCTCGTCTGACTAGGTTCCTAGAGAGATTATATTACACACCAGTTGGCTGAAGGAACTGGGGGAAAACAACTGACGCTATCTGTTACAACTCAAAGACAGAGCTTAAAAAATGACAACTTCCACAGTTCTAACTGTTTAGAGCGAGAGGATGTTCATTGAATTTGTAAATGATGAATCCACACTTAGGCACATGTTTTGATTGTGAAGTTTTTTTTTCTGCTGTTTTTTGAATTAAGATTACTTCTTGTCAAGGAACACGCCAGTTGACATAGAATAGATGTAACCGGTTGTCATCACACCACCCTCTTCAGACAAACAGGGTCTCGCAAACCATGAACTTCTCTTCCCTAGCAATTGTCTCCTTCGGGATCACATTAGCATCCTGGACCTCACACCCCTTCAGCACAGATTCACGACCAATATGAGCATGTCGACCAATCACACATCCGGTTAATTGAGCCCTAGATTCAACGACGACACCCTCCATCAGAACGGAACGAACGATGCGGGCAGAGCTGGCAATATGGCAGTTGGCGCCGATGACACTCTCCTTAATAACGGCAGCCGGTTCAACAATCACATTCTCTCCTAGCAGACAATCTTTCTTTGTAACAGTGCTAGGCGAAGCCACGCCCTCAGGGTAGGCAACTTTGTGGGCGTGCGCAAAAGGTGACGCTGCCTTGCGGCCGACTTCCTCAATAGATGGCAGCTTTGCCAGAAAAAGCGAAGTTGAAAGAAGGATCCCAGTGTTATCGACTCGTCGGATGAACGGGACTGGACCTCGGTGGACATAGGCCAGCATATGTGGCAGCTCAGTGGCAGCCGTTTGAAAAGGATTCACTGGCTGCACTTCAGATCTCGAGCGAGCTCTGGTAGTACTCATATCCCGGAGATCAATAACATTCTTCACAGGGGCGCTGGTAGGACTATGTGGGGGGCTAGTAGGTTCTTGTTCGCTGGAAATTTCTTGATTAAAGATCATCGTCAATCCTAGCTTGTCGCCGAGACCTTCCTGCCATCCTGATTTGGCCCAGTTGCCGATCAGATCTTCGCTGACGGATTCTAGTCTGCTTTGGTGATGGAGTAGATCTTTGACCCAGTATGGGAAGACGTAGATATGGGCGTCACGGAAGGTGGTGAGGTTCCTGACGCGTGCACAATTCTGGATGAGAGAATGACGAATAAGCAGGCAGTCGTCTTGCTCCATTTTTTCCTTCATTGTATCCATCGGCATCGACATGAGGAGCTTGGATAGGTCGAACCGTGGGAGTAGCGGTCCCTTGGGGGATGGGACAATGGTTACTTCATCCTGCTCTAGCGGTGCGATGGCTACGAAATCGGTTGCTTCGTCTTGGATGCTCTCCTCTCGGTTGTCGGTCTGATAGTACACAGCGATACCGCCGGAGCGAGCTTCCAGCGGGCGGTTGAAGTAGGATTTGCTTGGAGGGGATGAAGGGTGAACGCCTTTAGAATCGTTGCTATCGCTCACCACACACTGAGTGGACATCCAGGCTTCGAGGATTGACTCGCCCGGGATTTCACAGATGATGTCACAAGGTAGAAGGAGAAAATTGGTGTTAAGACACCTCTGGACTTCGGGGAGGCGGAGCAGCTCTGCGGTTCCCATGGTCATCTCGAGGGCTTTTGGTGCGACAACTGAGACCGAAAGTGAGTAGAACGATGTCAGATATGGATTTTGGTCCAAGGCGGCTCGAATTGGAGGGTAAGACAGTGGAGGGGTGATCAGTGTGATGTCTGAGATATAGTTAGTCGATTCGGCTCAATAAGGGAGATCGAGGGACGCAGAGAGTACTAAAACTTACTGGTGACACCTGATCGTCTGCAGAAGTCAATGGCATAGAAGACCATCGGTCTGTTTGCGACTTGGATGAGGCACTTTGGATACTCCTCGGGTCTGGAAGTAAAGGTATTGAGTGAACTTCCAGGACCACACAGGATGAGGGCCTGGAAATCCATGGGACCAGCATGAGGCATTGCTATTAGAGTAGGTAGATGGTCAAGCAGGCGAGTCTTTAGCAAGCGTTCAGGCTGCGATTTGCTTTCTGGTGAGCAACTGTTTGCGCGACAGGTGTCAGATGGAAAGGGCGAAGAAGTTGAAAGAAAAAAGCGTTCAAAAGAGCTTGTTTGCCTGACAGCAGGTAGTTGAGACCAACTGGTCACGGGTTGTTTCTTTGGCTAATTTCTGCAGATATTATATCCAAGACTCCTGCATCTCAAGGTACATTCTCTGCTATCACAAATCTTTGCTGTTTTAACGCTACAGTTTGAGAATATCAAAACATGAAAATGTTGGATGTCTCAACGAGCTGGTGTAGCATTTTCCTAGATGAGAGCTACTAGTCCCAAGCAAATGATAGTATAGGTGATGCTAAGAATTCATTCCTCCAATTCCTGTAGAATGAATGAATAAAGCCGTAATAAACGTATCGAGTAGAAAAGAAATCGAGCAATATAGAAGGATACACCAAAGCTTTGACTCCATATACGTGTTTGAGTAAAAGCTATAAATCGATAATGTTCCTATCTTGTTCATATAAAAATCGAAGTGCCACCTTCAGGGTAAGACTTGTCTCCAGCATCATCATGCATCTTCTCCAATTGTGTCTAATTCAGTTCTCCTATCTTTCCTCCAGACAAGCCACCACGAAGCCAAAATGCCCAAGATGGCCGCACACAAGAAGCAAAGACAGATAACATATGACACTTTATAAGTCGGCCCAAACACCGTACTGTATATATGGGGCCCAGCAATGCCGCTAAACTGAGCCATGGCATTTGTCAACCCAATGCCAATTCCCACGGCCACTGTGCCCTCGAGCGCACGAATACGTTCTGGCCAAATGACAGGGTATGCAGATCCGGCACAAGCGGTGGCTACAACCAACGCCAGGTATTTCACGACTGAGTTTGGAACAGTAATGAGGATGATATAGCATATGATTATCGTGCTTTCAACTATTTTCGCTATTAGTAAGAGCTCCATGTGCATCTCAAGGGATTTTGCTTACTCGCGACAGCAGTGGTCCAGGGTCTAATCCATCCTTTGTGTAGCCAATACCCAAGGGTATTCAAGAAAAGAAAACATGCGACGTATGGAGGCTGTTGGTAGCGAGTTTGGTTAGCAATCATTTCCTGTCCGCCGGTTGGATTTCTTAGATTGAGCACAACTCACAATATTCATCAGCTGTGATAAGGCCGTCGAGGTAAAACCAAGCTCGTAGATAACAGTAGGCAACGCGTAATTCACTCCGAATCCACCAATACCATGTCCAATCCAGTATACGGTGAAGGTGTACAGGGTTGGACTCGAAAGGAGTGTTTTTACATCCCCCCCAGTTCCAGCTTTTGTCTTTGCCTGAAGGTGCTGTGGAGGATAGACGACCCTTAAGGAAGGTTCTCTCCTCCTCCGTCAACATGCGAGCGTTCTCGGGATAGTCTGGAAGACCGAATAACGCTACCACAGACAGTGCGATTGCGGGAAGACCTTCGATAATAAACAGCCACCGCCAGCCTGACAGCCCACCGCCTCCATCCATAAAACTGATAGCATATGCCAACAGCCCACTCAATGCACCGGAAATCTGACCAAGAGAGTAGAAAAGAGCAATCCTCCAGCGCAGCTCGGACGGCTTGTACCAGAATGCCATGTGATAGAGCACAGAGGGGTAAAATCCGGCTTCAGCCATTCCAATTGCAAATCGCACACACATCATCCCCGGAAAGTCCTGTGCAGCGCCGGCAGCGCAAGCGCAGATACCCCAAGACAAGATTAGAACGAACATCCATCTCGAGGGCGTGACTCGTTTGAGGAGGATGGTGTTTGTTGGCTCGAAAATCAGGTAGCTGTAGGAGAAAATAGACTGCGTCCAGGCCCACTGTGAGGAGTTGAAGTTGAGCTCTTTCTTGATTCCAGTGCCGGCTTCTAGATTAATTATGGCGGCATTGGAGTAGTTGTTGGAATCAATGACCCGGAAGATGTATACGATTGAGTAAAACCCAACGAGCCAAAAATCAATCTTTCGCATCACTCTCTTCTCGAGTTTGGCTTTATATTCATCTTCTAAATCATTTCCATTGATCTCATTGGGCGGAGTCGAAGGTATACTAGAAGTAATCACTTCCAGTTCGTCGCGCTTATCCAACATCATACTGTCGGTTTCTGAAGTCCGTTCTATGCAAGATGAATTGCTTTGAGTGATTTGGCCTCATCGACCAAGCAAAAAGAAGTTGTTCTCCATGCCAGACCTCGATTTTTAAGTGTCACTGGAACTCCCCGACTCTTGGCGACGCGGGTTATTAGAGCAAGGTGCCATGATAGTTTGGATCACGACATCTCAATATTAAATGCTCCTTTCCCGGAAACGCTCACTTTGATTGAACCCTTATTGCTCATTCTACCTTCAGATGGCGGCATGCATAGTCTAAAGCAGTATAATTATGGGGAATCGACAAGGTTGGCGAGGTGGTTTGAGTTCTGAACTTGGTGGCTTATTTCCTATCAATTTTCCCCTAATCTAGTACAATCAATGTGCACAGTGGAACTCTTAGGGTTTTAAGGTTCTATAAAATTCAGATACAACATACGTCGGAGTTTAGGCCGCGAAACGCGGCTTTCACTTTCCTTCTTACAGAAGAATCATATCTCATAATCTTTTGAGATACACATGCATTTTCCGTTCCTTTCTCTGTCCAATTACACACAGTACTCCTCCACCTTATGCTGCACGGATCAATTTTGCCTTCGACACAATATATTGGGAAAAGATTGATCGGCGATTCTTCAGACGGACCTTATGTCAAGAAGACGAGATTTGCGATGTATGGCGGGAGAGACTCCATCTCTTAGAATCAGAAGAGACTGAGCTCATGGAGGATTATGTGGACCTGAAGCTTAGAGGAAGGGACACAGCTGTTCTCGCTTGGGAACCAAATGAGTACACTTTGGAATGAATCAAGAGGATGAAGGAGAGGGTGGAGAGGGTGGTAATGGAGTTTGAAATACACATGGAGTTTGAAATACAGAGGAAGGTGGAGCCGGAGAAAAAGAGCAAGGTAAATAGGATCAAGGAGATGAAGGAGACGGAAAAGGTGGAGAGAGAATGAAAGGGGATGATAAAGGACATGAAGGAGATGGAAAACAAAGAATAGATTATGGAAATGAAAAAGATGAAGTTGATGGAGTGGGAGGAGATACTGAAGGAGCTCCAATTGCTTCTTTGGGCTGTCCGAAAACATCTATATCCTCTACGTGGTGATTCCTATTAGGTTCAATCTATCTTTGGGATAATATTGGGATAATCCCAGTTTTTTCTCTTTCGGGTAAGCATTTCCCTTACCAAAAATTATATGTAGGTTTTCTGTCCTCAATGTTTGAGAGTGTTGTAATCCTTCGAGCGCAGAGCCGCTGAATCTTCGACTCGTCTTTACTGACTGTTCTCTCGAAACGCCGTTCTTCTTTATCGGTATCTTCTGTCAGCGTAGGGTTAACCATTCTAGAGCGACATCCTGTCATCTCCAAGCGGTTTTAAGTCTTTGACGCACGTTTCAATGCATCCAAGTGGATTGCGCAAATCGCAGTGCGAAGGCTGTTTCGATCAGAACTTAGCCATTTGATTGACCGAAATTAGTACGATGTTGGTATAACGCCATCCTAGCGAGCATGATACCATAGACCCCGCATTGGAGCAAGTACATGGCACATACGAGGGTGCACAATTGTAGATCCCAATCAGAGTCTTATTCCAAATGAGTTATATAAGTCCAGTCTTCTCGTCTAGGTTATCTTTCTAGTGTTCATTGTTGTATCCTAAGACAAATATGGCCCCTTCCGCTATAGAAGAACAAACCCCAATCGAAAAGACCACCATCAAGCCATGGAGCCGACCTGCGCCTACTAGTGAGAAGCTGGATTGGGCGCCCTTGGTTGAGATCGATCTTTCTCGTTTCGACGAACCGGGCGGAAAAGAGGAGCTCGCAAAGCACTTATATGATGCCGTGACACGAGTTGGGTTTTGGGTAGTAGTCGGACATGGAATCGATGACGAGCGGATTCTACGCCAGTTTAGTATTGGAAATGCATTTTTCAAAGAGAGCCTTGAGGAAAAGCGCAGCTTCGAATGCAATTTTGCCGAGGGCGAGTATTTCGGCTACCGTGAAAACTCAAGATGGATTGGAGAAACGGGTGTGAAAGACAATATAGAAATGGTGCGAACTTACTAGTCTTCATTTAAAAAGAATTGAAATGAACTAACTTATATAGCTCAATATCCCCAAGGCCATCCCTGCATGGGATGATATCCCTAAACACAGGATCGTCCGTCAAAACTACGATGAGATTTCAACCTTCCATCGAGATCTTTTCGACAAAGTTATCCGCAAGTTGTTTGTGCTGATGGCGATCATTTTGGAACTGCCAGAAAACCATCTTGTTGAAGCTCACGCCTATGACAAGCGCTCCGATGACCACTTGAGATACATGATCTACAACACTCGCACACAGGAGGAATGGGATAAAGCGCAGGCGTACACCAAGGGCGGTCACACGGACTTCGGCAGCTTGACGCTGCTGTTCTCGCAGCACGTTGCTGGCTTGCAGATCAGGGCGCCAGATGGGGAATGGAAATACGTGAAGCCTGTGGAAGGTGGGATTACGTGCAATGTTGCTGACACATTATCATTCCTTACCAACGGCAAGTGCTCAAGTCAGTCCCCACAAGAGGATTTAGCTAACACACGACGACAGGCTTCCTCAAATCAACGATCCATCGTGTCGTTACCCCTCCCAGAGATCAGATCAATATCCCTCGTCTTGGGTTGCTCTATTTTTGTAGACCGGGTGATCATACCGTAATGAGGACTGTGCCTTCTCCTGTGCTTGACCGTCTTGGTCTTCTAACGGAAGAAGACAAAAGTCAAAGCAGCCCTGCTCCCACGGGGACCGAGTATGTTCGAGCTCGCGTTCGGGATGTTCACCATAAGACTGTGATTGACCGGAGGGAGAATACTTTGTTTGAGTTCAAAGGACTGAAGGTGCCGAATTATTATCAGTGACAGAATGGCTGTGTTTGGCTCAGAATTCTAATTCCATGCCTATATATGCGAATTATGAGGTAGTGATCGGATCAGGAGTCGAGAAACAACTCAAAATGGTCGCCGGTGACTCTACTTTCTTTGTTAATTTCTTCGTCTAGGCATCACATTCTTGGTATCACTTGCGACGTCGTGTTCCAAGGAACTCACGTGTACCGGGGAATTTGTACATGTGATAAGCAGAAGATAAATGTTTCCGCGCCTGAGGCAGATCAGTCGCCTCAGCCACAAGGCAGTGAGTCATGTAAAGAACCGTAAGAACCTCAGAATGTAGTCATGTAAAATATGTAGTGAAAATGGGGAACACAAAAGTGTTGGTGGGTATGATCGTCGGGACTTGATTAACGTGGGGTAGCCTCATGACTAGACTGTCCGCCGATGAAGATACCTGTCTCATTACGTAGGATTTGTCCATTCTCTACTGGTTCTCTTGAGAAGTGTTTGCTTTTTCCAATGAGACATTCAATATTTCGATTCATAACACATGTTAAGTAACTAATCCCAGGAGCTGTCGAAAGAGTGTGAGGCTGACAGCCTTGTCCCGAATGGGCAACATCATATCAAAGACAAAGGAAATTCGGCAAAACAAGAGTGGGAGAGAAATACAAGGTCCACATAAAAAGTGAGTCACAGTAACAAGAGCCAATAAAGCGTGCAGTAAAACCGAACAAAAGACATGCATGAACATCGTCGACTTTCCGCGTCCGTTATTGGCCAATTTTCCCCACACCTGCATGCTCCTTCCGGGAACACACCAGTAATGGGGACAGGCCAAGCTTGCAGATAATTGCGTTCAACCAAAACAATCGAGTCACAATCAAGTCGGGGTCCGAGACTGGGAAATCCCGCAAATCCAGAACCCCGAAGTGTACTCGAGTCAGAGAATCAAAGCTGGAAAACAGAAAGGTGAATTTCCGAGGGCGCATCCAGGCAGGCCCTATCAATCCAGATCATCAAAGACTGGGGTAAGGGGGGGTGTATGCCCATAATGTGCTAAATTCCACATTACAGGCAAAGACCGTCTCGCGGTCTATGGGTGTGGGCAATCAATGCCCATCGCCAGTGAATTGAAGCTTGTTCAAAGCGATTGGGGTAGGGTGGGGGCTTGTGTATGGGTGTTGATGTGTGTGCTCGTAACAGAGAAACCAGAGTCGAGATCCGTTGCCAGGTACGTTACCAAGTATGCATTCAACGGTGCTTGGGTGAACGCTCGACGTAGCGGCGAGGAGTCTCGGAGTTGCGCTCCACACGCTCCAGCCGGTCCACACTGTACAAGGATCCACGGCTGGAGGATGGTCGAGCGGGAGAGCCACCGGGTGAACGGTACATGATGGAAGTGGGAGAGCGAGAGAGGCGCGGGGATCTCTCGACGAGCTGGTAAGCCTCGGGGGACATGGAGCGAGGGCGAACCTGCTTGCCGCTAACCTGGCGAGCTGGGACGTGGTAGGTCTGATCGTAGCTCCTCGAGTGGGAATGTTGAGCGGGCTGGACGGGCTTCTGAATGACGATGGCCTTCTCGCGGATGCGCATACCTTGCTCGAGAGCTGTGAGGAGCTCACGGGTAGCGAATGCATCCCGGGGCAGCTTCACTCGTGTCGACTTGCCGCTCTCAAGGTCCACGGTAGAGTAGTGCTTTCCGCTTTGGCCATAGAGGTAATTTTGGAGAGTACGGGCGCGGGTGTTGCCCGACTCGCAGAGTGAATGGCCATCCCGGTATGTCTGGACAGCGTGGGAGCAGGGGTGGCAGTGGTTGGCGTGACGCTCAAAGTCGTCGACCACCAGCTTCTCGTCGTCGTGGAGATCACGCACGACAGCGAGCGGATCTATCACCTCAATGGGGGCAGGCATTGTGTTCGTACGACGAAGTCCCAGTAGGCGTCTTGTCAGGCTAGGACGGGGAGGAGATCTCTCCTTGGTAGTTAAAGTCGAAGGGTCGACGGAGTACGAGGTCGAGCGGTAGGGCGACAGCGTGGCTGATTTATGGAGGGTCACGCGAAGATAGTAGATGATCACCGTGTGTAGATGATCGGATGTGAAACTCAAGTGTGACAATGGATGTAGAATAGAATGTGAAATGTCAAATGTGTGTAGATTGAAGTAGATATTCTAGTGAAAAGAGGTGGGGGGGAGGCTATTATATAGATATGCAGGGTGTATAGATCGCGCCCTGTAGCCTGGAGTGTAGGGTGTCTGCTGGAGCCTTAGAGATCTGCAATACCTCCACAATACTTAGCGTCTCACGCTAAAGATACGGGAAATGCAAGTGCTATTCTGGTACCTCACTGTATTTACTGACTGTGGCTAGTGAGGCTGTGTCTTTGGCTTCCAATACCGCCAGTATTAGCACTTCTCATCTCCCTGATTGGCTCAACTCTCCTGATTCACGGTCAACTGTCACCGCACTTATTCAATTCCCACTATTCCCACTATCTCCTTTTCGGTTCCCCGACCCCATTTCCAAGGCATTATTATTTCCACCTTATTTTTATGACATCAACTCTCTTACTCGATGGTTTTATTACGCATTTCATGCACTTTACCATCTCGTGTGGCTTATTCTTCTCGTGTTCCTGCGCCATGACAAGGGTCCCGTGCCCCCCCGGGTCCCCCCTGAGAACAGGCCTCAGGCCCAGCGTCATTTGCAACCCTTTTGACTTGACGAGCGGAAATAGAATCCTGAAGATTTGATCAGAGCCAGTACATACAGACGGAGATGTTTGATCGCAGGGGTTCTCTCCCACCCCTTCCCCGCGCTCATAGGCTCTCGCAACCGCCGCATTGCCATGAGCGTCTACCGAGACACTCTGAAACCCCCTAAACCACCGCGTTGGGACTTCGAGGACTGTTCTCGTGTTCCATATCTGGATATATCGGAGCGTTTCAAACTATCTAAGAATAGTGTGCGACCATGGATTGTTTATTTTGGACCCCACGTTTATGAATTCTCACCAGCCTCAAGTGCCCCTCTTAGCCGCAAGCCACAAGGTATACGATGAACTCTCATCCAGTGCTTTTTCCCCTCTATCCCCAATATAGGACAGTTTCTCAGCCTCAGCCTCAATTGCGCTATCTCTGATCCATGATTCGACACACCAGCCACTGATGTCTTTTTTCTCAGAGACTGCTTACTCGCAGTTTCCTGTTTATCGCTGCGCCGATGGCGCTCAAGCCAACAGTCTCTGTTTGGCCATGACCCTGTCTTCAATTCTTTCCATATCTTTCTGCATCTTTTCATGTACGTCGCCTGACGCACACGCCAGGCTACCGTTTCTTCAATCCTTCTTTCCCTACCTTCACACGCGCCAAAGAGCCACATTGTTTATTCCAGGGGGCCTGAGTCTAGGATTGCACATGACAACCTCGAAAAGGCCAGGTTGTTCTTTTTTTGTCGTGCTCTGTTTCATCACACGCCGACGGACTGTTTATTCATAGATCATCTTGATATGTCTCGTGTCAAGGTATCCCCCTAAGACATTCATCCCCGGTTTCCATACTAACTGCCGACCAAATCACGCCCTATGCTAGCCCTACCACAGTTCCCATGTTGGTTATATTATTGCAACCTCTTTCAACAGCCCGGCCGGGCTAGCTCAATCGGTAGAGCGTAAGACTCTTAATCTTAAGGCTGCGGGTTCGACCCCCGCGTTCGGCTATTCCTAAAACCAAACCTGAGATTTCTTTTTTTTTTGTTGCAGAAAATTCTGCTTGAGCCTCACCTGTCTATAATCGAGTCTGGTTGGTCAGTGTATCCATTGGGATCCACTAGTGGGTCGGGCCGATGCTTGAGCCAGATGGGGGTTCATCGACGGGAATTTACATACATGTCCTTCGTATGTTTTGCATGATATCCGCAAGAAACAATTGCACGTATATTACAAGCATTCAAGTTTGAAAAATTCTTCACTGAGTATGACTAGCAAGGTATTATCCTGGCAGCCATTTGTGGCTTAACATGGCCCGAGCGCAAGGCAGAAAATGCCTTGTCCAGATAAGGGCGCGACAAGGTTTGTCCTTCAGCTGGACATGGATCATTGGAGATTATAGTGTATGCAGGCATCAAATTGACCTTGCCAGGAAGTTACCATGCCATAATTCGTATAATATGTCATCACCGGCTTTACGTTGGGGATCCTGCAGAAAAATACCTGGGCTTCTTGTAATATATATCGCTCAGCTGAATGAGGTATGTAATAGCGGCTTGACGAATATGCAGGTTCTTCGTTGTGATCCTGGACCTACTTGCATATGGTTTTCGATCCAAATTTTCCGAGACGGAATATGTCCACCGTCTACCCCGGTAGATCTATGTTGAGAAGTACAGGGTTACTCCGAGTATACCAGCCTAGCATGGTAGCCTACAACGGACCACACTCCCGGGTCGAGAGTGAAACATCGAGATGAAATTCGCCACCTAGGCTGATTGCTAACGGCTTGTTCTAAGGTTGGCTACCCCTCAACCTGGTCGTCTGCCTTAAGTCGTAGTAGCCAGTATTCGAAGTTATCGACATGAATATTCTAGGCTTACTTTACCTACGCTTTCCCCTTTCTATCTACCATGGCAGCCTTGCTGGAACAAATGAGCCTATAAGTAATGGATTGCTAATCATGCTGCCGCTGGGAAAGGGATATAGTTGACTGTGTAAACTACAGCCTGATTATAAATGATGATTAGTATACAATCAAGGTATCTGACTGAGCAGGACCATTCAGGTATTCTCCCTCTACGGAAGACATGTAATGCCAAGCTTCTTCTTGCGCACATTTACTGTCCATCGGATCAATGGCTGTCGGATCGAGCTCCCTACTTCATCCTTTGACGTCACTGATAATAGTGACCGGACAAGTGAGCAGGGTAACCACGATATGTTTCATACTTCTAATGCTCCATTGAGTAGGTAAATGACTAGGAAGCTTTGTTGGACACTCGCAGCCTGCGATGTGTGTGAGGTAAGAGTACTATGAAATTCCGATCTCTATCTGGAACCGGTCTTCTACCAATCGTTGACCTAGAGGTCGTGTTTTTAATTTTTCCTTCGAACTATCACCACTTTTACTAGCCCACTCCATCGTCATGTTCGTTGATCTTCGTGCAGGTAGATCGACCTTTCTTCAAACCATCACCAATTTCCCAGCGCTCTCCATCTTCATCTTCGTTGATTTCCAAGCACACAAATTGACGCACCTGTACTCCCTTCTGCTCGCTCCTCCTCCATCTAACATACTGAGATCCAATATCCAATTGCCGTGGCATCTTTGACAAAGCCTGAAGCACTATCTCTCAATATTTCTTCGCTTATTCCAGCGATGGCCGACTTTATTGAAACTCTAGAGGCAAAGTTTCGCTCCCTCAACACAAAAGTTGCCCGCTTTACTTTCTTACATGGCTTTTCAGTGGTCTTTTTAGTGGTCTTTTCGGCAGTCTCTCCAATAGCCTTCTCAGTGGGCTTCCCATTTTTTCTTAGATATCTCTAAAATAGTTTTCCCCTTTCCAGCCTATCTAAGACGGCAGAAAAAGGCGGGAAAAGCATACTCTGTGCAAGCGACTTTTCTATGTATAACTTCTGATGACTTCCGTAATTGCAGGTGCTAATATAGATAGGGATGATCCACCACGCAAGGAAAACTTCAAAGATGTCTGACACGTCAGCGTATGGCATTGCGATCGATAGTTTCGAGTGGCAGTCTATTCACATTTGAGAGAATAGCGAGGTAAGAAAACCCACGAATCATACTAGAATTTAACCAACAAGCCATCTAGTACGTAGTTCGGAGCTACTACTTGGAATTCGAAAAAGCCAAGATCATCTCACTTCTCTACATGGTCTTTGAAACTGCCGCAAGTTCTTCGGTTGGATCGCAGTGTAAATAATGGCGTCGAGGTTCCGAAATCGATTTCACAACTGAGTTGGAGAAACCTAAGTCGTCAATCCTTTTTTGTTTTCTTGCTCTTACCGTTTCCTGGGAAGTTTCCCCGATGGACCGTCGGGCTACAGTATAGCATCGGGCATATGGTCTTCGTGACTTGTATTGGCCTAGCTAATTAGGCTTGAAATAGGATATTTTCCCAGTACTCTGAATGGGCAGTCTATATTGTACATTGTACGCAATAGGGTCTTATCTAGAGCCATGTGGGGAGCGAGTTCTTGTTTCTCTTTCCCCTTGAACTTGAAAATTTTACCTCCCATGCAATCTTCCTGATATGCAGTTGAAGAAGCAATGATTTCCCCTGTAACATGAAAACAAAGATGACTAAGAAGAAACGAAGGACCAGGAAATAAAAACACATGATGCAACGGTACTACATTCGATCTATGGCCGCACTGTTATCCGATTCAGCGACAACCTCGTCGTGAAGTCGGGTGATCTCCGCCCTCACGAAGGGGAAACACTTCGTTTTCATTGCAGCAAACACAAAATTCCCTGTAGCTAAGGTTTATAATGGTCGCTATGAAGATGAAAAATTCATCGCTCTCGTGATGGACTAGATGCCTGGCGAGCGATCTGATGAAGTATAGAACACTTTGGGTTCTAGTCAGAAGCTCTCTATTGCTGATGGGTTGCACACCCACATAAACCAACTTTGCGAACTGAAAGGTGACTTTATCGGGGCTGTTGGTCGTGGTAAAGCTATTATGAGAAATATCTCGTCAATCGGAGGACCATTTGATACCGACCAGGAATTTAACCAATTTATTCCCGGGGATATGTTCAAATCAGCACCAGATATACTACCATATTATTCCAAATTTGCGCTTATGGATTATCATGAGAAGTTCTTCACGCATTCTGATCTCGCCCCGCGAAGTATTCTTGTTGAAGCCGGCCAGGTTACAGCTATTCCTGACTGGGAATATGCTGGCTGGTATCCGGCATACTGGGAATGTTGTCAGGTGCTTCGGCACTTGAGGCCAATGTACGACTGGCCAGAATGTCTGTCCCGTGTCCTTACACCCGAATTCGAGAGAGAGTACATAGGCGTGAGCTTTTCAGCTCGTGTTTTAAGTCGCTAGCTGGTCAGCTACACTGTGATACGCTGTGGATACTATCCTTTCAACTACGAATCCAGCTAAGTTCAGATGAAAAAAAAGCAGCTCACAAAGAAATCATCACGTTTCTCTCGAATAATATTCAATGAAGCCTTCAAAGTAGATGCAATCAATATAACCCCATCAATCCTTCGCAAAAGGCACTGGCGTTGTTTGTATGTAATGCTAGCCCTTTCATGTTAGCAAAGAAGTATTTCCTCCCAATTTATATATTGACCGGAAACACGATTTGGTCACGGGGGCCGAAGACTATCATGTTTTGAATTTCTCGTCCTTCACATCCCAGCACACATCGACCATTGCGTTAATGATCGATGTACGTTGGGAAGTAGTCCCATACTTACTACCCACTTGTAAAACCCGCGAGCGGCAAAAGGTCCTCTCAAACATGCCACTCAACCGTGAATATAGTTTTACTTCCAGAAGATGTTGGTCACTTTAATTCGTCATATATCAAACAGCTGCAATTTCCAGTTGGCCCACCTTACAACCTCCACAACTCAGACAGAAATATTCTGTTGACGTCAATTGGTGCACCGGGTGACCAGAGTTCGATGACGTACAAGGCTACATGACTCAAGCGTCCTCAGCGAGCTCTTTTCGGGATTCACTTTGGTAGCCATCAATTGGATAGCATGGGTTTGACAGAGCTAATGTCACAGCTGGAATAACTAGGTAGCTGCTGGTAAAGTAAAAATATACAGAAAAAGGGGGAGGGAATGAGACAGGGTCTGAAGGAGCATAGTGGGTAAGGCTAGATGTCGGCTTTTTCGTTGCGTATGCTAGATTTTACCTGGATTGAGCTGCTTTCGACACGGATACGGGAGCGAACTCGATGGCGAGCTTGGTCTCAGGGGAGATTCAAACTAATAGCCCCATTAGCTGCGTAAGTTTGCGCCTCAGTGACAGCGGTCTTGTCATCTTGCCTACTGATATTGTTGCTCGATACGCAGGATTGATTTCTCGCCGGACATCAATGAACCATTCAGAGGCGCTGTCTACTAGTGCCGGTCCATCCAAAACTCGCATGGATTGCCTGAGCTAGAAATAGTTCTAGCGAAGCCCCTAGGATTATGGATTGTAATTTCCATTCGATTACTGGCGTTTGGGACTACGCCCGACAAGGCAGCAACAGGGATAGTTGCGGTGGTAGCAAAGTAGTTCTTAGTGGGCCGGCGGTCGGGCTGTTGATCTGGGGCCATACATGTTTCGGGAAATTTGTGCTAGTCAAGGCAAGGAGAGTGAGATCAACGACTGAGTATCATATATATGGTGACGGAACAGTGGAAAGGTACCAGATTGACACATTTTCATTCTGAGGCCAAGGATCAGTCTCTGGAATTGAAGATTAGATTCATGCAAGGCTTGGACACAATGAAGAAAATGCACATAAATATAACATGCACTACTTGACTATGCTGTCATTACCCCATACATCACTCAGCTTCATTGTAGTTGATCCCCAATTTCCACAACGTTGAAACATATATAATCCTGCCCTCGGCAACATCACCGAATTGGCATCGCTGTAGGAACATCGTGCTTCGACTGTGTGGCACAATTTGCTTGGTACTTCATTCACCTCTGGGTATTCTTTTGGGGGCCATAAAGAGCCACGTACGGCCGATGTCATATTTGTCCAATACTGAGAACTCAAGTTAATAAGAAAATACACTATAAAGAAGGAACATCAACGCTTTGAGCCAAACACCGGAAGGATGCGAAACCTAAATAAGGCCCACGCCACGTGAAAATTTGGGCTTCACTGATTGGACGAGTCAACCATATGCTCGTACTATAAGTAAGCCCTGAGGACATCATTCACCCCCGGCTACCAACTTCCTTTTGGGGAAGTCACAGAACATTGCTGGTAGAAACGGTCTACGGGATGCTCTTCTCAAATTAACAATTGTCACCTGGCTACCTGGGCGTCTGGGCATTGGGAGTTGTTCATCAAGGATGTTTGGTCTATTTTTGTCGAAACGGGAATATAGGGGCTACCATGTATAAAAGGATCAAGTGCCTTCGCATCATTCTGTTGTTAAGATTCTTCTCACTACCTACAGTTGAATTCAAAATGCGTTCGTTCTTCCTCGGGACGTCTCTTTCACTCCTTTACGCGGTCAGCGTAGCTGCTGTTCCTCACTCTACCAGAGTTTCCACGACTCCTTCAGCACCCTCATCAACCCCTGACTTTAAGCTCAAAAACCTGGCTGCATTGGCAGATCAGGCCACGGGAGCTTGGAAAGATGCTCAGTGTACTACCAATATCACTGATGCGACATTAGATCCCACTGCTCGTTGGAATGCAGCCAACGCCGATGATGCCCTGAAATCTGCCTTGGATGCCTGGGCCACGTCCGGTCCTTCCACTGGCCTCGGCTTTCCTGAGTTTATTAGCAATTACTTTTCTGGTCCTGACAACTGGAACTGTGCGGATATTGGCAACACTGCTTGCTCCACAGTGCTGACCTGTAACCAGGCAGAGTATCCTGCCGGGTAAGTAAGCCCTGAGCTTTTGACAATATACATAGGATTGAGGGCTTACATGGGCATGCAGATATCTGATTATGAATTCTTTCTCCTCGATCCACCAGGTATATTGTCCTTTCCCTGGGTTTGATAGACAGTCAACTAACTAAGGCACTTTTCTACTAGCTTCATCAACAAACCTACAACGCTCTCGGAGATGCTCTGAATAGAATGCAAAATGATATTGGTGCCTTTTCGGGCATCTTTGCGCCTCAACTCAAAGACAACACTGAGCTCATCAAGTTCATTATAGATGCCATTGTCTTGGTGGCTAGCATTGGCAGCTCTTTTGCATGGAATATTGGTATGTGTCTGTTCTAGCCACGACCTGATTTGTGCTAATGGGGTATCACAATATTAGCGTTCAAGGGCCTCAGTATGGCCACGTCAAAATATTTCTCAATGGGCAAAGACGTGACTAACGCTGCGCTCATTTCTTTTACCACTTCGATGGGTAAAGACTCAATGAAATCGTGGGTCACAATCTCCCTGTCAGGTTTACTCTTGAACAAATATCTAAGCTACAAACAGCACCAAAGACGCATTGGGCACCCAGAATGGCATTTCCTCCGCCCTTGGCGTATACTTTTCTGCCTGGACTGGTATGGAGAGCGGATATATGTCCTCGCTCTTTGATGGAGCGAATGATGATTCTTCAATTTCTCCTCTGAAAACTTTAACGTCCAGCGGCTCAATGCTTCTACTTTCGTCAAAAGTGGACTTGACTGGGATGACCGCTCAGGCGCAAAAGATCCTTTATGGACAGTTAATTCCGGCGGCTTGGGCGCAAGGACCTGGCACCCTCTACCCCCGAATCCTGTAAGAATAGCGCCCTTCTCACCTTTTTACGAAAGAAAAATCAAGCTACTGACCAGTTCTCTTTTGTTGGCAGGCGGAAAGCTGGAGCTTGTTCTACGGCAATTGACCAAGACGTTCTCGATTACATGGATAAGGGCGCTCTAGTCGGCGGGTATGTCTGCTACAATAACGATGCTTTCTACGTCGTGAACGTTGATACCTCTGCTGGCATGCAGCCCTTCGAAGCCCCCCTGGTGGGGACCATCAGACTCTTAACGGAGATGCCTGGGGCGGTGTCATCCTGGAGGATATAGTTCAGAGCTCTTACCAGGCCTACCAGCTGAATGGCAACAAAAATGGCTATGAGATGCCCGCTCTGTCAAAGATTGTTGATGGAGCAGGCACAGAGGGTGATTTGGTTTTCGAGAACGGAATCCGAACTCCGGGATTCTTCAACCTACCAATCTGCGACGATATTGCTGCAGCGGCTGACGTTGTCAGTTGGGGCGGAACAAAGGGAAAATACTGGCCTTGCGAAGCACCAGAAGGATACAACGCTGGTGGAACTAATGTGGTAAGTTTCTGACAAAACCAAAGCACATAGCGTGGCAATTTGCCTTTTGCTAACATAGAACTTCAAAGCACGTCAACAACGGATGCATCAATGTGGACGGTGAGACCCTATGCAAGTCAAAGACCAAGTCTACCAGTATGTTTCCGTGATTCTCGAGGTTCCCTTGTGCTAAGGTCATTATCTAACAAGACAACAGATATTGCAGACCAGGCTACGGGAGACAGTGTCGCGACCATCTACGCACAGTTTGATGGAGACAACAAGACTTCCTACAAAGTTGTTCCTGGCTGCAAGCTGCAAGCTACCTGGCCCCGCGCCTATGGCGACGTTTACTTTGGGGCCGATAACTGTCTGTATGATTCGACTGGCACCAATATAAATGGCCAGTGCTGTACCGAGAAGACCGAGGACTCGATTGTCAACCCGTACTATGGATATTAGGTGAGGTTGTGCTGAGATAGACGGTAGATGGCCATTATATGATGCTATCTCTCATTGTTTGGTTGCAGACTGAGTGGGTTGTTTCCCAGACACCAGGGCATAGATACTCTGCTTTTTCTTAGATTCAAAAACTATGTTTCTTCTTTCTCTTCCTCCCTTCTCCCAGTAGCCATGAGAAAACTGAAGAGGTCATCGATTATAATGGGGGTATTGGGGGGTTTCAGATTGTGGATGACAGCATTTCGAGAGAGTAAGTACTCTCGATTCGTCCATCCAGGTCACCAAGCTTTGTTCTTTCTGGAAGAATGAATTGGTTGTAGGAAACCGGGTTTCCCCCTGAGGCTTCCCTATCTGAGCCGCTTCTATGAGGCTCAAGCTTAGGCTCAGTTGATCTCAGCACGGGTGCGAAGACTTGACAGACTAGACGATCAGGGTCCAAGCCCCGTTTTAAGACGAGTTTTAGGATCGTAGAGCTGGGAATTACGATACCTGAAATACTACCTCGGTATCCATCATATCCATTGCGTTCCATGCTGTGTCCCTCAAAGTCCCTCATTCTGCTGGTGTTTGCATGTCTCAAAAGTTTCAATCGCAGATCTATGAATCGCTTACAAATATGGAGGTACTTGGATTTAGGTAAGATGAAAAACCTCGCCTTGGAAGTATCTTGCATTAATAAATTTACCACACGCTATACTGAGCGATATTTGGCACTTCCCCCGCAAAGTTGACTCCCGATACTGATGATGGTTCCTTTGCCTTACTGCAGCATGCCCGACAAGGGGCTCGCTCCGGTGATGACCACGACTGGGTCGTTGCAATTCGTGGTAGTCGACATTGTAGTGCACAGTATGGGGACACGTTAGTCTCAACAAGAGGAAGGCTCGTATGTTTGACAATGATGTGTTTGGGTACCTTCATGTTCCTGCTTCATCTTCCCAAATTCTTTATGTCGGAGAGTATATTGCTCCCGACGATGAATTAGACCCACTTGCCGCACCCGCGCCCCTGCCAAGTCGTTCCCTTCCCGGCTTGGCTCGATACCTGGGGATCAGAATTGTGGCTCCGTATTTTGGAGCCTCACTGGGCGATCCGCTTAACCTCTACTGGGCAGCCCTCAGCCTGGAGCTGTGCGGTGTACGTGTATGTATCTCCTACGTATAGATACCGTATGACCATTAGGTGGATCTGATTATCTATTGAAAAATGAGACCAATTTCTCTTCTATCCCCTTTTCAACTGAGCAGGTGATCATTCCGTTTCCTCTTTCTCGAACACCGCCGTACTTCGACATCCAGATTCCTTCAATATTCGTAAAGGTTGACTAGTATTAGTAGTAATACTAATTTCAAAACTCCCAAAAAAAACCCCATGATTGAGATTGGTATGTTTGCGGGGAGGCGGTCAAGCTTTTTGAAAAGGGAAATTGCTCCATGGGGTAGTTTGCGTCTCCCGTAGTACCCCCGTGGTACCCGCAGTCGTGTTGTTCTTTGAAGCTTAGTTTGCCCCTTGAAGTCCTTACAATATTCACTCCTTCATCTATGTTAAACCGAGTTCACCAGGATGACTGCAAATCCTACCCTTAAGAACGAAGTCGCTACGACAGACGTGGCTGAGGCCATGATAACCCAAGTTCAAGAATCGGAACAGACGGAACAGACGGAACAGACGTCCCAGTATCTAAAGCTCCCGAGTGTGGTCATGGTCTCCATTGTACTCTGCTTGGCCACTTTTTGCGTGGCAGTGGACAATACGATCATTTCGACCGCTGTGCCCCGGATTACAAAGGATTTTGACAGCATTGACGATGTGGGCTGGTACGCATCGTACGTCTCCCATAATGTGCCAATGCTGAGAGGGAAAATGGCCCCCAAATTGACCGATCCCCGAACAGAATCTATCCACTGATGTCCTGTGCATTTCAACCATCCTACGGAAAGGTCTATTCAATCTTCTCCAGCAAAAAGATTTTTCTAGCAGCCTTGCTCATTTTCGAGATTGGGAGTGTGGTTTGTGCGACCGCATCGAGTTCTCATATATTCATTGGGGGACGGGCATTGGCAGGCCTCGGGTCGGCTGGTATACAAGCAGGCACCACTCTGGTTCTTGCGGAGAGTGTGCCGCTACGCCAACGACCGACATGGAACGGCATCGTCGGCAGCATGTTTGCAGTTGGAAGTGTGGTTGGACCGTTACTGGTACGAGATGATACCCCCTATTAGCAACCAATTCATGGCAAGGATTGACACATGGTGCAGGGAGGAGCCTTTTCGGATTCAACAACATGGCGGTGGTGTTTCTACATCAATCTTCCCCTCGGAGGCGCAGTCATGATCTTTACCATCTTTTTCTATGATGGAAGTCGTGGTACCAACAAATCCCCCAGGCCGGTCGGGCTCCGCGGCCTGATCGAGCGCTTCGACTTGGCTGGTACCTGCGCTTTTGTGGCAGCAACAGTCTGCCTTCTCTTAGCACTATCATGGGGCGGCTCCACATATGCATGGGACGACGCTCGCATCGTCGCCCTACTCACCCTCGCGGGTGTTTTGTTTTGCTCGTTCTACGGTATTGAACGCTGGAAGAAGGATAACGCCATTATTCCTTTACGCTTGCTCCGCAGGCAAAGTATAGGTGCCGCTATCTTATTTGGTATCTGCCTCGGAGGCGTGTTCTTTGTATGTATTTCTAACACTGACTTCGCACTGGATCCCGCTAAGACATTACTATCGTACTAGGTCAATGTTTACTACATACGTGAGTACCCAATGAATCAGGGTGGCAGAATAATTCCTAATCAAGTCTCTTAAGCGCTATGGTTCCAACTGGTCAACGGTGTCTCTGCAGTTGAATCTGCAATCCTATTTATCCCATTTATGCTCAGTGTCGTCGGTGGTTTCATGTTCGCTGGCTTTGGGACCGCTGCAACGGGATATTACACACCTTTCGTCTACGCTAGTTCAATCCTTATGTCGATCGGTGCTGGCCTGCTTTCGACTGTCCAACCTCATCTCACCTCGCGGGCTACATGGATCGGATTCCAGATTTTGTGTGGAGCCGGAATTGGCTTTGGAGAGGAACAAGGAATCTATATGGTACAGACAGCCCTCCCCGAAAAGGATATAGCAATTGGCGTTGGTATCGTTTTCTTCGCACAAACATTTGGTGGGGCCTTGTTTGTGTCAGTGGCGCAGACTATCTTCCTAGCGAACATCAGTAAAGTACTGAAAAAGGTCGCACCGAGCCTAGATCCTCAAAGCGTTCTCGATAGCATATACGCGGGCTCTTCTCAAACATCACCAGAACTACAGGCGGCCTACGCCCCAGCAATCAAAAGCGCTCTCCGGGTTGGTATGATATTAGCAACTATCTCGAGTTTAGGTGCTTTGCTCTATGATTGGAAAAGTTTAAAGGCGAAGAATGATGATAGAAACAATGAACCTAGCAGAGACTGTGGGACAGAGCAGGAGGCACAAGTTCGAACAGAGGGAAAGGCGGAGTAAGAAGTTTACTGTTGCAATAGAACTAATGCGCATTTCATAGAAATTTATTTCATAATACAGACTAATACCTACTCTTGTGTCTATCAATCTGCATCATTTTCGAAGGCGACTCGCTCCTGACGGGCCTGGATCTCCAATGATCAGTCCCTCTTGTAGCCACATGTGCACGATTTTCGTTCGCATGGAATCTTTCTTCTCTTAGTTACTCGTGGCAACGTCAATGATATCCGTCTTTCAAATTTGGGTTCTTGTCTTAACATCTCTCCTAAGTCGTCTACTTCAAGCACTTAAATGGTCAAATCAAGCAGCAGAATGGTTTTCGAATTGTGGTAAGCAAAGCTCTCGGAAGTCGGGTATTTCATATAAAACTCCCTTTTACCACAATTTATTACTCTGCACTTCTAGTCTCCTGCATTTAGTTCATACGCACTGGGTCTCCTCTTAGTCCTGTCTTTTCCCTGAGTTATCCATCCTTCGTGGCTACTTCAAAGGCGTAAGTATTAGTTCAAGCTCACGCCCTCATCTATTACTATGGCTCAACTTGCGGTCCCGATTTGACTGGCTGACAAGGAAACTCCCACTCTTTTACCGGCTGCATGGACTGCGTTAGCGCAATTACCCTCACTTATTTCGTTGCTGCCTACTGGACTGCGCTACGGCTGGCGTTGGCGTCTGCTCGACAGCTATCCTACGGCCTAACCTAGTTGTGAAGAATATGTCACGTCCGATGCCGGAAGAGCTTATACAAAGGTAAGTCATTTTTGTCCCTTAAGAAGCAGCGCTGATCTAGACGTGGTTCAATAGATACAGTTCCAGTGGATCTGAATCGATGGTGTGCGGACATGATACACTAATTGTGCGGATTAATATAATTCAGACCGTCAATGAAATTGTCTTATATTTTCTTCATTCAGATAGTTCGTTGCATGATCATTAGTGAATAATCGGCTTAAGCCAAGAAGCCTGCCTGCATGAGGCGCTGTAGTCTGTGTCCGTCCTGAACCCTAATTTTGACATTTTCGCAATGTCCCAGCCAGAAACAGAATCTGGGCTATCAGGTACAGGCCTCCCCATCTGTATCGAGTTACCAAATCGACAATTATTGGAAGAATAGGAAAATTGCAGGCAATATGGGTCCGCGGCGCAGGCGGTGCTGCACGCTGCAGCAGAAGAATGGGCAGGGGAATTCTTTGGTCGAGGAATGTCCGAGTGATTGTCCCAGAATTTTCGAGTGGGCGCATCGCGGAGATGAGAGTGAGTATATGCGAGGAGCGACGAGTGAAGGAAGGGTTGCTAACGGCGTTAGTAGGGGACAGCATCTTCAGCAAAATGAACGACAGATACCTCATTATATGGTCTCGTTCGCTCCCATTTCCACAGCGCCGTCATCTGCTCTGGCGACATTCTATGAAGTGCAAGCAGCGGAGTACACCACCTTTCCTTGTTCACTTTGAGGGACCCAAGGTCTTCACCAGCAAAGGTAGGATAAAGACCTTCTAGCTTCACTCCAGTCTTATCCAGGATTGCATAACCAAGCACGGCATCACCGCAGCAGTCCTTCTTGGCCCAGTCTATGTATTGAAGACTGAGGCTTGTTTCAGTGCTGGAGTCTCCAACCAAGCGTTTCATTACGCCCGTTGACAGCACAAATCCTGCGCCACCATATGCGAAATATTTACCCTCGGGTCCCGGCACCGGTGACCCCATATAGTGCATTCTGGATGGGTCGAGCTGATCGAGCATGCGGAACAGCGTGTCCCAAAAGTAATAGACGTCGGCTTCGATGAAGACATACCAATCGGCGTGCGGGCGCATATGATATGCTTTCTCAACCATAGGTAGAAACTTAAAGCGGTCGAGTCTCCAACCTTCCTGCGAATAGCCAACCGACCCTCCTTGTGAATGAGCCAGCTTCTGAGTATTGTAAGTCGCGAAATCCGGATTGTCAATGGCATATTCTGGCGGGAGATCGGCGAGTACATCAATGAAATGATGTTGACCAATTTGCTCATCGTGATCGGAAAAGACAATGAGGTTGGTGATGCAGGATGTAACGGAGGCAAGATGCGCTTTGTTCTTCTCAGGCTCGCCAGCACCTGTTTTGAGGATGACTTGGATGCGATCTAATAGGTGCGTGGGAAAGCTTGCACAGAAGTCGGACGCCGTCAGGTTTCTGTCTCCGGCATCGATGAGCGGCGGGAAAAAAGGCGTATTTCTCCATGAATAATAATGGTTCCAGCCTTTAGAATAATATGGTGATTTCGTCGGGGAGGACGCATTCAGGGAAAACTCATATCGTTGTCGGTGTGCATAGTGGCCCAGACCCAACACGAACAGAACGATCAGAAGGATTGATAAGTAAAGTTCACGCCTCCGAAGTGGCCATGAAGATCGAAGAGTGAGCATCCTTAGATTTGTAGGGCATATAGACGAGAATGCCTGGTATGAATCGTTCAATCCAATTTTTTCCACAGCGTCACGCCAGCACACCAGAAAATATCACGGTCGCGCTAGTTGGGTCGAAGATGGCAATTACGTACAGCTACCTACTATCCATTTTATTTGTACGCAGTACGGAGTACGCCATTTTCATCTGTCTTTTCTTTGTAATTGTGGGGCTCAACATGTTAGCTTTAAAGTGTTCCGCCTCCAAGACACAAGGAATTGGCCCCCTTGCACGTATCAACTATGTATTCACAACTTACAAAATCCGCTGTGCTGCCTAATGAGCACGTCCAGCAATATCAGCCAACGGTGTACAACAGGAACACCCATGTGGGGCCCTGCGGCCTTGGAAGTAATAAACTCGGACGAGATCTTATTTCCACATCACACCTATGAAGATCACTCGTATTCGAGGCGGGATTATTACGGGGTTCCAAACAGGTATGAGGCTCAAGCCAGAAAGGTATTGCTAATAAATTACTAGCGTGTAATTTACTTGAATTCATATTTGCCTAAATATTACAGAGTGACATCACCTCCTTTGTGCTCTGAGAACCCTTGGCGCTAGTAGCCGACCGATGTGATTGAATTACCTGACTGGATAGAGAAAATATTAGGGCGGCTACTAAAAGTTAGTGGGAGTAGGGCAAATATCTGGATAGGCCTCGGATATTCCAAGGTTGCTCGTGTCCCGTGCTCCAGTACGCCGGATCGGCCCGCGATCCGCTGGTTCTTCTCTGTGATTGGTAGCTCTTAAGCTTTAATGGGGCTCAACCTTCTTTTGAACCAATCAGGGTCCCTGATCTACCCCTATCAGGGCGAAAGCCATGATTATCGACATCGTATACTAGGTACAACATAGTCAAGGAGCATTTTTCGATTATATCGCAAGACAGCCAAGCCATTGGCTTAATAGGCCTGCATCTATTGTATCTATACACTGCAATCCCTTCGTTCCCTGCCTCATAAGGCACGATTGTAGGCCTGAAAGACGGTCCATAAAGCAATATGCCCATTTCTTGCTGACTGGATTGTTCTTACTAGCCCGCAATAGCGCCCGACTTGTCTAGGTGTTTCGGAGCCTAGGGGGTATCAGCATAATTTAATCATTCATATACGACCTCACTAGTATATCAAAGGTCGGTATTCAGAAATGTCATCCTAGGCTGCTGCATCTGATTTGATCACATGAGAGAATATGACGGGCACTCGGCTAGAATATCATACCTCCGATTCTAGCCCGAGCTGGATATATTGTGAAAGAATACTAGTTTTTAGGCCAGGTCCTTGTAGATCCTTGGGTGATGTTTAATCGGATATTTAGGATGAATGTGAGATCGGGAGATAGAGATGAAAGGTGTAGCGTCTTTCACATATGATGAAAGCTCAATTGAACTCCTTTGTAAATGTGTCCCCAAGGAATTATGCTACGGGAAAGACTATGTGGGAAACTCCATGAGGTCACACTTTAAATGCATGTGCGATCGATACGACGTACCTCCTCATCGATGACATAGAACAATTCGAGTAATAGATTTATCCATCATCTCCAGGGCTATGCCGCTGTGCGATTCATAGTTACTAACGGTTTCCTCTGATATTATGATTGATCCGAGCTGTTCATAGCCGGTCTTACATGGTAGGTTGATGGGTGTGTCTCTATCCAGTATACCAATTTAGCCCAAATATATATATCGATTTTTCCCCCTATGTTGTTTTACTGTTTGTCTGCTTGTCTACTTGTCTACCTGATTGTCTTTATTTTGGAAGATGATTGCTAACTGTATTATGAAAAGTTCTTTGAAGATTGAGATTTATACATGGCCCAACCGTGATGTGACCATCATACACCCGATCTATCTTACCTAATTCATATTCATCCCATGCTAAGCTAATATGGATAAAAACAAAAAAAGAAATCTCAGGGTTGGTTTTAGGAATAGCCGAACGCGGGGGTCGAACCCGCAGCCTTAAGATTAAGAGTCTTACGCTCTACCGATTGAGCTAGCCCGGCCGGGCTGTTGAAGACGATGGGAAAATGTGGCTACTTATCCCTGATCCTGTCATTTCAGCCATAAAAGCATCATATCAAATACCTCATTACTTTCCAGTTCAGGCAATTTTGCAGTTTGGCTAAAAAGTTCAGGCGTATTCCCAGAGAGTGGAGGTTCCAACTCAGGAACCGGAGTTGACCGGCAATTGGCGAGGAGAATTACACCTGCGGGGAATCTCTTGGAATGATTCGAGGATTTGCCGACGAGGTGGGTTTGTCGACCGGAAGAGGCAAGACAATGACCAAGGTTATTGTCCCCCGATTTGCTCGGAAAATTGTTCGGGTATATAAACCCCGGGTCAAGGAAGGGATGAAGTGACATTTGGCTTTCCGAAAGTACTTTGATACTACTTCCAATATGCAATTGCGAGGTATGGTCACCTAAACTCAAATCAATTGAGCCAGTATACTCACCTATATATATAGAGAATCACAATGACCTGGCTGAGATCATCAATTGCCACCGACCAGATCTAAAGCAGTTTGAAGATGTCTATCGCCACCTACACACCAATCCCGAACTATCAGGCCAAGAAGAACAAACAGCCAAATTAGCATCCGACCACCTTCAAGCCATTGGCTTCGAAGTCCACACCAAAATCGGCGGCCATGGCGTAGCAGGAGTTCTTCGAAATGGATCAGGCCCAAAAATTCTTTTACGGGCGGACATGGACGCCTTGCCCGTAGAAGAACAGACAGGCCTGCCATACGCAAGCACCCGCCACGTCAAAGACGAAACGGGAGCCCGCAGGCCCGTTATGCACGCCTGTGGACACGACTCCCACGTCGCAACCCTCATGGCCGCCGCAACGCTTCTGCAGTCCGCGCGCGATAGCTGGTCTGGAACATTAATCTGCATCTTCCAGCCCGCCGAGGAACACCTCGACGGCGCACAGGCAATGCTCGATGACGGGCTATACGACAAGATCCCCAAGCCGGACCTTGTGCTCGCGCAGCATGTAATGCGCATGCGCGCGGGGACGGTCAATCTCCGCGCTGGCCCGCTACTCACGGCGGCTGATGCCTTCGACGTGCGTGTGTTTGGGCGTGGGGGTCATGGTTCTGCGCCACATACGACTATTGATCCGATCGTCCTTGGGGCGGCGATTGTTACGCGATTACAGACTATCGTCTCGCGAGAGGTCACGCCGGGCAAGTTGGCTGTCGTTACCTGTGGTAGTATTCATTCTGGACACTCGCCGAATATTATCCCCGCGTATCTCGATCTGCAGCTGAATGTGCGTACTTATGATCCGGAGGTGCGGAAGCGTGTGTGTGCTTCTATTCATCGCATTATTGAAGGGGAGTGCATTGCTGCCGGTGTCGAGAGGGAGGCTGAGATTAAAGTGACTTCTTCGACACCGTCGACGATTAATGATGGGAAGACCGTTGATGCTCTTCGTGAGACATTCCAGCCGTACTTTGGTGATCGCCTGGTAGATGCGGAGCCTCCGACTGCTAGTGAGGACTTTACTTTGCTGGCTACGGCTGTGGGCGCGCCTTATGTTATGTGGATGTTTGGTGGGACTGATCCCGAAACTTGGGATGATGCTGTTGCTAAGGGGACTGTTGATGAACTGCCTAGTAACCATTCGCCTTTCTATGCGCCAGCTATCCAGCCCACATTGTGTACGGGTGTGGATGCTCTCGCACTTGGGGCTTTGACTTTCTTGAAGAGGACATGAGGATAATATTAGTTAACTTGGGTAAATAATATATTCAATTAGTCGAACATTGTTTTCCTCGCGAGATATCAAAAGTGATCATGGAAGGCGAAGGGATAAGTCCGGGTGAGGTCATCAATCGCGCTCTAAAAAAGTGGCAACGCCCATTCTTCAACATAACCACGTCAAAACAACATATCACACAAAATGGCATCTGCCCAACCCACAGAGATGAAAGCCTGGCTCTACTCCAGCACAAGAAATGGGCTAGAAAAGAACCTCAATTTCGACGCGTCGGCACGCGCGCCGCCAGCCGTGCACGGCAACAATGTCCTAGTCCAAGTCCTCTCAGCTTCCCTGAACCCAGCAGACTTCAAGGTCCCCGAAATGGGCTTAGTAGCACGCAAATTTGTCATTGGCACACCGGCTTCACCGGGAATGGACTTCTGCGGACGCGTGGTCGTCACCGGCGATGCCGCGACCGAGTTTTCTCCCGGCCAGCTCGTGTACGGATGTCTCAGCAAGCCGGGGCAATTCGGCTCTTTGGGCGAGTACCTAGTGGCATCTGCAAGTTTGCTTGCGCCCGTGCCGGAGGGCGTGGAGGTTGATCATGCGGCCGCCATCGGTATTGCGGGACAGACGGCGTACCAGTCACTGGCTGGGTATGTTAATGCTGGCGATAAGGTGTTTATCAACGGGGGTCTGGGGGATGTGGAATTTTTGCGATCCAAATTGCTAAGGAGTTGGGGTGTCATGTCACGACTACTTGTTCGACGAAGAATGTGGAGTTTTGTCGTGGGCTCGGCGCTGATGAGGTTATTGACTACTCGGTTGAGACGGATTTGGTTGCTACACTGCGCAATCGTGGAGTCATCTTCGATCATATTATTGATCATATTGGATACCCTGCGCCGATGTATCGTGAGTCCCATCACTTCTTGGCGGCTGGGAAGGCGTTTGTGCAGGTTGGGGCGTCGGCCATGGGGACTTTTGTTGATAGGTTGATTTGGCCTGCTTTCCTGGGTGGCGGGAAAAGAAAATATGTTATCTTCTTCTTCAAGAATACCCGTGAGGATCTTGTGAGGATTGGGGAATGGGTGCAGAAGGGGGCTGTCAAAATTCAGCTGGATACTGCCTATGAGTTTGAGGATACTGTTCAAGCATTTGAAAAACTTCGCTCTGGCCGGGCTAGAGGCAAGATTATTGTGCATGTCGCTAAGCCATGAGTTGAGACCAAACCCAAATGTTCCTCAGTTGAAGCCGTCTTTTTAGGGTTTGAGCTGACTCTACTTCTCCGCGCTAAATCGGGAAATCCTCACATCTTAGAAAGGCATAGTAGCGAGTTTCGACGTAAACTTGACGATGTACTTGGCTTCGTGAGTAATGCGCAATGCTTTTCGGCACTGATATTTCGCTCCTTTTTCCTCCATCGCTGATACTTTGTAATCATCTACACTTCAACGCCTTCGTTTTCCCAATATGAAGACTACACTCCAATGTCTAGGCAGATTTTCCATGCTTCCTACAGAGATTCGCCTGATTATATGGGAATTTCTTATCTCGTCCATCCACAGAAAATCAGTCTTGCCCAAAGCCAACCCCCTATCCATCCTTTGCACTAGTCGATATCTCTACAATGAGATTTCGTCCCATATATTTAACAACTCCGTCCAGGTCGTCTCGCTCAATCCAGAACATTGTAAGAAAAATTGGATGATCATAAGATTGAAATCAAGAACCGTGGACATCCAGTGGGTTCTCAGGAACAGAACGGACACCGAATGCCATTTCCATAACTTCCCGCATTCAAAAACGACCATGGAAGTGCATATTCACGCCCCAGACCAAACAGACCCTGGTCAACTAGTATTGATTTGGCAGAAAGTCAGCGCACTTGTTGATCTTGTCATCCCCATTACTCGACCGGATATAGAGCTGGTCCCAAAGGGGTCATGGCATTCCAGAGAGCCACCAGCTCACTGGCGAGCCGACAGAGGTTTATTTTATGAGATGGGGGGTCTACAGGAGTCGATCAAACCCCTATACACACACCGTCCTGACCAAGACATTGTTCTGTTACCCTTCCTTCGTCTGGAACTATGGAACGAGAATCCCGCAAAAAATGTGCCCGCGATGTCAGACCAACAGTTCGACAACCTTCACCGACGCCTCATGGGTCTATTTAACAAAACCGGCATCGAGCTCAGATTAGAGGAGCTTCACACGATGACCCAAGACACAGCTGTCAGTCAAATCGAAGACACACTCGTTGAAACCAACTTATTCTTAGAAACCAGCCTGGACGAGATACCGGGCAGAACGGCCGATTTCCTTCGTCTCGCTCGATATAAAAGCTGGTTCCAAGATGGAGATACCTGGGAATCACCATATGAGAATCAACTCCGAGACCAGTTGTATACCAGTCCCTTTGCTGTCGCGAACACGGATCCCTGGCTCCGTAGATCGAATCGGAGATACATTCTTCTCATTCTACTTCACCATGCCATTCATGCGTTTAGATCAAGTTCATGCGATGGACTTGGGGTTTACCACCAAGTTATTTATATGAGTTGGGACTCAGGACTGTGGTCGGATGTATTTCCGGCTGGCATTCCGCCGCTGAGCAATGTTCAAGTCTGGCTTTCGAGGTTCTGGTCCGATAAATTCCAGTTTCGAACGTTTCATGTCTATTTGGATTGGTTAGGTCAACAACGGACAATTGAAAATGGCGCTGAGAGATCCAAATGTTTAACTACGGATTGTTTGAGCTTGTAGGGGTATTGAAGGGCATATTTAACGCATCAGCATGCGTGCGATGTTTGGAATATTGGAAGTTGCCTTGATAGGCGAGGGAAATTAGCTAAGAATACTTACAAGTGATATTTTCACTACGAATTATTCATGCCTATAGTTATTATGTCCATAGTCGAGATAGAATGTCAAATGTTCAGCCCATCTTACTGCAATAATTGAGAAGTGACGAGAATTTGTGTATTTGACGAGGAAGATTTGAGAGGTGTGTGGAAATGACTGTACTATGAATCCCAAATCCCCATCTAGAGGGCAGGATGCTTCGACGGATCTTCCTTCAAAGGCGCCGAATAATCATCGTCGTCCATATCGAGCATTTCAATCCGATGGGTCGTCATGTTCTCCTGAGTCTGTGCCTCGACCTTCTTCTGCAACCGTTCATCTTCCCCAAAGCCATGCTCGCTGTTCAGGGTATCACGGGCAGAAAATGATTCCCGGTCCTTAACACCAGCCTCACGCTCATTCTCCAACCGCTCCTGCTCCATCCGCTCGTCCTCGGAGGCGAGAGCAGCTTCTTCGCGTTCAATCTCACTGGGATCAAGGTCCTGGAGCCCGATGAGGGTAAGGATTCTGCCGAGCAGAAACTGGTATCGCAAGTGACCGCTGATCATCTCGCTTACATTCACGTTTTCAACGCCCGGAACACCTTCAACTGGCTGCAATCCGGCAACGCCAAGTTGAAGACTGCTTGTTCGGTACAGGAAAGCGAGTACGGAGTCATTTTCAGAGAATACATTCACAACACGTCCGCTTACGACGCTGCGAATCTTTTGCCAGTCCTCCTTGTCTGAAGGGGTGGGTGACCCCATCAAAATGACCGTCTCGACCAGCCCGTAAGCATTTCTTCTTTCCAGGCTCTGGAGGCAGGAGAAAATCAGCCGAGAACCCAAAGAGTACCCCATCAAGATCACCGGCCGTTCTCCCTGAGCCTTACTGATCAGGGCATCGGCGAGAACCTCGCCCGCTTTGTCAGCGCGGGCTTTGGCCACGCTGAACGGGTTGTCGACGATACCAGCAACTTTCATGAGACCTAGGGGAAGCATCACCGCGCTCATAATTGTAGAGAAGACAGTACGAGCCAAGACCTCACGCCCGGCAACTGACCATGCTGCGCTTGTCACAAGAGCTGAGATCGCGTTGCCCAAGTTCATCAGAGGCTCCATCTCCCAGCGGAGACCGAAGACCTCAGAGTCGGCGCCAATCACCCGCCATGGGATTACGAAGTTTGATTCCTCCTTGACCCAGCCGGTGACACCAATGGTAACTCGTAAACGATGATCTTGCTCAGCAGACTCCTTCTCTTTCACATTGCGGCGGCGTTCTCCTCGGATCGGAATAAATGCAAAGTCGTCCACTTCACGGGCGTACTTTTCCATCATGCGACCAGTCATACGCCCGCCGTAAGCGCCAAATAGACCACCGACAACAACGCTACTCCCAGCCAAAGTACCCAAGAGCCCAGCAGCAGCCGTAGCGCCAAGGCCTAATCCACCCATAACAGTTCCCAGACCCGCCGCTACCAATGGAGCTGCGAGCCCGCCAGTGAGGCCAATCAAAGCGGCTCCAGCCACAGATGCAAGGCCAACTTTCCATTTGCGCATGCTATCATCTTTCTTTGGTTGCTCTTTGGTATCTTGGTCTGCCGACAGCGCCAAAGCTGTCTGCAGCAGCCCGCGGGCGACACTGACTTCGTCTTGATTGAGCAGGTTGATGTCTATGTTCAGACTGGACGTGACATTTAGCATCAAGACTCTTGAGTAAGCACTGTAGTGCTCTAGACTGAGCATTAAAAGGAGAAGCGAGTGAAGGATAAGCAGCCTTGTTGCTTTAGGGAGTTTAGCCAAGGGTGTTTCCACGGGGTGGTATATTTCTTGTAATTTGGCGATTCTATCTTGATCCTCATCCAATGGGAGAGCATTAGACTTGGAAGCGTTCTGCAGCTTTTCTTGGCCTTCCTTTTCCCCTTGCTGATTATCATCTTTATTGACGACTGTGCCAACACGCAAAAGAACAGAGTCCCTCCAATCCTCGAAAGCAGAGAGCGCAGTAACTCTCGCCTGAGGGGCCAACGGCTTGTTAGTAGAGCCCTGTCGCGGACTTCTATTGTTTTCCGGAACCGGCTTGCGTTCTGGTTTTGGGGGCAAGTGTGGTGTGTCTTCATCGCGGCCCGCCTCCGGAGATGAACGCGGGCTGGAACGATTGGGAGAGTCATCCTTTGGATTTGTATGTTCATAAAGTTCCAAGATCCGAACCCGCATTGACTCAGCTACCTCAGCGACGAGGACGGTTAAGTCACCGCGCTGCGACCGATCTAGGATCGATGATAGATCTTGACCGCGGTCGCTTTCCGAGGCATTGGATTGCTTGGATTCGAAAAATCCTCCATGTTTTTCTTTGAGATTTTTGAACATTGCTGGAATGAAAGTGAAAAATGGATTGGAAAAAATTGAAGGAGCAATTAGGCCGAAGTCGATGTTGTCGGAGAGGGGGGGGCAATGCTGTCATGGCCCCCAATAGTCACGGGTATCGGGGCCACCAATAGCCCGAGGCAGAAACATCGGACTGTATTGATATCATTCAGCCTCGTTTCATGCAGGGTATCTAAGTCTCCTGCGTATTCCAATGCCGTAGAAAATCAAGAACTCAATTGCCGATTTCAACGACGAAATATTTCCCCTTTGTCTTTGTCGCGGATCCGAGCGCATTCCCATCCCAAGCTGTTCCATCCGGACGATCGTTCTTTTCACCTGGGACACGTTGAATTTTCCCCCGTCGCCCGGACACCTTTTCCTTAGCCAGAGCCTCCCTGAGTCTCTCGATTCCAATTGTCTCCTCTTCCATAGCAGCAGGGCTTTCGTCACGAATTCTAGCCAGCGGCGCGACGCCGGTAGTATCAACAAGTTGGATCTCCTTCACAAAATGGATTTGAGATTCGAGTGTATCCAGCATAGTCTGCTCTTCTTCTTCATTGGCAGGCTGGGGAAGAGCCGAGATGCGCAGAAGATGATGAAGTTGTTTCGGTGTGATGGATGGTGGCGGTTTTGAGGCTGGGTTCGGGAGCAGCGACCTGACGGACCAGTTTGGAGCGCCAAGTATGGTCTCGATAGGTGCACTGTCGGGTTTTTTCGAAGAGTAGAAGCGAGAGAAGGTCGGATTGAGTCGGGAAGAACCTAGGCGCAACGACTTGGATAGCCACGCAGCAGTGCGAATAGAGGTCATTGTAGAGTCCGTAGGAATCAAAACCTTTTCTAAGGGTAAATAGAGAGAAATGAGGTCGATTGAGATAGAAGTACAGTCTAATCTGGACAGCACGGTGTAAAAATAGCCAAAGTCGCCGAAGTCGCAAGACAACACTGGGGAGCTTAGGCGGAGACCCGAAAAATAAACGACACCGCCTCCACGGGCCCGCCGATCGATGCTCTCATCGATAGCAACTCCATTTGGCCACAACACTCCAACTTCACATCAAATATCCACGGACTACGGCCTATCGCAGCGAAAACGGACACATTCACCCAATATGACTCAAGATCCCCGTGTCCTGCTCCAAAAAGTACGCATATTTCCCCGTCGTGTTTCCATAGGCAATGACGATAGTCCGCATATCTAACCGTATCTCGCCTGTTTCGATGAAATAGGCCGACAAAGCGCTCTCTGGTGCTAGTGGCGGTTTCTCTTGGTTCGGAGGACGATCAGAGAAGTATGAGAGCGCCGCAGATCTGTATACCCAGGCTGCAAATGCGTTCCGAGTACAGAAAATGAGTGAGCTACCCCGCGGCCTAGCCAGTATTGAGCCCGATGATTGATCTGTTCTTCCAAACAGACAAGGAGGCCGGTCAGGCTTTTGAGAAAGCTGCCTCCATTCAAACCACGAACCTCAACGAACCTGACGATGCTGCCAATAACCTCCAGGAAGCGTTCAAGGTCTACCGCAAGTCAGACCCCGAGGATGCTGCCCGCGTGCTTTCCAGTGCCATTCAGCATTATGTACTACGAGGAAACTTGCGCCGCGCGGCAACGCAGCAGCAGTACCTAGCTGAGCTGTATGAGGTTGAGCTTGGAGATATGAAGAAGGCGCTGGAAGCGTACGAGAAGGCTGCTGATTGGTTCGACGGTGATAATGCTGAAGCGTATGTATCCTATGATCTCTTTGGTGTCTCTGAATTCGAAAAAAAAAAACAACTCAGCTAATACATACTTCGCATGCAGCCTTGCAAACAAACATTACCTCAAGGTGGCAGACCTGGCCGCCTTGGAAAGTGACTACTACAAGGCCATCACCAACTACGAACGCATCGGCCGCAGCTCTATTAACAACAACCTGATGAAGTGGTCTGTGAAGGATTATCTCCTTAAGGCAGGCATCTGCCACCTTGCCACAAAAGTATGTTGTTTCCTCTCACTATTTTAACGGGAAACAGAGTATTAATTACGTACTTTCAGGATCTTGTTGAGACTAACCGTGCTTTGGAATCATACCGCGAGCTTGATCCTTCTTTTGCTTCTACTAGGGAGCACCAACTTCTCGTGGACCTAACTC